ACAAGGCCTACCGCGCCCGCATGAGGGCAGGAAAGCAAGGTGGTGTCGTCGCTCTTGCTACCGATGAGAACGTTCAGTACTTGAGTAAGTCTCCTACGAGGCTGTGTATAGCTTCACCCCCAACGTAGCACGTGCTGACTGCTTGTTAGTCATGGCCCTTGTATGGCTCTTCTCGCGCCAGATCCCCCTTGCCATACTTCCCTTCTCCGTATACTCCGTCTTCCACGTCGCTACATACGTGCGCTCCAACCTGCTGCCCACCATCCAGCCCCCACCCGCTGCTCAGGCCGGCGCCAAGCCCCAAGGCTCCGCTGCCTCCGAGGCTATTGGCAAGTTCGTCAAGGAGTACTACGATGGCTCCATGACTCTTGTCGCCCTGCTTGAGATCTTCCTCTGGTTCCGCGTTCTTGGCTCTGCCATGCTCTTCCAGAAGGGCTCGTGGATCCTCCTTGCTGTCTACACCGTCTTCTTCCGCGCCCGCGTTGCGCAGAGCAGCTTCGTCCAGGAGGCCATCAACCAGCTTACTGCCCGCATTGACGCTCAGCTTGCCAACCAGAGCACTCCTCCCGCTGCGAAGCAGGCATGGGGCACCTTCAAGGGCATTGTCCGCCAGGCTGCTGATGCTACCGACATCCGCAGGTACGTTGGCGGCCAGCAGGGAGCCCCCAAGAAGGCACAGTAAGCGTTTCGCTATGTTTGCGACAATGTACCTACCACCAATTACGCACGACAACATATGTGTTGGGGGATTATGGTACGAATCTTGACGACGATACGGCAGTCATGACGAATAAGACAATAGACATGTTTGCGTCGCTTGTAGACGATCGAAGGAAAAGTGTTTGAGTCGGAATTTGGTCGTTAACGATATCCCACATATGCGAGGCTGGTTCAGTCCGAAGTGGATAGTAGTATGGTGGGATAGTATGGATCGAGAGAATATGTAGCCATACTGGGCTTGCGCTTGGAAGGGAGTGGGAATGGTTTCTCCTTGTATCTATGGAGAAGCGTGGTGTTTTTTGGTCTGTTATTATGTTCGCAACTGCAGTACAATCAATATTCGTTATCGTTACTTCAGCTTCGGCACATGGATATAAACATGCTGAGTAAAGGGATCAAGTGGCTCATAAACCACGTACATGTTTGTTTTAATAGTCTTGATGAGACGTTAACCTGCTTTCCATACATGACGCTCGGGCATCTTTCGCTCAAACCCGATACTTTAGCGCGAACATCCTGTTGACATGTCGCTACGCACCATTGCTCTCAGCTATATCGTCCATACATTGAACATTTGAACTGACTCGGTAAAGAAGAAACACAAGGTGTACTGAGCAGCACACTTGACAACTCTTCCCCTTAATCTTCGTGACTGCGGATTTGGACGGTTACTGGCTCATGTGCGAACAACTTGATCTACAATTCAGATCATTTCTGTCAGGAAACTAAGGCTGGTGAGAAACGTGGATTACACGTTTCGATTACGAAACCGAGGCTAATAAATGCAGTGTTCGGGCAGTTATCTTGCTGTGGGTTGGGTATGCATTTTTTTGCTTTTCGCCTCTCTGCTTTTCGAGTTGGTATCAGAAGTATGCGTTGATAGGTGTTGAGTGACGAGTAAGAGACAAGAGAGATGAAGAGATGAAAGGAAGAGAGTAAGACAGAGTAGTGGTACGTCTTCTGTTAACCTGATCTCGCGAGCTCGATGTTGTGATATTCCTTGTAGTTTGTCGGTAGTACTTCAAGCTATGAAAACGCGAATTTCCTTGTCTTCCGTACAAGAAAGTTAGAAACCACTGCTGCTTTAATGAATCCATCTGTAGAGGTTGCAAGACTTCTGTACACTGTGGTCACATTCACATGTATACATCGACTGCTGATTGCCGACATAGCCGTCGTTTCCCTAGTGACTTTGTTTGCTTGTTCAATGTCTTCTGGTAGCGCAACGGTGCCAGACGGAAGGATATAGAGGAAGAAGGAAACTTGCTATTGCAGCGAGTTTGGGAGAGGTGGTTGGTTATATGCATGCATGTATTCGCTGTCATGTACGTCAGGTAGAATTCCGCGGCCGACATGTGAGCGAAAACTTATGGCAATGACGGGGTTGCAGTGTAGAGCGAATTTGTTGTTGCTCTGTATGCATTGTCAAGTGGTACTTTGACGGACAATCAAAGACTATCGGAAATTTCCCCAATGTATAATGGTTGTTGTTTGCGCCTGACATGATAGAAGACACCGGCTAAAATCCAGGGGGCTAGATACAAACAGTACTTGCTTTTGAGTGAGTTCGGCTCGTTGACGGGTGGAAAAACGTGCATCGTGTTCGACTTGCTTATGGTACCACGGCAAGCTGAAAAAATGAGCTTTCGCATGTGACACTTCATCTTGGCAAGGAATCAATAGTGCTATTCGCTTGAGGCGTGCAGTAAGCGACAGATATGAATGAATTTTTGATGTTTCTCAAGGAAGAAGAAATGAGATTGCTACAGTGTGAGCCACTGCATGAGGCGTGAGATGGCCAAGACGTGTGATCTATGCACGATGCTGCTTACTTTCGTCCTGAGGGGAACCCTATCAGCCTTATTTGTATTGCATGTGTGGGTTTTGGCCGCATGAAGCAAATTTCTTCTCTTGGTACGCTGTCCGAATGAATGAACACATGGCTTCTTGTGGCTGGATCTAGATGTTTGATCTCTCTGAGCATCGTCGCATCGTGAAGCATTTGGAATTTGCAATGTTCAGCCGTGCATGCTCGGGTGCAGTAGCAGAAGCTGTAGTCATAATATTTCTCATCGAAGTCGCTGTGACGATGGTAGTAAATTTAGGCGCGGCAGTTGTCTGGAAGGCTAAAGAAGTCTCGAACAGCTAGAGCCTTTGGGAGCTTACCTACGCCACAAGTATGATGCTCCCGAACCAAACGGGTGTTCATGGACTAGATGTCAAGTGTAAAGACAATTCGAACGCTGTTGTTTCAGAAGGTCCGAGTGGTGTTGATTGGAGAAAATGCTCGCTGGTCGTGGCTTGCCGGCCGTAAGGTGACATGAGTAGCGTGTATCGGTGAGCAATGACATCTGTCAGAGTCCATGAGCCAATCTCGATTTCTCAATATGTCTCGGTCCTGCAGCAAGAAGTAAATCGCGCTTGGTGCTGAATTCGAAAGAGGATGAGAGTGGAGCCTCCGACTCAGGTCCAGACTCCCGAGGCTCTTGAATGCTGTACGTGGCCTCCACAAGTCCACGGAGACTGTTGAGGTGATTCCAACAGGAATGATTGGAGATGCACGCTACCACCATGACGATGATGTATTTATTTCGTAGCAACGGTTCCTGGAAGGGCGGCGGAAGGTGGCTGCTCGCACGAAGCTAGCGTAATCGATAACATTAGTCGCACGGGGCCCGTAAACACGTTCAGGCTACCGGGCAAATGCTGTTTCACGACTCCGTGGATGCTAAAGTTGGAATTTGTCGTCTGTGTTTTTCTCTGTGCGCGAGTATTGGATTTCTCCACCAGCCCCGTAATACTATCGGAGAAAAGAGGCGCGATGGACCGCCATACGAGGCGCCCAAGCCGAAATTCCGCCAGCAAGTCAGAGTGTTCGGGAGGAAGCTACGTATTCGCGTGTGTAGTCAGTCATGGCGATTCAGGCTGCGAGCAGATTTGGTGTTGACAGGTCAAGTCAAGATTGTGCTGGGTCAAGTGCATGAGGCGAGCGGGTGAGCTGCTGAAGATGGGTTAGGAAGACTGCGCCCCAGAGCTTGGATGTGGGGTTCGCATCGCGCTTTCGTCTGCAATGTCCCCTTTTTGCGAGCTTGGGTGCGGAGATAGGATGCATCCGAACAGCCGTACCGTATCGTATCATGTAGTGTGCGTGCTCTGAGGTGCGGAACAGAGCGGTGAGAGAACTGGTGCTGGCTGCTCGGGTGGCATCAGCGGCGTGATGGCGTGACGAAGGCACAGGATGAGGACTAATGCAGGGCAATTGACAGCAGCGATGCGATCGATAGGGTTTGACATGTGCAAAAGATTCTGCGGTCGGAACTACGGGTGAAAAGTGTGATGGTTTGTTTCGCAGTGGAACTTGTGGATAGGCAATACAGCAATGCTCGCAGTAGTGCTCACAGGCGAGTCGTCGGCGGCTTGGGAGGGTTGATGCGCGTGTAGGATCGAGGGCATAAGCTTTTCCGACAAGACGGTATGCGAGATTGGGGGATGTATACAGAGTTTATGTCGTGTCGGTATTGCAACTGCCAGATGAGTGTTCCGTTGTATGCAGATGAAGAAGTTAGTAACTGTTAGAGTGTTGATCGCGACGGAGTCGACGAAGATCTGGAGAAAGTAAGATTAGATTGGGGATCATCTATCACGCAACGTACACACACTGTATTCCTGGGTCTCGATTTCCCAGTCGTATAGTTTAGAAATCACCATGGACACAACTCCGGGCCCGGAATAACATTCACCATTTCTTACCAGGCAGCCAGGCAGCCAGGCGGCTGCACACATCCACAAATCTTGCAGCCGCACACGCCATAGCATGCACTGGTAGCCCTGGCGATGGCGCATACGGCCAAGTTCTAGCTGGCGCTGGCCTGAGCGGGAGAGCGTGCGCACCTGTGAAGATGGCACGGCAGGGAGACGGCTACTGCGTCGTGGAAAGTGCAGGGGACCAGCTAGCGAGCGACGCTACCCATCCGCCGCTTTCACCGTCTCGGTTTTCTTGGTCGGAATGTGCCTGTGTATATAGACTCGTGAATGCCCTCACTCTTTGGGCTCGTCTCCCCTCTGACGACATTTCCAATTCGACTGCTTGGTTCACGATCCCCCATCGCTCATCGACTCACGACTATAACATCACACGACCAAGTCTCCAACCTTCTCGCTTACACTTGGCCGACACCGCCGTAGTACCGTTAGAACACATCAACGTATTTGCAACTTGGAAAAAGAAAAAAGAAGAAAACACAATGGACTACTCTCCCGCACTATCAGTCAATAGCGACATGACAGACGAGGAGTTGGACAAGTACTTTGCCAGCTGCGTTCCGCTGTCCAACCTGCCAACCCCTCCGCCGGCAAAGGAGCCCACACCAAGCCGGGTATCAACACCAGCTGCCCAAACATCGACACAGTCACACGACATCACTAGCCCTCCACAACACAAAGGTTAGTTCACTACTACCTCACATGTCAAATTTCTGTTTACGGGATTTGCATGATGGTGTGTATGAGTCGGACCGGGCGGCAGAGCGTCGTTCCCCTGCATACGCTGCCTTGGCCCTCGTCATGCTTCATCCCAGATGCTCCTTTTCCAACTCAACATTCCCCCTCTCCACAAATTCGACATGTTCCTGTCGATCAGCTAGTTGTTCCACCAACACCCCTCCACCCAAGATCAATGCCGTTGCCACTTCCTTGATTTCGGTCCGCTAACATACTATCTATAGTATACGCTGCCCACCTTGCGAACCTCGTTCCGCTCAACGTCTCCACCCATCGCCCTCATGCGTCGGTGATTCAAGGTTTCCTGGACCGCGCTGGGCTGCCAGATGAGATCGTCGCCTTCGCGGGGTGCTTGCTAGATGCATTGAGTAACCGGTTTGCAACCACTTGGCGAGATGCTCTCATACCAAGCGACTATGCTCGCGACGTGAAGAACTTTCTGAGGACGGACTCGCGTCAGAACATGCGCGTCAGCCCAGACGTTATTGTTCTGGCCGCACTTTCACTCGCACATGGCTTCCTCGTCGACCGGCAGCGGTCCTCACGCCACTGGAGTATCAAAGAGAGCGATGGTGCTTTTACCGTGCAGGAGATTGAGGCCACCAAGAGGGCTATCTTGCAGGACATGGACTACGGCCTAGCTCGAATCTCCAACGACATGGTGGATTGGAGGCTGAAGACAATGCAGCGTACTAGCACCTCTCCCTACACACCGACACCAACCACGGTCGCAACGAAGCAACGACGAAACCTTTCCATCAGCCTCCAAGGTACTGCAATCTGGAGCTACGGCGTGCAGACTCCGGAGCCCAGCCCATAAGACGGCAGCTTCGCACGAAGGCGCTACGAATCTCGTTCAGTCTACCATTTTTAACTGTCTTGCTGCGTACATTCACGATACCCACATCCTTTCGGCACTTTTCGCCATCAGTCATTATGCGCATCTCTCGGCGTTCTCCGGCATCAATCGGGCCATATACTCGGTAGTGTTTTGTGCATGCAACAGGCTCGTTGTAAACTCGTATATATATATTTTTATTTCAGGGTGGAGTTGAGTGGGTTCGGTGGCCTATGCTTCTAGTTTTGAGTACGCTATCTGTGTAATACCCGCCGCGGAAGTTGGAGGATTGGGCCTTTTGTTTTACATTCGTCTTGGGACCACCGTGTGTGTAGAGATGGATCTAATATATGTTGGCACCACTTTTTGAACACCCTCATGCATGTGATTGTTGACCGTTATGACCGAGTCATGGTCATGTACCTGAGCGCGCGAAATACTCCATATCTCACGATGGCACTCTGTTGGGTGCTCTTTTTGTTTACACAGGATCGGTCGAACATACGATAGTGGGGCCGCAGCCTCAACTAAACATTGCATAGTCTTCCCTATTCCCACAAGATCCGCGCAGGCTACATGCCATGAACGCGCACACTTCAATCTTCATCTAATCAATTTCAAAACTTTGACGTCAAGTACGCGTTGCGCTCCTCACTCTATTGTTCCGATTACTCCGCACTTTCCAAGCATGGTGTGGAGGGGTTGAAGACGTCACCGCGACTGGTTCTGGCCATGTTGGAGATCACGCTACAACGCGCAATATTCGCACTAAAGCCTCAGCATGCACAAGTTTATTGGACAACACGTTCGTCACATCTTCGCTAACTGCTCCGCGACGGTATCGTGGGGTCGGCTACCCCACTTTGTACTGGCTCGCGAGCTGCTGCATACAGCTTGCATGTGGGAGAGCTCAACAGCTTGTTGTTAGCTGTCAGCCTGGCCTTCACTGTGGGCTACTTCCCCGCGATCCACTAGGCGCTCCTGCTCTCCTGATATATTCCTGGGGGCCTTGCTGTCATGCTCAATTGATCTCCACTCCGTCTTCCTCCAACCGGTGTCGTGTAAACACGCCGTTGCCGTTGCTGCCGCTCATCTTTCCCATCTGGTGCTTCGCAAACACCACGTCTGAGGTGCTTCTGCGGCGTCTTTATAAGCCTGCATCCCTCAGTCATCCTATCATATCTTCTTGACCCTGTGCGATTGCGCCTCTCACTCTCGGAGTGCCAGCCATACGCCCCTCTACCCCGCCATCACCTCTCTCCCACCGACTCTCTCTAAGCAATTCGCGTTTCTCTGCAATTGACATTATCAAGATGGCTGCGAACCCTTCTCCTCGTGAGCGCAGGCCCTCGACGAGCGCTCCACTTGCCGACCTCAAGGGTCCCGTTGGCCCCTCTTTCACCCGTCCCAAGCACAAGAGGACCGTAACGGGCTTTGGTCCCAGCGAGATCAAGAACGTGGAAGCGAGTATTCCAGAACCTCAGCGCGAGGCATGGAAGAAGTTTGTGCGTGAATTGGTTTCTCCGGGTTTTACTACATCAAGATACTAATGCAACAATAGATGCCCAAGCCCTTCTCTACGCCCGACGACTTTACCAGAGACGCCGTTCGACATATCGAAACGACCCTTGCGCGATCCCTCTTCAACTGTGATGAGGCCGCCGCTTATGCTGGAACCGCCCTTGCCTTTAGGGATCGCTTGGTCCTGGACTGGAACAAGACGCAGCAGAGTCAGACCTTTGCTGACCAGAAGCGCGTATACTGTGAGCAAGAGCAAAGCGCATGGTGAAGACGTGTCATCTAACAAGGCTAGATCTCTCCCTCGAGTTCTTGATGGGCCGCGCCCTGGACAATGCTATGCTCAATGTTGAGCAAAAGGATCTCGCTACTAGTAGGTTCTCCTTCTGAAATCAGCCATTGACTCCTCTAACATATATCTAGAGGGTCTCAGTGATCTTGGCTTCCGTATGGAGGACGTCGTCTCCCAAGAGCACGATGCAGCCCTAGGAAACGGTGGTCTCGGACGTCTTGCTGCCTGTTTCCTCGACTCGATGGCGTCTCTCAACTACCCAGCCTGGGGCTACGGCCTACGCTACCGATATGGTATCTTCAAGCAGGAGATTGTCGACGGATACCAAGTCGAGGTTCCAGACTACTGGCTCGACTTCAACCCATGGGAGTTCCAGCGCCACGATATTGAGATTGATGTGCAGTTCTATGGCAACGTCAACCGCTGGCAAGACGATGAGGGCAAGCAGCAGTCCTCATGGGAAGGCGGCGAGATTGTCAAGGCTGTTGCTTTTGACGTTCCGGGTAAGCAGTTCCCTTATCAATCACCTTCTTCTTACTGACCAGTGCAGTTCCTGGCTACAAGACCGGCACTTGCAACAACCTACGTCTCTGGGGAAGCAAGGCTGCTAGCGGCGAATTCGACTTCCAGAAGTTCAACTCTGGCGAGTACGAGAGCTCCGTAGCTGATCAGCAGCGTGCTGAGACTATTTCTGCTGTCCTCTACCCCAACGACAACCTTGACCGTGGTAAAGAGCTTCGCCTGAAGCAACAGTACTTCTGGTGCGCCGCTTCGCTCTACGATATCGTGCGACGTTTCAAGAAGAGCCAGCGCGCCTGGAAGGAATTCCCCAACCAAGTCGCCATTCAGCTCAACGACACCCACCCAACGCTCGCCATTCCTGAGCTTCAGAGAATCCTGGTGGATATCGAGGGCTTGGAGTGGGACGAGGCATGGAACATTGTTCAGAAGACCTTCGGATACACCAACCATACTGTACTTCCTGAAGCCCTCGAGAAGTGGTCCGTCCCGCTTATGCAGCATCTCCTCCCACGTCACCTCCAGATCATCTACGAGATCAACCTACATTTCCTCCAGTTCGTTGAGCGCAACTTCCCCAAGGATCGCGAGATGCTCGGTCGCGTCTCAATCATCGAGGAATCGCAGCCGAAGATGGTTCGCATGGCATACCTCGCTTTGATTGGCTCACACAAGGTCAACGGTGTAGCTGAGCTACATTCTGACTTGATCAAGACTACCATCTTCAAGGACTTCGTCAAGATCTACGGACCGGACAAGTTCACCAACGTCACCAACGGTATCACCCCAAGGAGATGGCTTCACCAAGCTAACCCCAAACTCTCGGCTCTTATCGCATCCAAGTTGGGCGGCCACGAGTTCCTGAAGGACCTCACTTTGCTGCACAAGCTCGAGGCGTTTGTTGACGACAAAGAGTTCCGCAAAGAGTTCTGCGACATCAAGTACGCCAACAAGGTGCGACTCGCGCAACACATCATGGAGCACAACGGCGTCAAGGTCAACCCAGCAGCGCTCTTTGATGTTCAAGTTAAGCGTATTCACGAGTACAAGCGTCAGCAGCTGAACATCTTCGGTGTCATCCACCGTTACCTCCAGATCAAGGCCATGTCCCCAGAGGACCGCAAGAAGCTAGCTCCTCGCGTGTCCATTTTCGGTGGTAAGGCCGCACCAGGTTACTGGATGGCCAAGACAGTAATTCATCTCATCAACAAGGTGGGTGATGTTGTCAACAATGACAAGGACGTCGGCGATGCCCTCAAGGTCATCTACTTGGCAGACTACAACGTCAGCAAAGCAGAGATCATCTGCCCTGCCAGCGATATCAGCGAGCACATCTCCACCGCTGGTACTGAGGCGTCTGGTACCAGTAACATGAAGTTCTGCCTGAACGGTGGTCTTATCATCGGAACCTGCGATGGTGCCAACGTAAGTAGTCTAACTCCACGTACTTTGAAAGCGGATACTGACTTCCATATAGATTGAGATCACCCGCGAGATCGGTGAGCAGAACATCTTCCTCTTCGGTAACCTTGCCGAAGACGTCGAGGACCTTCGCCACGCACACATGTACTCGCACTACCAGTTGGACCCACAGCTTGCGAATGTCTTCGACGCAATCCACAACGGCACCTTCGGTGATGCGGAACAGTTCTCTGCTCTAATCAACGGTATCGTGGAACACGGCGATTACTACCTCGTTTCCGACGATTTCGCGTCATACATCAAGACACAGGAGCTCATCGATGAGAGCTACAAGAACACCGAGGAGTGGACAACCAAGACCATCACCACAGTCGCGCGCATGGGCTTCTTCTCAAGTGACAGATGCATTGACGAGTATGCTGAGGCTATCTGGAACGTCGAGCCGCTACAGGTCAAGAGCGACCCCGCACCGTAGATGGAAAGTGGAGAGATGGTGGATGTGTTGGTTTGATGGTAGATCTTAGAGGGTCGCGAGCCTAGATCCGTAGCCCTGATGTCTCATATTTACAATGATAATGAGAACTCAACTGCGACAAAACAACTTGGAATATGCATGTGCTCGTTAAAGTACAAGGCTGTGGTGTCTTGAGCGACACTGGACCCTGAGACGCCCGCTCCGAATCAACTTAGCGCACGGTCGCGTCGCGCGACGTACGTCAACCGCAATCTGGCAACCTCGACGTAAGCTCGCGACATATCGACAGCCCTCACCTCACTAGCAATCATGGCGAACAGAGGCTATGATGTCGTCGTAGATGTCGATCAAGAGGTATGTAACTCCCTGGGAGGGCGAAACAGAAGCCCACGTGCCGCAATCGCTATCAACTCAAGATGGCAAGCTCACCAAACTACAGGGCGACTTGGGCCACACCGATCTCCAAGAAGACCTCGAATTCCACAGCTCCAGTAAGCCTTCCATGTATCCTTGGACACTACCCTAATCCAGTAACTGACGAGTATCACCCATAGACTTCGAGACCCAGCCCTCCGGCCGCGGCGCCCCCAAAATCCAACCCGACTCCTCATCGGCCTCGTTCCTCCCCGGCCCAGGCGGCTCCTCCTCCAACAATCCTACATCGCGAAAACACTATCTCTGGTCCCTAAACTTCTACGCCCAAGCCTTCGACGTCGACACAGCCGAGGTCCTCCGCCGCTGCGTCTCAACCATCTACCCACGCGCCAACTTCCTCGACGTACTAGAAGGAAACCCAGACCTCTACGGCCCAGTATGGATTGCTACAACAGTCATTGTCATCTTGTTCTTAACGGGAACGATTAGTCAGTATCAGGCGATGAAGGGCGAGGAGCACTTTGCGTATGATTTTAAGCTTCTGAGTGGGGCCGCAGGACTGGTGTATGGATATACAGCCTTTGTGCCTGTGGGTCTTTGGGGCGTGTTGAAGTGGTATGGGAGTGAGAGTGCGAATCTGCTCGAGTGCTGTTGTTTGTATGGGTATTCGAATTTGGTTTGGATTGCGGTTAGTCTTGTGGCGTGGAGTCCTTGGGGCAGTAAGTTCTTCCTTTTCCCTTTTTAATCCTTCCCTGGAACATGACATACTAACGAGAATGCGAATAGTCGTCAACTTTACAGTCGTAGCCCTCGGCTTCGCTGCATCCGCTTTCTTCCTCCTACGAAACCTTTACCCTGTGCTCAGCACCACTGAAACCAAGACCAGTAAGATTCTGCTTGTCGTGGTTTTCCTACTACATGCTGGTTTCGCTATCGCGATCAAGGTCTTGTTCTTCGCTGCGACGAGTCCGGTGGGCCCGAATAAGGGTGCGGATAAGGATGCTGGAAAGGGTGTGGCTGATGGGGGTTCAGAGGGTAAAGGGGATATGCTGAGGATGCTCATGGGTTGAGATGGGATGGATGGTAGATAAGATGATGGGTAGGAATTGGACTTGGGGCGATAGGGTTTGTTAGCGGAATTACGGTGCGGCCTGAAGGCCTACAGCGCATGATCGATGAACTGACATTTTCTGAAAATATGGCCTGGAGGTCCTCAATGTTTTGCCCCATGAGCGAGCAATATGTGTAAGACGAGGCATGAAGATATACAATACCCTGTTGTTTTTCTCCTCTCATTAAAAGTGCAATGAAGATATTCTGGGTTAGTCACAACGAGCATGAAAATAAGCACGTGTATGAGGATATGTATCCATTTTAATTATTTTTCAAGTCCTAGTATTACCTCCCGAATCTTACCGGAGTATACAACTACTCATCGTAAGCCATGTTCACTCAGCCATTGTCCACCTTGGTATCCGCCAGAGCCATCCTACACAACTACAAACATGCAACTTGAACAACGTCTGTATGCTTCAACCAGCTCAAACATCCTCCTCAACACCTTCATCGGCCTCACTAACGACCTCCTCGCCACCATCAAGAACCAGCTTCCTAGGGTCGACACCACTCTGTAGTGCCAAAGCAAGCTCATGAACGTTAGCCAAGGTATATGGCGCATCATGCTCAATGCAGTACTTGACACAACGCGTGAAGATACCACCGTCCTCGCCTTGCTCAGGATGCTTGAGGAGGCCCTTATTCAGAGCGCAGACCTCGTAGTCAACAACACCCTCCATCTCGTCGTCACGGTACTGCATCATGTCGGTAGCCGTAACGTCATCGGCCTCCTCGATCTGGCTGCGAAACTGCTCCTCCCACTCGTCACCGTACTTGTCTTTACCACGGTTGATGGCCGTGATGCACTTGACGGAGCACGTGTTACGGAGGTAGCCGCCCTCAATGTCTCGGTGTGCGTTGAGTACCTCGACGATGCCGGCAGGGCCCCAGTGGCGAGAGTACAGGCGGAGCGCGACTGGAGGACGGGCAATGGACTGGAAGAAGTAGACGATGACTTCGGTGTCTGTGAGAGGGACCTTGGGTACCATCGCGCGTACAGGTGGCATCATCTCCTTGAGCGCATGGTTCTTCCGCTTGTTGACGGAGGTGACACCGCGCCTTTGTGTGCTAGGGGGTCCGATGCGACCAGGAGTGACAGGAGAGCTCTGATAACCTGATGTGGGGGCGAAGAGGAAGTTTGTACTCATGGCACCGGTTTGTTGACCTGATGTGGGCGTCATGAGGGTTGGGAAGCCGGAGGCCATGTTGCCGGTAAGGTAGCCAGACTATTGTTTGTTGTTAGCACCCAACAGTGAAGGTCTGGATATGTAGAGCTTACATCAATCTTTTTCGAGGGAGTAGCCATGCCGAGAGGAACCGTGGTCTTCTTGCTGTCAGGGATCTTGACCTTGAGAGCCCTCCGGGCCCTGGTCTTCTCGCCCTTCTTGCTGTTCTTGCCGACGGATAGCTTGGTCCCGAAAGGCTCATCATCTTGCGGACTGGGGCTTGAGAGCCGGAACGTCTGGAATGGCTCATAGCGCTCCTTAGTGGGAGTGCTCGGAGCAGAGAAGAGAGAGGCGGTTGCGTCACGGTAGCGAGTTGTAGGTCCGGGAGCGGACTGAGACCCAGCAGTGGCTTCATCGACGAGCTTGACAATGGAATCGCGGAGAGCCATGTTGTCCATTCCGACCCTGTTGAAGCGGGCGGTCAGGTTTTCGAGGGCTTGGGCATGGTTGCGGCTGAAGACGACCAGGTCGTGGATCTCCTCGGATTCTAGAATAATCAGTCATCGGGGAGGTTGTCGCGGAAATATGACAGTGTGAGACTCACTCGAACGCTGCCTCCAAGAGCCATCCAGCTGCAATTGCAGCTTTGGCGGCTGTTCGGGAACCTGCTGTGCCTGCTGCACATGCTCTTGCATGAACGGCGGAAACTGCAGTTGCAAATCCTGCTGGACACAGGAGGCGTCCTGGGACACCATCTGATCCAGATTCTGCTCTGTGTATGCGTCAGTTATCGAACTTTTGGAGCAATTGATAGCGATTGTATGCATGTAAGCGCCAATGGACTGCTGTGCCACCCGCTAACTTTGCTCCCGCAATTGAAGACTGGGTGGGCTGGGAGGACTCACCTTGACGTGCTTCGTGCATAGCAGCATAGACAGGAAAAAACATATCCCTATAATGATGCGGATTAGCATTCAAACCGTTAAAACCGTGATCTTCCATGACAAAGAGGTTTCGGCGGGTTGAGTATTTTGAGGTTGGTGAAGCGTGAGTGTGTGTGCGAGCAATGTTGTGATAGTCCGTAGCGACATCAAATTTTGCGCCACGTGCGGTTGCCAGGGAGGAACTCCAAACAAGACGAAAGGTATGAAAACACCGAAGTGATGGTGAAAACGTACCTCGAGAAACTGCCATCCATTCTGTACTTGCGCGGTGAACTGCCTTGATACGCACCGCTACTGTTTATACTGCTGGCTCTGCTGACGATGTGCTGCTGCGCAAACATGGTGTTGGGCAACCACACAGGCGGCTCGACGTCCTCCTCTTTGTATGTCGACGCGGCAGATGATACAGAAACATCATCCGGGAAGTTCGCTGGGGGCAGGGTAGATGTCCGCAGGAAGGTCCGGAGGAAGGTCTCTGGGCTCTCTTCTCTTTTGACCATTGAAGCCATGATGTTAGGTAGTATGGTTTGTAAAGGTGTTCGGACGGATGTTGGTTGTGGATAAGACCCGTGGTGGACAAACGCTCGGACACCCACCATGTGCCATGACGATGCGGCACAGAAGACGGTGATCTGGTGAACGTGAAACTTGATGTACCTCTAATCGGCCAGTTCACCTACACAGCTTCCTCACCTCATTGTGAAGACAGCAAACTCACCATGAGACTCCAGGTAACGCAGGCAGCATGCACCCACCACTGAAGGCATTATAGTAGCTTGTGCTCATTGTATCGACGGATGCGGATCGTCCATGCATGGTGCCAGTGAAGAAGATGGTAGTCTCGAAACAGAAAAGTGCATGCCGAGCGACGAGAGATAACATGATCAAGGGATAGAGGAGATTGACTTGCAAAAGCTAAAATATAGAGAGATGGAAAAACGAGGCCTAATATAGGTGTTTATATATTGGGCCCCGGTAAGGCTCCAGCTGAGGGGAAGCAGCGGTCAGTACCCAAACGCCTCATGACGGCCGCAATCGATACATTGAGAGGTGAAACGAAACGAGAAATCTGACTGGGACTGAAAGACGATTCGAAAGGTAACGTGAGAATATAGACAAAATTACCTACGTGAAGGAAAGACCTGTCAGGGTGGTGTAAATCGCCCACTATAGACTACATTGCCATGTAATTGCTGGGTGTCTTTCTCTCTTGCTAGCTGCAAGTATCGACCTCTTCACTCATGGTAGAAGGTCTTACCACTCTTGACAACTCCAAGGGTGGAAGATCCATACCGGGCCCGAGCAAACGAGCGGCTGAGTAGCATCCCGCCTCCTAAAAAAACGACATATTCAACAGCACGTAGTCACACACTAGGTCAGTTGTCAAGCTCTCGCGGAGACATTGGGCTAGAACACGCTAAATGGCCGCTGAACACAAGACCCGTGTCGCGTTCGCACTGAGCACACAAGAACTAGCAACGAATTAGGGGAAATTGTTGCGCAAACATTCTGCTATTGATTAGTCAAAACGCGTATACAATGATAAGTTTCCAGCACTTACTACAGCGAAGCTTTCGCTTGAGAGATGGCGCGTCAAATTCGCCACATTAGGCTGTCTTGCGGAACGATATACTAAACAGAAGTGCTGCGGTTTCAAAGCAAGCAGGAGACGAGTGCGAGGTGGTCGTGGACGCGCGCAAAGTAATGGTAGTGGCTGTTGTCGGATGAGAGTGATGATGCGAGGAAGTCGGACGTTCAAAGTTCGCATCGCTATGTTGGCGCACTAGTCCGGATCTGGCTTCCCTCCCTCTCCACAACTTCCAAATATTGGACGTCTCTCTTATGCGCAACCCGTCAAAGAGCCCTTGAAACTCCTGTAGTTCGGAAACTCCGTGGTTGCTAAATGCTTGTCCTCATGATTTTCCAGCTGTTTGGTGTACCTCATATCTACCCGATCGCTCGATGTGCGCTCTAAAATCAGAGTGTAGTGCACCTCCACTACGGGATTCCACAGTGAACTGTCATCATGATATCTACCATGCTCGGAAGTATATAATAATGATTCTTTCTATCCCACATACTATTCTTCAAAGCTGCTTCTTCACCTCCTCTCCTTTCTGGCTTGAAGTTGCACTACTATCAACTACGAGACTGGCATACATATCTTCAGTATCTTTGGATTGATACCCACGAAAATACTATATTCGCACCTTGCAGGCATTTAGACTGTGTTACGCCTTTTGCAAAAGCGTGTCTTCCAAAGCCTTGGTGAAGAAGAATGGAGAGGTACCTTTTACGTGAATGGTGAGCAAATGGGAACCCTAAAGTTTTGCAACAACTAATACCGCTATCTCGCGAGAAATAAGTCTGAAGCTCTTCCCCCTAACCCATATAAACTCATTCTCACACCCAGACCGCGAATTTGGCAGCCAGAATGCAGGTCCTGATAGTTGCTTGCTTCATTGCGAGTGTGGCTCCCGCGACAAGCTTGATTACGGTGGAACCGGCTTTTCGAGAGCTTACCACCTCTCCCCGATCATGTGGAGTCAATGGGATTGGTGTGGATCACGTCTCCTTTCGAGGCCTTGTCACTTGTGCCGATGTCGACATTGCCACCGTATACCACAAAGCAACATGCAAAGGCGAGAAGTTACTGGCAGCAATAACGTCTCCACACGGCTCAGCTGCCGCATATATCGCACCGATTGATAGCCCTTGGACCAACGTCATTCAACAGGGTCTTGCCATTTGGGACTACAAGATCGACACGGACTATGGCACCACTCTGTGGCGCACACACCATTACGACGAGTGTGAGTTCGCCCACAATCACAAGTTCAAGAACATGTTCGATGAACTCGGAATTGATACGCTGAGTACGTGGCAAACTGGCCGAACCGGTGCTACTTCGTCAGTCATAAGGACGGTCCAGCAGTGCAGCGCACTCAAAACGGGAACCTACCGCCTGTCAACCAGCAATGGCGTAACGTCAACGGAAAGCAATACCGTCTAGGTAAAAGAAAGCAACAGTTTATCCACGTCCAACTAACGATTCCGTTTCTGATTAAATCATCAACGCTGAATTCATAATCGGTGTGAATGCTGCAACTGGTCTTATCGTGATGACCAATCTTCGGAGCTCTGGCACCAGCGCCAAAGCTCTCTGGGGTTTCCCCAACCTTCCGCCCAGCGATCATCTTCCGGCACTCAAGTCAAGCTCCGATATCATTTGGGGACTCTGGAGCTTAGCGAGTCCAAACAACTTACGTGCGATCAAGTACGTCTTCAGCACACCTATCACAAACGACGAGACGGTTGTTATCATCAAGGAAGTTTTACAAGACAACTGTCTCCAGTTGGATGAACTAATGGAGTGGACTAGGCGTGAATTTGCAGCAGATGAGCCAGAATACCACAATTTGCTCAGGAAGTTGTACTTCAGTCTCAGGTTCTTTTTCTTCTTGTGTATATGCTGCTATGTCATGACGATGATGGGAGCACTGACTTCTACTGTTCCCATAGGATCACCAAGTGGACCTGCTATTGGGTATTTCCTGGCGCAACACAAAAGACAGCTAGGCAGCAAGTGTCTTTCGAAGATCAATGTCTTCAAGGCGGATACCAATGTCGCTCTGGCCATCTGTCTCTTGTTCACGATCGAAGATAAGGTGGGGGGTTTGAGGGCCGATACTGGAAGCGATGCTAAGGCGATGTTCGTGAAGCGAGACAATGGTGGTAAGAACCTTGTGAGGCAGCATATTGTGTGGGTAAAACTCTAGACGATTGCAGGGGATATCAGTGAACGGTGTTAGCAATGGCAAAGGACGCTTCAGGGTTGATTGTAACCTCGGTATGAAACCAAAAGCGGAATAGCTATCGATAAGGCCAGTCCTAAAGCTCCAGCGCCGCCATCATCTCTCTTTCAGCTTCCAAACCTAACAATGTCTGCAAACATCCTCATCGTTGGCGCCGGCGCCATTGGAGCGTTTTATGCCTCTCGTCTTGCCGTTGTTTCTGGCGTCTCCGTCTCTGTCATCTGCCGCTCAAACTACAAAGCTGTGAAGGCGGATGGCTTCCAAGTCACCTCACCGCAATACGGCGACTACACCTTCGTACCGGCAAACACGTTCGCGAACCCAGACGAAGCGCGAAAGAGCGATATAAGATGGGACTACATAGTCGTCAGCACCAAGGCGCTGCCGGACGTCAGCGATGACTCGACGATACTTGAAGGATTGGTTAGCGATGAGACGGCCATTGTGCTGATACAAAACGGTCTGGGTGTAGAGGAGCCATATGCGAAGCGATTTCCACAAGCAGCGATATGTTCAGCCGTTACGATAGCGACGTGCGCACAGCCCGAGCATGGCCACATCAAGCACAACAGATGGACGCGGATAAACAGCGGACCATACCTACCCCATCTAGATACTGGGAACAAGAAAGATACCGACGCACGCGTCACGGAACAGAACGACGCGTTCATCGCTCTACTGAAGGAGGGCGGTATCAAGGATGCAGAAGCTTATTCTCATGCCAAACTGCAACTAGTCCGATGGCACAAGATCGCCATCAATGCCTCAATGAACCCAACTTCCGTCCTCACCCAATGCCTGCCCAACAACGTCATGTCTCTTGACCCGGAACTGCAGCGTCATCTCAAAGGCGTCATGGTAGAGATCCTTGAGACCGCTCCCAAGATCCTCGGCGAACCCATGCCCAAGGAGTTTGCTACCCCAGATCAGATTATTCGGTCAACACAGAAGAACACTAGTGGTAGCAAGCCGAGTATGGCGATTGACTGGGAAGCGGGCAAGAAAATGGAGATTGAGGTCATACTGGGCAATCCATTGAGGATCGCCAGGGACAGGGGATACGAGATGCCGCGCTTGCAGAGTTTGTATGCGATGGTCAGGATGGCGCAAGAGGCCAGAGATCAGAAGAAAGGTGTCAAGCTATGATGCAGCAGATTGCTCCCATTAATTGTCTCTCCAATTGCTTCCATTGTCACTTACCCCGTCTTGTTGAAGCGAGCTTCGTCACAAACCGCAAACCTCAAGTCGACAGGGATTGTGCCGCCAACGAAGAGCCACTCTTCAGCCGCCCATTCTGTCTTGTTGCATCGTTCTGAAGAAATCTGTCTCACAATGATCTATATTGATATCCGGGAAGAATATATACATGCGAAGGAGCTCTGAAGCCTATTCATGACTCCGCTACTACTTTGCCAAATAGTAACCTTGTGGTATGCGGGATCACCAGAAACACTCACAAGTACGTTGACATAGCAACCATCGATTATTGCGATCGCGGCAGATCTCTTCAAGTATAGTATGCTGTCATAAGAGGGGGCTGGAACTGAAGTGTGGGTGAACTTGGAGTCTTCGCCATCTACGAACTCGATCACGAAGACAAAACTTGAATCTTTTCCTTTTGACCTACCTTCATTATCGCTTAGCGTGGAGCGCATTCGAATATTGGGCATTGCTGTCATTGGTATAAACAACAAGGAGCGATTCAACATTGCGACGCTATCAAGGACCGTAGAACCGTGGTTCTCACAATAGCTGACCAAACCACAGGTGAAGGCGCCTCTCACCACGCCTATTGTCCCCAATAGAAGACAATAGCTAATATAGTCTGATTCTCACTCCGCCCTAGCTGTATACTTTCTCCAGTAGTTGAAGGGTCGTACAGCCTGCTTTCAGTCCTCGACCTTTATCTTTTCTACTTCATCGAGTACAGCAGCACAACAACTATCACGACAACAATCACTAATACAGACAATATGACCAGGTTCACGGAACAGCAGTTGGAGCAGCAGTGGATCTTCAGTCAGATGAGTCCGGAGCAGCAACAGGAATACCGGATTCGTCAAGCTCAGCGTGCTTCACAACAGCAGAGTGGACAGCCGCAAGGACTGCACTCCCCTTCACAGCAGCAGCAGCAGCAGCAGCATTATCTGCGACAACTACAGTTCAGCAGACTATCTCCCGAGCAGCAGCAGCATCTGCGACGACAAACGCAGTTGCGTCAACAGCAGAGTGGCCAGCAGCGACCGAGTTCTATGCAGTTCCCCGTGCAGTCGTTCAATAACACGCAGCTTCCAGGCTCCGACTGCATGGCGGCTCCCTCGGGTCCAAACCATAGCGGAAGTTCCTTGCAGCCTCAGGCCTCACCTTACTCCTCACCTGCGTCGACAGTATCTTCCGCAAATAGTTTATCGGATGCAAATATATTAATGACCGGCAACGGCCAAGAGCAGAGTCAGAATACGGCTCGGAGCTCTTCGATCAACAGAGCCAGCACATCTAGGCCATATGCACCAAGCGATCTATCAGCACCCTCTATGATTCCCACTTTGACGATGACCGCTTCATTTCAGAATAGAGCAATGTCGCGAACACTAGCGAATACCTCGCCGCCTGCTCAATACGGTATGTCACCAACTCTTAGCGCCAACTCGCACATGCCTACTCTACCGCTGTCGACTACGCAAACGCAGAGCGCCAGTCTAGGTCAGGAGCGTCAACAGATCAACGCTTCCAATGGCTCTACACATTCTCAACAGTCGCGCATGCCGCCTCCGAATGCCGCTCGCTATCAACAGTCACCTACCAAACAAGGCCATCCGCATGCACAAACGAAGCGGCAATCTTCACCAATAAAGCAGAGCTGTCCTCAAATCGCAGGTCGGAAGCGCCAGGCAACAGATGCGACTGAAGGTACCAGGCCTGCAGACAAGAGGCAAAATATGACGCCACATCCTAGTGCCGCCCATGCCACCCCCATACATCAAAACGCCTCTCCATCTCACCAGGCCGGCACATACCATCGAGTAAATGGCATGCGTAATGGCGCATCGAATGTTGTCGCGTCGACCACGAAGGATGCTAATCGGGAGCGTCACGAACAGCAGGCTAAGCTTGAGGCAGAGCACCGCTTGCGGGAGCACCAAGCTAGAGCAGCTGAAGAAGCTCGCATCGCGGAGCAGTATCGAATCGCCCATGCCGCCGCCCTCCAGCGTGAGAAGGACGATAAGCGAAGGGAGGAGCTCTGCAAGGATCCTAGCGCAAACTTTCGCCACATCCTTGAGGTCTACAAGCTGATGCCGCTCAAGAAGGGCGAATTACCCAACAGATACCTGACTGGGTTGATCGCGAATCGACAGATGCCGATGGATCTTGATTGCGACCTTGCGCTCGCCATTACATTTGCAAAAGATCATTGGGAACACTACGGACAGTGGCCCAAAGATATAACGCGGTTCGTAGGCTATGAGCGGGAGAGGAGGGCTAAGGCTAAAGAGCAGGCTTAGAAGACCGCCCAAAGATGGCATCATGTCGACTTTCCAGCGCGCACAGCTGACCAAGAAGTTCAAGGATATCAAGAGGCAACACCCACTGGCATCAACCCAGGCGATATTCCGCTACAGGATATTGAGCTAGAGTTGCTCCGGGCAATGCTACATGCGGGTTTCATAACACTGTTCAACGGTCCAAGTAGAACATCATCGGATATCCGTTTTGTTAGAGCTAAGTAACGTATTGGATGTGGACTCGGTTGAGAAGACAGGCAGACGCAGGTATCACCATGCACGGCTTTGGTTTGGCTACATTGTACCCTACACATATTCGTCGTGTTCATCGTTTGCAAGGCAGGGTTGCAGCAGGCATTGTACATCTTTAGATTACATTAAGACAAGTATGTTCACTTAGAAGTATTTGTCCAACATTACGTGTGTAAATTCTTCCCATTACTGAAGGGATGAATATAGCTCGATATACCGCTGCCACCAGCTCTAGTGGGGCTGATGATTGGGACTATTGTATTGCTGATGAGTCGCGGTGATCTTGCATCTTCTCTGCTCGACAAGGCTGTTCCGGTATATCGGGCTGTGAAGTGTATCTCGACGCTGTCATCGTCCATTCTTGCGATGTTAGTAACTGCGGACTAGCGAGCTGACGCAGTGGATCTCGCTCTTTTCCCTTCTGGTGTGGGTTCTTCGACTTCTTTGGTGGTGCATCTTGGGCTTCTTTCATGCTTGCTACCGCTGGCGGGCTGTTCCACTGGTCAACATTAGCCAAAGGTAATCCCTCCAGAGGCTTCTCTACTTCTACCATCAGACCTATCAGTCCATTGATGCTTCAAGATTTCTGCATGTCGAAATGTCGATGTCGGTTCGTATATTCGGCGATGTTTCGAAAGTTTATAGCCTTTACACCCTGTCGTTTAGACCACCGAACCAAGTCTCTTAGATGTATAGGCACGCCTTTCGGGATGATGGTGCCAAGTACATCTCGTAACTAAGCGTTTGACATTCTTATTAGTCGCTAAGAGTCCAGGTCAACGAGCCAACTCAGCCGTGCTCTGAGAATCTTGATGAGCCACTGCCTCAAAGTGTAGTGGTCAGTCATCCCATGCGGCGCGTCAGGGATCAACCTACCATGCAATAGCTCTGTAGCCATGGCAAGTTCGCTCATATCCCCATGTTCAGGAGCGCACAGCTTGTTAAGGTCAAGGCAAGGTTAGTCGTTCCCGGTACATGGAGGAATAATGTTGATTCTGGAAGGCGGAAGTGAAGGGAGACTTAGCACACATCGAAGCTCGCGAGTCAACGGATCCTGTGTACAGTCACTACCTGATGGTTGAGGACGCTTCATTTCTCTCAGGTCGTGGATCTACGCTCGTCTTTATGATTTGGCAGAGATCCAGTTCCACGTTTGGTTCATACAATCAGCCGAGGTTGAAGGCCGGGGCCAAAGCGAACATTTTCTATGTGGTAAGAGTCGTAAGGTATATGTTCAAATAGGAACATTCTACCAATGGAAAATGCTACGCCATGAACCCACCCGTAAGACCCTCAAGACCGTGCTGCGAAGGCAGTGCTAACCTAGGCGTGTGAAAGTAAACTCACTGAAAACGGTTGGGTACCTTGACTTTCCAGTGAACTGAATCATGATGAAGGGCCTCCAAGATTACTGCTCTGGCACTCTCCTTGTCGTTCTCTAATTTCGGCTGATTCTCGATATCCGAGTTGTAGCTTGAGTATATAGGGAAACCGATTGGGGCAATTTGGTTTCGATTAGATCACAGGGTCTGTCTAGTTCGCCCTCCTTTTCATATTACTAGTTCAGCGTGTCGACTCCAGACAAGGCAATCACTTGTTTGAAATATTCACTCACGGCAAATAAAGAAGTGACTAATACAGCTAGTAGCATATTAGCGTACCACACATACTGTGCGCTTTCCTTCGACTGAGATTCCTCGAAATAATATCGGACTTTCGCCGCCATCGTGCTCACCAACAACACTTCGAAGACAGGCGCAATGTCCAACTATACCAGCCAATCAGTGCCAGCAAGCGCAGTCAAACTAAGCGGCCCTCTTAAGAGACGCCGTTCGAAAGAGCTACCGCAGTCTGAGCGATCTGTTTCTCGCCATGGCGCCGATCAATCGAATGGACAAGGCTCCCTAGTATCGAAGCGAGACGAAAAGCGACGCTCGAGCGACACCACCGAAAACTATCAAGAAAGAAGAGCGCGTGGAGATAAGCGCCAGCGCGTTTCTGGTGTATTCAATCCTATTCACGGCAACGAAATACATCGCTCGTCCGACCAGCAAGAAGCGCGACAGCAACCGGCGCAAACCGCGGAGCCTCTCAGAATAGACCCTGTCTTATCCGAAGAACGTCGACTAAATGCAGGCATTGTTACCTTACCACTAGTGATCTTTGGTGTTGCATCACTTCGACTAGCGGCCTTCCGGTTGTTGAAGCTCGGTGTACATCTGGCACCAGCGCAAAACCCTCTCGTGTCTCAGGATGCTATAGTCCAGTCACCTCCGCCCTTTGCTTCATACAAATCCTTGGTGGGCGGCTTCGATAGCCTATCCGCCGGCAACGAGAGTTTCCGACAGAAATTCGTAGACACTAAAGAGGCACTTTTCGGGGTGTCTACTGTAGGAACCACAAAGCAAGCTCCTATAGCGCAAGGTCCACGCCGCAAGAAAGCTTTTGAGGTATGGAAAGACGTACAACAGTCGTTGAAGCCAAAGGACTGCAAGTTCGCAGCGCTCGATCCGCTACGTGACGTAACCAACATGCAGGAACGCGAGGTGGCGTCGAGACAAATACCATCGGAGACCGGTCAGGAGCCAGTTGTTGCATCGAGAAGACCACGGAGGAGGATGCGCATGGAAGCGGGCGAACACCACCATCCCAACCTCAAAGCATTCAAATTTCCGCAGGGCGCTGCGTCCGGTGAGCAAATGATCAAAAAAGTGGCGGAAAGTGGGGAGAAGGCATCTGCCGCTGAAGCACCCCAACAGTCTCAACACGTCGAAGAGCCATTACCTGAGTTAGCTAGGCCACCGAAGCGAAAAGCTAATCATGATCTTCGAGAGTGTGTTTCGAAGAAGCTAAAGACGCCAGGAGATCAGCCTTTGTATTTCGTACGTAATGGCGAGAGCCAAACTGCTCCAGTTCAGGACTTCACTTCTGACCGTTTCGCCAAGTACGCAAATCCGTTACTTTCGAAAACTTTGAAGCATATTATCCATGAAGCAACGCCGGATCAAAAAGACCCAGCGGTCTGCGAAGGTGTATCTAATCTGATCGAAGCGCAGCAGGTACCACTGGCTGTATTAGAACCTACATTCAACGATAAGTCTTCTCCCATTGTGAACGAGGAAATCCGGCCCAAACCATCCCCGGAACCGGAACACGATAAGATGGTATCCAGTTGTGCGAGGCTGGCGTCTCCAGAGCCGAATGCTATATTCAATGAGCTATCGCAAGACCAGGAATCTTCTGCACGCAATGGAACAGCAGTTTGGGAGTTCACTACTCACAGAACGCCATCGCCAGCTGTTGAAGCTGTCACCAAACCTGAAGTTGTATCGATAGTCGTACCTACAGTTCCATCCTGGATCGCCGAGAGTTCACGATACGACATCGCAATGAACACAGCCTACAGCGAAGGTTACAATCCCGAATACCCGCAGCACTACGAGGGCTACATTGCCCAATTTACCGCTCGGCCTGCAGCTTCTCGACCAAAAGAGTATGAGTATCGCCCAATGCCAGATATGTTGGATGTCGAGATACTAAACCAGCGGCTGAACTGAGTGGTTCCAGAGGTTGGAGAAGCTCCTCGTCTGTTCAGGGAACTGCCGGTACCACCACCCCATATTGACTCAGAATTGACACGTTGTGTTCGTTTCGCCCAGTCAGACTCGCAAAAGCGTGTTGATTGGCGAGCTCACCCCAGCCATGTTGCTGAGATTATACAACGTACAAACTTCTACGGGATGGAGTTGTTGATTAGCCGGGCATATATGCGCATATCGTCTCCTCCAACGAAAGATGAGTTCGAGCTGGCTATGGCAACTCGACTTGCGCATGCGTCTTTTGGCAAAGATCCCGTCACTTATATCGCGGCCGATGTACCAGCCCTGTCGGATTATTTGGTCGAAAATCCTCCATCAGTAAAGTGCCTTGTCTCGAACAGAGACAAAGACCACTTCAGCGATTTCACCCAGTTTTATCGTATGGAGCTTGCCGAGAAATACCCACCGTTGAGTGTCATAGGCTTACCGACATGGCAATTACTGTTGGACGGTGAGCGAGGACAACTCTCACTCAAGGCACAAAGCCTACAACATATTATCGATTCCATTAGAGAACAAGCCACCAAGGTCCCGGGCGATGGAAGGCGAGCACAGCCTTTGGAGAATGGGCTACGCCATGGGAATGCTGATCTGAGAAACGAGGATCCTACAAGCTACCATCCATGTCCTCATCTAATCCATAATCTGAATGATGGCAACCTTGACGGTGGTTTTGGCTGGAACATCGGCCAGTTCAACGTCGATTCTCTAAACGGAGACTGCATCCGAGCTTGGGAGGATATCAGCGCAAGTCTGGCTTTCCAATGTGATAATGAGAAGGTTGCTGAAAGGTTTCCCGATCCCGTTAACCATGGTGCGTGTGAAGGATCCCTTGAAACGATCGCTGACCTTTACTCGTGGGATGAGTTTTGGATTAATCAGGATGTATCTGCACCATGGGATTTTGAGCAAGACGAAAGCATGCTAGAATTTGACGTCATTGCATCAAAGGTTCCCGCTGTATAGCAATATTTCGGTCAAAACACTGGAAATCCGGTTGGCAGCGACGCTGAGACAGACGAGTAGCTATGAACGTACGCTATTCGGGACTCTCCAACGAAGAGTCTAAACACGCACCATCAAACTTTGACCCCTATACAACTATTGGTGGTGATAGCTTCCATTTCGGAGTATCGGTTCGCGTGTGTGGCGTTTGCATTGCAGAAGTTGTGAGTGGCTCGTATTCGCTAGCGTAGAAGACAGCTGAATGGGAATGCCACAACAGAAGCAACACAAACATGTGCAGCAACTGCATATACACAAATGGAAATTACGGCGAAATATCCACAGACTACGGTTATCAAATCCTCGATTTCAGATGGCTACCAACGGTCATTCTTATGTGTTGTAGTATCAGAATTCGGGACCATGACACGCCGACCATGGGTGGACTTCGTCGGCTGCAGCAGTCTTGCAGAGTCATAGGAGGGAAACGAACCAGCATCTGCGGGAAAGAAAACTGTCGGTTCTAGGAAGGGCTGAGTAAAGTTCTGATATCACATTATCAGATATATCTCGTCCGACTCTGCTTTCCACTTGCTTTTCCTCCGAGTACACCTTTGAGGAGGATTCACCACGCCTCTACTACAGTAGATCAGGAATGAAGCGGAAGGAAGAAAGTACCTCAAAGAAGAATCCAGTTGGTCGTCCACGCAAAGACGGTAGGCCGCCAGGCTCAGTACCCAAAAAGCCCAAGGTCGTCAAAGCGTACGGGGTAGCACTCGAATTAGCCGTGTTGGGGGATGCCGTACAGGTTCAGAAACGACCTCGCGGTCGCCCGCGCAAGGACGGTACCATGCCGGGCTCTAAGCGGGTTTGCGAGGCGTCGGCGTCGGCATCAGCGCCAGTAGCAACCGGTCCAACACCTGAGTCGTCGCCATTATCATCTCCATTATCATCACCATTGTCATCGCCATCACGCCATACTCCTTCTCTATTGGGTGTCGATCCAAGCCACAGACCCAAAGTAGGGCTTTTCATCCATCCTGCGATCGAAGGTCTTTACAATAAACGTATTCTCGTTTCTTCTTCGAACTCGGAGACTCTGTTTGATGATGACACAGACGAAGGAAATACAGAAGCTGATGATCTGGATGTGGATGAGACTAGACTTGGAGGTCCTGAAAGAGTACTAAGGAGGTTTAGACTGGACTGTCAGAGGAAAAGATTTGTCGCAAAGTACTCAGGGATGTGGGCGTCCGACCGTGAACGCACGAAAATTCGAGGAGATTGGGATTGTGGAATGTTTCCGGGGTTGGAAGGCGAAGATGATCTACTATTGGAGGAAGAAGAAACAGCACACTCGGAAGAGGAAAGACGAGAGGCATCACGCCAACGCCAGAAGAGAGTGTGCAAGGCTAATGGCTGTTACGACCAGGGTTGCCGAATCGATCATGTGAGAAGAGGTAACGTGGAGTATTTCCTTCAAGGTCTTGACGAACGTACAAGTCAGCTGAACGAACCTGTGGAGGAGGAGGCGGCGGCACCAGTGGAAGGTTCGACAACAGCGGAAGGCGTAAAGCGATCCGCGTATGTAAGGGAAACAGGACTGAGCTTTGAGAGCCAATTTGAGTCACTATTGTCTGGTATCATCGAAGAAAATGGGAGAGACTAGACACAGTTTTCTGGCGGATAGGTGGTTGCGGGAGGCTTTTATCTAGTTCTATGGCTTAGCTTCAGTACTCAAGGGAGCCTAAAGGGTTGTCCAAATCAAAGGTCTACAAATCAATCGCATGTGTAGCTAGAGGAACAAAATGATCAAGAGTTCAAACGTTCACAGCAGACGGGTTCCATTGTGCAACCGTATAAGCAGGATTAAGGTAATATCTGTTTTAATGCCGAAGTCGATTTTCGATGTGACGCATGTGATGCGAGGCGCAAGTCTGATTTCGACGCATAGGGCGACCACGGACACTACGTAGTTCCGCGCGACGCGTCGAAATCGCAAGGGTAGTTGCAACAGCTATAAGAGATAGCCGTCCTCGACAAAGCGTTGCGTTGAGAAGCGAATATAGACGAACTCTAGGGAGTATAGACTAGACTTGATCTGTCGTGTCAATTTAAAACGTTAGACAACTCAAACGAACCTAGGAAGGCGAGTAGCAAAATTCGCCACAGCTATCTGTGGACACGCGAATGTACGCTCACTACCGCCCACATGTCCCTCCTGATTCGCCTTCATCCTGGATGACTAGCATCTTCACCTGAGCATTGGCGATACGATGTTAGGTACCCACCGCCACAGTTGCTAAGCTTTGCCTTCTTCGTGCTTGCTAGTGAGACCACGGCCGCTGCGTGTATCTGGATATGCACTGATCAAGGTACTCTGACACTCACAACAGAAGTAGAAGGCGAGAACATCATTCTCATTTTTATTATTCCAAGTATATGCCTACTCGCCGATTCATTGCGCAAAATTGCAAGGATACTTAAACCATTCATAGGAAGATCCATGCTCCTGACGACCAAAGTGCAGAATGCAGGCTTTCCCTCAACATGACCAGCCGCTAGTCATTTCACATACCCTCCGTAATCACCTCCTCGCTGACCCATCCAATCTCATGCCTATGCGCAGTAATGCACTCAAGGAAGTAGTCATATTCCGTCCAGAGGCTGCCAAACATAGCAAATTGCTGCTTGGCCCAGCGGATGTTCTCCGCCCAGTCACTTGTGTCCTTTGGGTGAGGCTGACTTAGCAGGTGGAGCTCGCGGAACGGGGCATGGCGGCGGGGACCGTCAAAGCGGGCGTAGTCGTAAGCAGATGCGTACATTGCTGCCATCGAAGTGTGTGGGGGAGAGGAGTAGAGATAGATACTGTAGTCATCGATTCTGAGGCGATCATCGGAGAGGATATGAGGAATGAGATGGATGGGTTCACGGTTGAGATACTCTCGGGCGGCATCCATGACGTCCGGAGCGACATCGGTGGTCATGTATGAGGGCACCTCTCGCTCTGGCTTGGCTTTCTGAGGTGACGGTCCGATACTGACTTAGTGTCAGCGCAATGTCTTACAGCTGCAGACGGCGGGATATGTCATGGAAGTCGGCAGAAGGGTCCAAGTAAGGGACTCACCTAGGAACTTTGAGCTTCAAGGGGCGTCGCTCAGGTACGAAAGCAGCTTTGATGTTGAATCTAGCCTTACGCGCTGCAAGGCGACTGCGCGCTGTACGGACGGGTGAAACAGCCTCTTCAACGTCACTCGCATCATCCCCGGGAACTTCGTCATCAGGCTCTGACTCATCTTCTACGAAATCGTCATCTTCGGCGGATGATTTGGGAGTGGGCGGTAGACAGGACAGCTTCCGCTTCTTGGCGGGAGTGCTATAGGGCGAGTTGGAGTAGTCAATGTCCTAGAACCTGTGTCAACAACATCTTCAGACACCACTGTCATTGGGGGAGTCATAAGCATACCGCGATATCTACTTCAGGCTCTTCAGTGAAGTTGATCTGCTTGCCGACAAGCCTGCCGCTCCTCCTCTTATTGCCATCCAGCACCTTCCCCAGACCCTCTGCAGTACGCTTCAGTGGTGTCGCTGACCTTGACATAGCAACCGAATCGATGCCGGGAACGAAGCTTCTCTTACTGTTGCGCGGAGTTCTAACCTTACTGTTGTGAGCCTGACCCTTACCAGGTATGGACTTGGCGGGTGAAAAAACGTAGTTGTTGTGACGAGCGAACACTTGTCTATCGTGGTGAGCGTGAGTGACGGTGAGCGGACCGCCGAGGTGAATGATGAGACGCTGAAAGTCAGTGGGGAAGAGCCACGCTTCTTCTTCGTGCTCGATGGCGTATCGTATACAGCGGGTAAGGTCAAGTGCGTCATCACCAGATGGATGTTCCTTCACGTGTAACGCAAGAGCCTTGAAGTCCAGCGGCGCACAATCCTGGTTGACCTTGGTTTTCTCAGGTGTAGCAGTCATGACAACTTTAGGGTGGGTACGGTTCGGTGTACGGAACCCCGTTACGCTAAGGTCGTCTTCAGGTCTCGGGATCTCGCGCTCGTACCCCAAGTGCGCACCAAAAGTCCAGTTTTTATAGCCCGCGCGTCGCATGGCGTACTGGATCATGACCATAGCGGAGTTCGGCTTGAATTCTTGACCTAATGGCTGATCTCTAAACTCGTTGATCATAGCGGCGAGGTGGCCAGCCTTCGCGCCGTGTGAAACAAAGCGGTCGACAACATCGATGGACTTCAGCCAATGCGGAAGGTAGGCCAAAACCTCAGCTGCGGTCAGGTTGCCGTTGGGAAAGGGGACGTTCCAGCTTGGGCTGTTCATGCCGAAGGCATTGTTTTTGGCAATGGAGGCCATGTCGGCTGCTTTGATAGTCACTATGAGATTCGCTGATCGTGTTTAGAAGACGGTGCGACATACCTTGGGTGAACAGGAGCTGTGGGGGGTGGTTGGAAGTGTGAAGGATGCTTTACTCAAAAGTGGACGCGTGGTAGTGTCAGCCAAAAGTCAAAATGCAGACTGATCGTCGCTGTTCCTCTGGCTGTCCACCTGGGATGGGCTCAAGAGCTGGGAACTCAGAATCGTCAAATACTGTTATAAGATGCCCAAAAGTCGGTAATCCAGAGAAGCGGGGTGCAGCCGAGTTGAGCGAAAGTTGCTCCAAAGGACGCTCGGACCGGGCGGAGTGGCCGTTTTGTTGATGCTGTGACGACCATAACAGAAGTACGAGGTACGCTCCAGCTACCACGTGTACATTCCCATCACCATAACCACGAGGACCAGTCCTTACGAATGCGCCGTCGATGTGTTCATGATCATGGATCCTCCGCCGTTGTCAAACACACTGTCCGGACACCCTTTGGTTGCGCCACCGCATTTTGGGCATCTCTCTTCCCCTACAACAAGAATTCTCCCTCAACACGTCGGCAGTTCAGTGACATCGGCGGCAGAGCCACCTGAGACCGTGCCACAGCCGGAAGAAAAACCGCGTAACGAACACCATGGCAACGATTTTGGCCCAAGAGCGCCTTCGAAACACCTCCACTTTCCAACGCACGCGAACGTTACGGCCGTTGAGCCTCTGGCATATCTTCCGAACAGCGTACACTGTGCCGACGTCGTGTACCGCCTGATCACGAATGGTGCATTGCCGCATCTGCTGTGGACGATAGTAAATACACACAGAGATATGCTGGTAGAATGGAGCCAGAACAAGTACCGTCAAGGCATCTATGAAGCCATGCATAAAGCTGGGTATTAAAACTGGCGGTTCAATGCACATGAAACCTTACATGAAGGGAAGAAGTCGACCTGGGACGAGAGCAACCTGTATGTTACAGTGTTTTCAACATCCAGGCGAGATAGTGTGAAGTTGACGCCTGTGGGTAACATACCATTCAAGAACCTAGCTGTAGAGTTGAGACGCGAACTGTAGGGAGACGGCGCGCTGGATCTGACTCGCATGGTAGGATACTGTATGCAAAGCCCACACGAGCCCTGGTTTTACCCTCGCAACTACAGTGAAGTGTTGCGGGTTGTAGGCGGTGCAGCTCCCGTGCGGCGAGAACATAGCGATCGTGAGGCCTTCAAACCATGGACTGGGGTAAGTCCTCCACCACCATTGAGCGCTTCAACAAATGCCCTACTTGCAGCGGACAATAGAGACACAGAGTTTGAAAGGAAAGGATCGAGCGGTATTGTAGGAGACAAATCAGCGCTGGAAAGATAGAAGAGAACAGACACACTATCATTGGTGGCTCCGTCCACTTACGGAATGCCAATACCAGTGACACAGCAGGAGAGCAGAAAGCCCAGAGGCAGGCCAATGAGAACGATCAGAGTTGAAGAAGAGCCAGAATTTGAACAAATTGCCGGAAAGAACGAGAATGTGATGAACCAGGCTAGCCAACACCTTCTGGCAACAGCGTACGTCGCACCTCCGAAAGACGCGATTATGCCTTGGACGGCAGTAACTAAAGCGGACGATGGAGCAATTGATTTAGCGTCCGCTAGCAGAGGTCAAGTAGGTGAGATTGATCCGTACAGGGCTTACGCCTTCGATGGCCCTTGCCACGCGCCACTATACCGACGGCTATACTGCATCGATCTTCAAGACTCAGCAGATGTAAGCAAATGGGCAGAACATCTGCGATGGGCGTTTGCGCAAAACACGCTCTTCCACTACCCATGTCGCCCTGATGCTTGGGACGAGAGTGCAAAACACAAGGAACGCATGGTGCAGATTCGAAGTGACCAGAACTGGATATTGGAGGGATTTCTGGAGGAATAGCCGGGCGGACTGTGAGGTTGTAGAAGTCGGAAGTGCTTCTACACTGACGGTTTAGTATGGCCTACAGGATGGAAAAAGTGTTGTGCCATGGCGACACATTCTGCCAACAGACAGCAGCGAACAGGCGCCAGGAAGTAGCGTCACCAGTCCGGAGCTCATCGTATTCCAGTAAAGCCTAACTGAAAGGCGATTCGCGTGATATTGAAGATGGTCGTCTAAAGGGTTGAATGCTAACGATGCTGTGAGTGTTGGCAGGAAGAAGAGGTGAGGTGCCATTGCCCCACAAACCTCAGGCTGGGCGTTTCGGGCATGCACGGACTAGCCTCGATCGTTGTTCCGACCGAAACGAACATCGAACACCTTCCAAACTTCCTCGCTCCATTGCAACAACCATCGCCCTTGTAATCACTTGTTTCACGAGCAAATGGCCTGTATGCAACGCTGCACGAGGCCACAGTGGATCGGAGGCTGAAGTTCCCGACGCGCTGATCGTCGCAGAAGATGATTTACAGACGATGACAGGCTGTAGGTTGCGAAACAGCGGAAGCTTTTCGAACAAGTACATGATTTGCAAAAATGTATTTAGATGCGACAAGCCCTCTCGCGGTTCGCCTTTCAAAGCTCTTGCTCTACTCAAACCCGCAGAAAATACCATACCAGATTCAAGAGCCGGTCTCACCTAATACACTCCTTACGAACCGACACGAACGTACTCGACGACCTCATCCAAATACCAGTCCGGCCGCCTTAGACCTACAAAATCTTCGCAAAGCTTACATACCGAACCATGCGTTACTCTACCATCATCAGCGTCGTGGTCGCTTACGCCCCAGCAGCACTGGCACAAAGCTCTTCAGCTACCATTACATCAATGGTCCCGATGATGTCTCCTTCGGCGCCTCCAGTTACAATGGCCTGGAATAACGAGCCCAGCTCCACCGACAAAGCAGCTCTCACGTCCAAAGCTTCGTCCATGAACTCCGCCATGCAGTCAGCAATATCTTCTGCATCCATGTCGATGGGGATGGGGATGGAAAGTGGCATGACCATGTCTGACGGTATGGTCATGGCAACAGGCAGTGCTCAGGCAGCTATGGGTAACTTCACCGGCAGCGCGGGGAGAATCGAGGTCGGTGGTGGTGTGGCGATGATGGCGGCCCTCTTGGCTATGCTTTGAACGGACCGCATACATATCCAAGGTTTGCTGAAGCGCACTATAAAGTTTCGGACATGCTATGATAACCTTTTTATATCTCTCTTCAACTGGTATTCATCTGTGAGAACTCAGTCTTCCTGTCAGATCCTTCACATATTTTCACAAACATTTCTTGTACGACTAGACCTAATATTACTTGACCGTATATCATACTGTCCATACCGACTGCTCAGTGTCCATGCAGAGTGAAATCTACCTGCTTCGGAGCCTGCATGTGCCTTGTTGCTGTGGTGATAGCTGGATATGCAAGGTCACATCAAAACCATTCACTCTCGCGAATTTCATTGCAGCCACTCGTCAGTCACGTTTGATTTGTGGCCTATAGCTAATGCCGATATGTAATACCCGAGCTTCTACGTTATCAGACCGTCATTTGCGCTGCTCACCATCATACACCTATTACTAGATTCCTTGCAACTCCCACAGAGGAGTCGACCATAATCGTTTGCCTAGCCATATTCAAAGTTTTCCTCTCCACTCATCAGATCACATGGATACCGCACCAACTACTTGGCAGGCTTGCCGACACCATTCTCTTTCTATCAGTATCTGCATCGCGATAAACGTATCCGTATCAGCAAGCTGTCCAACGCCTGAGCAGACGCAAGGTGAGCGTTCCTAGAGCCCATGTCCCATGTCCCATGTCCCCACTGGCTCGAAAGAACTGTGTGGAACTAGACAGCGCCACCACTACTCTGTCTACCGCCAGAGGTACACAACCGGGCCTATGAGTACATGTTTACCTGTCAGTGCATCGAATTTCCCAACGCAAGCGAGGGTCCTCTGTGGATTACAGCGCCGTATCCTGATCGCGAATACTAGCTTTTGTAGATAGAAAGAATATATTCTACGACCAACATTTGTCGACAGATACATGCGGAAACGGCGCTCTCGTTGAGTCCGCTTGTCATCGACCTTGATATCGACGCGCACGTCGAAGCCTTCATATTTGGCACTGTGGCTGCATGCTTCAGAAACCTGTGGATACCAACACACATGCGAATAAGATCATTCGCGATATCATCTTAGATGTCGACTTGAGTGCATTGCCGATATTCATAAACCTAGAGGAGATACTGATCATAGATGAAAGAAGCGAACTAGATTTGAAGGAGACTTATGAGCTGGCGAGGCAGATAGCGACATGCACTGTAGAGAAGGTCGCAGTTCGTTTTCTCGAACGAAGTAGCCGAGAGGAAACTTGGTCAGAGGGAGGTTGAGGCGAACGATGAACGTTGATGAAGTTTTGCAGGCGGCAGTTGTTTCCGTCATTGCCCGCCTACTTCTTTACAGCTTTGTTGCTGTTCCAGGTCGAAAAGCTATGATTACTGGCGTTGAGCCGCTTGCATTGACAGGAGAAATCGCGATACGCGAATCCGCACCTGCAATGATTTGTCGCGCTAGGATTCCGCTAGCAATTCACACGTGACAATTTCGCCCACCCTGTCAAAGCTCCGTATCTTCGTAACGAAACATGTGACGCACGTATAAGAACTCAATAGCTGTATTCTTTCGTCAATGAAACCAGGCTATGATGTGAGCATGGCGATGTCCTGCGGGGTCATCCATCATCCGGTATGACGTCACGCCAGCACCCTGCTCCAGGGCCGCCTGTAGAGCTCTTTGTTGCTTTGCTACAACCAAGCACCAAAATCTCGATCCTACTTGCACTGTTGTTCTATTCCCCATAAGCATCACAGAATTAGTCATCACCATACCAACACCCAAATCCCCCAAAAGAGTCTGAATTAGGTCGCACCTACAACATGACGACAACAGACCAGAAGTCGCTCCTAGACCGCGTCTTTGCCGCAAAGACCACAGAAGAATCCCGCGAACTATATGACGAATGGGCAAAGACGTACGACTCAGACATGACGCTCCACGACTTCACCGCCCCACGCCTCGTCGCCCAAGCCGTAGCCCGAGGTCTGAAGCTGAACCACATCTCACCAGATAAGCCTCTTGATGGTCTCAAGATTGTGGATGCAGGATGTGGTACTGGCCTTGTTGGCATCGAACTCTCCAAACTTGGTGCTACGGATATCTTGGGCGTCGACATCAGCGAAGGGATGCTAGCCGTTGCTAAGAACACCGCAGTATACGGTGACTTGACGACCGCAGATTTGACGAAAAAATTAGAGTTTGAGGATGGAAAATTCGATGCACTAACGTGCTGTGGCACGTTCACACATGGCCATCTAGGGCCGGAGTCGTTGGAGGAATTCGTGAGGGTTGTCAAGGATGGCGGGGTTGTGGTCGCGACCGTTCTCGATAGCTTCTGGGTAGAGAAGGGGTTTGAGAAGGAAGTCCAGAGGCTGGAGAAGGAGGAGAAGATCGAGGTCGTAGAAAAGGACATACACGACTATCGGAAAGATGCTGGAGGTGGGCACGTGCTAATTCTACGGAAGCTGTGAGCGATACCCCAGACATATAAGAACAAATGACGAAATATGAGCGTTTCAATCTTGCGGAAATTTGCTGAGCGCTAAACGGAGAACTGAGATTTCGAAGATCAGCAGCTTCGTCTCCGCGTGGTATTGACGACATACCAATCTAGACTGGAGAAGCACGAAAAGTGGTTGGGAAGGAGGAGAGGTATCTGTTTCCTCGACAGTATAAGAAGCCGTATCGCGAGATTCTTGTGCCACCTTAAGCCTCATCGAGCGGAATTCGATGCACTCCACGCGGAAGCCGTAGTCATAAACCTTGTTGCGAAATTCTGCAGGAAGACGTGATAGCGGTGATTCAGTCTGGGTGAGTAACGTGCTACATCACGTTTAGTTCCATTTGATGCAAATCTACAGATATGCTTGGAGCTTACATGGCGTCCATACCGTCAAGAGGCGATTTCGAGGGCAATGATCAAGGCGAAATCATTCAGCGTATAGCTTTGTTGCTAAATATCTTGCAGATGCGCGTGATGGTGCTTGTTCTTCTCGATGGTGATTTTGATAGTCAGAGGGGCTGTTGTTCCAGATGTCTAGTAGGCACCGCATGCACCGCTTGCCCTTTCTGAGCCTAGTGCGCCTGCCCGTGCTGTCTCACTCGGTCTATTGTACAATAATCTTACAAAGTAAAGCATACATCAGTCCACCACAACCATCCCTCGAAGATAGCCAGCATACCCAAATGGCGTCGGGTGCGCAAACTGTGATATAGCGAGCCCAAGCCCCAGCCCTGCGCCTGCCACACCCGTCTTTTGAAGTGACGCACTCGTCGTACGCCCATGTTCCACTTCAAGAAAACATTCATTATCCCAGTCATACTCATATCGTTCGGAGTCATCATGTTCTCGGAAATGGTCTGGTACAAATCCACACACATGTGTGAAGAGATCCACCAGGTCTTCGCTCCTTTCCTCCTCGAAGTACAATCGCCCAATAACGATTGGCCACGCCGCTGAGTGTCGAGACTTAAGTATCGAACCGCACGCCAGCCATTCTGACGGGCGAATGTATCTTGCATCGATACCAAGGAGTGGTCCGATGTCAGCCATGCAGAGCCATTGGTCTTTGCGAATTCCCCTGCCTTGCCAGAACGGTATCAAAGCACAGTGGTTGTCCACTGTGCTTACAAGCGTGGTTACTAGGTCTGAAGCCTGAATCCGGATCACTTGTATAGCCTCATGACCTCGGACATAAAGGTCGTACGCCTCTCGAAGTGCCTCGGCTGATGATCGTCAGCGTTACGGTATGCCATGCGATAAGTTGGTATCGATTACCGAAGTCACTAAACACCGATATGAACGGGCTGGCTTGTGTGTCGCCAAGACAAAGGTGTGCTTCTATACATTGCCGGCTCACATGAGCATACGTGAATTCGCATCTGGCTTGAAACAGACACGTGTCGACTGATGATCTTGGTTGGTAGGTTGTTGCATTGAGTTCACTGAAGACGCGATAGAAGCATGGTCCCTCAAAGTCGTTGATCGGATCATTCTGAGGGAAGCCGCTGCTGATTGGTGCGTCAAAATCTAGCCGCATCATCGATCGCTGTGTAGTGGACGTACCTCAACATTGTTCCATTGCACTTCATCTCAGAGATACTACGCCGGCTTTCATCATCCTTTCGCTTTAGCAAAATGCAGTCTCCGAATGTAATGGGGACATTACAAAGTCCGCCGTAGCGCATGGAAGTCATCCGCTCGACTGGTCCGTGATGGCGCAAAGCTCGCGCCACCGTGATGCAGCATTTTCTCTGCGCATCGACCGACCTCTTGACCCTACAGTGCCTGCTTCATTGCGTGCATCAGCCTCACCCCCAAACGAACTCGTATGCTCATGGACTCTGTACAAAGCTTTGTTGTATCTGTTTGCGATTACTTGGGTGAAAGTCCTCTCGATCCGCCACTTCCTAGGTTTGACCACCACGTGTAGGAATTTTCCAGGGCAATATGACAATCTGGACATGTACAGAATATTCAAGCAGTCACCCATGTGGACGACTTTCACCTTGTTCGCGCGTGAACTTTGATGATCTAGAACTGCGCTAGAATCACCAAATGGCCGACAATAGTGAAGGCGCAAACACAAGTCGCTCATAGTCCTACCAGCAATGGAGTGAAGGCGTGCCGTTTATTCTCTTATATACGGCTCCGTTTATTCAGTAGCAGTTTTCCATCACGTAATACAGGAGAACTCAACCAAGCTCACTTAAGTATGAACGACGACCAGTCACACTTGACAGAATACACGCATGAGCCTCGCATACAAGAATCAGAAGAAGCAGCCCTATTACATATGTGGAGAGTCATGGGGTACGGGGACACTCCTGGTCTCCCGAGCTACGAACGTCACCCGGATCACCCCATAGCGACACACATCGAGCCGATCATTCCTACTATTACATTGACTGAGCCTACCCCATCGTCATCACAAGAAGCATCAGCTACACCAAAAGAAACCACGTTACGAGCTATGCCTACCGTAGCCCCTGAGGAGGATGCATGTTCAGCGATCGATCAGCATCCTCAGGAGATGTATCAGTTTCATCCTCCAACGCCAATCAATCATCCCCAGTATTCTAGAGAATCTCTCACACAATCCCTCAATCCAACACATCGTTTTGTTCCTCGAGCAGCCGAAGACTACCAGAATATGCTACAAGCCATGGCGACCGGAAATTTCGATATCCCCGTCTTCGGAACAGCAGGTGCCGCCTTCCAGAACCGGTCGGCGGCTCAAGCTGTCCCTATGACGCCGAGCACTGTGCGTGCCAACGTTTCCCCTGATCTTCATCAATAACGGACTTGGACACAAGTGAGCGACATCCCACCAATTCCCGATATCCCAACGCTACAGTCTAAGAAGCGGAAGCGTGTTCAGACACTGCATGACACTGACAGTCAGGAAGTCGAGAGGGCGCCAAAGAAGCCAACGGGAAGGAAGAAGAAGCAGAAGAAGAAGCCTGTCAAGATTGGAAACCCTGCGTAGAGGTCATTTCGTCACTAGTCAGGGGTCATTAGTCTCATCTGGACGTTGAAATGCGCAGAATACAAGTCATTAAACTATGGGATAGCTTACAAGAAGGAGAAAGACTCTCTGGCGCAATAGTAGCGCATCACACTTGTACTCAAGCGCCGCACATTCTCTGACCGAGATGACGGGCTGGTTTAGCCCTACAAACACATTGATCTCCCATTGGCTTGAATTCACGTAGTTCTACGCCACGATTAGTTGCAGAATTGATATGCACAGCTTACAACTTAGTGATGTTGTTTCCATTATGTCCGTCGCATACGTGGCCACCTCGATCTACTTATGACCATTACAATCCTCATGTTCGGCAGTCACACGATGACGTAACGGTTACCGCTGCACCCATCACATACACATCTCCATCAGACATATAAGTGGTAAAGATAGCAAATACTCAGGGCCTTTCTAGGCGCCATTGAACAAAGCCTAATCCAAATCTGCCGCAAAAATGCCACACCCAAGCCTCGAATACACCACTGTCCAGCCCCCACTAGACACGTACCCCCAAAATGCAACAAGAAACAACGCCAACGGTACCGACACCGACGTGCTTGAACGCATGAAAATCCGTGAAATCTGCGAAGGATGGGGCATGTACCGCGACGCAGCAGAATGGCAGAACTACTCCTCCATGTTCCACCCTGGCGCATACATTACAACATCATGGACCCAAGGCCGTCTTGACGACTTCATCGCCTCGTCCAAAGAAGGATTTGAGAAACAGACACCGCATGGTCCCTTTCCGTATATTCTGCATAGGATCTGTGGGCAGACAATCGACATCCAGGGTGATCGGGCGATTAGTAAGATGAAAGTCACGATTACGTGTCGTATTATGCTTGACGAGATTGAGATGGACAATGAAGCTGATACCCGCTTCTTTTTCTTTCTGTCCAAGAACAAGCAAGGGCAATGGGGTGTGGACTTTATGACACTGCTTTTTGACAAGGATAAGATGGTTCCTGTTGTTCCTGGCAAGGCGTTTGAGATACCAGAGGAAGAGGCGAAAAAGTATCCGAGTGGATATCGCTACCTGGCCTGGGCAGAGAGCAAAGCGGGAAGACCGCCAAAGATAGATCTCAACGCGCACGGACCGGAGAGAGACATCTTGTATGGCAAGTGTAAGACATGGCTGGAGGGAGGGGATGTGAAGCCCAACCTTACAGGACATGATGTTGTGGATTACTAAACTTTGATCGATTGAGTAATGGGTTAGATGGATAAGGGTGCTGAAGAGAACAAAATGGTTTCATGTACAACGCTATATAATATTCATCCTAAACATTCTGCTCGTTGATGAACAGACCGGCCATACCCATACCAGTACCAATGCACATACTGGTGAGCAGCACCTTCTTCTTCTGCCTCCTGCACTCGCTCAAACCAGTGACGATTTGTCGCGCACCAGTGGTTCCAAGCGGGTGACCCAGCGCAATAGCACCTCCCCTTACGTTGAGCTTCTGGTGGTCGATCTTGAGTGTCTCCATACAGTATACGGCCATGGATGCGAAGGCCTCGTTGAGCTCGATCAGATCGATGTCGTCGATAGAGATGTTGAACTTGGAGAGCAGCTTGGGGATGGCGATGGATGGGCCGATACCCATGATCCTTGGTGGGAGACCGGCGACGGTGGCACCGACGTACTTTGCGAGGATGGGCTGGCCAAGCTTCTCGGCGGTGGAGCGCTTCATCAGGAGGATAGCAGCGGCACCGTCTGTGAGTTGTGACGAGTTTCCAGCGTGTGACTTGTCGCCGTGGGGCAGGAAAGCAGGCTTGATCTTTGACAGGCTCTCGAATGTGGTGCCATATCGGATACCCTCATCCTTGGTCAGGGTAACGGTCTTGACCTCGCCAGTCTTGGGGTCCTTGACCTGGGTTGTGATGGGCGCAATCTCATCGTCGAACCAGCCGGCCTTCTGGGCAACCTCGGCTCTCCGGTATGACTCGGCAGCGTACTTGTCCTGGCGCTCGCGCGAGATGTTGAAGTCGTTGCCGACGTTTTCCGATGTCTGGCCCATGGGCTGCATGCAGTCACATGCGTCCTGGTTCTCCAGCACCTCATCCACGAATGGCCTCTCGAGCCTGTCACCACCTGCTGTCATGCTCTCGGCGCCCATGGCCAGTCCAACTTCGATGCTGCCGACGGCGATCTGGTTGGCAATGTCTTGTACGGCCTTGAGTCCCGAAGAGCAGAAGCGGTTCAAGGAGGATCCGGCTGTGGTGTTGGGGAAGCCAGCGGCGAGCATGGAGGCGCGGACATAGTAGGCGGCCTTGGCATCCGAGACGTTGCCGACGCAGATGTCCTCTACTACGGCGGGATCGAGGTTTGCCTTTGCGACGACCTGCTTGAGCAACTTGACCATTATGCCGTCGAGTGTTGTGTCCTTGAGACCGCCCTTGTGGGCCTTGGTGAGGGGAGTACGGATGGCGAGGGTGATGACAACATCGTCGGGGTTCTTGGTGGTGCTATTGATTCCTGTCAGCAATGGACTCTTTCCTTGTCTTCTGTTGCGTCTTCTTCACACGTCGTGTTTCTTCTGGGTCGAGCTTACAGTGCCGCGATGCCGCTCGTCGAGGGCGTCATGTGCGAAACGATGGACTTGAGGCGGTCTGTCATTGTGTTTATGTTTGTGTTTGTGTTTGTGTTTGTGTGAAGATGAATTAGATGGAGGGTTGCAAGAGGCGACGATGAAGTTTAGAGAGATAGGGACAGAATGCGGAGGCGGAGACAGTTCTTAACATAAGTTGTGGGGCACATAACCGCGACACAGCTTCTGGGCCGAGGATCTCGGAGCCACAAAATCGCCAGGTCACGTTCTTCGGCAATGGCCCGCGAGAGAGGCGTCGGACCTTTTCGCGCTCCTTCAACATAGCTTCATCGCAGAAAGTAATCAGCGCATGCTTCGGTAAGATCCAGGCCTCTGACAAGATCCAGGTACCTGTTGTTTACTTATCCACAAGTCTGCTGCATTGCCAATCCCGCCTTCCCCACAATTCGCCGCCGTGCATCTGAGCCTCTTAGCTTTGCGCCTAACCTCCGACCTCATTTCGACTTGGCTGCTGCGAAACGACGTTCCTCATACGTCCACGTGATTTTCTTTGGTCGAGCGCCACTCTTGCACGGGTGCGTGCGAGGATTCAGGCCCTCTATCTCTCATCCACACGGTTAAAGCAACCTTGCAACGCGTTCTGGCCCCATGGTCCTGCTGCTTTTTCTTCGCAAGCCCATGATGTGCAGGAATTCACCGGCCTCCCACATCGCATTGCACACAACACGCATGATATCCCTATTTCTACCTATGATAAGCGTCCTTGTGTTCTATGGGTGAGAGCTAGGGCATGAACAACACAGCCTCCACGGCCAACGACAAGACCCAATATTCGCGAGCTGCGCCGCCGGTTTGGTATGCTGGCAAAGGAAATTTGGCCCCCAAACGCCATCACAACCCGCATACCGCATTCCTATCGTACTGTCATAAGGTAGGGGCGCGCGAGAAGATAGGTCTGGCATTCGTCGCGTTTGAACCTTTCCGACGTTCTTTACTTCCATCGATGATACCATCAAGGTCAACCACCATGCCGTCAGAGGTTTTCAAGTTTCTTTGAACCACACGGGAAGCAAGCAAAATCTAGCCTGATGGACTTACGCCCTTCTCTTATCGAAATCTCACCCAACTCCCCACCAGGCCCAATGAGTCGAGAGATGGCCTAAGGCACACCGCGAAATGCAGGCTACCTGCAAGCGCCCGTAAATAGACCTAATACGTGATTGGAGAGAAACGATGCCACTCGCGAGGCTTGCATGGTTTCACACAACGGAAGCATGGGGGCGGCGGAGCAAGGCTGCGCTTTGACCTCATGCTCCCTATCGTTTCCCAATGCTACAAATGCTCGGCCTGGGTCTCGTCGTGTTCAAAACGGTGCGCAATTCTCTCGCCTCTGCAACATCAGCCATGGCAGCTATGGACCCCTCCTTGACGACCTCCTACATATCGACATCAACGATATCTGCCGCAGGTTCGATGATGACCGCTTTCACCCCACCAGATTATTGTACAAACGTTATCAAGTCGTCATGTACTCTTGCCACGCCTTACAGTTATAGTGGAAGTTCAACTTCTTATGGAGACCCTTTCACAATCTGTGGCTATGTGGAACGCGACCTCACCTGCGGCTCAGATGGACAGGCCACTCGCGCCAGTGCATGTTTCCCAGACGATGCTGATCCCACTGGAACGTTGGTATTCTCACCCGGAATAGGATGTCCTGCTGGATGGAAGACGGAGAGTGAGATTGTCATGTCCAGCAAACGCACGGCAGTGTGCTGTCCATCGTAAGTGCGTCCCACTTGATGTTCTCGACAAAACTAACAACCTCTCTTAGTGGTTATCAAGCGCATACAACTTATACGAGTTGTACCATGACTATCTCTTATACCGATGAGACAACCACTGCCCTGTCTTGCTCCAGTGGTGGAAGTCTAGTGCGCGACGTTCTCACTTGGTCCACATATTCTGGTTCCACCTACACCAGTAGCTCCGCTCCATACAGTATTGTCTGGGCCCAGAGACTCCAGGTTGTCCTCGCCACTGCCTCTGCGGGGGATGTGACCTTTAGTCAATTCAGCGAACCAACATCTACCGATGGCTTTGACGGAGTACCCAATCCACCAACCACCCAGAAAAAACGCAAAACTGGTCTTAGTACGGGTGCTATCGTAGGCATCGTCGTGGGAGTCGTCGGGGCGCTACTCTTGGTCGGCGCATTCGTCTTCTGGCGTCGTCGCCAACGAAAACATCACCATACGCCAATCCCCAAAGCCAGCCCGGCCGGCGAGCATGATGCGTTACCAGAGTTCGTTGGAGGAAATGGCAGGAACACTGCATCTGCACAGATGACGACTACCACTTCAGATGGTTTGTTCCAGCCACAACCGGAGTTGAGGTCTCCACGATGAGATCGCGGCGGTCGATCAGGAGTCTTGCATGTCAGAAAACCTATGCATGAAGCCGCGCTGGTTTTCTGCTCACCCGAAGGCATACGCTTTCGTTACGATGATGATACCCATTTCTATAGTAATGCTCAATACACTTGAATAACTTGGCCTTGCGTAGACCGCACACGATTTCCTTCTCTTCAGAATTTTAGCATGAATCTCGGCGATCTGTTGCGGATAGGCTTCTGCACCAGTTTCACTTGCCCACAATCAGATGTGTTCGAGGCTCGGTGTGACCGAGCCTCGATCCTTCAACCACGTTGGGAAGATATGCGGCTCATCAGGCGGCATGGACACGCGCAACTTGGCCCCCAGGTTATCAATACTAAACCTTCGGACGATTAGCGCGCCTTTAGCGCGTTTCTGGAATCACGTCGTTACGTCAGCGGCACCCTTGTTCTGTCGGCGCGCTTCGCGTCACCGAACCCCAGCCGTCAAGTTGTCAAATTTTGTCTCAAAAGCTTCAATTACGCAAATACCCAGCATGGCTGACACCGTACTTACTGTCATCTGTCTTGCACTTGATGATACACAGGGATCAATACCAGAATGAGAACATGATCGCTGACATCTGCAAAGATGATTTACTACGGACAGCACTTGATCTATTACCAGGACGAACCTAGGGGAACAGTATTTCCATTGACCCTATTTCGACGCGTCTTACTGTGGGACATGGGATCGATTACTCGACTATGATAGCTCGAGGGAATGTTGCCAGGCTGCACTTTCAACATGGGATCATGCCAGGATCTTGACTGCCTCCCTCCTTCGAACGTGCGGTCACCATAATCGACACCACGATCACATATAATCTATGTGAATATCACTACAAACCAAAGGCCTGAAAATCGAACGCGGAACGGCCCTTACTGCGATAAGAGAAGCGATACGGAATGGTCTTGACACACGGAAAGGCCGATGCGGATGGTCTTGAGATGTCTATATTCCACGATAGAGCCGGCGGCAACTTGGCTAGCGAGTGGAATACCAAGAGTGATGCCGAGTTTATCCTTTGTACTATCAGGAAACAAGCAATTGTATCTCTTGATTGCAGCAAACCGGTCTAACTCCAATTCCAATTCGGTCCGCAGTATAACTACAAGAACTGGATCCGTCTTAGGAACATGTGCTGGATCTCGTGTCGCCAAAAGCGTCATGGATGAATACAGTGCCATATCTCCTCATGCCACAGTAAAACGGACTAGCAACTCGACTTGGGACAAGCTTGTGGGAAGCGACTACTATATGATTGAGAGAGCGCACGGTTGTTTCCCTCTAGAAGCCATCATTCAGTTGGATCGAACTCCGACTGTAAGCTCGATATCAGCGAGGACATCTTCTGCAATTTACGGCTTCTGTATATTCGTCTTCTGATAAGTATTCACTGGAGCCTATTGAGGTGGGTGCTACGGACAGGGTACTTATGGAATTCGCTAGCTATTCACTATATCGTGCACCTTTGATGGTTGCAGCCTCTGAGCGCAATTTCACGCTTCTCTTACCTTGTATAGACCCTCTCGCTTGCCAATGTATACGACCTCTACCTCTCCATCACCAAATTCGGCAGATCAACCACCCGGAAAGCTGTTCTTACCCGACTCAAAGTTCCCTTGGCTCAAAGATCGATCACCTTTGGAACGCTGCAACCCACGGGTCTCCTGACCTCCCATCCGCTCCACGTTTCTAACCCTAAAATCGACTACGTAGTATGAGAGTATTCTAGTTGTTTTCAGCATGGAACTCCATGGTGCTTGGGTTTCAGTTGCGCTCATCTTCTATTCCCTACTTCTCTTGGCTCTTTACCAAGTCAACATCGACGTTGAGTCGTGGAGGAAGTGGCAAGGATTCGCTACTCTTGTCACTTACTCGATAATCATCATCGCCCTTGATCGCGTATACGTCGAGGGCAGTGTTTGGAAGTCCACGGTGGCTTGGTGGAAGAGATGGCTGAAGCGTAGGCGAGACAACCCTTGGACGACGGCAAATGCCGGAAAAAAGATCATTTTCAACATGCTGGCCAAATCAATGCCGGAGTCGATCCACCACGTTTCGGACAAAGGATACCAGCTTCTATGTAGCTACAGCTTCAAGGCGAAAACTAGAATACCAACCATTTACGTCCCGGGAGCTCCTCCGATGTTCACCAAGCCAACTGCCCCGGTGGAGCTCAAGCAAGACGAAGGCCGCTATTACATCGATCAACATGTGGCAAAAGTACCCCACTCTCAGTTCGAACCGCTCTTCCAAGCTCTTACCGTAATGAAGCCAAGCAAACGCTTCGATGACGTGGATGTGATCATCGCTCGTGGCTCGATGACCACCCTAATCACTTTCTTGAAGGATGTATCATGCCAGCCATTCGCACTAACTCTACATGTCATTGGCAACACTCTTATCGTGGGTCGACGGTTGCGATCTGGTCAGGCCGGCTCTACCAATGGATCGTATGGCCGTAACTTCGAGGCTGGCTGGACGACGCAAGCAGAGCCCAATCTTCAAGATGCGGAGGGACACCATCACGCGATACAGTACGAGTTTGGCGGTCTCAGCATCGTAACCAGAGCAGAGATTGATGCATATATTCCGGATAGCCCGCTGTCTAAGGATGAGATCAAGAAGATGTTGGCAAAGTCCGCATCCCTTGCTGAGCCAGAAGTCGCCACTACTACCATTCATCACGATAGCTCGGGATCGACCCGTGTCCTCCTAGCTGGAAGACTCATCCCTCATGACAAAGCAATGGAACTAAAGAGCAACAACCAGAGCAAGCCTCTTGATCAGATATGGGTTGGTAGAACCTCGGGCTGGTCTCTTGGCTCGAACAAGGATGGCGTCTTTTCTTCTACTGAGAAGAGGTTCACACCAGAGGATATGAAGAAGAGCTACGAGGACGATGTCAAGCGGCAATCTGGTCTTCGAAAACTTGTGTGGCTATTAAGCGAGCTGAAGAAGACGGTGAAGGAGAACACAAGTGACGGGTCTGCGGTGCTCCTTTGCTTCGGAAAAGGAGAAGAGCTCATCGTACGTCCAATGAACAAGCACGAACCTGCGCTTCCGAAGGCGATTGTACAGTATTTCTGGGGTTCGGCTAGTCAGAGCAGGGTAGAGAACAAGGTCTGACCTGGTTGTTTATTAACTCAGGTCTGTGGAGTACGCGATTACTGACTTTAGAATTATCGGATTCACTATGAGGCAGCAAGTATATCCACTTACACAACAGTCCCTTGCCCCACACCACTAGCGTTACTCACTCAACTCCCCCTCTGCCTTTCGAGCCGACTCGTTGCCCCCAGATAAAGATAGCGTTCTTCCTCCACGCCATTAACAACCAAGTTTGTCAACTCGGATACGATATTTGCCTAACGCAGCCATGAACAGTTCTGTCGGCGTCCCTCAGAGCGGGTCCCAGTCCAGATCGAACAGACAAGCAGCTCGAAAAGCCGCAGACGTCACTCCCAGTAGGGAAAGATTATCCTCAAATAGCGGCACCACCTCCCTCATGAACCCTGGCGAGCGCTCGAGGACCACAGCAAACCGTCCTAACGATAACGGCCAGGATGTCGAGGGTAAATTGCTCAACCCCAGGCAGTATCGGCTGAAAGGCCCATTTGGATGGTCAATCACCCATCAGCTTATATGGATGCATTTGACGGGTGGGCTGCCACCTCGAGTCATACTCGGGAGGCATCTTCGGCCATTGAAGAGTACTGTCAAGCAATAGAGTCTTTATAGATACGAGATGCACCGCGATAGTGGAAGTAGAGGTATATTGCCTTGTAAGACTAGAGACGAACCGCTGTCGAGCCACAACAGCGGTAAGGTAGGCTAATATACTGCGATTGCTTGGCATACCGGCCCGAACGGGCCCGGAGTAACCTGGTGCCTGACATTATTCCCCTTCTTAGACTCGATCGACCCGATCAAGGCACAGTTAGCCTACGCTAGATTGTAGTAGCCCGTAACAGTCCCTACGGGGTCTGCTACGCCTAGTATCAGAGGGGTGATTAGATAGGGCAGGCCCGAGTTCGGGTGCAGTTTTCACCTTCACCTCGACCGATTTGGAATTCTCGAAAAACTCCAGAATATCCATCTTCACCTAGGATTCAGGGTCCAGCTAAGCGAAGGCCCAAGCTTTTGGTATTCCTGGCCGATCTGGACCATCTTTCCTATTCCACTCCCCTCGACCGTCAATTGTGAGTATTTTGCCCCATTCTGGGCAAGAGGAGGAGTAGCGCCAAAGTGGCCCAAAATGGCCCTTCTAGTGCGATATAGGTGGGAATGGAACTAACTGGCCCATAGGCGCCCCTCTTACGCCCCATCGAACCCTATCCGCCTACTTCGCCTCGACTATCCCCATATTAGCCCAGTACGGCTCATTATGGCCGGTTTCTCCAAACCAGCGGCCTCCAACAGCTATCTTCCCGGTGCTGGCACTCAGTCTTCGTTCTGGGTCTGCACCGGCTGCCTCTATTCCTGGGTCGCTGGTGAATTCCTTGCCTCGGTCAATATGGCTGCTGTTTCCCTGTCCTTGGCGACCATAACAGGGGCCGACTTCGAGGACGTCTTCGCAACATCCCCGGTTTGCCTGGTGCCGTCCAGATCCTCGAGTGTGGGCGCTGTTTCCTGATGAATCGCCCCTGTATTGCTGTAAGTGGCCCCTTTTAGCACGTTCTACCCCATTATGGCGCCTTTTTGGCGTAGAAGGGGTCAGCCCGCATTGTTACGGGCCATTCTGACCCTTTCTAGCCTCCTAACAGCTGGTTCGTCGACCTGGCCGCCATTGAGGTTCTGGTCAAGGAGCTTCGCGAAGGTCAAGTTACGATTCCTGGTATTGGTGATGAGGATGAGGTTACTCGAGATCTCACCGAAGATGAGCGCCTACTTCGGGAGGCCAAGATTCAGCGTGAGCTTCAGGGCGTCAAGCGGGTACTTGAGAGGGTAAGTGACCTAGAATGCCCCATTGTGCCCCCCTACCGGGGCACTAGGGTGTCAGTATGCCCTATGATTGCCCATAATGACCCTTTCTAGGGCTTATGTTAACATTTTGCAGCAAGTTGTATGCTCCGGCTAGTCAGCATCTAGAGTTGCATAATGGTCGTTGCCTCAGCACTCATGATCCCAAGTCCGGAATTCGCCTAATGATTCTGGTCAATCCGCCGATTCCAAGGCTGCCAAGCAGCAGGCTATCCAGACCATTCGGAACAAGCGGGTGGCAGAAGCGGTCGATCAGTACGAAAAGACCGGCAGTTCCCAAGAAGCCCGTAAGAGGACCCAGAAGCCCCTTGTGCCCCTTATCGGGAATTGGCTTTATGGCCTATTAGAGCCCGTTATGGCCCGTTGCTAACACCTGCAGGCTCCTGGAAAGCGCATGACCAACACCGCTATCGACATGAAGATTGCTGAGATTACTGCCGTGGTCAGCCGGAAGGAGTCCGAGCATGCCGCCGTTCCTCGCAGCAAGAACTCCAGGTCCATTAAGGCTGCCCTCACTAAGGAGATCAAGGGGCTGGAGAAGGAGATTGAAGATTTCATGGCCCAAAGGCCTAGGATTCGATGCTATGGGCCGTATGGGCCCCCAAGGGCCTCTGGTGGCCTGAATGGGTAGTAGTGCCTCTTGATGACTGAAAACGACTTATGATGGAAACTTTGGGGTCCTTTGGGCCGGAATGGGCCGGATTGGTACCCCATAGGATGGCGTTTTATACCCCTGGGCTATGGCCCTTATGCAGTAATATGAAGCTTGACTTGCATCATCGTTTGACTTGTGAATGTGGAGATATAGAATTGTAGAGCATTAGTTGCCCGCGATCCGGTCAGGTTGGCTAACGGAGACAGATGTCACATTATGTAGCCTAGAAGGGAATACTGGCCCAATCAGCCCGAGGCACCGTTAAACACCTAAAACCCCTCAGGAAGGGAAAAAGGTGAAGGTATGCCCCGTTTGCACCGGAATGGCCCGTTGTGGCTTAACTTATCCCCCTTCTTTAGAGACCGTCCTCGGCCACGCTTCTTAGGCTGTGATTTAGTGGATTTTCTTCTTTGTTGGATTCCTTTGTTTTCCCAGAACTTTTTCAGTGCGTTGCCGGAAACATTTGCTCCTACTTCCCAAGAATTCTCCTCCTCTGAGTAGCCAGCCCATTTGATTAAGTATTCCTACTTATTGTCCTCGTTACGCCTTCTGTCTAGAATTCGCCCTACTTTATACACATCGTCCCTATATTCGCGCAGAGTGTCCTGAGCTGGCACATTAGGGTGTGGAATGGCCCCTTTTGGGTCGTATGGCTCTAAAAGCGACGCATGGAAGACGGGATGAACTTTTTGAAGACCTGGCAGGTCGACCTTGAACGCCGATGGTCCGATTTGGGCTGTAATCGTGCCTGGGCCTAGAAACTTCCAGTCTAGCTTTTTCTTTAGCCTTGTAGAGCGGATATGTCGATTGGAAACTAAACCTGGTCTCCCACCCTAAAAGGGATTAGAGCACGGTGCTTGTTGGCATACTCCTCTTGGTAGGCATTAGCTGCCTTAATCTTTCTGCGGCATTCTTGCTGCAGCTCGATTACCCTTTGGGCGACTTCGGTTGCTATAGGGCTCTCTCCCTTCCCCTAGGGCCATCTCGGGCCAGTCTGCACCACGAGGGTGCCTGCCGTGAGTAAGCCTGGAAGGGTGTGACCCCTGTGGTGGAGTGTACACTGTCATTGTACGCGAACTCTCCTACTGAGATCCACAACGCCTAGTCGTCCTGTTCTAGGGCACAAAAGCACCGAAGATACTGTTCCAGTGTTTGGTTTTGACGCTCCGTTTGCCTATCCGTCTGTGGATAGAAGGCTGACGTCAAAACTCTTTAGCATTGAGATAGTGAAGAAACGTGTCCCAATGTCTAGAGTTCATTAATGGACCCCGACCCGATATAATTCGCTTTGGAACTCCATGTAATCGGATAACCTCGCGTATCCAGCCCTGTGCTAGATCAGAGCCGTCCCAATCGGCTCGTGCTGGCACGTAATGGGCCATCTTGGTCAATCTATCCATGATTACCAGGATAGCATCATAAACTACCCCAGATATTTTGCTGGAGGTAGTTCCATGATAAAGTCCATCGTTACCTCCTCCCAAGGGTAGTTGGGGATTGGGAGAGGATGAAGGAGTCCATATGGACGGTGTCTAGCTGGAGTAGACTTTTTACAAATGAGGCACTCCTTGCAATACTGCTCAACGTCTTTGCGCATGCCCCTCCAAGAGTAGTGTCGCTGCAGCTTTTCTAAGGTGCGTCTCGCTCCAAAGTGGCCTGCCAGCGGGCCATCATGGCACTCCTGGATGGCCTGCGACTTCTGCTCGGCGGTTCTAGGGTATTGTGTTGTCCGCCGGGTGGTTCTGGCCCCTTTGGGCCAGAAGGAGCCTCTTCAGGCTCTGACTCGTCTGAAGTAGCCTCTGAGTCCTCATCCGTCTCCTCCCGTTCCTCCATGTTGCGGGGGTCTGGGACTTGGCGCTGTTCTTCCAGTTGAAACTCCTTTAACGCGTTTGTGAGGACGTCTTGTTCCTCAGAGCGTAAGGCGGAACGTGTCCGCACCGCAGCTACCAGTACTGACTGTTGGTTGCCGTGTTTAAGGAGGTCCTTCATTGGCTGGACAAAAGCTTCGTTGTACTTCTGGGCTGGTTTCTGGGCTTCTGCCATGTAATCAGGCCTTCTTGATGGGCCGTCGGCCGGGTTAGTGGCCCCTGGTCGGTGAACAATGGTGAAATCGAACCCAGACAGTACAAGGTAAGACCTCACCTGTCGGTGGCTGAGAGTCTTCGTCTCCATGAACCATTTTAGGTTCTGGTGGTCTGTGTAGATGTCGAAGTGGATGCCTTCGAGGTATTGGCGCCAATGCTCAAGGCTTTTAACTATAGCCAGTAGCTCTTGGTCATGGGTGCCGTAGTTGTACTCTGCCGTGATGAGCTTGCGCGAAAAGAAGTCGATTGGGCGCCAACGGCCCATTTTGCCCTCTTCTGGGTACCATTAGCTCAAAATGCCAGCGATTGCCCTCCCGAGGCGTCAACTTCTGCCTTCGTTTTCCTGTGGCGCTCAAAGTGAGCTAGGATTAGGATTTCCTTAAAGGAGTTCTTGAGCCTCTGAAAAGCCTCTTTGGCTTCTTTGTCTAAGTCTACTACCTGACTTTCCTCCCTTCGCTGGGCGTGGCCGCCTCTGGCCGCTTCTGGCCCCTTCTGGGTCAGTTTGGTAAGTAGTAGGGCAAGTCGGGAGAAGTTGGCTATAAACCGCCTGTAGTAGTTCATAAAGCCAATGAATACTCGGATTTCGCGCACCGTGCGCGGTTCCGGCCATTCCAGGATTGTCTGAATCCTCTTCTCGTCGACTTCAATCCCTTCTGGCGATACTATGTAGCCCAGGTACTCAGTGCGCTGAGTGTGCCACTCGCACTTTGGAAGCTTCAAGAACAGCTTAGCATCGCGCAGTCGATGCAGGACTTCCTTGACATGCTTCACATGCTCTTCTTCTGTGTTAGAGAAGATGAGGATGTCGTCTAAGTATACAATACAGGTCACATCAACTAATCCTGCAAGGACTTGGTAAATGTAGGCCTGGAACTGCGCAGGAGCGTTCGTGAGGCCGAAGGGCATCACAGTATACTCAAAATGGCCGTACCTTGTACGGAAAGCTGTCTTCCACTCCTCCCCTTCTTGGATTCTTACCCTGTGGTAAGCCTCCTTGACGTCTAACTTAGTGTAGTACTTTGCGCCTGCAAGCCTTTCTAAGGACTCATTAATAAGGGGCAGTGGGTGCCGGTTCTTGACAGTAATCCTGTTAAGACCCGGTAGTCCACACAAAGACGCATTGTGCCGTCTTTCTTTTGGCAAAGGATAGGCGCCCCCGCTGTGGACTTACTGTGCCTTATCTAGCCACGCGCCAAGTATTCCTCTAAATACTTGCGCAACAACTCAAGCTCAGTCTTGGGAGGTTATACAACGGCTGGTGGGGTACCTTAGCCCCTTCCACGAGGTTGATAGCCAGATCCTGCGGTCCATGGTCCGCCAGGACCCTTGAGTCGTCCTCCGATCCCAATTGGGCAAATTCGGAGTATTGCGGGGGTAACTGCTCCCCTCCGGCCCCTTCTAGGCCGGTTTGGACCACTGAGGCAACAAGACAGCCATACACATCCGCAGTGGGATCGCGCATCGTCTTTTCGACTCCTCAGCCTCCCCTACCGCAATCTTCCTGTAGACAGTCCCATCCTTAGACTTTGTACCCCGAAAATCACTCTCCGTGTAGAGTAGCTGATCTTAGGCAGTACATGTCTATCCAGGGCAACCCTAAGTATACCTGATACTTCTGAATGTCAGCTACTATAAACGGTACATTCTGGGTTTCTTCCTTTCCGCGCGTCTCTGATCCTAATGGCAACCTCTGTGGTTCCATAGACCTTTAACGCCTTACCATCCACCCCTCTGCCAACAATCTTGGCAAGGGTCGGACTGTCAAGTCATGCTCCTTTGCGAGCATGGCGGAAATAAGGTTCAACTGCGAACCTCCATCAATCAAGGCTTCTACAAAGCCTGATTGGCCGATAGCCACCTTGGCTGTCAGTAACTTAGTTGGCTTTAGGTAAAGCACGTCATGAAGGAGCCCTAGATCCCGAGTCTCTGAGGAGTGTGCAATGTGGGCAGACAAGAAGGACTCTAGCTCCTCTGCCTACTGCCTTTCCCCGACTTGGGATTGGCCGACTCTTTTTGGGGCCCCCTTCGGCTTGGGACAATCTTTCTAGAAATGTCCAGGTTCATTGCATCCCCAACAGGTTATGTTGGGGTCTTTTGGCCGCTAGGGTCCGATTTGCGTTGCTTCTTCTTGAAGTTCCCCGCAAAGGCCTTCTTGGCCTTTTTCCGGGTCTTAGGGGCCCCGCACGATCTTCATGTAGTTCTGGCGTGGCCCTCCCTTTTTGCGGTTGGATGCTCCGCCGTAGGTGCGGTTCGCTTTGTCTTGTTCCAAATAAACCGTGCCGCCGGTTGACCTTGGATACTGTGTTAATATCCTCAGGGTCCCTACCCATGAGTTCCTTCTGTATCTCAGAGAGGAGTGCGCCCATGAAATCCATGCGGCGCTGTTCTTCGGAGACGTGTTCCATCTCGCTCCACAGTGTGTTGAGTCGAGCCAGAAGGACGTTCGGGTCCTGATCATGCCTCTGTCTGAGCCGTTTTAGGTCGTTATGGGCCTGGAGACGTCGCATCTCCAAGGGCCCGAGGCAGTCGAGCATTACCGCCTTAAGCTGAGCCCAGGTGGGCTCCCAAAAGGGGTCCTCTCGTAGGTGGTCTTCGCGATATGTATCCCAGGTGGATCTAACGGTTTCGTCTAGAAACCTAATCCCAAAGTCTACTCTTTGGGTGTCCGTTGCGAAGCGTGAGGGCGATCCCCTAAAGATTGCCTCACAGTCGCGCGCCCAGCAGTTATACTGCTGGCGATCACGGTTTGCAAACGTCTCCGGGTCCTTAGGGCGAGGGGCGCCTAGATCAGTGACGCTCTCTACCCTTCGGGGTGATGGTGCGGGGAGAGAGACCTCATCGAAGACAGATAAGTCTCCCTGTTGCACTTTGCGTTTGAGTTCCCTTAGCTTGGTCAGCTCGCGGAGGTTTTCCTCCCGCTGGCGCCAACGCCTGAGTTCCTCCAGCTCTCGTTCCAGCTCATCCTGTCTAGGGGCGTCCCCCCCGACAGTGGTGTTGGGCTCTTCCTGAGAAGCCAGTTCAGGTAGTGCCCGTGTGTTCTGGCCTAGAACAGGGCGTCCTGGGTCGTTAGCGGTTGAGGTGGTCCCTTCCTGACGAACTTGCTCGTCAACGTCTGGTGTTGGGATGCGAGGGCTCGGGGAGTCGCGGTCTGTAACGTCCCCTACTAGGTCGACCCGTTGCTTGCTGGCCCTTCTTAAGTTGCGAGTTGAGGCGCTGGGTAGACCGGCTCTAGAGCTCATTATTACAAAATCGGGTGCACATGGGTATCGTAGGGAGAGCGGTTCGAATGTCAAGCAATAGAGTCTTTATAGATACGAGATGCACCGCGATAGTGGAAGTAGAGGTATATTGCCTTGTAAGACTAGAGACGAACCGCTGTCGAGCCACAACAGCGGTAAGGTAGGCTAATATACTGCGATTGCTTGGCATACCGGCCCGAACGGGCCCGGAGTAACCTGGTGCCTGACAAGTACAGCAACGCCGTCAGAGGCCGATCTTGCCAATGTCACTATTCCGTTGACTGGCAAAGAGTTGCTCACTGTAATTGATATGTTCTCCTGTTCTATAGTACTGCTCACGCATGTTTAGGTTTTCCCAAATCATGCAAACACCCCAGAATATCAAGTCCGCTTGAGACATGAAAATGCAGCTGCATTTGTTGTTTCGTATTTTATCTCCGCGCTAGTGGTAATACGGCTAGCGCTGGGGACAAATCTCCCGAGCCAAGTAAGCTACAATCCATTCTGGCGTGAATGAAGAAAGAGGTTGAGATAGGCATCATCGCCACTTGTGGCGGGTGGGCGCCGAGAGGATCCGACTAGACCTTCAGCCACAACTACCAGAGCGAACCTCGGCAGAGAGATTCAGACCCAAACAAGACTTCCTCGCGGTTCGGCACGTCAACTAGAGCCGCAGGAAGCTTAATTAGAGTCCGTGACCACGACTTAACTCAAAGCGGCTCCCCTAGCGGCATGGTATACAGCTCTACCTATTTCGCAAATAGGGTTGTTTCTGCGACTGTTCAGCAGGAGTTTTAAGGCAATGTGACGCACAGTGCCGCCAATCGTATAGTGATTTAAATCGCACGTGGCATATGAGAATGCTGATCCCCACAGTTCTCACACCCAGACACGAGATCAATGTACAAAGAGGTACAGACTGGAAAGCTGGGAGTCATGACTATGTAAGGTCAAGAAATTTCGCCTTGAACCAAGGCTCGAAAGTTTCCAATCCCCACTTGCCTAAACGCCGGAGGACAGCAAGTATCCGGTAAACCTTCACAAGCGACAAAGTATCTCCTATGCTTTCTGTAAACTGTAGAATTTCCTGGCACAGTTAGTATCAAAGAATAACAAGCAGGTAGTTGGAATGCGCGTACAATGTGTGAGCCTTTATCAACCGCCAAATAGAGATGCCAATAGTGGTTCAGCACCATGATGACCGGCAACGTAATGATCCGGTGATCCTCATTAGCGCCAATCTGGCTGACCCGCTCATGCCACGCACTCAGCCAGATACCGGTTTGGACCCGAGCCTCTTCCTCGGTCCCATTAACCTTGACCTCAACGGATATCATAGTGGGATGTCGGCAGAGTGGGGCATAAAGCGATTGATTAACCGTGCGAAGGTTGTTGGGCTGACTTCTCAGCCATTCTGAAAGAGAGTCGTCGGAAACAGATTGCGGGATGAGGTTGATGGCGAAGTCGACGAGTCGAGATTCGGAATACCGTTCGCCGGTTTGGGGTAGACATTCCTTGATGGGGAGGGCGTGTGATCTGAAGGTCAGCAGCTGATGTTAGGTATTAGAAAAGTACGTACATCTGCTTAGGCTCGATATGAGACAGGTGACGGAAGGCCACGTCCAAGAGCGGCCACTGCACCGAGCAATACCACTGCGGCTCATGGTCCCCAGTGGTGGACAGTGAAACAGCCGCGGCTTGCACCCTTCTTATCGTATCCAGTTCGATCATGAGATCAAGCTCGTCACGACCTGTCTCGTACGTCCACTGGGAGCGCTTCTTCGCGCCAGTGATGCGATCCTGTACAGTCAGTCCGGGATCCTTCTGTGAGTCCACTACCTTACCTGCATCTTTGACGGTATTATGCCCACATTTTCGCACAGCGTCTGGAGATCTTCGATGAGTACGCGTATGTCTTCTGGCAGGTCGTCCCGCTCCGCATCCATGACGCCATATTTGACCGGCTTGTTCAAGAGCTGCAGATCGCCGTAGGTCTTGGTCGGACTCGTTGCCCGCTTCGACTTGGACTTCCCGGATTGTACGGAGGAGCTACTTGAATTGGTGTTAGATGGGTGGAGGACAGGATGGTGAGCGAGCGCATTAATGTACGAGCCGGAAGGGGTGATGCTGTCTGGACGATGGGTGCCAGAGAAAGAAGCCAGATCCAGCGGCGGCTGGGTCAGCCCACGCTGTCGACTCCGCCTTGATGGCTTTAGTGTTGTCGCAGTGTCTCCTAAGACAGCGTTCTCTTCCACGTAGCCTTCGTCTAATAAGACATCGCGTTCCTGCCCCAGGCTTTCCTACTCGGGGACAATTGCTCTATGCTATCCTTCCGTCGCTTAGGTTGCGGTGCCTGTAGGAATGGACTGCGGGTGCGTTTTCGGTCAGAATGAGGCGGATGGGGCGAGACTGGCTGGTCGGCGAGCCATCCGTTAATGACGGCGGAGTTGAATGTTGGGGGAGGAGTTGGCGGACACCAGATGCTGCTAGAATCGCAGCCGGACGAGGCGCAGAGCATGCGGAGGGAGGGTGGAGAGTGGATAGAGAGGTGAGAACTTGACTGTTTGTTGTTCGAGGTGTTGTTGCGTCGGTGTTTTACAGATGCCGACGTGCTGGCGGATTCCATCCTAGTGCCAAGTCGGGGTTTCTGCGGAGCATGGCATCGGTAAAGTATTTCACGGATATCCGATGAAGATCGCAACGAGTGGCACGGATCACAGATGCTTGGCATAATTTTTGACCTTAGTCTCGATCTCGGCCTAGTGGTTACTGTACGCAATCGCCTGGCCGGGATTGTTGTGAGTGCGGAGCGAAAAGGGCTCCTCGCAAACGTCGAAAGTGGCCTTCACAAGTATATCTAAATTTAGAAGCTTACGTATCTAACTCTACCGTCTCGAGTATCGCTTGCGAAGATCCCGCAACAACTGATCACTGCGGGTCTTGTTTCAATTTCTCGTCTTGCAAACGTGTGAACTTGAACAGGCAGTCTCAGCCTCGGCAAGCGAAGTGCTCAAGTGACACGGCCAAACGCTGTTCACTCACGCGCTGCTTGTAGTTCATTCGGGCACCGATAATACGTCTTCAGGTATAACATGCGGGCATTTCTCGTACAATTAAGCGAGAGAGGATATTCACAAAGCGTGGTGTGCTAGTATAGCCCGCAGTAGGCAATCTACGTAGCGCAGGCGATAGATCGTGCGTATGAGGCAGCCTATGAAGAATACAGGGAGTGCCCGACAGAGTCAGTAAATGCGAGCAGCCTAGGTAAGCTGTGAGAGTATGGAGGCTCAAAGAGCAGTGTGAGCGAAGGGAAGACGTATGACCTCCTTCGCAGCTAAAGGTGTATCCAGTGCCGTCCACAACGGCGTATCTCTTCTGCTATTGTGTGCCACCGCGAGTGCTAACTTATCGAGCGAGATGTTGCAGCTACTAGATCTATTGAGTCAGCGAGGTGGCCTGTTGGGCAGGAAAAGCTCGAGCTCGAACACCTCCATTTTGTAATGAGGTTTGCTGTACTCGGCATCCACGTTGACGGTCCACGTTGCATTCTGATCTCACTGTTGCAAGAAGATCCGTTATGTAAATGTTGGCGTTGCGCCAATTCAGGGTGAAATGGCATTGCTAAATGCAACTGAAGGCTGGCTGATAACATAGTTACCGTTGCTTAACACCCGGAGTTCGCCGCCTTGCAAGAACCAAATTTTACGGTAAGCACGAGTTACGATCAAGTTAATCTAATTGGGGAAAATGGTGTGGAAAACTAGTGCGGCCCAACCTTGTTGTTCCTCGCGTAAGCTGTTGCTTGGCGAATTTTGGAACGTAGCTAGACAACGCGCTATGTACGCGTCTGGACTCAGCTATGTGAAGCAGATTTACTGCGTTCGCCTCAGCCGCGGCCACAGCATCGCAATTGAAGCGATGGTAAAGTGGAGTGGGCCGCTTCGCTCACCGTTCTTCCTTATATTCCATGGCGCTCCCCAAAGCTGCTCTCTCCTGGTGTATTCTAACGTCTTCTCTACCGCTTGATAGCTCTCTCTTGTAGCAGCTATGTTTAACGCAGTCCGGTCGCAGTACTTCCCTCCGAAGCCCAAGTTTACCGAGAAGGATGTCCCGCCAGGCAGTCAGGTCGGCAAGGTCTTCATCGTCACCGGCGCCAACCAGGGCATTGGCTTGGAGTTAGTCAGGATGCTCTATCCGACGGGCGCGACTATCTATCTAGCAGGCCGTTCGCAGGAGCGCATCGAGAAGGCCATCAAGCAGGTCGTCGACTCCCACAAGCCCGAACCTGCCACACCGGCAATTCTCAAGCACCTCGACCTCGACCTCGGCGATCTGACCACCATCAAGGCCTCGGCAGCCGCTTTCACTGCGCAGGAGAAGAAGCTGGACATTCTGTGGAACAACGCTGGCATTGGGGGCAACCCGGAAGGAACTACTACAAAACAGGCTGTCGAGGGCCACGTTGGTATCAACTGCGTCGCCGCTCTTCTTTTCACTCAAGAGTTACTTCCTAAGCTGCAGGAGGCTGCTAAGACCGCTCCAGCATGCAGCGCGCGCATCATCTGGACTGGTTCCCTGATGATTGAGACGCACTCTCCGACGGGTGGGATTCAGTACGAGTTTATCGAAAAGGGAAAAACTACAAATTCGGCGCGTGACTACGCCACTTCCAAGGTGGGCAATTGGTACCTGGCAGTCGAAGCTGCTCAGCGATGGGGAAATTACGGCATCGTCAGCGTCGTGCAAAACCCCGGAAACCTGCTCACCAACATCTACTCACACCAGCCTAAGTGGCTCATGGCCATTCTAAAGCTAGTGTTGTACGAGCCAAAACTCGGCGCTCACACCCTGCTCTACTCGGGATTCACATCGGACGTCGGCATCGAGAAGAACAACGGAGCGTACATCAGGCCATTTGGATACGTAGCCCCAAACGGACGGCAGGACATCTACATGGCGATAGCTGCGGGCGAGGCGACCAAGTTCTGGGAGTGGTGTGAGAAAATGTATCAGCCACATATCTAAGGAACCTTTCGGAGATTGGGGCGCCTCGCCTCAATACAATATCGAGAAATACAGAATCTAATAGGACAGCGCCTCCCAATACGGTTTTAGGCTCGCAAGTAAAATATTATTAGTTCATGACTTGCATATCTCAACACCGGTTATAAGAAGGTTGGGTGTTCGAGCTTGAGCTCCCATGCTTGAGGTAAGCCCAAGTCACGCTAGCAGTATCAGGGCTAGTGAGGTGGCTGGCGTGATTTGTCCCCCCGTATTTGACATTTGTTCCCCCAATGAGATTTGTCCCCCAAATGAGATTTGTTCCCCCGCGCCGGTAATAATGGAACTTAATCGCTTAATTCAGCTTAGTGTACATTCCGCCGCTGTGCGACCAGCGCGTGACGACTAACTACAGTACTTCTAGGTTCCGAAATGCGAACCTTCACAACCCTATGGCCGGTGCGGGTCGGCCGTCCTCCCTGCTATCGGTGGCAAAGGGCCGCCTTGGTGACAGCCGCCACGCTGACAGATCAACACCGGGCTACCACTTCCTTAAGTACCCTCAAGTACCTTTCTTCGTACGATGTTCTAAACTATTGGTCAACTGTCTTAGAACATATAATTAAGTGGAAAAGTATATTTCTAACATCTACTTTACGTGCCTCTTTCGGTACGGTGAATTCATGTTAGTCGACTAATCTAGCCAACATTTGATGGAAGGTGAGCCCTACATTAGTTGCCTCGCTTAGACGGCGCTTCGCGCTTAGGTTTAGACAGGGATTTGGTCAACGGGGTGGCGCAAAACTTTTGGAATGCTCTATTTAAAAGCTCCATTGACAGCTTTCTCACTTCGTCGGTTGCCCAAAACTGACCTGAATGATCGTACCGGCTAACTTATGCACCATTTCCATTTATCACTGCTGTGCAAAAGTGCATTGAATTTCTTCAGTCAACTCTTTCTACGCAAACTTCAACTAAACAAGAATAATCTCGACACACGGCTTCTCCTTGTCCAGTAGGAATGGATTTGGCGCGCGAAGTTTTGCTGTTTCTTCCCAATCAATTTCTTTGGTTGTGTCATTCTGGACCGTGAATCTCAACTCCATGCCTTCTTTCCAAGATTCCGCAAAACCAGTATGAAGGCAGAATCCAATCCTCTTCCATGTCTTCTTTTCCTCATCTACCGGAATCACGATCAGGCCCATTGAACCAGCAGGATAATAGCCTTCTTGCCGCACAAGGCACATATGCCAGGCGCGTGTTATCTTACCATCTAACAGAGAAATGTCGGGAATCCAGTAGTAGGCAAAATGACCAAGGCGAGAAGTATCCTTATCTTTATCGATGTCTCTGTCCAGATGCCAGGAAAAAGTGGTGTCTTCCTGGAGTCTGGCGGTGACTTGAAGAGGAACGTCAGAGTCGCTCCACGCGCTCTCGTGATCGAACGGTACGTCCTCAGCGAGCATGAGAGAGGGACGTCCAGATTTGCTGTATACCGGTGGGAGGAGTACTACCTCACGCAACTGGGTGGTGACGCGGAGGTTGCACTGTTGTACAGGTCCGGTGCCTGTGTTTTCAACAATAATCGATTTTGCATCCATATGCGAACGTTTTGAGTAGTCTTGACTGTGTAAGGGTGCGATGGGTTGACCATAAGTGCAAGGTATAACAGTAATGAATTCGATAGAGAAGCTACACTACGCTTGCGCTGAGTCTATGTATCACGTAGTGCTAGGTTCGAGAAACTTCTAAGGGTCCGTGGAGCGCCGATGAAGCCCCGACAACGCTCCGAGGGTTGCAGCCTATCCCAACCAGCTATAACGAAGGCCACAGGCCAAGTACTACTAACCAAGGCTTCAGCCTCTTACAGACTGAAGGAGTAGCAGGTAGGTTGTGATACAGATGCCCAAGAAAACGACGGACTATCATTTGTAAGCCGAGCCAGATCCTCATTTTGTGACCACAGAGTTTCTTGGGAGGACCAGAGGAGATCACGCCAGATATCCTGTTTCAACATTCCCGCGATGAACTCGTCACCCGATGCTTTGGCAAGCAATCGCCCAACGCCGGAGATAGCAACAAGTTTGTCAGAAGCATATGTGAGCTTGCAGCCCGTGTAGCGTTGCAGAACTGTTCTCCAGGTCTTCCTCACATCAGATTCTCCTGGTGAGACGAGTGACTTTGTGACGACGCTTTTCAGGTTTTCCTCCGAGCCTTTGGTCCCTTGCGGATACCCTTCATCTGCCTCGCACTCGAGACATTGCCAAAATATCCCCGATGCTCCAAAAAACAAAGTTCGTGGTGACAGCAGCTGTTCCTGGACGCACCATGCACGAGTTTGCAGTGGAGAAGCCACAGGACCAAAAACCTCAAATTCCCTCTTGAAACCGGGATACACGTCGCCGGCGCGAGCAGAAAATACTAAGTTGGGATCACTAAGCGAAATATCTCGGTAGCAATTTGGATTCCGAGCCGTGAAACAGCCTTGGTAAACATTTGCTGCGCCGAGGGCGGCGATGGTGAAGACAGACTTGCGGTAGATGGATCCCATCTTGACCGACTCTGCCAACCAGTCAGATGGGCTATCCTGGATGATGCAAAATGCGTCGATCCACAGGTATGAATAGCCCAGATAGCGCGTAATAATGATAGCATCCTGCAAAGTCTGCGGAAGAGACGCTTCATCGATGTTGTTCATGAAGTCTGCAAGTTTTGCTTCCTCCAAGTTGGGGAACTTCTTTTTACCCTAGCAGTAACTGAGTGTAAGGTATGCAGGTGTGGGACTATGTTTGGTGTCATTGATGTAAAGCCTGACTTTGTCATTGTCGATGTGCAACAGGCGAGAGGGCGATTCTGAATCGTCCATTTGACCTCCAGGAATCGCACAGGTGGTGTGCTCTCCAAGACAGCGTCTTATCCACCATTCAGCTATGTCCATAACATGCGGGCAGCGAGTAGTGGGGGACATGGAGGGAAGAGGCGGTTCGCCCAAGGTTGCTTGCAAGGTGTAAGGGCAGCCTTTGCGGTCGTACCAATTCTTCAGCTGCTCGGGGCCCCACAGATGGATCACTCTCCAGGAGTCGCATCTATCCCTGTCTGCGGATGACTCCGGTATCTTCATGTCTGTTCCATACACGATTTGTAAAAATGGGCCCGACCACTTCCCGTCCGTATGCAGAGTGATATCTGGTCGATACATATTGAAGAGGAGCCTTTGTGCTCTTCTCCTCCACAGCGGATTTTTCACCCATCTTGCAGTGTCGAACGGCGTGTTCCCTTCGAACCACGATGTTCCTACTACCATTGAACACAAGGGACACCCATTGATGGCGCTATCCAGGATATCCTTCAGCGTGTAGGGAGATCTGAGCTTGGCTGGTTCAATATGATGGAGGGTCGAAACCTCTTTGAGGTGCTTGAGTTTGAATTCTCCAGGCCCATCATCTCGCCGTTTGTACTCTGTACTATAGATTGCAGTGAATAGCATGCAATTGAGACAGAACTTGTAGTTCTTTTGGTAGTCGAACTCCTCAGCCCAGAGGGGTGGTGCGCCAATGCTTTCATTCAGCCAATTCGATGGAGTCGCTGCTGGATCCGGTTTTCCAGTCTCAGATGGAAGACTTGAAAGACTGACGATGAAATCTTTTATCTCGTCACGGCTCATACCTCGCAAGTAATCAAGCTCATCCTCCCCGTTCGTGCCAGGTGTAGGTGTTGTCTGGGAGGCCATGCCAAAGTGTTGGGATGTGTTCACCGATCATGAAAAGACCAGAGGCCGAGAGAGTCGAAGGTACAAAGTTGTAGGTTCATGCAATTCGCAGAGAGAAGTTGTCAGAAAAGAAGAGAGTATACGAAGGTATGCGTGCTGAAGTGCGTGCAAACCGAAATAAGAGGATCACGCTCACCGAAACTCACAGAAGCACGTGTTGGTTACGTACACTGTGATGCACTGCCCATCCGATGCACTGCCCCACTCGATGCACTCAATTTGATTGAAAATCTTCTTCTTCAGTACTCCGTACATGAAGAGTACTTGGGGAGGTTGTAACCCGGATTTGGCTATGTCAGCATGAAGGCGTCGGCAGAGGTCGCATTTCGCCACCACTAGCAGGGAGGATGGCCGACCCGCACTGGCCACACCCTTGTGACAGAGGCGGCGCTTTCTCGATTTCAGATGAAGATGGAGTGTTCGGCAACATTTGCATAGGCACGAGAAATGGGGTTCAGTTCTGAACCTGCTCGCTAAACAGCATTGACCATGTGACAGATCGCGCTTAGCGCCCACCGCCTCGGCTGTGCCCCGATCCAGTTTCCGCGAGACCTACGGAGCAGGACAACGGGCCAGATAAGCGAGATCGCAGATCAGGCACTGAACTGGATCTACTTCAAAACAGATGGCACTAAGGTCCGAACGACTAGGATGAGAGATAAAGCCCTCCTATGAACACGTTCCAATGCTAACACCCTAACACCGTCACGAACAGAGGTCGTTTACTCTTACTCTGACAAACTTTTGATGGACGATCTATCTTCGTAATCGGCGTCATGGTCTGCTATACGTTTCGCTGCTCTCCTCTCTTGCTCAGCATACCTCACTTCATCGCTGGAGGCAATCTCTTCTGGCGGTGTTTCCGACCGCTTCCTCTTCTTGACTCCAGGAGCGATCGGATCCCTGCTAAGCGATCCCTTCTAGTGTACCTTAACCTCCGCTGCGGCAAGGAACTGACAAAACTGTTCGGCAGAAATGATCAAGTCGTGATCCTAGTCTCCAACCTCATCTTGCACTAGTCCTTTGTGGGCAAAATCGCTAAGGTGGAGCTGCATGCCTAGATGATCGGTAGGGTTTCCTTGATCATCACGGAACGGCTAGCACGATGGTCAGGTATAATAAAGGGAAGAAAGTGGGTTTTCAGTATAACATACCTCGTCTGCGACCTCTTGAACAACTCGTAACTCGTCTCCATCGGTGGTTTGGAATACCTGGGTTCGCCACACTGACAACGTCGCTTTGCGCGACTCGTTCTTGCTGTATTCAATATCTAGGCCGACAACAGCTCGTACATTTGCGTCCGAGTCTAGAAGGTAGTCTTCGGCTAGCCGGGCCAGCCGCTTTCTCTTCTGCGAATATGCAACTTCTATGATAACCCCTGGGTATTCTGCATCGTCATGCCAGAACGAAGCGTCTGGTTCATATCTTGACTTCCTGCTAGACGAGGCGTTTTCAACAGGAAACTCTATCTCGGTCGATCGGGCCGGCCGTACTTTTCGCGCAAAGCGGGCTTCTTTGCCGGATCCGCTGCGTATCACCTTCAGCTGACTTCGGATCGCGTCTTCCACTCCATCGATGAAGAGCTCATGTATTCCGGTCGGCATACGAACGGTGAGTCGATGGTTCTGTCTGTTGTAATCATAACTGCCCATCTCAGTCGTTAGCCGCTATGCCTACTGTGTCTAAGGCAGCACACCCACCGTATTTTGTCTTCCACGTATCCCGACAGCGCCTCGTCCTGCTTGAGTCGACGCTCTAAATCATCATACTCTCCTGGCACAAGCTGGAACTCTGTCCACGGGTCTCGCTTGACGTGTCTTCCAGCCCGGATCTGTTCGAAGAGCGCGAGGACTCGATAGACTTGCACGAATTGCTTCTCGTCAGTCGGCGGCGGCGTCAACAGGGCGTCTGCGAGGCTCGGTGGCGGCGTGATGTGTTGGTGTGCTGTCTGATAAGTTTGCGACGAAGACATAGCAATATGTTGCACGACATTGTGAAGTTGCACGATGGCTGTCGCGCAGACTGATCGCGGTTAGAAGCTGGGGCGCTTTGTCCGCTTTGGTTGACTCAGCAACGCTAAGCGACGTGACAATGGCACCTGAGGACGCGACAACATCAAGGTCAAAACAATGGCAGCCCCTGCATTTTAGTGAAGCTCAATCCACTTCCCGTTGAGCAACGGTTTTAGTTCCTAGGTTTCACTAGTGGAGCTTTTACGTGAGCATGAGCCAAGGGCTCCAAAACTACTACTATGACCCGCTATCCTGCCAAGAGAGGTCCAATGGAGCCACTCTTGGCGGATGGCCAGGCTACGGCATATCCTGCAGCTGTGTTCAGAACTCTTAGCGTCTGCTGCGCTTATCTTTGTCGCCACCCTGCCAACGTATTTCTTTTATCTATTACATGCCAAAAGAATTTCAACGCCTCCAGGGCAAGAGTGTGGCAGGTGCGGGTTGGCCACTCTCCGTGCTACCAATAGCTACGTCAAGAGCCAAATCACCTTCAACGTTGTTCGATTCTGCTTCTGAACGCGCTTACTTAACCACGTGATGCTGAACCCTGGTGGCTTAGTCACCCTGCCGCTGCTTGCCCCACTATTGTCCTTAATTCTTTCTTTTTGTGCTTTCTTCACAACACGTGCCTATTATTAAATTGCAATTTTTGCCCGCTTCACCCCTGCTTATGATGCTTACTAGGCGGTTATTTTCATCGCTACCTTGAATTTAGTAAAGCAGACAAGTGCTACTTCAGCAATGCCACTGCTTGATCTACCCAATGAGTTGCTCCGAAATATATCAGAATACCTAGAGTCCGAGAGATATATCAACGCCATTGCACAAGCCAACCGCCGCCTTTACAATCTCCTAGATAGCTACCTCTACCGATACAATGTACAACAATCTGGAAGCTCAGTGTTGTTGTGGGCTGCCCGACATGGCCAAGAGGTGACGGCGCAAAAGTCGCTGAGGGAAAAAGCCAATATACAGGCCACAAACGATAATGATGAGGCACGAGGCGGCGGGCGTTGGGCGAGCGAGGTCCATCTCTCTTATATGACAGTACTGTGTCGAGGTGACTCTTGAGATCGGCCGGCAATTCACGATGTGTATCGACCTCGATGCGGTAAGCTTGAGGCGTGACGCGCGTGTCCCAGGCGCTCCGCGTTAGCGACCCTGAGCGCGCCGACATGGACAGCGGGGGCACAGATGATGGAGTGGAGCTACCGGTATCCGAGGCGAGTTCTGATGGCTGCGAGTGCGATTAGCTCAGGCAGCGCCCTTGTCACGTGCCAAATACTTTCCCTACAGGAACCTATCTATGTGGCCGACGGTGTAACGGGCTACATAACGTCCCCTGCCCGCAAGCGAGAAATGCCCCTCAGCGAGATGAGCCAACTCTACAGGCACCTCGCCCTTCCCCATACACTTCTAGAGATCTGGAATTGCCGTGCATCTGCATTCCAGACACTTTTGCCTCTTCTACCACATTGCAGCAGAGAAAACAGGATGGTTGTGATCGAGCTGTGACGCCAAGTGGAGGTCGATTTGACACGGAGATAAGCTCGGAGTACATGTTCTCCAGGCTCAAGCATCTTGGTGATCAGGGACGATGTGCACCTCGGTCACATCTATCGCCATAGCAATTACGGATTGTGGAAAATGGGGTTGGTAGTGGTTGAGCAGGGGTGAGAACCAAAGTGGTTTCTGGCGCAACGCGCGACATAGCTGTCGTTGCGACCACAACCACCGTATTTTGATTATCACAAGATGCAGGGTGATAAAGAAATATCTGAAGAACAAGAGCGCATGCGCTGCAAGTCTATAAGTGAATGTGGTGAAGATTGCTTTGGATTGAAGTTGGATTCATCTCGCTGAGTGGCATTTCTCACTTGCGGGCGATGGACGTTAGGTACAATCTTTGTCTATAGAAGAGTCGACAATAACAATCATAGTCTTAGCAAGCTCCCGCATTCATATCTTATTGCCGCTAGCAAATGCGTTGCGGGCCGCGCTATCTCAGAAAGCTAACAAAAGCCAGCACTAAGCGTTGTAGGGCGTGATGAGCAAGGAATCACTTATGAGGTTTTTCAGACGGTGAAGATATCGTGCATGATTGCGATGGCGGTAGTAACACTGCATCACGAGCTTGTGGCAAAGAAGATCTATAGATATCTGACATTGTTAAGGATGGCACCAATCTAGTCGACAAGATTCTGGGAGGCTGGGAACTCCCCCAGCTCTCTCATCACCTGATTGTCCCATTCAGTATCCTTCTAGTGATCCGATGTTCACCTAATCCGCGGATTCCAACCTTAACAGCCACAGCCACAGGCCTTGCAGTCTCCTTTGCCACATTTTGCAGCCTTGTTGTTGTATGACCATTCGCAATCCTGCCACCTGCCACAGGGAGTCCAGCCTCCATTGCCACTTTCGTATGCTAGCCAGCACCACGACTTCTGGCTGAGTGGATTATAACCAACAAAGGGACCGTCGCAGTTCCTCCAGCACCAGCCGTTATCACACCCATAATCATAATCCCAGCCCTCGCCACGACCGCTTCCTTTCGGACAAGCGCCCCGTTTAGCGATCTCCGCAACTTCTTCAACAAGTTCTCCGCGTTTAGCAGAGCTGGTGAGGTCCGCCTCTGTACTTGGGTCATATAGAGAGCTGACAATGCCAAGTTCGGACGGATGCTTCTTGCACTTTCGAAGAGCAGAAACATCAGTGCCTTCGGGTAAGTTTGCTTGGTCCCACTCCATGACTCCAAGTTCGCCACATTCCTCAACAGTGGGTTCAGTCGCGGAGGCAGTAGGAGAGCATAAAGCTCTAGTAGCAGCTAGGCTAAGAAGTACCGATAAGAGTTTCATTTTTGTAGGGTTCAAAGTGAAAGAAGCAGTTTTAATAAGGGCTATGTTTGTAGTCGAGAGCTGTAGTAAAATTTAAGCAGCGTAATAGATATCTTTTATATGTTAAAGACTCCAGTAAAGCTCTATTCTAGATACGGCCTAGTAGGGGGCCTTATGTAGCCGAGTTCGTTAAGCTGCTGCAATGCCCCCTGGCCTGAGATCCTGCATATCGTGTTGGGGTTCGCTGTCAGAAACTGATCAGATTAATGTGGTTCTATGATAGATGAGCTACTCCCACTTGCAAATCCCTCCGGGAATTCGGGGTCTTGGATCAACCCTTTTGGAAGATGATGCATTAGTACACACAGCCCAAGACGCAGAGAAGAACTTACGAAAGTTGACTACGAGTGTAACAATAAGGTCTGACCATCCTTTGTAGCCATTGCTTCTAGCCCTGCTATCAAATATTAGGAAGGTTGGCGATGGCGACTACCATCCCTTCATAAACTGCTATCCTAGATAGCTAAGTCACAGTGGAATGCCAGTCACGTAACCTGCGCGCCCTGCGCTAATCATCAACTGGCTTCGAGTATTTTGTTGTCACCCAACCTCGAATCTTTTATTAACTAAGAATCTCTCTTGTTGCTTGCAACACTACGCTAACCTAACATGGAATCCCAACTCGATATACGGTCTCCGAGACCAGAGGGCCTTGCAGCAGCTTAACGAACTCGGTTACATAAGGCCCCCCTACTAGGCCGTATCTAGAATAGCCTTACTAAGGTCTTTAGGATATTTATACGAAAGAGCTCGTATTTAGTAAGAGATACCGTGCCGGACGGGCCGACGCCGGAGTTGCCCCAACAATACAACCACAGACATGAGGCTATGGAGCTCCATATAAAAGTTGTTATCGCGAAATATTTTAGTATAGGAGTCTAACACCATAACGACCCTCTACAAAGGTCCTTCCAATCGGTAGCCAAACCTTTGTCTGGCTGTCGCGACGAGCGACGAGCGACGAGCGACACAAAAACGTCCACCATCTGTCCGATGCATACACGTTCGCGCCAGCCCGCTCGTCACGAATCGACCTTGTTCCATCAGCAGAAACATGCACGCACGATCTGCTCCGTGGTTGCTTCAGAAAATGATGAGAGGTCGGCGTGATACCAGCATGTTTGCATGCAGCCTCGAGGCAAGGTTGTGGGGGTACCTTTCGCGAAAGCTCAAACACACAGGTTCAGAAGTGGGGGAGGAAGGTGCGTATCCGCAAAGGCGCATCACCCGCGCATGTATATACGTCGACTCTTGAGGCCCAACATAGCATGCAGCGCATATTGCCGTTGTGATCATGTGTCGGTAATGTCCCCATAGGTCTGGTCGCATGTGGCTTGGGCAACAGTTCTGGTACGTTGATATTACATCGGCTGGTAGCCTGCGCATTGACGGAGGAGAAGATTCGAGCGCAGCCGGAACAGCAAACCTAGGTAGACAGAGTAAGTTATCCACATATCCTTCTCCTTATCATGTTCTCATTTTCAACATCTGATGGCGGTAACAAAGTCTCCTTACTATACATCCAACTAAAGAGGATATACTTGTACTATCCCGCTCAAAGCCTGGTCCCTAACGCTGTGGTATGTCCACCTACTCTGCGGATTCCAACATCAACAGCCACAACCACATGCCTTACAGTTACCCTTGCTACATTTTGCGGCCTTATTGTTATAAGACCATTCGCAATCCTGCCATCTGCCGCAAGGAGTCCAACCTCCATTTCCACTTTCATATGCCAGCCAGCACCATGTCTTCTTTTCAATATTACTCCAAAACGGACCGTCGCAGTTCCTCCAGCACCAGCCGTTATCACACCCATAATCATAATCAAGGCCCTTCCCACGACCTCCCCATGATTCGCAGGTGCCCCGTTTAGTAATCTCCGCGACCTCAGCAATAAGCTCTCCATGCTCCACAGGGCTCGTAAGGTCTGCCTCCCCTACACTAAGGTCGTACAGCGGGCTGGCAATGCCAAGTTCGGAAGGATGTTTCTTGCACTTTCGGAGAGTAGAGATATCCGTGCCTTCAGGCAACTCTGCTTGGTTCCACTCCATAACTCCAAGCTCGCCACATTCCTCAGCAACAGCAAGTTCGGCTAAAGAGGTGGTAGGAGAGCATAACGCTCTTACAGCAGCTAGGCCGAGAAATGTAAATAGAATTTGCATAGTATAGGGTTAAAGGTTAACGAAGTAGCTTTAGTAGGAGATAAAGATAAATAAAAGCTACTTTAATAGCTTAGAGATGTATTAAGAATTAAGCCGCCCGTACAACAGATATATTTATATCCTAAGAACCTTAGCAAAGCTATTCTATAGTAGATACGGCCTCCCAGAAGCGTCATCCTTAGCAATATTAGATACTCTTAGCTTTTCTTAGCAAATAGAAACTAGGAACCCTCCTGTAGGAGCGCGTAAGAGCGCGTGATGTAGAGGGATATGTTTACAGCAGGTTGCATGACAACCTTGCTGCCAAGGTATATTCTCTGGGTTAGGATGGTGGCCTTACATAAAGGACCCAGTAAATATACCTCTACTCCTTCCCTCGTACGAGCTAACTATACCCTTTCAGTGTTGACTACCGTGCATTAATCTTTCTCACAATGAAGGACGAAAACGACATCCACCTATGAACGAACCGTTAGTGTATGTAACAGTTAACCTTCAGCCGTTAATATATAATATCCTTAATAGAGTTAAAAAGCTAAGAGTATCTAATATTGCCAAGGATGACGCTTCTGGGAGGCCGTATCTACTATAGAATAGCTTTGCTAAGGTTCTCAGGATATAAATATATCTGTTGTACGGGCGGCTTAATTCTTAATACATCTCTAAGCTATTAAAGTAGCTTTTATTTATCTTTATCTCCTACTAAAGCTACTTCGTTAACCTTTAACCCTATACTATGCAAATTCTATTTACATTTCTCGGCCTAGCTACTGTAAGAGCGTTATGCTCTCCTACCACCTCTTTAGCCGAACTTGCTGTTGCTGAGGAATGTGGCGAGCTTGGAGTTATGGAGTGGAACCAAGCAGAGTTGCCTGAAGGCACGGATATCTCTACTCTCCGAAAGTGCAAGAAACATCCTTCCGAACTTGGCATTGCCAGCCCGCTGTACGACCTTAGTGTAGGGGAGGCAGACCTTACGAGCCCTGTGGAGCATGGAGAGCTTATTGCTGAGGTCGCGGAGATTACTAAACGGGGCACCTGCGCACAAGGCGGTCGCGGATGGGGCCCTGAATACGATTATGGGTGTGATAACGGCTGGTGCTGGAGGAACTGCGACGGTCCGTTTTTGGTTCTTCCACAAGCACCAAAAAAATCGTGGTGCTGGCTAGCATATGAAAGTGGAAATGGAGGTTGGACTCCTTGCGGCAGATGGCAGGATTGCGAATGGTCTTATAACAATAAGGCCGCAAAATGTAGCAAGGGTAACTGCAAGGCGTGTGGTTGTGGCTGTTGATGTTGGAATTCGCAGAGTACGTGAATTTTAGGTAATTGAAAAGATGCCGAACGGGATGATCAGGCGATGAAAGGGTTGGGAGGTCTCCAGACTCCTAGCATATGAGATAGCTGTCAAGCAATAGAGTGTTAATAGATACGAGATGCACAGCGATAGTGTAGGTAGAGGTATATTGCCTTGTAAGACTAGAGACGAACCGCTGTCGAGCCACAACAGCGGTAAGGTAGGCTAATATACTGCGATTGCTTGGCATAACGACCCGAGCGGGCCCGGAGTAGCCTGGTGCCTGACAATAGCCATCATTTATTAATTTATCCGTATAGCGTATCTGTGAGGCACTCGCACGTACTCCTTCGCATACCCTGAAGGAGTGTCTAACGTTAAGCAACTTGGAAGCAACAGAAAACTTCAGGACTAAGATCGGAACACTAGCTTTAATCCGGCATAATCCGTGAATTATCCGCGCCCGCTGCGCCGTTCGTCGTACGCGAGATCGTAGGTGACTGCCTCGGAATTACGTCAGGGGACGATAAGCCTGGACTGTTTGCGTGGCGCGACTCCACGAGCTGAAGCCCACAGCCACGACTTCCATTGGCTGACTCGAGCGTCGCGTCAAGTTTGGTGAGGCTACCCGACGAGTGATTTTCGCCGATGATTGATAGAATATATTAAGTGCTGAAGCAAATCGTTGTATAGCGGCTGTTTCGAAATAGTGTAATTAGCGGTTTCTACAAGCAGATAATTCACGCATAAGTTACTTCGACTCGCCACCTATAGCAAGGAGGACGGTCGACCCGCACCGGCCACACCCTTGTTAGAGGGCAGTGATTCCCTATTTGGGCAGGGAAGAAGTGCTCGGGGCAAGAATACCGCTTAGTATAACGGGCTGTATCGGTCGTAAGTGTGTGGTAGGCATTGCATATTCATCGCATCTCACTAGCGTGCGTCACCTCGGCTATTTCCGGTCTTTCTGAGGGTCATGTTGTGGTTCCCATTGTGGAGCTGTCGGAAATGCTACCGAGATCTGAGCTACCCCGCTATGGGGCCGTTCGAGCGCTGCCGTAGCGCCCTGGCGACTCTCTAGTGTTTCAATAGCGGCGGAATCAGGGTATGCTGATAGTCGCAAGAACGTTACGTCCGACTCGGCAACGCTCTCAGCGGGAGATCTTCTCTTTGCCAAGAGTTGCCAAGCAACAACAAATCAGCACTGTTTTCGCGAAACCCACCACTTCCACCGCTGCACACGTCATCATGGCCACGTCGCCGCCAACATCGTTCTCTACTATCAACGACAAGATCATGCAAATCTCCTCCTGGCTCGAAGAACTACCCCCGACGCCCCCGGCAGACGAAGAACGCGGGCTGCTGAAGCGCAAGCGTGCCACTCCAGAGCCCACAAGCGTACACCAGTTCACTACCATGTCCGCACATCGTAGTGTCAGCCCTAGCAAGCGCCAGCGGCGGGACTCGGACGACTTGCGACCGGAGCAGAGCGTATCGGCTGTTGGGTCAAATGCGCGCCCGCTCATCTTGGGCAGTTCAACCACTTTTAGCCCGCCCGGCAGTCGTGTAGGCGCCTCAACGCCACGACGCAGCAATAGCCCATCGCGCGAGACAATTGCTGCTTTGAGAGTAGCGTCGCCTCCGATAACAACGGAACCGCTGGATGGGGTGGAGTCGGAACCTCCTGCGCGGGTCATGGCCGTAGTAGCGCGACTCGAGAACGGACTGGATCAGGGCTGGATACCGGGGCCGCTTGAAGTGCGTATCTGCGCGTACCCGCCCAACATCATTGCTAAACCTGGCTAACCTGTCTCAAGAAGCACTCAGGGCCGACACAGATATCGGTTTCCGAAGATTCAAGCCTGTCGCATTCAGCGACACTGCCACCCACAATCTCTCTGACCCTGACCTTGACCCCACTGCCCGTGCCGAGTTGGAATACACCTTGAGGAAAGTGAAAAAGATATTCAAGAAAGCATTGCATTGCCAAACAAGAGGCCGAGACGAAAACGCATGGTGCGACGATGTAGTTAGGCCGATGGTGAGGCTGGCGCTCCGGTTGTACGCAAAGGGCAAAATCTCTTTGCAGAGCGTGTATTTCTACCCTAGCCAACCCGCTTGAAGGTACTGACAAGCTAACGCGTCTGATATCGTAGGCAGTCTCAGAACATTGATGTCGAGTTCCTCTCGCGCGCCGCCGATGCATCGGGCAAGCAGCGCATCCTTGACCGAAAGGCTGATTATACCCTCTCCTACTCGCACGACACGTCACCTTTCGAAGCTCTGTATGCACGCCTTCTCCAGCACGGAAACCAGTGCATTAGCCATACGACCGACGCCTTTACCAAAACCACAGCCGTCTTCTCTGGGGTGGAGGTCAAGCCCTCCGACGGTGACAAGCTCGAGGCCGAATATCAGCTTAGCATATGGATGGCGGCGAATCTGCGCAAGAAAGCGAAACTAGGACGACGTGCGGGGCTACCCGACACGACCTGCCTTGTGGAGCCAGGCTTCACTGTTGTGGGACACGAGCTGTATTTCTATATCGCGTACATGGATTCTGGACAAGGCGAAGCGGTGCGTATTCTAGAGTTTGGCAATGCCGCGACTAGTAGCATGTCGGGCGTTTTCAAACAGCTAAGGATGTGGCGGAACGTCATAGAATACGGCCTTGACGAGGGCCTGGATGGTTTCTGGGGCGGATTCCTGAAGCCAGTGTTGGAAAGATTAGCAGCTGGAGACGAATAGGATGCGGTAGACAAGAGAGGTGTGAATGGCAAGAGGATCTACGAGTCTGGGTGCAGGTCATTCAACGGTGAGCGGAGCTTCACACCCGTCTTAAGAGCACTATTCTACGTTAAACGGTTCTTGTAAACTTGTTAACGGTTTTGCATAGCTGGCATGGTTCCATCATGGTTACTGTGGGTCTTGTTCTGGACACCTGGTTAGATCCGCTCACGATCGCATGTAATTAGTGAACATCTTAGCGCCCACCCATCGGCAAGGGTGTGGCCAGAGCGGGTCGGCCACTGTTCCGCTAGCGGTGGCGATATTATGTACCACTCAAGTACCTCTTCCAGCTGCATGTTGCTTACTAAGATGTCTCCTTACATCTCGCCCCGCTGAAGTTCCTCATTCAAGTTCTTGGTGCTGACAATTTCATCGCCCTTAAGAGGAAGGCGATGTATTGCATGCTGTGCCACAGCATGTTTAAGGATCGTTTGCTTTCCTGTAAATCTTCACACAGGTTGTCGGGTTGGCGCAGGTGTATGTCAAAACGTTTCAGGATTTGATATGCCCGCATGAGAAAAAGTCGTATAGTCCCAGTGTTGCAATATGTCCACCCCCATCTTGTTAAGATTTTATGGTCCGTCCGTTTTAAGATTAGCTCCTTTGTGAGCAGACATCTCATCATCTCGAGCCATCATCTCAATGCAGTTGTTAGGATGGATACTTTGCTCGTGACGGCTCGGCTAAGAGGTGTGGTCTCAAAACGGACTTGATTTCGGTGCAAGCGGTGACATAAATTAGCTTTTGCAATTCAGATAATGCTTTTCCACCAGCATGTGACTCTCTTTAGTAAGTAATCAAACATTTTATTTACGGTACCGTATACGGTTGTTGCAGTGTTGGAGATCTCGATCTCTGCTCTCACATTTTCGCTATAGTAGTGTTTTAGCATCAGGATGTGTTAGAGACTGCGAAGCCCTACGTACAGAGTTCTACACAGCAGACACTAGGCACAAACACAACGGACAGTAGTCTTTGAAGAACTCTACATACCATCGATCGAAGCACCCTTTATGGTAGACATGACGGCAATCCAACGCCCGTACCAAATGATTTGCCTTGATGATTTCTAAGCAGATTATACTTTGATCATAGTCAGCACGATTATGAGAAACCTAGAACTGTATAACTCACCAAAATTGATGCCCACTGCTAATTCCCCTTCCATGAGGGTGATTGATCTTGTCTGACTTGCGCCACCTGACAAAAACCGTTGATGGATGCAATTCTTCGAGCCGATATAATCGACTTGACCAAGCATAAGTACCTTCTGGCTCCCTGTTAATGGTGAAATAACTGAGGGTCCTGTAAATTGATCAGCACAACTAGGCTACAGAATTTAATTGTAAACCAACCAGCAAAGAAGAACCAATACACAGAATCCAACCACCGAAATAACTCGTGCGAAGGCATCGTTAATAGCTTGATGGCCTGACAGGTTGTCGTGTGGATTTGAGTCGTTTTGAAGCATTATAGCCGTAACCAAGTACATTGTGTTTGCAAGAACGGTCAACAAGGTGGCATGGTGAAAAACGGGATGGCTTAGTATTTAGTAGCAAGGGAGGACTATATAAAGCTTTATGCTCTAGCAAGGGCCAGGTTTGTCATAACTTCCTACCGATGTCGAGGCACAGCGGCGCGGCTTGTAAAACATTGTAGCGCCAAGCCGATGTTAAAGCTCTACTGTGCCAAGCCGAATCCAAGAGCACCGCTGTGCCAAGCCGAACCAATGAGCACTGCTGTGCCATATCCAACTACTAAATTTTCCATCAGTGTACGTAGCAAAGCAGCGGCCAGCAGGGGTATAGATTGTGCGAGATTTGTCCATTGTACGGAGTTTCTTCGGATTTCGGCTCAGGCCGGTCACATAGTTCGAAAGAGCCAAGAAGTACTGTAACGTCCATTCACCCGTAACGGAACAACCACCATAACGGAACATTCATCGGTACTTTGACTTCGCAGCAACAGTGAGCTTGTGCGCATCGTAATTTTTGCGATACTTCTATATTATAATATGCTTAGACAACTTCTAAGCCCTCGTTTCTATGCCGATGCAAAAAATACGTTCACATTGGCACCCACCCGCCCAATTTATAGAGAGCTCGTCTTTAAAGCGAAAGCGACCCTCGCCTGATATAGGCTACTACTACGCCAATACTGCTAACGTGGTTTACAAGCGAGTGACGCACCCAAGCGAGTGACGCACTTTTGCCAAGACCTCACCAAAACCACGACTACACACGACTGTACAGCACCGTTAACAATAGTAATTAGAAATCGTAATACACTATTCTACTCAGAATCTACTTCTGCATCCTGCTTACATGTGCGCGAGTTGTGTCCTACCTCGCCGCAGCGTCCACAGCGTCTTTGAGACGATTCGCCTACTTCAACGCGCGCCTTCTTCTTTGCCTTCTTCCTATCGCTGCGCGCGCCAAACTCCTTTAGAGTCGTTAGTCGAAGACCTTCCTCTACTATAAGGGTCCCCTCCTTCTGTACTCGCTTTCTTTTATACGATTTACGTCGCGTGGCGGCCTCGTTAGCTGCTTCAAGCTTAGCGATACGCTTTTGCGACAACACTAAAGCATGCGCTATCATCTCTGCGCCTTTAGAGAGGCTTTTCACCGCCTTAACCATCGAAGTAGGCGAGCTATCTACATGCCTCTGAAACCTCTCGAGAACTAGCTTCGTTTGAGACCCTAGTTCTACGGTATTGCTTGGGGTTTGCGACTGCTAGGGACCGTCCTCGACCGTGGGTAACGGTGGAGTACGCAGGCGGACGTCGAGCATCGATATAACAGCCTCTGGATCGAATGGAACTAAGCCAGCGCCTTGAAAGCCTCCTAGGATATTGCTCCTTGTAATAGAGGCCTTGTAGGCGGCAATAAAGCACGGTAAGAACTCTGTTTTCGTGATGTGGGTGATCTTGTTGCGCATCAGCTTCTCGGCTTGGCACCTATACGCCTTCTTTAGCGGCGCAAAACAGCTAACGTTAAGCGGCTGCAGTAGGTGCGAGGAGTGTGGAGGCATGCAGAGGGTGATAATCTTCTTCTCCTCGCAGAGCTGGTGGAAATCGATCGAGCTGTGGCTCTCGTGACCGTCGAGAACTAGCAGGCGGTGGCTGCTAACAACCCTCCCCTTTGTATGCCTGTCAAAGTGCTCTAGCCACTCGATACTAAGCTTGTTTGTCGTCTAGCCGTTCTCAGAGACTGCAATTACCCAGTCTCGAGGCAGGCTCTCCTCCTTGTACCAGGCGGAGAGGTGGTGCTTGCCTTGGAAGATGATGAAGGGTGGAATCGCCTACCCCGTCGCGTTCATGCCCTGGATAGCTGTAACCCACTCCTGGTTGCTCTGCTGCACTGTCTTTGGCCGTCCTCGACGGTTTGCTGCTGTGACTACTGAGCCAGTCGATATCACGCCCATCATGAAGCCAGTCTCATCAAAGTTGTACGTGTCTTCGTCCTGGATGCCGTACTTGGCCTTCGTATTCTGTACTAGGCGGAACCAGCCTTGTATAACCTCAGGATCCTCGCAGAGGGCTCTACTATAGTCGTACTTTCGATTAAACTTGACTTTAAGCTCAGGGCGACGCTTTACGAAGTTTGCAGCCCACTTCTTGCCAACTGGCTTCTGATTGCGGATCTCAAGCAAAGAATTGGCCATCTCTTCAACGTCAGCGAGCCTAGGCGGATATCCTTGCTCTACTAGCTTGAGAACATGCCTAACAATCGCTACCTCTTCAGATCCTCGAAGAGCTATTGAGTTAGGCGCGCGATCGCGTCGTTGAGGCGTCCCAGCGAGTCGCCTTCGTAGTGTTGCTTCAGAGACGCTATAGATAGCTCTAGCGCGTCGCGTCGTTAGTGTCGCGTCTCTTTGGATAGCCTGTATCGCAAGCTGTATATCTGCTTCGTTTGAGATCATTTTCACGCTGTTGCGTTGAGGCATTACGACTTGATTGAAGTTTGGTGAGGTCTTGGCAAAAGTGCGTCACTCGCTTGGGTGCGTCACTCGCTTGTAAACCACGTTATTGCGACTGATAAAATACCCTTATACAGGCCTGCAAGTCTAACAGTAAACGCAAGGAGTAATAATTAGCCGCAAGGCTGTGAGGCGCGCTCAATTTATACAAGGCCGCCATCCTAGTGGGTACCTTTAATCGGAACGATTACTTATTCTGGCTAGCACAGAAGTGCCACATACTCGTGACGTAATCTGACGGACGGCGGCCGCCAGCCGGAAAGCGGGGTTGTGGCTGTCATGCCTGTGGCAGTGCAAAGTCTTCCCTGCTTCCCCATCGACCGAGTCACCTTTTGTAGATTCGCCACCTCACAAAGGTCATGGCCGGTGCCGGTCGGCCGCCCCCCTGCCTGTGGTGGCAATCGCCACTGTCATGTCGTTCAAACGACTGTTACATATCACTTATACCTATGCTTACACACCTCTGCCCTTCTGCTTTAGCACTAGCTTAATACTCTATAATTAAAGGAGCATTAATTTACTATCTTTATATTCTCTATCTGCTAACTTACTCACCATGAAGTCAGCAACTTCCCTCGGTGCTCAGGACATTCGGACTCGATCCCACAGTTCAAAATTTACGGTCTGGTAAGAAAGGAACTGCTCTAACGTCAATAAGTACTATCCATGTTGGAGCAATTTATTCATAGTCAACTTTTCCTGCGCGATAGCGCCACAGTTGATCAGAGTAGGATCAATCGTTCTTGGTGGCGCCACGCTCCTCATCTCATGACGAGCTACGGAGCTAGCTGAGGCTGGAAGGTTCGCTAATGTCATGCCTTCGGTCTCAAGATGAGCACGGATTTGGCCACGCGACATTGCAACATCATTTCTACCCTCTGTCAGAAATATTTACTATATTTCGATGTGGGTAACGGGTCATCATTGCAGCGATGGGGTCTGCCACGGTAGGTTGTGAGGCTACGGCTACTAGAAGGACAGCTGCAGGCACCATTGAATGATCTCAGAATGCTACCACTACTATAAGTGCCGCTGGAACAGCTGTACTAGACGGTCCTAACACATAGGATGTAGCAGCATAAGAGGCGGTAACGTACTGGGCGGCCGAATTCGGTGTAAGCATATCTATAATACGGTCCAGATCCGATGATGAGCAAACAGAAAGGAGCTGTTCGCTGGTTCGTGGTGTGCTCTCGTAGTGGATTCGCTTGTGAGATTCAAGTGCTTGCTCCCCTCCGCTGTGATTTGGAAAATATGTTGGCTGTACTCGAACATTGTCCACGGTTGAAGAAGTTTTGCGCTTCTTTAATCGCCCTACCGGTGTGGTACGATGTCGGCTATCTGTCTGCGAATCATCTGGCGCTCGCACAGTCTGCTTGACGAGCGCATCTCGAACCGCCTCTGGTGCCATGTTCAGATATCAGTGTGGGGTCGTGAAAAAGATATTGACCCATGCTCCAAGAAGAAGACCATTGGTGAGCCAGATCAATTGATTGTCGTAATCCTGGGAAGATCGGCCGTTCCTAAATACATCTACAGGGCATTCGATGACTGCCTCAAGGCCCTCAACTCGGCGACGATGGTATTCAATACTCTGCAAGAACGGATCTTGCCGAAGGTTATTAAGTGTGTAGTACCCTGTCGTATCCGTCAGGCTAGGATGATCGCAAAGTAGGTTCGCTGGATGAGGTGGGTGATAAAGCCAAGTAATACAGCAAAGATCGCTTGCTATCTGCGGTCGATGTTTGGTGGGGTCGTGTATAGGCGCCACGGGAGGATTATTGTGCAATTCAGACATCCTCTTGTTGCTTTGTTAGGCTTGAATCTGTGCCGGTGGTAGCGGAAGACGACAGGTTAGGAACCCACGTTCAGTCTGCTTCATTCTCTAAGACTGGAAGTTTATGATAGCAGGACTAAGTAGTGAAGTCTTATAAAAAAGTATTGTGTATACCTTTTTGGAATGACGTTTATAGAAGGAGCGACTAGAGGCGCGTCAATTGAGGCTGATTCGCGCTGTGCGGAGAAGAAATGTCGCAGTCTACGTACAGCTTGCTCGGTCCGATAAGTACTCGGTCCTATGTGAACAGAGTTTCACCATAACCCTGCTGACATCCGATCATTCCGGTATATCAACACGTAGACTTACTTCAATTCAACTTCAGTGTTCCTACCAAATTCTACTGCCTAATAGCCTATTACTTAAACCGTGATAAGAAATGAACGTGAAGAGCTCTTTAACAAGGTTGAGTTGTTTGTACATTCAAATTCGCTCAAAACCAGACGAAACATTTGCTCTTGATAGCAAGGGGAAGTGGTTTGCACAATGCCTAACGGCGCCAAATAGCTTTCGGAAGCGACTATGATGATGCGTTGCGAAAACATCGCGAACATAGTGGGCACATGACAATAGACCGAGAGCCTTAAAGTGAACACCAAACATAAGGTAGAAAGTAGGTGCGCGTGAGAAAAGATAAATGATCTTGGCATGGATCTTAGCTTCGAAGTATACCTAATATATGTGACTTGTCGACTAGAACAAATGTCGAAGCATCAACGAGAATTAGGAGGAATGTCGAACGTAGAATTCCAAGGTCATTTGCCCAAGCACCACGAGACTTAGCAAACAGTGTTGTCTTACTAAATCCAACTTCACCGTACAGTGCACGGGGATCAAAGCCTTGTATAGCATGATGTGGCTTGCAAAGACAAGTTCCATGAGAGCTGGCATTCACCTCATGCGGTCCATCCATGCAAAGATACCCCACAAGATATTTTTTCGAGGTGGAATGAGAGGCCCTCAAGGTATTCGCTGGTCTTCAAATCTATATATCATGATGTAGAGTACCGGGTATAACTCTTCGGATAGATACGGCAAACTAGGTACAGTTGTGAGAAGCAAGCTTCCGCATATCCCCCTTGCTCGTAATAGAAGTTACGTAGGGTAAGGAAACCTTTGCACGCTCCGCTTGCTGACCCTGACCACAAAATGCCCTAGGCGTACCCGAAGACTGCGCATTCACCCGTATGCCAATCGCATACGAAGCGCTTCCAACAGCAAATCTCACCAAGTGTCTCTTATGAACAACATATATCAACATGTCCTGTCCTATGGGTCCTTACCAGGGAACTTATGCTGGTAATCGGCCTTGATCATCGCAAGGAACGCGGTCGACGGGAGCTGATCCTCCACAGCCAAGTTTGTGAAGTCCATCTGCTCATGCGCTGGTACAGTGATACCCCATTTCTGTGCGTACGCAGCAGCCTCGCTCAACCGAACACTCCGATCGCCGGTCACATTTCGAATGTGTTCGATCACGCGTGTCAACATCTGCCTCTTGGATCCGTGAGGCGAGCGAACCACTCCATCCCCCATACTATAAAGGAAGTAGTCATGCAGGATTCTGTTCTTGCCACGCACCCCACTGTCTGTGCTGATATTTCGCAAGGAGGCAGCGGGGACATGGTCAGGATGGGCTTCAGCCCACACCTTAGCGTTGGCGAAGTGATGTCCGATTTTCGAGCGCCCAAAGACTCCCGGCGTTTGCAAATCATGGGCATAATTCTATAAGAGAATTCCGTCAGCTCGTTTTCTCTCCAGACTGTCAGATATGTGTAACACTTACGATGTAGCGAGCTATGTCCATGGGTTGCCAGTGCTTGCTCGCACGGACACATATCTCTCGATTGAGCGTGCATATGTTCGAAAAGTACTGCCTAGCCGTCAGTTCACTGATGAGAAATCTAAACGATGAAGAATTTGGACTTACTGTAAAGTTCTCTTCGAGTGATGTTTCGAAAGGACAGCAGGTCACATCGATCGATTCAGGCGTTCGGAAGTTAGACATCTCAGTCCCGTAAGAGGAGAAGGCGGTAGGGGGCAGCTGGTTGATGCTTTTATGCTGAATCTCGACAAATGCACGGATGCGCTCAGCACTCCAGGCCTTGTTTACGTTATCTTTTGGAAGTACACTCCCCGGTCGGAACCCAGAGTCAGTGATACCCTGTGCCCGGAGCAGCTGATGAAAGATTGGCGGAGCCGCTGGGTTTTGCTCGAATGCAGCTGCTCCACTGGGCACAGACTGCAAAGGGAACACCGATACACTAGATATAGAGGATATACCTGAAGGAAGGCCTGGAGCTGAAGCCGATGCTAGCTGCATACGTCCTTGGGGTACATGTTGAGTAGACTGAACGGGCGGGAAGCCATGTTGAAAAGGCTGTCTTGTGAACTGTGTAGACCGAAACCCACTGGGAGGTGTGAAGGTGTAGTCCTCTTGTTCCATGACATCCGCAAAGCTACCTAGGCCAATTTCCGATAACGTTCCAAGGTTGTAAACCTGGTTGTCGAAAGCAGCCCTTACCTCCGGGGGTGCAGAGTCAAGCAGCCCGGGGACGAATAGGAAGATCATCATCCACTCGTCGGCTAAGAGCTTGTTTGACAGCCAGTAACGGTGGCCAGCAGCTAGCTCGATGGGCGTGGCGGGAAGAAAGGCGTGCCTAGAGCTGTATTTCCAGATGCACTCTAAGAGCGGGGTAACAGCGTTGTTTGTCATGCAGGTGTAGTCGGCCTTGATGAGGGCTGTAGTGAGGATCGGCTGAGGCGTCCGGACTTGAAACTCGGCAACGACGTCATTCGAGGGGCCTAGGTTGGACGTCATGGCATCAGACTGGGAGATGTTCACTGGTCTAGCTGAAACGGTGGTGACTAGTATCACTGTCAGCATTGTAACTCGCATACCAGCGCAATGTGTCACAAACCATTCGGGAAGATATCGAATTGGGTCTGTGGCAAGGTCGTCGTTGGGTTCAGCGCCGTTAGTTCAGGTAGGTCTGCGCTGCTACCGCTTGATGAGTGTGACCGTGAAGCAGAAGGCCTCCTGTACGCCATCTTCGTGAGTTTCTGCGAGATTCAACCGAGGAGTTTTCTGAGTGTAGTAAGTCGAAGGGTGAGCTATATAAGTTGAACTATGAAGAAAGTACATCATGAGTCCGTGCCCCCAGACAATGACCTGCTCGCGGTGAATCCTGCTCACAGCCAGTACGCAGCTCGATAGGGCCTCGCCCTGCGTGAGAACAGCAGGGTTCTGAGACACAGTGTTGACCAACAATGCTTGGCAAATTCTCTGAGGGTGGCAGGTACGACTACTGAGACACCCTGTCAACATTCAATCCATTAGCATTTTCGACTCTAATCACAAGTATCTTGCCAAGGTTTTTGATCCATTGTCTTAATAGATTCTGATTTAGCTATACCCATAGCTTAGCAACGACACTTCATAGCGAATGTGGTCGAGGCTTCAGTTCCATCGCGCTCCTTTCTGTCAAGCAATAGAGTCTTTATAGATACGAGATGCACCGCGATAGTGGAAGTAGAGGTATATTGCCTTGTAAGACTAGAGACGAACCGCTGTCGAGCCACAACAGCGGTAAGGTAGGCTAATATACTGCGATTGCTTGGCATAACGGCCCGAACGGGCCCGGAGTAGCCTGGTGCCTGACACTTTCGATGACATTGAACGAATTGGCTGTTACCAAACCAGCTCCCCATACAATAAATGTATTAAAGATCGTGGGCTCAACGTTCCATCGCCATGGCGTGGCGGGTGCTGCAGTAAGTATATTTTCAGTCAGGATGAAGGTGCAACCTATTCGACTACCACTAGGACAACAAAGTCTATATGTATCGGTGTCTGACCTGTATATTGTATTTCTGGCTCCTGATACACTCACATTAATCAACAGCGATTCAGGCGCATCAATATCCCGCCATCCAATGTCTTGGGCAATCTCTACGCACCTGCCGGCTACGTCGCATTGGACTTGTAGAGTAAGATGAAAAAACGACCGTAATGGGACTCGTACACACCACAGAAGCATCATATGACTTATAGATTTAATATACCCAGCGATTTTGTCATGAAGTCATGTATATGACTTCTCTGAAGTTTTTGGTAGTACGCATATAGCGTGCTGTGAGTCTAATATGCTCTCGTGTCTCCACTTTAAAAGCAACTGTTAACGCCCGCAGTCCCTTGCGTAAAAGGCGGCAGTTTGCACCTACACGATCGCTTATTAGTCGCTTGTGGCGTGAATGACAGTGAAGTTGCCCCGATCAGGGTGAACGCGCAGTTTCGTGCGCCTCGATAGTTCGTGATTTAGAGGCGGCTTTGGGGCACAGACGGCGTGACCAGATCAACTGGACCCTCAATCGCTGTTTGAAAGGATAAAGCCGCTGCGAATTTCTAGAAATCACTTTCATTTCTCCAACCCCACAAAAGATTGGACTGTACCGGCACGACACTGTCGCCATGTTCTACAACAACGTTTCCAACCGATTCGCCTTCTCGAATTCTGCAACCAAGATTTCTCGCGTCATCTCAACTTCTGACAGTCCTTCGAAGCCAAGCATCAGCGTCGATGAAGAGCCGACTCGTAAGATGACAGGTACTGCCGGTATGATGCGAACACCCCATACTCATCTTTTCTGCATCTCTGACAACGCCCAGGAGGAATGCAGACCAGGACTAAGCGCCATACACGAGCTAATTCTCTTGATGTCTTCCTCGCGCTAGATTTTGACGAGTTTTCCCTCTCACCATCACCATCGCTGTCGTCTCGCGCTGTACTTCCAATCGGTGTGGAGGATCTTAAGCACGCCCCCCTGATTGACGGGTGCATTGCGAGGATGCTCAGTGAAATGGAGGACGTTAAGAAGTCATCCCCAAGCTTTCGCACAACACGCATTCGAGGTGAACACAACAACCGCAACGGCTTCGTCTCAGCATTGCGTCGCTATCCCATTCAGACAGTCTTCGCCCGCTATGTCACCATGTACGATCTCGAAGCAGTGGCGTGCACGTCTTCGGCGATTTCAAACTCTTTGAACCTAAAGGAGACTAGGGAGATGTGGGAGGCCAAAGTCAAGAATGATAGGGGTGATAAGGCGAGGAAGACTACAAGGCGCGAGTCGTACTACAAAGCGCTCGAAAACATGCCTGAGCCTCGAAAGCGGACGCTAGATGGAGATGAACAGGTCGCCTATGTACCATCGTGGCGTCCCCAGTCGCGGGGACCCAAAAGGGTCAAGGCGGTATCTGGACATGTGTAAATGAACGAGACCTTGTAGATACACTCTAGTGTACTTGCCATCGCAGATTTAAAGACGTGGCGCACAAGTAAAGCAACCGATAGCAATTGAATATGGGAATCCTGATGAATGAAGCCTCTCAAGTTACAGTGCACCATGCAAGTTGTCTATCGATCGATGGCGTTCTTAGAGGGAGTCCAAAATAACTTAAAGGTTCCATGTCAGTCGTAAATGGGGCGGTGCTGTCGGCCTGGTCGTGATGAAGTTTGTTATGTCGTGCTGCAAGCTTCACACGCCGCTTTTCGTCTCAAGCGTGTGTACTATCCGCAAGAGTGTCTCGCCAGGGTGGCTATCATCGTGATTGTTAGCAGCAAATGATTCCAGTCAGACGCCATCGGGCTGGCCCTTCCAACCTGTGAGGATTCTGCGTTCATTAGAGTCACCCAAGCAAGATTGCGCAGATTCCTGCTTGACTCAACCGGCTGAGCTGCAAATGACCTCGAGGCATTAGTCGCGTTCTGCGAGAAAATACCCAGGCAAAGCCCTTTGAGCGAACTCATGGAAACTAGATCAGCAAGAAAGGTTTCCGAGTGGTTCTCATCTGTACCTTCACGTCTGACCCTGTAGGCAGTGTCGCCCAGTGGATGTATAGAAATTTCCAAGACTTGAACGATCGTTCTCAACAGTCAACCTAATTTGTCGTGCTTCCATGACCGTGGTATTTAGTGAATGTGTAGCTCGTTGTACCTGGTCACGAAAGAATACTTGGTACCTCTTATGATTGTATCCTCTTTCAAGTGCCTCTACAAGAAGCTTTGTAGTGAGGGAAAACGGGAGGAGGTAGCACGCATCCAAAGAAAAGTTCACGAGCACCTCTTGTGGTGAAGTAGACCCTCTTCATCCCAACGCTATTGCAGCTCTACAGACCATTGTCGGTCCTGAACCTCAACGCCCTCCCCGTCCCGCTGTCAGTCTACCAACTCAGTCCTCCGCTTTCTCCTTCTACGCAGGCTTGTATTATTTGACTGCTGTTCCAGGCGGGATATCTAGTTCAGGGACGGCCGGTGCTGTTGCGGCACATCAAGCGCCCGCGGTAGGACAGCACAACCTATCCTTATTACAAGTACCTTGAAAAATCCCGACCCAGGTTGTTATAGTTCCACCACTTTCGTTACCAATATCCCTCAAGCTCAATAAGCACATGAATCCACCGCACATGTCTGACAACGTATGTTCAGGACAAGGCAGCGGGAGAGCCTGAAATGGTCTCAACCGGGCCATATACTGCAAAGCACCACCTGCGTATCTGGACCGCAGTGGACTAATCACGTACGAGATCACATTTCTTGACATGATGGCGGTAAGCTTCCATCCCCTTTCCATACTCGGTGTTCTACTCTTACTAACTCGCGACTATCTAGTATATTCGATTGGCATATCAACCCGACGGCTTTCTCGGCCTTACACACTTAGCCTGCAAAGCTTACCAGGTCGTTGCGCAGATGATGGTAAGTTAATTCAGATATTCGGCATATAACATCATCATCATCATGCTAATCTTACTAGCTTTGGGCGAGAGACCTCGACAAGGGTACCAACCTAGACAATAAGCTGAGGCTCCTAAGTAGAGCACTGTTTGTGTCAGAACGCAGCCCCGCACCATTACGCTATGCAACCAAAAAAGTTACATATGATCAGTGAATCACTGATCAGGGTGCAGGACAGTATGCATCGTCAGCTAGGCCTGACAGCTTGTCCAGCACAAAAGGATTGGAAAATCCACCAGCGATGATATTATCGTTGCGGAAACATATGGACCCCCTTGTTAAATCACGTGAATATCCCAGTCGATTACCAGTAGTAATTGTCACCAAAAGCAGAGTAAATGTTCACGATTAGTCATGGTTAGGGTATAGTAGCATGTAGGGCTTCAAGTAGACGTTTTAGAGACTTTTAGAGACCTGTATAGGTAAATATAGTGTAGTGGTGAGCTTTTAAGAGGTAGTAGAGCGTATTAGTGGGCGTTTAGGAGGTTGTAACAGGTGTAGGATACCTCAGGGGTAGAGGTAGGTAGAGGCGGGGTAGTGAAGGTTTAGGACGGCGTGTAAGCTTACAGGGGTTCTTAATAAGATAATCGGTCCTAAAGTAGCGTACTAGGGTGAATCTAGGGCATGTAGGAGTCTCTAGATGTGCCGGAGACATGGGAGGAAAGCTAAATCGCTGGGTATATACTGTTTTGCAGTACCCACCCACATTTCTCAGTATCCATCTACATTCTATCTGCTCTTTCTCTCCCTACAGCAGCGACAAGGCGTTAATCGAAGTTAATCTCGGTAGCGGTAAAGGTGTAGGATTAATTTGAATCATCGGGGAGACGAATTACGCTTATATATAATAGTTAATATGCCCGCTACGTCGTCGCGGCGTCGTACGCTTACCTAGAAAGCTCGTGAGGAGCAGGAAAGACGTTAGAAGCGTAATAAGAGACGACGTAGGATCATAGAGATCTCCGATATAAGCAGTGAACGTTCAGCGACGCCCTCTACTCCCTTACAGCCGTATCCGAACCTCTCCTAGCTAGGTGCTAGAGCTCAGCTAGTAGATAAAGACAGCGGAAGCGATACTGTAGCTAATAAGGAGATCCACGACGACGATAACCAGCAAGACTCAGCTCTTAGCAGCTTTTCTAGAGGTATCTTTGTTAGAGATCGCTCAAGCCCAGCTATACAGGACGCCTGTGAGGGGTAGTTATAGGCAATAGTATTTGCTTCACACTACAAGAGAATAGTGGGGGAAAGCTCTGTATTACTACACTAGGTGGGGAGGTCGTGAGAATAATTCTTGCCCCTCTGCTAACGCGCGGGGCGCAGCTTATGAGCAGGTTTGGAGGCCAAGGCGATTACGAGAAAAGCAAACATGTTGAGACCATAATCGTCCCCCTCGTTCAGCCTCTGCTATCCCGTGTTACAAAGTTAGTATTAACGCAGCAGCGGTATATACCGTACTCTAGAAACTCCTTAAGGCTCTTAAACGACTCTATAATGCCGTAGTTCCTCCGTACCTAGCTCTTTAGCACCCGAAAAGACTGCTTAATAGGGTTGTAATTAGGTAAGTAAGGAGGCAACAGGACAAGTCGAACGCCTGCTGCATCACAGAGAGCTTGTACTCAAGGAGACTAGTGGCTTAAAGCGTTGTCCATAATAATAATTAATCGCGGGCCAGGCCAGAGGTTGCACAAAGGGAGAACTTAGTGCTCCATGAACGCTTTAAAGAGCTGCTTTGTTAGCCCTCCCTGCAGTATTTCCTACGCAAAGTAACTATTCACGTCCATTGCTGGTATCACCAAAACTCTCCTTGTTCGATTGCCAAAGTATAGAGCAATTGCGGCAGTTCCTAAGGGCGCCTAGGCTCTTTTCCTATTAGCAGTTCGCTTATTTACTACACTCTTATTAAGTGCTACAATCTAAATAGGATCCCATCCTCTCGTTAATAGGTAGAAAACCTCTCGTAGCAGCTCATTACAATCCTTAGTGTGCTTTAAAGCTACTTTTCAACTCTATTAGACCCAGTAGAGGTAATCAAAGACGGTACGCTCGGCGATAACAAGGTTGTACCCGTCGAATAGGAACTCAACCATCTCGTCCAAATACGCCGTCGGCTTCTCACGGAGGTACTCTAGCAGGGCCTATCTTGTAGCATTAGTACGCTGGTTTGCAGTCGTCGTCTCTCCTTATACATTCTCCTAAGCCTTTACTATTAATTAAGGCTTCCCTTAAACGGTTAAATCAGGAGGATAAGGGCTTCCGTATAGGTCAAGACTGAGCTCAATACGCTTCACTGTATTGCGGCTAACACTACGGTTCCTAGCGATCCATTTGAATGGACGTTGATAAGAAAGATCAAGGAGAACAGTCTGCAAAAGGCCTGCTTTAAGCTTTCGACCCATAACAAGAGGTTTACAAGTGAACAAGATGTAATTTACAGCTCAAAATCCCGATCCTTGACCTCTATATACCCCTATACTACTCTAATACTAATCCCAGAACGTCACCTTGACGATCTCTCCCAGATCCAGGGGGGTCCATATGTTTTCGCAGGCACCGATAAGATCGTCTCAAGCTGGTCTCATAGACACGGCATCTCCAACTTGACCGCAGATGTACCTCTACAGCGACTTCACCACAGCGTAACTCGCCAACCTCAAGGTCAGAACGGTGGTCGTCTCACCATCGCTATCGAATATGCATACGCCCATGGTCATTGGGACATCATGCTAAGCCAGGTCAAACAGTACATCTAACACTTCAACCTTGACGTGCCTGGGGATCTCGCTAAGAATGCCGACGTGCTGGCTACCGAGGAGTTCGAGTACACTTATCGGACGGCAACTCACTAAGAACATCTCTCCGGTTTTAGGCATGTGCATTCTGACTTCTACTTACTTTTCGTAGGGTTAGGTGAGAGCATCGATTGTACCATTTACTTTGTACATGTTTGTTTGACATTATGATATCACGGCCAATCAGATCATGAGAGCCATCATTTGTTATTGAAGTGTTTGCGGAAGGGATTACATATCTAGTTTGTATGCGTACGCGAGGCATTTGAGGTCTGATTGATCGCTCGGTCGATATGATGAAGGGCTTTCCGGTCATGTATAGCATATGCTTCAGAGTTCCATACCCCTTTTCTTTAATGGTCATAGTTCGCGTTCATAATGCAGAATTCTGCTCCAAATTTCCGTCTCGATCATTGCATGATAGCCTGGCGCTGTTGCTCCGTCGTTTGCAGATGCAGGATGTCTGTAGCGATAGGATCATCGGTTGAGCATCTCGATTGAGATGACTTAATTAGTTGTAGCTTCTATACAATTTGCTATCCGATAATGAATGATCCTTCTCCAGACTGCATGCTGCACATCAGATTGCTAGATAAGCCTTTGCGTTGTCCGTAGCTGCGCCACCCGACGCCTAATGTACGGCGAAGCGACCACGCCGCATGCGCTATTGAGGCGTACAGTAGGTATTACTGGCACGGCAATCTTAATTCGTTGCGCACGTACCGTTCTTGATTCTAAGCACAATAGTTTCGGTCACAGTACAATACGTGTAGCTGCGCTCAGCGATGCCAGCCCCTTCAATACTCTGATTCTCGTAATATCTCGCAGCACATCGTTCAATAGTTCTCCCTCCCAGCATCTCAATCTATCACGAAACGCGGTTGGGCAGAAGAAAAATAAGCTTCACGGAGGATTGAATGATCCCAGGGATAGTGCTGTGCCGTACGGTGATGCCGGCGATATACCAACAACTATTATGCACGAAGCGACCAATTCGCGTAGAAATAGTCACATGTCGTCAGCTGTTGATCAGTAATTGATCGTCCAAAGCGATAGTCGGGCAGACTGTCTCCAACTGCATACAACACGATCATGCCACCATACACATCGGCAGTCATCATCCAACACCGTGCGGTCCCATGTCAATCGCATATGACTTCAACCGGTGGATTCCCATCGGCGAATTCGCGGGATGACATGTAACGGAACGACTCCTGCCATCCTTCGCATGAACACGGGAAATGGCCAACTCTTAACTACACACGCGGCGCGGGTTGTCGACGAGCGAGCAGTAGTTTGTTTCCAACAGACGTGCGACGTTGATGCCGTTTCAAAGAGGGGGCAGGGGGCAGGAAAAACAAACGAGCCACACCCAACAAACAGCCTTGCTGGCCTCGTTTCCAAGGAACACGTTCGCTGACTCTTTAGGTGCGCGGGCCTCAAATCTTGACAACGTTGGGTCTAGCCTTACCGCATGAAGACGGCACGGTTTCAGGCTTCATGCACGCCAGCTGCGCCTGTACGCCGTTTTGCAGCAGCGCGCACTGTTGGTGTTTTGCGCGACGCTGATGTCGTGGTTGGACGACAGCCGCGAGATCCAACACAAGAGAACGCAAATTGTCGCCTGTGAAACTGCGGATAATACTTCGCCTTGCTGCAAAAGCCCACTCTGAGGCAGTGACAGGCGCAGGTTGGAGGATATTTGGTGGCGGATATTCACTGCCCCGCGCTGCCCCTGGTCATCATTTTAAGGCGTCGGACCCTTGGCGTGGAGATACCTTGCATGCCATCCCCCTGGGTAACATATAATTGCAGTCACGGCAGGTTGGTGATCGGCATGAACATATACGCCTGTGTCCCTTTTGGTGCCTTTTCTTGTCTTACAAACATTGTTTCTTCCATATAACGGCTTTATTCGCTTCTTAACAAACATCTATTAACCACCGGACGCGATCGCATATATCAACCACACGCTTTCTTCTTGAATCTAAATCGCAACTACAGTTTTCTCTACACTTGTATCTCACCACAATGTCTTACCCACCACTTTCGCCTAGCGGACTTCCCAACTCACCACGAGCAAATCGCCAAATGCAGATGCTTTCTCCTCTCGACACATCATTCTCATCTGATTCATCGCAAACACCATCGCCATACTCGAGCACATCTAAAAAGCAATCACACAAGGCCCGCGACATCTTCGCCGACGCTATCATACCTCTCAGCCCAGCGTCGTCAACAAGTTCGACAAGGAAAGCGAACCCCTACGAAGGCCTCGAACCGCGGAAGCGCAGCGGCCTTGCACGACTCTTCTGCTGTCTCGGTCGCGAAGAGCGCGCAAGGCGGCGTGTGAACAGGAGTTTGGAGTTTGAGAAGGTTGGCGAAGACTGTCATTGGTCGGAGTACTAGGATTCAACTTCACCTTGTCAACAACATATTCTATGGGGATCTTGCGGCTGTGCAATACCCGGCCGCCTGACCGCTGCGATTTGAAACGCGACACAACGGGATACCAACTCACCGAATCGCCAAACATCTGACAGCTCGGATACCGAGCGAACATCTTGTCGGATCCTCCCGCGTCCGAATGACGAAACAATCTGCGATGCGAATGTTTATCGCATGCTCAAACACTTGCGATACAGATATCGCTTTCACAACGTCACTGCGACGTTTCTTATGTTCATATTTACAACATGTTCCCGGACCCAAGTCTTCCGGTTTCTTTGGGGCATTGCTATTGTCTGGGTAGACTTGCAACTGCAGGAAAAAAAATTTTATGTACAGCGTTGGTGTTGGATCATTCTGCTGTATCCGGCTCCAAGGCAGAAATCATTTGACGCGCAAAACTGGGAGAGCAAGCGCGATAGCGTCTAAGACGAGAAAGGTAATCAATACTATTATCATACCATGTCCACGTTCTCATCTATTGTGTCGCTTGCCTCATGCTTTGCTCTCGCTTCTCACCAATTGTCTGATCAACAAACTCCTCAAACTGCAAAGCCTCCCTGCCCAACATCCACTCCATCACATTGCTGTTCCCTACCAATCCCCTCCCATTATAGAACAGAATCATCCTCTCTGCTGCATCCGTACTCCTCTTATCCGCATCTTCAGCATCTTCAAGCTTATACAACCTCATAAGCAACGCATCCACCGCATCTCTAAAAGCCTTTCTCTCAACCGCCACGTCCTTGCCAATCTTCCCTTCGATGACACGCAAAGCCTCACCAAAGCTAATAGGCCTATGCGTCGACGTAAGCGGATACAGCGCATAAAAATGCCTCTCCCGTTGCTCCGCCACAACCTTGAACACGTCCGCCAAATCACTCAAAGCCAGCATTGAGAACTTATTCTCTGTGCTCCACAGCGCCGGAAACACAGGCTTCTCCTGCTTTGCGAGCATAGCAACAGGGATATTGTCCATAAAAGTGCTTGGCTGGAGAATCGTATATGGGATCCCTGATTCCATGATCCACTCTTCGACATGGCGTTTACAGTCATGGTTCAACATCTTGGTAAACTGGCTGTTCAACACACTACTCAGGATGAAGTGCTTGAATATGCCGGCGCCGTTGAAGTAGGCGGAGACGGCGGCGTCGATCATCATTTTGCCGATTTCGGTTTCGTGGGGGTGGTAAGAGGGGCCTATGTGAATGGCTGTTGTGACGTTCTCGAGGAGGGAGGCGCAGTTTGACGGGGAGTAGAGATCGGTTTGGATGACCTCTGCGTGGGGATAGTCATGCTGAAGACGGACTTTGGATGAGGAGGAGTGGACGGCTAGGCGGATGTTCTTCAGTTGGAGAGGCGAGGGAGAAGTTTGCCGGCTTGTTTGCCGGATGCAGAGGTGACTAAGAGGAGGTGTTCCGAGGGTTCTGCTGGCATGATTGTTGTTGTGGTTTGCTCGGACGAGGTGAGGGTTGTTTCGGGTGTGATGTGCTTATACTTGTAAGGATGTAAGAATGTGACGTCAAGATTCGTTCCCATGTTACATTCTTACATGATATCTATGTTCAATCGGCCCATTGGATGTTGAGGAGGGGTTCACGGATGGAGTACACGGCATCGGTGAAGAATGCAACAAGACCCTCATGCCATCCAGCTACAAGCTCAACACCAGCATATTATGATTCCCAAATGTCATACATGACTAGGACTAGTCGAGAGGAGAACTCTACTGAGAAACTTCTATTTTCCATAATAGCAAGTCGTTCAAGATAGGGAGAAAAAGTCGACGTGAGTATATGCAGTCTGCCCCAACCTAGAGGTACCAGGCCGATGAAGGGACACGTCGCGAACGCTGACAACACTATAGTCCTTACCCACTACTCGATGCATCCATCCCCCCTTCCGATTCCTTGTTGTGCGGGGTATCTGGTCTTCTGGCATACGATTCGCAATGGACGTTCTTTGTGCGAACTGGTTGTATTCGCGTCCCTGATAATTGGCATGCCAAGCATAGATGCACTCGGGCGCATACAGCGCCGAGTGCCGAACAGCAAAGGTCTAGGCGGATTTGTACGAACCGTAGCTCTGTGGCTCTGTGGCTAGTACGAGCCTCACCCATGACATGATTAGAATGAGGCTCTTCACAACCTTGCGCGTCTTCCAAGCTCGGGCGAGGCGTCCTTCCTCGGCTCTTGTGCATGTGTGTGAAGTTGCCGGCTCGTCACGTCCGTGTTTAGTGGGGATGTTACCGCGGGGCACCCCAGAATCGCCATGCTGAAGACTTCGGAGACATGGCTGTTCGCAAACAGGCTGAGAAGAGGACCATATGTAGCCTTGGTGTCTTGGATGATCTGGCGCATGCTGCAAAACATATAAAATAGTCGCATGTGCGTCCGGTCAAACGGCCATCAAACTGCACGCCAACACGTCACGGGCATCTCTCTAACCTTATTCCGAGAACCTCGGCTCGTTGCATACAAAGCTCCACCCCGGTCATCGCAGCCAGCGCGTGCTCATTTGGCCTCGGATCTGCTCAAGCTTGGACTTCTGATATCATCTTCTGTCATTTTCCCCTTGTTACTTCAATATCTTCGTTTGTGATGTTTAGCAGAGCTGCACGCGCGCGAGTACCCTCCTCGATACTTCGCAGACCGCTTTTGAACCAGCCATCTTTTGCAAAGCCTAGGGTATGTTGTTGCATCAGAAAACGAGGAATGGTGGGGAGTCGATGCTAAGATTTGGCGCATGTAGATTGTCGCAATGGCTCCAGCGAGGAAACAGTCGAGTTTGCCAGCGGGTAAGTGCAACACATTTCTTTCACCTGCTTGAGACGGTTCAGAGCTGACCACGATGCTTGCGCAGGCTACAAGGAGGATCACAGCAAAGGCGCCATGCTGCGCTTTGAAGACTCCCTCCCGCGGCTCCCTGTTCCTACTCTAGAGGAAACCGCCAAGCGATACCTCAAATCCGTTCACCCGCTCCTCTCCCAATCCGAATTCGACGCAACGACAAAGGCTGTCAACGAGTTTGTAGCCCCTGGCGGGCCTGGAGAGAAGCTTCAAAAGCGCTTGGTAGAGCGGAGAGAGGACCCAAAGCACAGGAACTGGATCTACGAGTGGTGGAACGATGCTGCGTACATGGCCTACCGCGACCCGGTTGTGCCATACGTCAGCTACTTCTACTCGCACCGCGATGACAGGAAGAGGCGAAACCCGGCCAAGCGCGCTGCTGCGCTGTCAACAGCCGTGCTTGAATTCAAGAAGATGGTCGACGAAGGCAGCCTGGAACCAGAGTACATGAAGAAGCTTCCCATGGCCATGAGCTCCTACGAGCACATGTTCAACTGCTGCCGTGTGCCCAAGAAGCCATCAGACACTAGCACAAAGTACCCCTTCAAGGAGAACCCGCACATCATTGCCATTAGGAAGAACCAATTTTGGAAGATTCCCCACGAGATCAACGGAAAGCAATTGAACACCAGCGAGCTCGAGCTCCAATTCCAGCGCGTATACGAAAAGGCCGAGAAGGCGCCCGCAGTCGGCGCCCTAACATCTCAGAACCGTGATGTCTGGTCAGACGTCTACCCTAAGCTCAAGGCTGCCTCTGACGTCAACGCTGCATCGATCCAGGAGATCGAATCCGCATCTTTCGTCGTTTGCCTAGACGACGCCTCCCCTGTTACTCTCGAAGAGCGCGCACACCAATACTGGCATGGCGATGGCGCAAACCGCTGGTACGACAAGCCTCTCCAGTTCATTGTCAACGAGAACGGCACATCAGGCTTCATGGGCGAGCACTCCATGATGGACGGCACACCCACACACCGCCTGAACGACTACGCGAACCAGCAAATCTTCACCAGCGCTCTTCCCTTTGACGACCCCAATGTACGCTCCGACCTGCCCAACCCGAAACCCCTTCGATTTGAGATCAATAAGGAACTACAACAAGACATTGCCGACGCACAAGCACACTTCTCCCGTCAAATCGGCGCACACGAGTTGAGGGTACAGGCATACCAAGGCTACGGCAAGGGCTTGATCAAGAAGTTCAAGTGCAGTCCCGACGCCTATGTACAAATGATCATCCAGCTCGCATACCACAAGTTCTACGGCAAGAACCGTCCTACCTACGAGTCCGCCGCTACCCGTCGCTTCCAACAAGGTCGAACAGAGACATGCAGAACCGTCTCAGATGAGAGCGTGGCTTTCTGCAACGCCATGGCTGATGCTGACGCTACGCCCGAAGAGTGCCAGAAGAAGCTGAGAGCGGCGCTTGATGCACACGTCAAGTACATCTCTGACGCTAGTGACGGACGGGGTGTGGACCGTCACCTCTTTGGACTCAAGAAGTGTCTCAAGGAGGGTGAGGAAGTGCCTACTCTGTACCAGGACCCTGCCTACACATACAGCTCCACATGGTTCATCTCGAGTTCACAATTGTCGAGCGAGTACTTCAACGGATACGGATGGTCGCAGGTCATCGACGACGGATGGGGTATTGCCTACATGATCAATGAGAACAGCATTCAGTTCAACGTCTGCTCCAAGGGACTGGGCTCGGTAAGTTCACTAAACACACACTTCACAGAGAGATGGCGACTAACAAGAAGCAGGAAAAGATGAGCTTCTACCTCAACGAGGCTGCTGGTGACATGAGGGATATCATGCTGCCCACTCTGGACGCAGCCAAGGCAAAGTTGTAGGCAAGGAATGCTTGTATACTTTGTAGTTGTACGGCCATAAATATTTTGATATACCAAACATCAACATTACATTTCACAACATTGCATTTCCATCATCCGACCACAATCATGACCATATCTTGCCCAGCTTTTCACTCCTCTCACTCCTATCAAACGACCCATCATCATCATCATCATCATCAAATTCCCTTACACCGTCTGTCCCACACCCACCATCTCAACATTCTCCTCCTCTCTGATCCGGGCTGAATCCTCCGTAGGTCGTGCCAACTTGGTGTTTCTCCTCTTCCTCCACCCCACCCACGCCAGATACGCCACCATATCCACTCCCACCACGACACCAATCGCTATCCCTGCCTTGGTTCCTGTGGTATTAATATTGTCGTCCCTCTCTACTCTCGCCTATGTGGTCATATCTGTATCGGAGTTTAATCCTGTCAAGTTACTTGGACCAGGGAAGGTGAATATCAGCGGCCCAGTCTCGAGGGGTTCCGGCTCTTCGGCAACGATCAAGTTCTTCGATTGTCCATTGCGATACGTAGCGTTGTAAAGAATTGGGCGGATTATTCACATTACCCATACTGAGCATTATGTCCGATACACTCGTCCCTTTTCCTTCATCTTGTCGCATTTGGAAAACACACGCAAAGTCGCAGTTGCGGATGTATTTTGTCGATGGATCTTGGCTATTGTACTCTACTTCCCTTCCATCATTACCGATGGGCATTTCAATATCCGATCCCGTTCCTTCTCTTGCTATGCCCACGTCGATCCATACTTCGGTGAAGCATGCTTCAACGGATCCTAGGTATGCATATGAATTCTGATCTCCTTGCACAGCGCATGTAAGACAGTAGAGACCCAAGTTCAGGCCCTCGGTAGTATCGACACCAGACCAAGAAGATTGGATGACATCTTTGCCATGCATGTATTTTGAAGCATCAGTGTCGCTCTGGTATGTCGACAGGTAATTCTGGATGGCGTCCCGGGTAGTATTGTAAGCACACGAGTCTGGAAGCGTTAAGTCGGTGGGACCTCCATAGGGAAAGTTCCAGCCTATTTACGAGGCGATGGAAACCATGCTATTGTCGGTCTATCAACGATTTAAGAGTGCCCTGTAGGGTGCATTAATGCTACGGCAAGCCCATCCAAAGGGACAGATGTCGAAGAAGTCGGTACGGAAGAGACATGCAAAAGACTACGAATCCCAACATCACACGGTGTACGCATCGCGCAGTCTATAACCAAAAGAAACCTGAATTGTTATCGTGTGGAATTGTTCCCAGCCTTGTTTTTTCATCTTGAAGCATCCTGATCAGAGAAAGCAGTTAGCAGTTCTCGCTTCTACCTGTCGACCCACGTCACACAGAGTGAGGCCTCCTACACATTATCTGGTACTTCCCCCTCTTAGCTTAACGCCCTCGCATAAAAGGAGCTTGGCAGCTTGATACAGATAAGCCTTGGAGCATTCCGCTTTACCAATATTGCAGCGTGACCAGCTTCTTACGTGCGTATGTCATCCGTGTTTTTGGTAGCATTCAGTGCCAAGCCCTGGCACGTTTTTTTGCGGTTAGCGCAGCGGCAAAACGTGATGCTTAAAATGGCGTGAATACATATGCAAGGTAGTCACAGCTAAGCGGTCGACCGGCTGGTGAATCGTAAGGAATTGATTTTGGCATGCTAAGGTACAGATCAAAGTTCACGACACCTGAACTAAACCCAGTCCAATCCAGAATTCGTAGCTCACGTCGTTATTATTGTACACACCCTTGATTCCGTTGGGGAATTTATGGGTTCTGCTTGACCCACTCAACACCCTTCTTGATGTTCTTGGCGAGGTCGGCGACGCAGACGTCGAGGAGCTTCTGCTCGTGGTCGGTGATCTTGCCGACGGGGTGGATCTTCTCAACACCGTTGGGGCCGAGCTCAACGTTGGTGGAGAAGTAGTCGCAGCCCTGGTCCTTGAACAGAGGAGAGTCGACGAAGGTAGGCTCGATGACGTTCTTCTGGCCCTGAGCAGCCTTGAGGAGCGACTCGGCGAAACGGGCACCAGCCATGGCCATGGAGAGAGTGGCAGAGCCAGCACCGTCCTTGGCCTGGACGACCTCGTCACCACCGAACTGGACGCGGCGGACGTAGTTCTCGAGTTGCTCGCCCTTGAGGTCGTAGCCGGACTGGGAGAGGAGGGGAACGATGGTGGCACCGGAGTGACCGCCAATGACGGTGATGTTCTCGGTGGCGGGGTCGGTGTTCTTGATCTGGGAGATGAAGCGCGAGGCACGGACAACGTCGAGGGTGGTGACACCGAAGAGGCGCTTGGGGTTGTAGACGCCCTTGGACTTGAAGACCTCGGCGGTGATGGGAACGGTGGAGTTGACCTGAAAATGTCAATATTCTGCCCCATTCCATCGCGATTGGGCGCAACGTACGGGGTTGGAGATGATCAGAACGTTGGCCTCGGGGGCGTGGTCAGCGACGGCCTTGGCGAGGTCACGAACGATGGAGGCGTTGGTGTTGAACAAGTCTGTTCCGTGGTTAATTGTGTCGACAAATTCCATTATTTTCAAGCTCACCATCACGGGTCATGCCGGGCTTGCGGGGAACACCAGCGGGGATGAGAACAATCTCAGCACCCTTGAGGGCGGCGGCGAGACCTGAGGGAGTAGCATCATGGCCGATGACCTTGTCGTGTATCAGCAGATGGTTCGCGGATGACTTGGGAGGGTTTTCGTACCTCGCTCTTGGTGTTGATGTGGCCAATGTCGGCAGCGACACCTATCCAGAGTTTGTCAGGACTACAGTGTGTTGTATGCAATTGACGCGATCTTACCGGGAGCTAGACGGATGTCGTAGAGCGAGAGCTTGCTAACCCTGGGGTTGAGCTTGAGCAGCAGGGACAATGGCTGTCCAATACCACCAGCGGCACCGAGAACGGTGACCTTGGAGTTCTACAACATGTCCAGTTAGCATCTTGAGCTTCAATTGTTCCAATGGCCATGCATCGACGAAGTCAATCGCCCCACTAACAAAACAGTCGCGACTTCCGGGAATATGCATACCTGGCGGGCTGAGGCCGAGAAGCAGCGGCGCGAGCCCTGGAAGAAAGCTTGTCTGGCAGCGAACATGACGTCTGTGATTCGGGTGAGGAAAAAGAGACTGGGTTGGACTGGATGAAGGTTGGTGGTGTAGGAAAGCTGCGGGAGGTTTTGCGAATCTTGAACGTCAGTGCTTCTTCGGCTGGGCGTCGGAGCTACGGCTGACAGCCGCTTTCACTAAGAGTTCACCCCTCTAGACATGTTCAACTCTTACTTCTATTACAATCACTTGTGCGCATTTACGAAAATCTGTTTCGATGAATTCATATCCCAGCTCGTCATAATGCAGACAGAGAGTTTCGATAACAAGTCCAGAGGCTGTCACCATTCACAGCCACACTGCCGCATCGCGTCGCATCAAAGTGACTCCAATGCTAGTCCATCATAAGTACTCGGTAACGCTAGATTTCGTCGGCTGTATGCATTACAACGCTCTCGAGCCAATAACGCCCTGCAGCGGTGAGTCCAACACGCCAAGTCAGGTTTCCGTCGCGCTACCGTATGGATGGCCTGAATTAAAGCCACACATTGACTCACTGTGGCAGTGCATGTGGTAGATATGTACCATCCGTTGCTCGTTATGAACTTCGTTATCTTGTTTTTATCAGTTAGTCCCAGAATCGGTTTCCAAGATACAAAAGCATCGTGGCCTCAACAACAAAAGAGTACAAGACGTCGCAAAGCCTACTTACAAACGCGATGGCCACTCCAGACCGAGACGAACCGTCTATTCCTGAACTTCAGGCAGCATTGGGTCCGTTGCTCCTCACGCGTGCATCACCATCAGGTTCTGCCACTCAAGCACCAGGTTCCTACTCCGTAGCACGCGGCTGTCCTGACACCCTCCCTCCCAAGGAGCAAGTACTACCCAAATGGACTGGCGCGTTCAAGCTCTTCGACTTTCCGCGAGAACTACGAGATAGAATATACTACTACGTCGTCTATGTTCCAGGAGGCATACACTACACCACGCACACCAATGCAGATCTCCAGAACAGGCCTAGCTCCGACATCATAAACATGCTCCTTGTTTCCAAGCAAGTCTACCAGGAGGCGTTACAGATGTTCGGGAGGAGCAACACCGTTGCGCTATCCACTCGATACAGTCCGCGAGAAGGGTACCGCAAGCCACTTACCGGCCTGCTTCGTCTGTTTCCCGATCCGGCAGCGGATGCGTTGACGAAGGTGAGCCATGTTTACCATGACACTATTGCACGACCCTCTGGAATTTGGGGTTATGCCCCGAGTCACGGCAGTATTGCTGATGGAGGGGATGGCACAGGGCATTTTCACAAGCGTCAGCAGCCTGGGGAGACGTTCCTGGAGATTTTGAGGGATGCGCATGCTGTCGCGCAGCGTTTCCCCAAGCTCAGGGTCTTCGACGTGGTGTGGTATATCGGGTCAGGATTTCACGAGTATCCGATACCTGAATGCGTTGTACGCAATATTGCAAAGTTCTTGAAGAACTCGGGGAGCCAGGAGGAGGCAGTAAAGATGTGGCTGGATCTTATGCGAGGATGGTTGCAGAAGGGCAACGTGGTCCCATTGCAATGCGTGTGGTTTATCCCGCAAGGATTTCGTGCAGATGGCTTCGGGTGGGATTTGGAACAGGCTGCGAACGAGGCGTATCAGATGGTGGTGAGGGAGATGAAGGATCGGGAGGATATTGAGGCCAGTGGAAAGGTGTGGTTGGAGGAGATGGAAGCAGCCAACAGGACTAAGAAGAAGAGGAAGAGTGGAAGGAAGACGGCGCAGAAGTAGTTATCGTGACGGAGGCTAAAGTGATAACAAGAAGATGTATTTCTCGATTGAGTTTCCAATGCAGCTTGCATGCCTAACGTCTGCAATGTTGTGGGTAGGTTATCTCACTCCCATGGCTACGCCCGACATAGTGGATAGCCACTGAGCTGCTGTCAACTCAACTCCGTCTTGAGGCAAATCCAAGTAGAGAACCAAGCCGTTGTGCAGGGTCCCTAATGCGATGCCGTTCTTCCAGTGATATCAACTGGACAAGAAGGGTACGACGCAAGGCATCCATTTCTTGTCCCAGTCACTCACTAGCGAGCTTGACTACGTGCAGATGACAGGTTGTTCTCTACTCAACATACGCTAGCGTTAAGTCGGCACACTGATCTCACAGCAGAGCGAGGGGAAGTCTTGAGTCTTTGTAGTTCTGCCTATAGCATCATCCATCCCTGTGCCAGTCGAACACAGCGCGACTGATAGGGCTCCAGAGCAGTGGGAGTTGCTGTTTGAGGAAGGCATCTTCCGGTCAGCTGTGGCGCTGCATACCTGCCCCATCTCTCTCGCCCACGTTAGCTTATTAGTGGTCAAGGCTTCGCTCCTCCTTCGCCAGAACAAGCAGGCGCAGAAATAGCGGTGTTCTTGGGGTTGTGTGCTGTTTAGTGCGGAGAGGACCGGGAACTTCGATTATGGCTTCTGTGGGCGCACCTCCAATTCAAGTACTCAAATCTGGGGGTTCGTGATACGGAGTAAATCCGAATAAAGTCCTTTTCCCCCGAACTCACATCGAACGAATGCCGTGTACCAGTATAGAATCCTATTGCCTGGCGCCATTGGATGGTTTTCCGTCGGGGAGAGCAAAAAGGTCCCTTCGGGAAAGATCGTAGACTAGTACCCAACATCGCCTAACGCTGTCTCGACCGACATCACTGTGCAGCTTCAGGCCCTTCCATTTACGCTTCTCCGCACTACAGTCTCTGACGGATCCGCCTGAACCGACAACCTTCACACACTTCCCACCAGCGGTTTCGCGGGTCCACTTCCCACCCAGCGAACATTCTACCGCCAGCATAAGAACGCTCGTGCTCCCCGAGTTTCCCCAAGAAAGCCGCGAGTCAATTTTCGACACTCTTAGCCCATGCACGTTTGAGCTCAGACTACGAAAATTTCCCAGCGGATTGCGAATTCTTGACAAACGAATCAAATCTTTTACCGCTTCTTTACTCAACGTTTCCTCACCATATGCGCTGAGTATATATGTAAACCGACTGGTCTAGCGACAAAACTCTTTCCTGAGCGACAAACTTCCACAGCGACATCTTCTCTTGTTCATTGACAATCATCATTCCATAGCGACACTTCCTGAGCGACTTCTTTGCCCAGCGACTTGACTTCCACAGTGACATTCCACTGCGACATCAATTCGTTACGACATATCCCAACAACCTCATCCAAAGCAATCTTCCCTCCCGCCAACCTCCAACCACAACCGCCGCCATGTCTTCCACCCCAGCAACGCAACCATTCCGCTTCCTAGATTTGCCCGGAGAGATCAGAAACAACATCTACGACCTCTTACTCTGCTCTTGGGAAGATGAACTCGAGCAAGACCCAAGCATGATCAGCAAGTTGAGCCGACGCAGCCCAAGTAACCCTTCATCATCACTTCTTCGCGCCAATAAGCAAATTTACGCTGAAGCGTCAGACTACATGATTAAGCGCAACCAATTCGTCCGCATCACCTGCCGAGGTCTGGACTCCCGGAACTTGTTCCTCGGCGAAGGAATTCCAGTAATCACAACCGATGCACGCAAAGTCAGCCTATTCAATGGCCACGTCATGCACATTACGCTTTCCAAGCCCGCATTTACGCCATCTACATTTCAGTTTTCAGAGTTTGAGATCATGATGCTCCGATCTGACTTGCCGAAGTTGTGCGAACAGCTGGACATTGAGAGTGTAATGGCGGATGCGAACTCGACCACAAGCGAGCACGCCTCTATCAACGCAACCGTCAGGCTCAACTATGCGCAAACTCGTTTCTTTACCCCAAAGATCCAAGAAAGCCTCCTAGAGCCTATTGCGACTTCCCTACGCGGCGTGCCCAACCTCGGAATCTCTGGTTTTGTTGATCAAGCCCTTGCAGTGAGCGTGAAAAACCAGGTCGCGCAGCCCCGCTGGACGGAGCCCGACGCGACAATCGAGGAGATCGGCACCGGTGTCGATGTTGGCAAGCGCCAATGGCAGCAAAGCAACTTTTACTCTGCTTCGGAATCCTGGGCATACGCGATGCGCACTCTTGAACGCATGCGCCACAGTTCATCCTGGCTCGGTCTGCAGAAGACTGGTGGAGAGGAGTTTGTGAACAAAATCGCCGATCTCTACTTCACCCTCAACCTCTTCCACGCCCAGTTCCTACAGGTCGATATGGCCAACGATCAATCGCAAGGACCTCTTGTGCAGCGCAACGGCCGCGTTGCAATTCAGCATCTGCGCAAATGCGAGACTGCGGCTGCACGTTTCGCGCAGCACGCCGGCGCTACTTGGACGCCGAGCAATCAGCAGTCGGCTAAGATGCTGTTCCGTCACGCGAGGTGCTTGAGGCTGATGCGCGACTCCACCAACAGCGTTAGAGCTGTTACCCTGATTGAGGAAGCTGCAGCGCTTGCACCCACCGACATTGCAATCCGAGATGAGAAAGATGCAGTATTGGCATGGGAGGCTGAGCTTGAAGAGGCGCGCCACTTGCTAGCAGAGCAAAGTCAAGCATCGCACGATGAGAGGAGGTCAGTGTGGGCATCGATCTGGGACGCAGTCACCGAGTTGGCATCTTGAGCAGTAGTTTAGCGTTTTCTTAGTCTTGATACCCCAATATATATTTCATCACCAGCTGAGCGATACGCTGCCAGCTGTAATTACCTTATACGACGTCTCTCATCATGCAAGTGCTTAATCATCACCAACAATTCATGCAATGCGGATTATACTGGATGTTGTACGAGTGCGTTTGACAGATAGGGGTCGGAACGGATCGCCGCCGCCCTAACGATGCTGCAACAACAACTCACTCCTACATTATCACTATTTGCCACAAGCCTGCGGCTTACGACTAGTCACAGGCATACAAGTACTTTCCCTCAGTGCTCATTGATTTGCCCTGTCTCACCCATATTTGATCTACATAATCTCAAAGTCTAAAACTTTGGCTTTGAGCGTTGATGGGACCTGGACGGCCCAAAATTGCACATCAGACCTCTTATGTCAGCGGTCCTCTCAACTCATTCAAAACTTATGAAAATACACTCACCACACACCTATGATTGGGCTTTGACGCTGCTTTCTCTCGGAAAGGCTAAGACTAAGCAACTTATATTCCGAGCAAAGAGAAGCTCTCTTCAAAGTTTTGTTTTAGACAACGATAGCTTGTAACAAGACCAGGCAATACCAACGAGTGTGGGCTGCGTCGAGAGCGGAGATCAATGCAGTGCATAAGTAACATAAAAGCGCATGTCATTCTTACACAGTGCGATTGTAATGTAGCCGGGAAATGTTCGCAGTATGATGTTTCATACATCTATGGATCTCAATACTGCGTATGTATTCTGGATACATCTAAGGTATGTGACGTCCTAGGACGTACAGACTTCTTGTACATGGCATCTTCCCACGTCCCAGTCCACCCATGAACAACAGCACCGAAGCCTTTCGGAAGTCTTGTATAGTACAACTTTCACTCAACTCTCGCGTTATTCCGCTTGTGGAGTATAGAATACCGACCTCATCACTCTTCTTCCCTCTGATCACGCACTCACTACTCACGCGTGACTCCTCCCAGACCAAAAACTGAATTCAAGCAACTCATGGCGTGCTATGGCTTAGGTTCTCGAAAATGAGATTTATCTCTCTCCATGATTGCACTATTTCTCGGTCGCCCGAAATGGAATAAAACCCTGCCACGTGTGAGTCGAGAACGCTTCTCTCCCTCTCGAAGAATTGCCTATGAAACGTTCATGAATGCGGCACTTGAGCGGGTATAATGTCTAGACTTCGGCGTCTGTACCGGTCTATCTCTTGAAGCATCCCGTTCGCAGTGTTTTTAAAAGAAATGGGTGTTATCCTAATGGTGGTCTTCGAGCGAAATATAGCAAAACGCTCTGAAACTGAAATGATGGCTGCGGCCGTTGCGCTGTATGAGCTGCCTACCAGCTTGTATGTTCATCACAACCTGCATCTACGTCCGCCTTCTCCAATATGTGTGACGACATCGAGAACGATCTCGGTGGGGATGTGGGGACATATGCAGCGTTGTGATTGCTTGGTGTAGCCAAGCTCTCTCATGTAGCCAAGTGCTGTGCCGCAGCACCGACAGCTGGTATGTGATTGTTCACAAACTCGGTTACGTCAACATATTCTGGGTGAGATGCAGCTGCTCTTATGTGCTCGCGTTGACATCGAAGCTTCTACAGTTTAACTAGTTACATGTGCGACTTCATTTGTGCAACAGCCAGAACCAATTCTGAGAAGTCGTCCTAATGCTGAAGTATTCGCGCCTTTAGCAGATGTTACGAACACTTTACACCTTGTATGCGCTCTCGGTATCGGAAAGGTCTCGATGCTGAGCTCCGCCCCATTGTGTACGTCGTGAAACCAAGGTGCAGTTATGTGATTTAGCCAGGCAGGCCTGGCACCGTCTCAACACAGCATTCATACTATCAAGCTCCTCATTCCATCTGGATGTTATGATTTCAGATCCCCATTGAGCATCTCCATGTCGCATGAAGTCGCTTTGGATGTGGGTAGCGCATCGTTGGTATCACCATTGCAAGGTATCATCAACAAATAGAGGAGTGAGCAATATCAGGCTGCTCAATTTTCTTTGCAAGCGCTTTTACGAAGTCCAAACGTTTCCAGTCGTCGACAATGGATCCAACATGAGCCTAATTGTGAGGGCGTTGGCATCTCCGGGCGGAAGGACTCCATTGACGCGATGCGTCGATAGAGAACAAGAGTGTACTAGTAAGGTCACTATACATACTCCGAGATCGAATCCTCTAGTTTTGACAACATCGCACTTCATAGTTGTGTTCCAAAAGGCATAAGTTCGTCAGCACTTTGCAAAATGTGTTCCGTTCTTCCTGCCCTCACTGCTCTTATCGGTCTCGCAACGGCGGACTTCTTGATCTACACCTACACTGACAACAGTGTTGATGGAGTCAACGCGCAATTTGTATGCTACCCAACATTCAGCGCATGATTTAGTGAATGCTACTCATTCCACGTCTAGGAAGGTTGTAAGTTCTTCAAGGGTTCGCCTGATTGTAACGACGTCTGCGACAGCATCGGCATCCCTCACGACGAGGGCGCGAGCAGTGGAGGTGTACGATGTGAAGGCGGTGAAGGCGGTGGTGGTTGTCATGGGGCAGTAGGCCCAGTCCATGTGCTTGAGGTAAACGATATATGGGCGGACCCGCCTTTCCACTTCACTATTTACGGTATGTCACAGGCGGCTCCCATTTCATTATCTTGCACAGATTCTCTGGGTAGAAGACAAGGGATTCGAGATGCAGCCGACAGACAATGGTCCTTCGCTAGGGAAGTGTACGCCCGACTCTTCGGACGACTACTCTTGCAACTGTCAGCCAAGCTCTTCTGGGGGTCGGAGGATTTTCTCTTGCAAAAGCTCCGTTACTGCTAAAGACTTCTTTGCTTAGGGAGTAGAAGAGGAATTAAGAGGACGCTGCTCTAGAGCAGGTTGGGCTAAGGTTTCATTCCTGGTTGCAGTTGCGATTCATGGTTCGTCTGCCTTTACCGAGCTTGTGTCCCAATTCATGTGTCGATGAATGAGACATCCCAGACAGTCCCTTTCGGGATCTATCCAAGCACGAATGCAAGGAGTTCGAGCCAATCCGTTCATCAGACTTTATCCCATATTATGCCTGTCTTAGTCGCCGATGCTTCCACTCCAGGACATGGTGCAGGCTTCCGGAATAGCGGAAATCAATATCCCTCTCCTACGTGGTCCCCAAGCGCTGAGCTCTCTTGGAAGTGCTCGTCAACGGATATAAGCCGGAAGCAGTTCCGCGGAGTGCCTTGGCGATATTCGCTCAGTATATTTTGTGTCTCCAGCGTCCTCTGTTACTTAGGGCCGATGGTGTAAGACGTGCCATGGCCTTGGGAACTCTCATGTAGGTGGGGGTGACTGGCGATGGCGAGCTTATATGCTGTGCGTAGTCCTCGTTTTTCAACCGCTCGAACCTATACTTTTTCATCAGTTCCATATCGCCTTGAATCTAGTAGCACCTCTAGGTTCCCTCCTATTTCAACAACCTAAGTGTCGGATAACGTCGTCCCGAAGCATCGTGGTAGAGGCATGACCTGTGTTTTAAGATGACAGAATCGGTTGGCTGCAAAATGACAGGAGCTGTTGTGAGAAGTACAGCTATTCGTCGCACAGTATGAGATTCGCCATCAAGAATTGGAATAGAGGAGAGATATTGAAAGAAAGAGGAATATTGGTGCGTTTTGGCGATGGGACCGCCCTTTCCTCACCCGGCACGAATAACGTCGTAGCTAGCCTTCCTTACCACGAACATCGTCGCAAAGTCGACAGCGCCGCATTTTCTCTCACCCTTTCTACACGTCGACATGTTATCTTAACAATTCAAACGACAACTTTTCATTACTGCTTTTTACCTAGGAATCGGTTTCCTTACATTAAAAGGCTTATTACCCAAAGGATTTCGGACGAACGGCACGGTGGATACGTTGCGGCTAATGTGTGGCTGTCAGCATCATTGCAATTCTCGAGGTTGCGACAGCTCGCAAAACGACAACTCCAGCTCGCCTTCAGAAATAGTTTCGTGCATTGTTTACGCGACCAAGTAGGCCGTATTTGAAAGGTATGTACAGTTTGAAGGTCTACAATTCGTTTAATGCAAGGTCGTTAAACTTCTATGCCACATTACTCACCATTAACTCAGAGATGACTAGACAAATTACCCACTATTTTGGGTTCAAGTTTTACGAAGAACAACTGATATATCGAATTCGCAAGCGGATATCGAAAACGCAAGTACACGATGCTACCGCCGACGCTTAGGTAGTGTAGTAGAAGTCTGGTCGCACGTCGCCCATGTCATCGATCTCATCCTCGGTCTTGCCCTGCACCCAGTGGTCGCGCTTACCCTCCTTTCTGAGCTTGTTCTCACGCTTGAGCGCGACATGCATGAAAAGAGTTCCACCAAACAAGAACAAGAACATGTATGCAAGGACGATGCCGTGGCCAGTGCGGTAGTGCGGCTTCTCCCACTGGTTGTAAATGTTGGACGACACAACACCGTTCATGTTACCCCAGCCGACGACGACACCGACCATGACACCACGCTTCAACGATCCTTCGACATTGTTGGAAGCCCACGTTAGCGTGTTGGAGACTGTGGGGTAGATACCCACAGCGCCGAGGAATGTGCCAGCGTATTGAACCTGTGGGTTCGTGGTGGCAAGCAACATTGCGAAACCAACGCATCCTATCGCCGAAACGACCATGTTGCAGATACCACGCAACTTTGTCTTGTCGGCAACGTAACCAACAAGAACCGTTACAGCAGCGGCAACGGCGTAGGGTGGGACGGACAAAAGCTGTGCCTTGGTACCTTGGTGGCCCATGCCGAGAAGGATAGTCGGGAGAAAGAGTGAGAAACAGTACAATGGGCAAAGGCAACCCATGTAAATGACAGCATATCCCCAGGTCTTCCAGTCGCGAAGGGCGGCGAAAACGTGTCGGCGGTCGATGCTTCCGACCTTGGCGCGGGCTTGTCCATCCATCTTTAGTCGGCGCACAGCTCGTAGCTTCTCGTCGGCAGTAAGAAATCGGGCCGTGTCTGGGAAGTCGAAAACCATCCACCAACAGAAAACGCCAACAAAGACTGTCATCAAGCCTTCGATGATAACTATATACGTTAGCTTAGGTCATATGACGATGTTGTGGGGACATACAGATCCATCGCCAACCCTCATAACCGCCCACTCCGTGCATCTGAGTAATGGCAGCGGCCAACAGACCGCCGAAAGAGCCTGCGAGTGCTGCGGCGGAGAAGAAGAGAGCGGCACGGAAACCAAGTTCCTGACGCTTGTACCAGCAACTGTCTTGTTATTAGCACTGAGCCTCAGTTATGTAGCGAGGTAACTCACGAAAGGTAGTAGTTGACACCGGGGAACAGTCCCGCCTCAGCGATACCAAGGAAGAAGCGACACGCCAATAGACCAGCCCTGTTGTGAACTACACCCATGAGAGTCATGATAACACCCCAAGCCAGGATAATGGCGGTGAAGAAGACACGAGGAGACCATTTCTTGATCGCGATGTTGGTAAGTGGCTCGAATCCGGCGTAGGAGATGAAGAAGATAGTCAGGGCGACATTGTAGTCTCGGCCTCCCATGTCAAGATCAGGTTCCATCTTAGCAACGCGCGCGTTTCCAATGTTGGTCCGGTCCAAGAACGAGAGCAGATACAGGAGCGAGAGCCATGGGATCAACCACAGGTCCATTTTCCAGACGAGCGCCTTGTCCTATGTGGAGTTAGCACGTGGCAGAAAATTCAAGAGGAAAGGGAAAGGTGTACAAGTCTGGCGCGCTCCTCATCGCTTTTGCCGGCATCTGGATCGGGATACTCATCAAGATCACTCGGAGAACTGATCTGGGAGCTGTCGACATCGTTGGCATAGATGTGCTGGCCCTTCTCATTGGCCTCAAGGCTCGTTTTCTGTTGTACGGCTGCCATGATGCTTGATGCCTAGGGGTGGACTGGAGTACAAGAGTCTGAGGGAACACACTCAAGAGGGGCAGCCAAGTGTCTCTATATGTACTCATGCTTGCACACGCCGTGGGTGTGTCTCTCGAAACGAGACGGACCCTGCTGGGGTTGATAGGCCTAGGTTGCTAGCGTGACCCGGGACCCCATGGGGCGGTTGGATGGGACAAGATTGTGGATCTGACTTAGCCCGTCAATTGCTGCGTCCGGGCGTGCCGGTGGAAAGAGCGCCGAAAGGAGAATGATGCGATATCTCAACGCACCTTTACTTGGCGCTAGCGGCTGCGGTACCACGTTGCATTTACGTTTGTCAAATCTGTCACCAACCGACTTGCTGCCGAATTCCACAATAGTTCGTGCTTCACCGATCACGTTGCACGTCTGCTCAGCGGATCCAAATAAAGCACGTATCCTTAAATTGGGTTTCAGCCTCCCAACTCCAATCCCTTTGCCAGGACTGCGGACCGATATCACTGCGGCCCATTCGAAAGCAATTATTCCACCATGTCGGTCTTTAGGCAGAGCCCCTCCTCGCTCCGGGCCAAGCACATGTATTGGGAACTTGCTGCGTTCCAGAACGACCGGGACTTGCGTTAGATGGAAGTTCTGGGCACAGCCGACGTGACCATTCGAAGCCTTGCAAAAGCGCCACCCAAGACCTTGGCACAACGCCCTCCAGCATGAAGCCGCGGATAAGGACGCTGCGGCAGGGTGTTGCTGTTCAGCCGGCAGGACGAAGCTTTTCGCAGTGCTTTGTTCGGCAATTAGGGTTGCGCAGTGTTACAGAGCCCAAAATTGTACGATATCCACGATCTGGTGTTGAGTTTCCAGCGGAGCGCACATCAAACGGCGGACTCTTCCCCGCCATCTGGGGATGTGTGGAGCAGCTTGGCAGCGCTAGAGTCGGTCGGACTTGATTAGGCCGCCCCGCTCTCCAGGTCTTGAACACTCGTCTGGTGCTCTGTAAGAGTCCCGCTGTCCGCTACCAGGGTAAAGCTGACGAGAGCCCAGATAGGTGCGTCGGATAAATGGAGCACTGGCCTCCTGCAATTCGCCAGTACCATTCAACACGCACGGCGCCAGCGGAACAATGGAAGCTGCTTATCACTGCCTAGCTAGGTACAAGCATCATGGATAGCAATAGTATTGGTCTGTGGTTGCTTGCGACAGTCTCTGAACCTGGACCACGGTTTACAAGCGACATCTAGGCGCGGCATTTGCATAACATTCTGGGTTGTTCGCACGTGGCCCCGCAGCGGTATCGCCGGTCGTTTGTAATCGTTGCGCTGCCCCGACGGATAGCCTCCGATTCCAAACACCAAGATAGCGCACACGACGATGTCATGCCTAGAAACGCCAACGAGCGCACCAAGCTGATCGCCCATGTGCTCGTCGCGTGGCCGTCAGACGGTTTCCAGGCAGATCAGTGAACATTGACTGCGCCTCTCGCCTGCTTCCACCATCTCAGCACTCTGCATCTCCTAATTACGTGCTGCGCGATCATCTAGTTGCGTTGCTGCGGCGCACTCGAATGCATGTCAAATACTCCCGCCTATCGCAGGGCACCCAGCTGCATCGCGAGGCGTCAGCGTCGGGAACGTGCACTCACCTCTTCGTAAACATGCTTGAAGAGAGATTGCTAAGTTCTGCGACCAACCACGCCGCAATATAACGTGGTATCAATGCTCAGTATTGACATTTCAACAACGCATTTAGGACCATGCGCAAGGTTATCCCCAACATACGTTCATTATTTATTTTTTACTTCGCGAGAGCATCCAGAAGCAGGGTCGCAATATCTCTTGGTATTCATTTATCTCTTACCAAACGCGGATATCGCCTATGCGCGTTTAACAAACTATTGTATGCAGCATCCTCTAAGCGCACACATCCAGTCTGGCAACTGATGGGTCGTGGTCACTGACTTGCGCGTCAAACTCCGGCCATGTGTTCACGTGAATGTGTTCAAAGTCTGCCTTGCTTTTCTTTGCCAAAGACGGCGAGACAAACATGTGGTCTAACTCCTGGGCGTTCATGTCGAAAAGGTAGGTGTAGCGCTCGACCTTGTCAATATTGACTACTTCGTCCATGTCCTTGAGCCCGCTGATTTTGGTATACTCTTCCAGGGGCTGCACGAAGGCGAATTCGTTGAAATCACCCGCAGTCACGATGCGGGCGTTTTTGTCCTTTGAAAGGATATCCTGTGTCTTATTGTCAGCCTTGTTCTCGTTTTTACTCCAATTCCAATTCTTCAGGGGCAAGAAAGGGCATTCCTTTCATGCGAAGGTGGCGTTCTTGGTACAGCCGAGGGACGAAGGTATGAGAAGCGTACTGCAGCCACCCCTCTCCGCGCCGCCCTGCCGCAGAGAGTCGCAACCGACATTTGAACGTACCTTGACAAAGTTTGCTGTGAGACGCGACTGTTCGAGACGATCGTCTAGAAGCATGTTGTTAATGATTGTTGCACGAGCTCATTCAATTTAATGAACTTACCTACGCCACCGTTGACAGGTGGTCGAGCATCTCCGTGCAAGCTGCTGCTTCCTCCCTTGGAGCCAAAGTGCACGTTGACAGTAAAGAACACGTCCGACTTCTTCGCGCCGGCCTTTCCAATAACCTCCCACTGTGCGGCCAACGGCTTTCGGCTTGCTGTCCATGCAGCATTTGCGGGTTCGATACGTCCGGGATTATACTTGAGAATCGGACCAGCAAGCACCTCGTTGGCATCGAGCGAGCCGCCTGGGTTAGACTTGTAGAGGCGGATCAGGTTTGGCTTGTACAAATAAGCGACACGAATGTTACCACCAGGCTGGCCACCATCCTGATCGTCAACAGGCACAATGTCTGTGAAAGTGTAGTTCGGACCGCCGGCAGCAGAGATGGCAGCAGTGAGAGTGGTGAGAGTGAGGTTTGCGGACACGACTGCGAGAAGTCAGTATCACGACAAGACACGAGTTGACAAGCCAATAACTTGTATCTTAACATGCGAACAATGGAGGAAACAAAGCGAAGTAAGCTTTCTCATACACTTACCTGCGTCGTTTGTGGGACCGTTGTCGTCTTGTACCTCCTGAACGAAGATGATATCTGGACTCTTCATGTAGTTCACGATGTGGTTCGCTAGGTCAGGATGGTGGTCAGACGTGGGTGCCAGGTTTTCCACGTTGTAGGCGCCAAAGGTGATGCCGTCGCATTTGCCGCTCGATATCAGCTTCGTCGCTGCAGGAAGGACAGGTTTCTGACTCTTGGTAACTTTGATCGCGGTTGTTGGGAGGATTCGGTAGAAACCAAAGGCGTAGCTGACGATACCGGTGATCTCATCGACTGAATCGCCCATCTTGGCATCGGTGGGGTTCTTGCTGCCGTCCAGAGGAGTGCCAATAACGATCGTCTCTGGGTTGGCGTCCTTGTCGGTGATGGTCAATCCACCACGGTCATTACGACCCGACACCTTCCAGTTTCCAGCAATCCAGGTGTCGCCGAATTGGTTGGGCTTGGTGAGCACGGTAGGCTTCTTCACAGTGACCAACTCGCCAGATAGGCTCTCCCAGAAGTCAAGACCGTACTTCTTGGGCTGCAGCTCAGGGTTCGCAACGCTGATCTGCGATACGTTGTTTGGTACAGCGAAAACATCACCGCCATCCAAACTGCTGTATTGCTCGTTCGGCGGGTCGCGCGTATCCTTGCCAATGACTAACGGCTTCACGACAGCTCCGGAGCTGAGTCGCCCCTGCAATACCGGTGCCGAAAGCTCGGTCAGGTAAATGTAGTCTTTGTTCGACCGGTACTCGAGGACCTTTCCTCCCACGACAATCGTATCGCCGACCGTCAAGTTCGCACCAAACGTGCGACCGAAAACGTACAAAGACTCGGAAGTCCGCTCGTCGCTGTCAGGCTGTGTCGATCGCAACCAAAGGCCATCGGGTCCCTTTGCCGTAACAACACCAGTGACGTTCGAAACAGTCTGATCTTTATACGGCGAGAGAAACTTGTTGCCGTTGATCTCCGCAATCGTAAGCGCAGTAGACACCGCTACAGATGCCGAGATGGCGAGGAACCGCGTTAGGGGCGCCATAACGAATGGAACGAAGGTAGATCTGAATGGTATCCCTCAAAAACTGAGGCTCCGGCCCTATCTTCTTATAATCCCCATGCTACCATGCAACGATGCGTTCCAAGAACCCGGTCCCGGTGCTCTATCAATGACGATCGCACTACACTATACTACACTTGACCTGTTCCTGACTTTTATCGCCGCATGGCCGCTCGGCTCAGCCGTTGATAATCCACACCTCACTAACTCATGATCGCTCCTTACCTATCATAGCAGGAGAATAGCATCTCGCCGCACACGCGCGAGCTCCGATACCTCTTGGCAATACGACGAACTTTCTTGCCCTGCTTGACTACTTTATCCATGCGTGCTGCGGCGCGCGTGCTATCATTGGACCGTTTCCAAGGTACTGGGGTACGGGACCCTGGTTTGGCGCGGGCCGAGGTCGTAGCTACTTTGGGAAGGTGGACGGTGATTGGTGCGAATGCGGGATGCTGGGAGATTGGGCGGCGGGTTCCGCTAGTGGTGGGGAAACGATATAGGGACTTTGCTATCAATCAGACCGAAGAGATAAGACACGTGTGTTATTGTGGTATGCGTAGTATAGGAGGCGAGGCTTGGGGAATGTGTGGCGGTGGAGGGACGGGTGGGTGAAGGATGGAGGATGGTAGTAGACGGGAGGATGAGGGCGAATGGAAGAGGCGCACGTGGGCTTGGCGTGAGGATCTCGACGTGTGGCGGAAGGAGAATACGTCTTTCGATGTGGGTTAGGAGGGTACTAGGTGCTTGTCGATGTGTCATGATGTATGCGAGTACATAGAAGCTCTTTTTTCCCCTCTCTCTAAGTTAGACTTAATGCCCCAAAGCTACCCTGGAGGTATTCGCGTAAATTCTCAGTAAGACACATGCGAAATATAACACGGTGTATACCTTTAGAGTAGAGTTTGACTATCAAGTACAACCCGAAGAAAAGAATGTCTTCGTACCAATACCACGCGACGCCAAATCAGCTAAGAAGAAGGTTTACATCACTAGCGATAATGGTATTGCCCATACTACTAATACCCACAGTCCTTTCCCTTCACCATATCTCCCATCCCTGTCTTATCACCAAAGTCGCGCCTGCTTTCCATCTCATAGCCGAACCCATTCCCTCCGATTCCATATACAACCATCCCCTAGGCATCACCAGCACATATTAATGTCTAGATAACAGTCGGCTTCCAGGCGCTCATGCTCCTCTTGAGCTTGTCCTAGAGACACATCTACCAGTCCCTCAGCTACATTAGGGGCCCAATTTTTTGCGTCTCGCTCTTTCATCTGCCTTTCATCCCTCATCGCGAGGGCTCTGGCAAGCGCCGCCTCCATCCTGGGAGTTGGTTGACCTCTCGACGGAGAGGCTGTGTTACCTGCTCCATCAGTTAGTGTTCTGAGGTGGGGAAGGAGGAGGGCGATGTACCCATCTCGGTGCTTCCATCTTTCATTGCAGCGTATTCGACATTCTCCTGGGACTGATATGCGCTGGATATTCTGGGCTTTTTGGGCTCGTCGTAGTAAGCAGAACGAATATCTCCACTTGCTTGACGTTTCGAACCAATTGCTACGGCCCAGGCATCTTGTGGACAAGCAGCTTTCGGCCGAGTGGGCGTCGGCGTTTGGTCAAAAGGGTGACCCCACGAACGAGGACCGTTCCTGAGATCTACGTGCCTTAGTGACTGGGGCGTGGGCATCTGACCAATCTGTAATAATGGTCTGGAGTGCGGCGTCTGCTCCTCATGAGATGGCGTTGCCTGAGGCGGATACTTCATCGGATATTGAGGCCATGCCGAGTGCATCGTCATCATTACGATGGGATGTATTAGATGCGACATCTCTGCGTTTCGGCAATGTTCCCTTCCTTCCGTTTCTACTGCTCGTCGAGGTTTGTACTGATGGAGCGGACCACTCGGTGGCTTGCGCGGGCTGGATGAGATACTTGGCAAGCTCCTCCTCAGCCTTCTCCGGGAATCTAGAATAAGTGAGCTATTAGTATGCTGATATCAGAGGCTGCGTTACGAAGAAGTTCGTTTCTTATAAGTTGAACATATCACTAAGAATGTACCCTAGTAAGATACACCGTTGCTTTTCTATTGAGGTTATGACGTATGAATCTACCTATACCTGCAAGGTAGATTTTAACTAGGTAATGTGTTGGGGATACAGCAGAGAAAATACTAGCTCTTTCTTGCATGTCACGTACCTGGAGGCCGTGTTGGTAGGCAGTCTTCAAATTCGACACGTAGCCGACTAGGATCCTTGAGCATTGTGTCCTTAGTCTGTGGTGGTGAGGAAATCGGCTCTGGTGAAAGTTGAATCTTCAGGGCTAGCGGGGAGCTTTTTGCGGGAATTGCGGAGGATCTCCACGTCCACGTCGACGACGTTCGAGAAGTTGTCGACCACCAGTCTTGAGCGTTGTATCGCGACGGTAGTCGTTCTCCTTCCATGTCGGATGCTGATCTTCTCAGGACTTTCGCAGCCCTACGGTACATGCGCTTCGAAGCACGCAACTCCTGTGCGGCTATACCTTCTTGTATGTTGGCCCACCATGCTGCACTAGCGGCATCGATTGCACTCCAGGAAGCTCTTCTCGCAACGGAAGGGATATATGGAGGCTTCGGTGAGGTACGATCTGCTCGGCTTTCCGTATTTGTAGAATCCACGTTAGGGGCTTCTTCAACCATGATGTCTGAGGGCGCCATTGTGCTGCCCAATCCGGCTCTGAAATCGAGTGTAATGAGTCGACGGGCGAACGACAGGGGAAGATCCGACGCGTATAAGTCCGCATTGGAATCCTCGCTCTCAGAAGAATAGGTCTTGTCATCGATGGGGCTACTGACAAGTGATGACATGATGTTGTGAATTACGGGACAATCTTGGTGGGTTCGATATGAATCTGGACACCTGCGTGTATTCCTATGGCGAATTACAGAGGTCAATTCGATGGGCGACGGGTAGGAGCTTGTTCAAAGAGCTGAAGTGTCGATATATGTTGTGTTGGAAGATAGCCTACACACGTTAGCAAGCTACTTCTTCTACGTATGATCTGCTTGCCAGACCTGTGGCACCGATGACGATGAAGATGTTGAGTATGTAGGAGTAAACACCAGGATGTCTTCGATATGAAAGAGCTTGTGTAGGTTTACTGACGTTCCAGTTATATAGGAAAGCGCACACCTGATATCGTGTGCAAGGAAGCGAAGGGCGTACACCAGTGGAGGAAGGTACACGATAGAGCTTCGGTACAGCGGGCTTGAACGTGGTGTTACTTCAACAATCTCACCACTTCTGCCACCCAACTCCATAGCAACCCGGTAGCTCCTGCACCACCGGCAACTCTTGCTTTGGCTGCCACATCTCCGTTCCCGGCATCTCGTATCTTGGCGTGTTTTCGTGGTTGAGATTTATAGGTTTCGGCTTTAGATACTGCTCCACCACAACAACACTTACGCCATACGGCTTCTCCTCATTTCCGTATGTCCTTATCAAGCTGGCATGATTTCTTTGGATAGTTTTCCGCCTTTGCGTCCGGCGATATAGTAGGAACAGAAGACTTGCTAGTATGGCTACAATGCAGGTTGCGCCTACAGCTATGCCTGCTATCGCGCCGGCTGACAGAGACATCGGGCACGGATTGGTCGAGGTTGAGTAGTGTGAGTTGCAGACGGAATTGCGGTGGCGATGATGGTTTGGCTGCTTGCCGCGAGCGGACCAGAAAGAGAGACTCTGTCTCGCCGTGAAGGAGTCAGTTACGACGGTGCACCTATGAAAGTGACGACAGATATCATGAGGTATCGAGATATAAACGTTATGTTCGATGGCGTACGCGGCACACTAGCCAGTATAGTTCTGGCTGACAGATGAACGGTCAATAGTCCAGCTACATGAACGTGCTACCGTAAGACCCTGTGCGCCATATTCCGCACCAAGTCGCCATCCACGAAGCACAGGAGAGTAAAATGCGTATGATCAATAGTCGTTCATCTCCACATCACACTAATCCGACGAGTGTTACTATTCCTAGTAACTTCAAGCGGTAAACCTGTTAGCATCCTTAACTTCTTTGGGATCATTAGTCTAAAACGTGGTCCGAGGTCAGGCTTAGCGAGAGCGTCGAAGGATTCTGTTGACGTCCAGAGCAATAATCGGAGGTAATCTGACCCGGCGCGCCGCAATGAGCGGTGCAGAAAAGGAGACCTTTGTAATGCTGATGAAGTCGTGCACACACGACTGGAAGCTACGCGTTGCTGCACTAGGCCTTCTCGCTTCTTGTACTCTCGCATTGTGAATCAATAGAGAGCGCTTACACGCAGGGTAAAATGAAGGGAGGGTTATAATTGCATACACAACGAAACCTATCCCCATACTAAGTCCGGGGGTTCAAAAGACACCAAGACGGAAGTAACGTTTGCGCCCCTTCCATGTACTGAGGTTTTAACGAAATCGAACGAAGCTCAACATCTTCATCTGACTAATGGTTTGAAGCTCAACATCAGAAACTGGACCACAAAGCCAAGTCGCATAGTTCTAGACAAGAAGAGAAAAGGGTATATTATAGAAGCTAAGATACGCGCTCAGGCATCCGCCTCTCACCAAGCGAGACAGCTTGCAGAGAGGACCGGAGGGTATATGCCCAAGTCGCTAGAAGAAGAAGAAGAAGAAGAAGTGCATGATACCAAAAAGCCCAAACAGCCATCCATCCCAAGTCCCAATCCAAATCCAAGTCCTAACCCCGTACCGTATAACCGTTCCTAACCAGATTCCAATCCATTCACCCATCATAACCCCATAATCATACTCATACGCAAAATTGCAGTTAAAAAGCAACACCAACCGCCCCCGGACTAAGCGCCATCAAACTCCGCCTCCCATTGATCCCAACATCCTTAGCACTAATTTCCATACCCTTGAGCAAATCAAAGTTAGGGCTCATGGGAGGCTTCTCGTTCATGAAACTCCTCGTCGTGCTACGCGCACTCAACAAACCAGCTTCGGCAGCAATCTCCTTATCCTTGACGAGCGTCAGAGGAGCAGGGACACGTCGTAGTTTCCTTGGTGGCGAGGATGTAGCGACAGTGGAAAGGGAGTGGGTTGGTGAGGGTGAACGGGTAGAAGAAGGGTAAGATGAAGAGAAGAGGGTCACGGTGGCTGTGCCGTTGCTTTCTTGCGATTCCTGACGCGTATGCAAGGTGCGTGATCCTGCTGTTGAGGGACGCGAAGATGATGTGGGGAGGGCGGGGTGCGGTTCGCATTTGTAGAAAGAATCGGCGGTTTTAGGGGTCGTGGGACGTGAGCTAGAGGCTAGAGTGGAGGTGGAGCGCTTGAGCCAGGCTCCAAGACGGGCTATTGGTGTGGTAGGTGTGGCTGGTGGTGGCGGTGTGATGGGGTTCGAGTTCAAGGGACCGGTGTGAGAGAAGGATGGGGGGGCGAGTGTGAGTCCCATTGTTGCCCTGCGAGTCAGGGTACCTGCTTCCGGGGTGGTAGGAAGTGGCTTGAAGCCTAGAGGGGCAGAGAACGCAGAGCCGATGTCTGAAAGCGTCTCAGAGCGGACATGCATACGCATCGATGGTGCAATGTATGGTACGTGGTGAGATGGAGAGGGTGGAGGACGATTGATCAGTGCGGGCGATTGAGCGTGCGAGCGATATGCGCTGGCACGGCGTTCCTCGATGATGGTGTTCAGTTCGCGAATGGCATCATCTACGTCAGTTCTGGTACGGCGGAGACTGCCGGGTCGAGAAGATGGTGCAGTGTTGGCACGATTGCGCGACGGTGACGGAAGACGCGATAGCACACGAGCAGGCGATAAGGTGCCAGATGTGCGCGACCGCTGAATGGTGGGCTTCTCGAGCATCTGCGAATGCTCTGGCAGATATCCCAGTGTAGGTGTAGCCATGGTGCCCATAGTGGTTCCCGAGAGCCTCCTCTCGTGTGTGGTAGTACTCTTCTGGCTCTGAACACTGCTCCGTCGAGATTGACCGCCGACGGGTTTACGTTGAATGATGAATGAAGGATTTGAAGATAGAGAGCTTGTCCGTGAGTCTCTTTCGCGAACGTGTGCCTCAGCGGGACGCTCTAGCTGCGATGACAGACTAGCCCAACCATCTTCACCGTCAAAGTCAGGTAATGGAGATAGATGGCCACAGCCGTCTGGAAGGTAGATGGAGAGCTCAAGTGGACGAAAGCTACGGCGGCGGCGGACAGGCATGGAAGCGTCATTGAGCATCGATGGGACATCATCAAGACCATCAAAGTGTCGAAAGTCAGTTGGGCGGCTGATGCTAGGCCGAGAGTGTGAGCGCCTGGGTCGTGCAAGGCTTGAGATGCTCGCACGAGACGAAGCACGTGCAGCATATTCGCGACTGTTGGAAACCCATTGCGAAACATGGCGGCTCATGGACTGGCTTGTTGAAGGACGCTGATGTATCGGCTCAACGCAAGGCTGGGGTACTGGACGCGGTTGTTCGTAGCATATTCGCATATTAGTCTCGCCTATGGATCAAAAGCGTTAGCATCGTGTTGGATTAGTCGGAATTACCCCATGCGGTTCCAACATATTGGAAAGGTGTTGGAGCCATCGCCCGGATATAGTCGTGCATTAACCATATTAAGGAGAATGCAAGCTAGTTGCATGATGCATCTCAACAAGAATGTTGAATTTGGGGATCAACGGCTGACGGCGATGATGGACGAAGGAGACTGCAGAGACATTTGCGCGAAAAGAGGGAGCAATAGGGAGCAGCGGCCGTGATGATGAGAAATAGAGTGGAAGTCAAACGTACCAGTAGCTTTCAACGCGTCACTTCCGTCATTCGCAAGATCCTCTTTCGATGCACAGCATCCAAACTTGATGGCCAGCCATGGGGACCTTGGCTCCTTCTCTTGCATATTCCCGTAGTTCATCTTCATTTTGTGCTGTAAACCAGTACAGCTAATAATCCATCATCGAAAACAATCCAGAACAGTCGAACAAGAAGCGTGGTAGAGAATGTCGCGCCTGAGCAAGGCAAAAGCAAAGACTAAAAGATACTAGAAGAGGGTAGTAGAAGAAGGCAGGAAGGAATTGTAAGGATGGGAGAAGAAAGGCTGACTGCGCGAACCATTCGGATAAAGTCGCAGCTTGTTGACGAATGTGTTGTCCCGCAACTGATGGTTCGCTTCTGGAATGCGCAAGCCTGTAGGTTCTGGCCGTCAGGAACAGCAAACCACTCGCAACTCACAGGACGACAATGGCTGGCATGTTATAGATGAGCCCTGTCCCTTACCTTTCCGTAGGCGCCCAATGGCAGTGCACCCCTACCATGGTGGTTGTTAACCTCGCAAGTTAGTTCGCGTTGAGGCTTGCGCGCATTGAGTTGAGATGGTAGGGTGTGGGTTGTGATTGGCTAGGGGCATATAGTAAGCGCTCAAGGCAGAGCGGAGACTCGCAGTAACGTGGACCAGTGACGAGGCAATAGCGCTTGCGGCTTGAAACTGCCAGAAGCCTTGTCGGCATGTGGCGTGCTGGGTTTCCCTTCGTTGGACAATCTGGCATCAGGACTGCTGCTTCATATCGGGCATGTTCGAGCATGCGCACAATTGTCGCGTCCTCGAGCGGATCATCGCGACCATGCGGGGATGCCTTGGAACACTGGATGCTATTTGCGAAGTTTGAAACATGCGCAACACAACGAGCGTCATTGTTTGAGATGGTTGCACAAGCAGATTCCGATAGATGATGGTGGTGTTGAATTTGATGAGGACGGAATGCCTTGGTCTGGGAAGTGCAAATCGCGTGTGCGCCCAATCCATCGGTCGTGGAGGCTCTCGCCAAGTTCCCTCCCGCACTTGCGTGCATCGCGGGATATGCCATATAGCGAACCATATAGCTCCTCATGATTTCACGTAAAAACCTTCTGATTGGTAATCTGTGATTGGCAAAATGCAAGTCTCTTGAAACAACTATAGAAGAAATCGCCAATCCACTCCTCCAATCAGAATACGCAGGTGGGTTGCTTGTATTTGTCAAGGCACATTTTCGTCGTTGTACTCAGTTTTGCTGGCGCCAGCACATCGAGGCAGACCTGGACGCCTTACTTTGTAGCAGCATCGCACACGAGACAAAATCTCCACCTATGTCTCCTTTGGGAACGCGATGGAGACCCCAATCAGGGCTTGGATTGATTGGCTGCATGTTTTAGATGACAGCCGAAACTTATGCACGTCGGACCGTAAGCTGCACTTGCTAGTTCAGAGATTGATAAATATCTTTCATGGTCATGGTTTCGAATCTATCTGGCCGAACAAGGAAATCGCTAACATTCTAACGCCGCAAGAAATGTATCGCGAGGTGTAATATGTGATATGAGCTTGGGTATAAAACAGATGCGACAGCCCAAAATCTGACGAAGCAGCCTTCCAGGAAATCAGGATCGTGGATGCGTCATCAGTCGGCATTCCAGGCATTGCGCTCGTCTCTGAAACTGCCGTAAGACGGACTGGGGTGATCCTCGTGTTCGTTCTGCGTCTTCTGATCGCTGGTATCGCGCGTTTCCCAATGGTTGGCTTCGCTAGCGATGTGCGGCTTGATATCATGTTTCCTCTGCTCCTCGTCGCCTTGGTTCTCCGTGAATGGGTAGTTTAGGTTGTGCTCAGCCTCCGGGTTCTGTGGCTCAGCCTCATCTGGGTTGAAGCCCTCTCGAACCTCTTCCTCTTCACCTGCCTCGTATGTTTTACTGCGGATGTTGTTAGTCTTGTCTATTACCTCGGAAAGCGAACTTACACAAAATGCTTAGAGGGGACTTCATTCCATCCTGGGCCACCTTCCTTACGTGCTCTGACACGATCGACTTCTTCTGCTTGATGGTCCTCCACAACAAGATCCACGAGCTGGCTCTTGTCGGATTTGGCTGAGCTCGACGAAGAAGACTTTTGACGAAGGAGGTTGGCAAATGGCGCGCGCGACTTGGAGTGCGGTGACTTGGAGCGAGATGAATCTCCATTGCTCGACTGATCGCGCTGTTTGCCCTTGCTTACAGATTCTTGGATATCCTGAATTTGACTCTTCCTTCTCCGCTTGTTCTCCTTGGTGGGTTGAAGTAGGTTTCGATTGGTTGATGCAGTCAGAATGTTCGGGTCGGCGTACATGCGGTCTTCGCGAGATGGACGGTGGGCTTCGATGACGGGATACTGCAGCTGAGTCAGATTAGGCACAATGTTTAGAAGCTGCGTACTTACGTTCCAGTCGCCAAACTCAAGCTCACGAGCGTTATCATATAAGCGCTCTTCCTCGGCATCCAGGCTAGGCTCTTCGACGGTGTCGGGCGTTCCGTACTTAGCACCCTCGCCCTTTATAGCCTTGTGTGGCCCTGGGCTCATGGCTCTGGCGCGGCTCGATGTGACTTTGCTGAGAAGTGGTTCATGCTCCGACCCTTGTCCAGGCTTGGGGATCCAGTACTTGCCCTTTCCTCCTCGTTCGTATCTCATGCCCTCGGCCATACGTGCAGCACGCGACGCCGACTCCTCGTGCGCCAACACATTGTCGCGCGCATCGAAATACCGATATTCATAGTTCTTACCAGCAAAGGTTTCCTTGGTATCCTGGATGAGGTCGAGAGGGCCAAAGGCATCACGCAAGGCATATTTGACGGGCAGTCGCGCAGCCGAGATGGTATCGTCGGCGTAATCGTGCCAGGAAAATGCATACCAATGGGCAAGTGCGAAGAGTGGCATCTCAAAGCAGATAAGAGCATCCTGGATAGCAGCGGCCAGATTGTCAGGACTGTAACCAGGTACGTCATCTGGAATAGCCCCTAAGAAGACGAGGATGGAAAGGAAGAATCCTTGCCAGTAAGAAGCGAAGATGATGCCCTTGATGCACAAGAACTTGGGCATGGGCCGGAAGGGCTTGAGGTCGGTGGACATGCACACCCAGAACATGGCTAGAGCGTAAAGACTGATGGTGATGCTGACGTTATAGATGATGCCGCTCCAGAAGTAACCGGAGGTCACGCCTATGTATCCTTCCTGGTATGTGCCGGTAGCCTTCATGATGATGGTAGCCACAGACAGAAGCGGCTTGACCCAAGTGTATTGCAGGATACCGCGTTTGATAGCGAGGAAGGTATATGGATCGGATATGTCGATCTTGGAGCAAACGAGATTGAGAGGCCATGGGTGGGATACAGGTGCGCGACCGGTCATGAGGATGATGAGGGCGCGTTCGCCGCCGATGAAGTTGATAAGCAGCTGGAGGAAGGTGTAGATTGTGAAGGCCTGAGGCGTCAGTAATAGCCACTGGAGGAGGAGATTGTGTGTACCTCATAAACGTCTCTGAAGGGCTCCACGTAGGACGCTGCCATGGTCGATACCAAGCTGGCCCATGATGCGCCTGCGTAGATGGGGACCCTTGATATCGTGAGCAATGACACAGGATAGCTGGAGAGATTGCGTACATAAGCAGGATACGGACGACATATCGCTGCAGCACCGGCTTGCGGTAGTTCTTCCTATATCTTGTTCAACATGTGGGGATAACGGTCAGACGGTTCGTTCTCACGTTTGTAACCAGACAGCACTACAGCTACGTCAGCTCGAGTCATGCGTGATGGAGGCTCTACTACCTACACGAAAGTAACCAGACTCGCGACAAGAGCACATACGCCTGCTACGATGATGACAGCACGTGCAAAGCGAGCACCGGTGCCGCCAGACGAGAAGTCGGCGCCCGTGACGTCTGGCGAGTGGGTGCCTGAAGCCATGGTTGAGGCGTAGGCGAGCGAGCGAACGAACAGGAAGGAACTGGCAGTCGCAGTCCTGAGGACGGTGAATGGAAGAGAGAAAGTGTAAAGGTATCAGCGATGGATGACGGCCATGGTGTGTGTTGTCGACTCCCACACGGCGTCGTGCGTGTGGTCTTGTGCACGTTCGCCCTCCACAATGTGGTAGGTTTGCGGAGAGGCAGAACAGGCCCAAGCTCGCTTTCCCTGCACGACGCCCATGACGCGCATCCTGCACGTCGCGCCTCGAACATCAATCGGCCCTGACCCAGTAGCGCCATCTTCAGCTTCAACATAGTGCACATCGATGACAACGCCAGTGTCACCCTAAGTATCTTGAGTTACCAACACCACCAGTGAATGTCGCAAGATTGAGCAGGAGCCACCCCTTCGCTCCTTCCATCTCCGCTCGTTACGACCATGCGCAACTTCCCCCTCGAGCCATGAAGACGCCCACTCTCCTCCACATAACGCGCTGCAGTCATGGCGTCCAGAATCGTCGCGGAGCCCCTGGACCCGCGCGACGGCTTCAATTGGGTGTTCCTGGTTGAGCTGCTCATATGCGGCATCCTGACCATCTTCTTCCTCTTCTACTTCAACCGCCTCTTTGCGACCCTCGTGTCCTACGGCATTCGCGCATACACCTGGCGCACTTTCAACGCCTACATCGACATCACCTCGCTCCAAATCTCCCTACTGGGCGGTCGCCTCTTCTTCAAGGACATCCGGTACCACGGCCACAACGAGACGATACTGGTCCATGGCGGATACATCACCTGGAACTATTGGTTGCGGCGGGTCAAAGATGCGGGCGTATATACTGACGACGACCCTGCTTCAGAGACCGATAGCGAGCGCGTACCAAGCACACCCAGGAGTCGGTCGGATAGTCGAAGTGGGAATGTCGACAAGGCAGAAAAGGGAGGCAAACAGACGCGGAAGGAGTTACCATGTCGCTTCTCCATCAAGATATCGGGCATCGAAGCTTTCATGTACAACCGGAGCCCTGCATACGACGGCATCATAGACGCAGTCAAGAAGAAGGCGGAGAGCGCAGCCCAGGACGAGAAATCGCCCGAGGGATCAGTAGCGGATTATGACAAGGCGGAGAAGGACGAGCACCACCACCACAATAAGCTGAAGAAGTCGCAGACCGAAGGTGACAAGAATGTCACCCGAGCCGATACGGGCCGATCGACCTCGTCAAGTCCCAAGAAAGCCGATATTCCAGCCTTCCTCAGGCTCCTTCCCGTTCATATTGATATTGTGAAGGGCGCCATCGTCGTCGGAAACGAGCACACGCTGGCCGTTATAACCGCACAAATCGAGAAAGCTACCGGCACCATCGACGCCTCCACCTGTGGCCCCTTGGACGTTTATCAGCAGCTATTTAATTTCCAGGTCACGCACCCTGTTGTCCATATGAAACCCAACCCCGATTACAAGATTGGACAACTCGATTCAGCTGTACAGTACAAGCAAGAAGTAGCAGGGGGTGTGCCAGAAGACTCTATTATCGAGAAAGAGGCGCGGCATAGGAGACACTGGCGCTGGCTGAGGAGACTTCCAAACCTCGCTGGGCTCTTTTCCAGAGACTCGGATTCTATCCATACTCACACAAGGCCAGGTACGGCTATTAATCCACCTCTGAACTCACAATGGCACTTTCCTGGTCGCGAACGATGGAAGGGCCTGGCAAGGTACCTAGACGATACCACCAACGATGGCCATGGCGAGTGGGATGGCATCGAATACGCCAAGACATCGTTGATTGCTGACTGCCCTTGTGTCAATGTCTCCTTCTACTGGGACGTCCCTGGTCCAGTGCCGAATAATATCGACCACAGCCGGCACATCGATCTCGCGCGCCCGTACGACATCAACGGAAGCATCCCACCTGACTATGGCATGGATATACAAATCTTCGGAGGTACTATCAACTACGGACCTTGGGCGGATCGGCATCGCGGCATCTTTCAAAACATGTTCTTCCCCGGCAACCGTGTTGATGCCGTCCCAGCGACCCCTCTGAAAGCTGGCGACATCCGTGTACAGTCCGTGTTCAAACTTTTCCTCAGCATTGAGAAAGATACTGTGTTGCGCATACCAATCCGCGAATCATCCAAGGATTGGAAGTGGAAAGGAAAAGCGCACACGTTAGCGGCACACGATAAGCCTGGGGCGGACAAGAACAAAGGCAAAGCAAAGTCTCGCATAAGACGGGGAAAGCGACGAGACAACGCTGGTGCGCAGAACGTTCGTCCTTTTGCATGGATTGATGTCAAGATAGCCGAGCAATCCACCGTCAATTATGTCATGGACATGTACGCCTCGAAGCAAGGATACCAGAGCAAGGTAGACGTCGATGTAGCGAGCACTGAGATCTCCTCCAGTGTCAATCACGGTCTGTTATGGCGTTCTGGCGCTATCACGCTTGACTGCGACTTTTCTAATCCTTTAGGTTGGAACACATTGCGGAAATGGCTGTTCAACATCAAATGTCAAGATCTAGAGCTCTTCTTGCTCAGGGATCATATGTTCCTGATTATGGACCTCGTGGCCGACTGGGGCTCGGGTCCACCACCCGATTACTTTCTTTTTGTGCCCTTTCAGTACCTACTCAGCGTTGACTTCTCCAACTTCAAGTTGTATCTCAACACAAACGACTCCAACATTATAAACAACCCGTCTGATCTGGAAGACAACAACTTTGTTATCCTGTCCGGTCGTAACTTGCAAGGAGACGTGTCCATACCATTGGACAAGTTCCGGCCGCTTGAGAATGAAATCAAATTCGACGTCAAAGGCCAGAACCTAGGTCTCGAGGTCTTGATGCCTCAGAAGAACACATTGCGGACCTTTGTACAATCGCCGAAAGTAGCGCATTTGGGTGGGCTCACTTTAAGCGGTAGTCATACCTTCATGACTGAGACATCGCCTATGAACACCGATAGACTTTTCATGGACATCCAAGGTCATAAACTCAACCTTGAACTATACGGTTGGCTCATACATCATTTCATGAAGATCAAAGATAACTACTTCGGCGATGACATGCACTTCAAGACACTGGAGGAATTCCAGGGGCTACCGAGTGTTACTTTAGCAGCAGACGGAACCCCGACGGACAGTCAACCAGCCAAACTCTCGAACGACCTGGATGTAATACTGTGTATTTCTGCAGATGAGTCATGTGTACTAGTACCAGTCAACCTGTACGCAGCAGAGCGTGGCATTCGAGCCGATCTTCCATTCGCCTCCGCGGATCTTAGGTTTACCAACTACTACATGGATTTGATGGTCAATTTCAGTCCCATCAGCGTCTCTCTTGGAGGGTTGGTACCAGACGCTGACATACCTAACGAATTTACAACTGGACCTACGGAGCTCTTCGTTGACTCAACAATCATCTTTGGACATCGCTTGTTTGGTCTACCACCGACAGAGCCAACATATCTGTGTAGTTGGGAGTTCGACGTAGGAAAGATTTCTGGAGATTGTACATCCGAGTTCGTTGAGACTGCAGCAGGAGCAGCGCGCTCATTTGCTTTCACTCTCGACGATGATGAAAACACGCTTCCTCTAACCGAGTTCCCAGTGATACACGATGCGACCTTCCTAAGACTGACGACACATGACATCAGCGTCTGTGTACATATCGCCCAAGAAGCGTTGTTGCTCAAAACGAGTCCAGTGAGTGTTAACTTCAACGATCTTGCCGGAAGTACGTTTTCTCAGCGACTGAACGTCTTAATACCGGACTTCACAATCAGTGCCGTTCCGTCCAAGTCTGTGTCGCATCACAGAGCACGATCCAAGGAAAAGGAAGCCGTCACTCCCCAGGCCTATCTTCAAACCACTGTGTCGTTGAATCTGCTGACACGGAAACTGGACTTCTCCGAGGAGCGCGCGCAGCAGCAGGCTCATATGCGAATTCACGACAAACGGACTAATCGCACTCGCTTCATGCTTGCTGACGAACGGGGTTCATCGTCACTTCAAGATGACGCAAACCGACAAAACTTGCGTACACCAGCAATGCAATATCCGGATGTGCCCCATCCAATCTTCCTCTTCCAGCCACCTCACCATCACAGTTCGTTCACACCATCCAAACAATCCTCGAATGCCTCGTCATCCAAAGCGCGACGAATGCGCCCAAGCAGCAAGCGGTCGTCTTCAGCCCTGTCGTTTGCCAGTAGCATCCGATCTGCGGTCAGACATAAGGCATCCAAGAAGACCACAGGTAACAGCGGCAGCCGGACTCTGCTGAGCGGATCACCAAACCCGGTGGACACGAGGCATCGATCCTACTCGCCCTTCAAAAACGATGAACGTATCAAGCAAGACTGGACACTGTCATCTGTTGCATTATCTAGCAGTTTAGCTGTACCTTACTTTCCATTCGATCAGGTCGAGCCGGATCTATCGGATGTTCCGTCTTTTCCTGCCATACCCTCCAGCAATCGCTTCCGGGATGTCGACGACGTCGTCTTCAATGATGTATCAACGAAGCATTTGGACGAGAGCTTTACGCACAGTAGCATACTGGTTAGCGCGGAACCAGGCATACGCGTCTTCTGCACACCGGAGTTTGTTACATGTATCTCGAGTCTGATTGAACTGGTTCAACCCAGGCGTCCTGAAGATCTGTTGGATGATTTCCAAGTCAATGTCATGACAAAGATTCTTGAGAACCGGAATCGACTGGAAGGGAAGGGCAGCTCCGTTGAGTTCAACGTTCGCGTACCCTTTACACACGTTCGATTTCAACACACCTTCCAAGCTCACTCCACAAATGAGACAGGGCAGGATCAATATGATGTCATCCTTAACAGGCTCACGCTGGCAGCAAGGATTAAGAAGTTTCCCGGCGAACGAGCTGGGGAGAATTCGCTTTCGTTACACTCCACCTTGGGTTCGCTTGGTCTTTCTGTGACCGAGCGTAATCTTCATGGCCCGGGTGGAGGAGTTGCTATTCAGGCTGAAATCAGGGATGTCCTGTTGTGGATGATGCAAAGCAAAGAAACCTCGGTGAATGTTTCTTTTCGGTCATTGGAGAATGCGGTCGCAAGCAAGAAGGTCGAATATTTGGCAGCGCTCATTCACCGGACGACACTGTTGTCAGAGAAACTGGTTACAAGATTTGCTGAAGTCGGGGAAAGACAACAGCATCGACTACGCTACCTGGCCTGGTACCTCACAAGCGTACAAGACCAATACCCGGATCCCGCCTTTCTCACTAAAGCGTCCTACGCCATTAGGGCAGCTAGAGACCATCTGCGCAGTCATGATTCTTGGAAAATTATTTCCCGGTTTCGCTATACCTGGCAATGTCTTCCACAAGTCGAGAAAGACGCTATACTTGGCGACTGCTCGCAGTCCGATGTGGCATGCCCTGAGAACGCCGAGCAAAAGATTATCGGCATGTGGGACCAGTGGCGTACGTGGGACTTGGCGCATGTGAAGAAGAGCCTTGCGATGAGGCTGCTTTTTGGACATGTTGAAGAACCGCTCCCAACTCCGGACTCCGCACCTTTACGTGTCGACATTAGGTCAGCAGAAATCAAGTTCATCATTGACCCTGGCCCAAGACAAAGCGAGGTATCTTTGGGTCTCCTGGCCTTGAATGTCGTCTTGTTGCCCCCAGCGCAACCTGCTGGGCTGATGGTGGTAGATGCAGGTACCCTGAAGAAGTCTACCGTCGTCCAAATTAGCTCCAGGGACACGTCACTACATGTTCAGTGGGAGATTTGTGAGCTTGCGGAATCTCTACTAGAACTGTTCCAGAAGGAGAACTTAAGAGCAGCAGAGAAGATGAAGTCAATAAGCCCGCCACTAGGACACAGCTCAAAACCCACATATGACCATGATCTGCAGGTGGTATTCGCGACCGATAAGGTTCAGATTACGCTGGATACTATCAACCTTCGGAGCATCAACACTGGCGGAAGCATGCGATTCTCTTTCCTCGATGCAGACAGTAGAGCATCAGGACTCGAGGAGATCATATCCGCTCATCTTCACGTCGATGTCGCCGTGAGCGAGCTGTCATCACGATCTCGGCTCCTGGCCAAAACGCAATTCGAACGACCAAGCATCTATTTCGCCATGGTCGAGTCCGGAGATGAGAACAAAACACCCAATGAGATCAAGGTGGCAGCTGCGAGTCGTAGGATCGTTGTGAAGGTGCAAGAGGATATTCTAGGCCTCATTGAAGTGGCGGATAACGTGCTCAAGGATGAGGCCGCGTACTTCCATCGACAGTCTACAAACATGAAGCGCTTTACGAGCACAACCGCGAAGGAAGAGAAGCGTGATAAAACCCCCACTCAGCTGCCTAATATCTCACTTGCACTGTTCATGGACGCATATCACATCGAGCTTGCCGTGCTTCAGCCACTCGGATGGTCGATAACAGGCTCGTCGGGACGCATCGCTGTCGTTCCAGCCTTGGGCAAGCATGTCACCTTGCGCGTCGATTACGATCTCGAAGCGAACTTTCATCGGCTGTACAGTACTTCGAAAGAAGGGTCCCACGTCATCAGTTCGCTTGAGTTACCTCCTCTCAATGGAAGGCTGTCAATCATGCAGACCGAGAAAGAGACCAGGGTTGAAGCGTCAGGCATCGTCGAGAAGGTACATGTTCAGGCTTCGGAGATTCAGTCTTTCGTCGCGACCATCAACAAGCCGGAGATGTCACATATGTTTCAGGCGGTCCAGGACGACGTTGGGGTCCTGAAGACGCACATTGAAGAGTTGTTCCCACCTTCAGCGAGCTCACCAGTAGTCAAAGCTCCTACCTCCTCACCGGATATTTTGTTCAAGGTGCAGATGACGCTGCATGGAATGCACATCTCAGCTAGTGCCCCTGGTCAACACCCAGACTCGCCGACAGCCAACCTCGCGTTCAGGCTGTCCACAGTTCAGCTGAAGGCCACAAACATCGATATGGATCAGAGAATTATGCTATATCCTGAAGCTGTGGTAAGAATCCATGAAGTTACCATCGATATGAGCCTCAAGGATCAAGATTCGGTTCGTCGATGCGGTAATCTCACATTCGGCGCCGTTTTCCAGGCAACTACCGAGAAGGATTCTGAACCTGCCCGCAGGGTCTATCGTCTCCGAAGCTCGGGTCTGGAAGTGAACGTCTTCGCGGACACAGCGTCAGCGGTGGTGGACGTAGTGAATCATCTTCAAGACAAGATCAAAGATCTAGACCTCTCCAAAGAGAAGAAATATCTACGTCGTCTCCGGCACACGAAGAGCAGGATCTCTCACCGACGTGACCGCAGTCTCAAAAGTGATGCGCGTCAAGACTCTGACAGCACCAGCTCTGGGGCTCTCTTTACGTCGACGTACTCCTTGGAACTCGTTGACCTGCAGGTCAGCTGGATCGTCGGAAACTCGGTCGCTCCTTTTCCCCGAAATGAGATTCACGATCTTGTGCTTTCTTTCGGAAAGATCGACCTGTCAACACAGAAAGACGATGCTGCGCGCTTGATGGTTGAAGACATGCGTTTACAAATGGTACCGGTATCGGCAAGCAAGAAGACGCGATCTCTAAACTCAGCATTGCTGCCCAAGATGGTGTTCAACGTAGCGTATGCCTCCACGAAAGATACGCGCAAACTTGCATTCTATGCTGCCGGGAAATCACTCGATCTTCAGCTCGACTCGCACTTTGTCTTACCCGGCAATGTCATTGAGCGCTCTATTGCTCTTGCTGGCAAGAAGTTCCGCAAAGCCTCTGCTAATTGGAACATGACACCTACGACCACCGGTGCACAGCGGAAGAATCCATTTGGAAACAAGCGTCTTGCATCGCTGACCGCTGATGTTAACTTTGCTGGAGCTGTCGTGCATATCCATGGTAGTGATAAGGCGCCAGTACAGGGCGCTTCTAGTCGAGCTCAACAAAAGGGACGCTATAGCCAGTTTGTGGGCGACGAGTCGAAGAGCAGTATGGCATTACGAGCACCAGGTGTGGCAGTACGCGTCGAGTACACAGACGACGGAAGCGATCCTTCTCTGAACGCCGAGCTTCGTGTTGATGGGTCAACCAACACGCTACTACCGACTGTCGTGCCTATCATCATCGATATATCGGACAGCATTAAAGCTGTGGTCCGCGAGAAGGACGACGAGGATGAGGCTGTATCGCCTGAGCAGCCTCAAGACCAGACTAAGCCAACTGCGAAGCTGCTTGAAGAAGACAACATCATCACCGCAGATCCCACCACCATCTTGGGTAGGACAAGACTGAACCTGGGACTCCGGATATGCAAGCAAGAGTTCAGTCTCAGCTGTCAGCCCATTGCTCGTGTCACAGCAATTGCCAAGGTCGAGGATATATACATCACAGTGAACAGTGTCAAGTCTCAAGAGCATGGTCACTTCTTTGCTGCATCAGCTACGTTCGAGAAACTCGTGACTACTGTTCAGCATGTCTACTCTCGTGAGTCCACGTTTAGCTTGGACATGGAGTCTATCGTGATTTCATTGATGAACAGCAAACATCTCAGCGGTACCAGTGGTATCTCGGCGATCCTCAAGATCAACCCGACCGCTCTCCAAATCAATGCGCGTCAGCTGCAAGACTTCCTGTTGTTCAGAGAAATCTGGGTGCCGCCAGAGATCCGTCGGGCTTCTAAGCCCACGTCACCGAGCGCCAACTCAGAACCACAGGAGTTCCTCATACAACGATATCAGCAAATCGCTGCTGGTACCGCTTTCCCTTGGAACGCCAATGTGGCTATTGCAGATGTCAAGGTTGATCTAGATCTAGGACAATCAATCGGAAAGTCATGGTTACACATTCACAACATGTGGGCTTCGTCCAAAAAGAGTACCACGTCGGAGCAGAACTTATGTGTCGGGGTTGAAAAGATTGGAATTGAGAGTACAGGTCGCACGAGTGGCTTCATCGAGCTGCGTGAGATCAAAGTACGTACATCGATTGGGTGGCCATTGCAAAAACCAGGCACTCGTCAAACGCCTCTCATTCAAGCATCAGTGGCTTTCCGTCAGCTGCGTGTAAGGACTGGATTCGACTTCCAAGCTTTCGTGATGGCGGATATCGCGGACTTCGGCTTCTTGATGTACAACGTTCGCCCCGAGGGTGACGATGTACAAGACCGACTGGTTGCTATACTCGACGGTGGCAAGGTGCACGTATTCTGCCACGCTACGAGCGCTGCACAGGGTCTTGCGCTATGGCAAGCGATCGAACGATTAATTCAGGAGAACCAACAAGCGTACAAGCAATCTCTCCGAGACATTGAGAAGTTTCTGCGTCGCAAATCATCAATACCCGAACCATTCGAACGACCAGGATCACACAGCCAGATCCTCGCGAAGCCGGACAAAGACAACTTCAAGACACCCATCTCACTGCATACAGACGTCGTCGTCACGTTAAGGTCGATCAGATTCGGTGTCTTCCCATCAACTTTCATAGACAACCAGGTCCTGATGCTGGAAGCTGGTGACATGCAAGCGCGCTTTGCTGTCGCACTCGAGAAGAAGACCAAGATTCATTCCAGTCTCGGCATGACGCTCGGTCAACTCTCCGTCGCATTAGCTTCAGTACCAACGCCAAAGAAGAGTAAACCCGTGACTGAGCTCACAGTTGAGGACGTTTCTGCAAGCGTCAGCTCGGCACGCGGCGGCACCATCTTACGTGTGCCCAAGGTCATTGCTACAATGCATACCTGGCAAGTGCCCAAGGGCACGCACATCGATTACCTCTTCCGCAGCTCCCTCGAAGGCAAAGTAGATGTCGGATGGAACTACTCACGCATTTCCTACATCCGCACCATGTGGTCGAACCACTCGCGCACCCTTGCCTCCCGCCTCGGCAAACCCCTCCCAGAATCCAACATCAAAATCAGCACCTCTCAAACTCTGCAGGATGATCCAGATGCTCCCGCACCCGACCCTAACGCTGCCGACAAGACCGCCATGCCTTCGAACCGACCCCGCGCTCCCTCCGTATCTCCAGATGGCCAAGAGAAGATCACAGCTGTAGTCAATGTCCCACAGTCACGCTACGAGTATACGCCGTTAGAACCGCCCTTGATCGAGACGCCGCAGTTGAGGGATATGGGTGAGGCGACGCCGCCGTTGGAGTGGATTGGCTTGCACCGGGATCGGTTGCCGAATGTTACGCATCAGATTGTTATCGTTACGTTGTTGGAGGTTGCGCGGGAGGTCGAGGAGGCTTATGAGAGGATTCTGGGGAGTAGTTGAACAAGATAGGGGAAGGGAGTGGTGTATAGTACATCGTTCAGGTTTCATCAGTGGGTGTTCTTGAGCTTGGAGTTAAGGGAATGAGACTGGTGCATTATGTATATGGGCGTTTCGGAAGGAAAAGAACTTTAAGAGTTTGTATAAATTACTGGCCATCTATATACGCATTTTTTGGAGTTTATGATACTCAATACGTTGCAATACTGTATCGATCAATTTTTTCGCACTTGCAACAACATCATGTAACCAAGGTCATCTGACTGGATGCAGTAGAATACCAGAACCTACAAGTCGCAGCATAGTTCTGTATCACAAAGATGCAAGAGAATGAAATTCAGAAGAGTTATAAAAGGCTTACTATTCTGTAAATTTATTCCTCTAGGTTTATTTGAGTAAGGCATTGTTGTTGTGACAGACGCTTAGCAAAGGAAAGAACATGCTCAATTTTGGCCCATGCGCATAGGGGAAAAGAGGGAGGATGCCTTATGCTAAGTCACCTGCCTGCCTACCCAACCGCGCAACTTCTTCATCCAGCCGACTAAACCTCTCCTACCTGGTTCGCGTTGCGAACGCGAAGGAGACGCGTCAAGTGATGACGTCAAGTGCTAAGCTGGCTCATGTCGACGTTGTGCAGTTGTGCAGACTTTGTAAAAATGTCTGCAAGACCTCAACCTTCGGTTCTTTTCACCTATCAAGCTCACCACATCTCTTACTAGGCACTAACCGGGACCGATCAACGCAGCATCCGATCGTGAGGTCTGAACATAGCGGGCTTCGCTTTTAGGAACAGAATCTCTGGTCTAGACCATGCCGAGTTTCAATACCATACACTCATTAGAGGTTTGCCAACAATAAGAAATGCTATAAAGCGTTTCATCATATTTCGGTAATCTTTTCGACCACATCTCACAACAGCCTCTCAATGAAAAGCGCTATTCACCTGGCATTCGATAAGAGATGGACACTACGACAGTCACAGATCTATCACCAGTCTCCACTGTGTCGATCTTCGACGACATCCATAATGACAATACGAACACAAGCTCCGGCCTTTTCAAATTCAGTCATGGCCTCGCCGGCGTCGATCAAACGTTGAACTTTATGTTTGTCAACATTCTCATTGCAACCGCTTTGATACCGATTATAACCGCTCTGTTCCTCCGTATTGTCATTACTGCGAGAAACGATCGACGACGAATCTCAGCCATCGCTTCATGTAGGGGACAGGAGTTCTGGTCAAAGGATCGTTACTCGTACTGGGGAGTTATCAAGCGGCACTTCCTGTATGCGCCAGCCGGATTGATCAAATGTCAACAACCAGCGAAAGGCTCCACTGGTGGTACAACTCCAATCTCTCTACCTACTTGCGCCAATATAGTTGTAATCGTCGTTTGCATCCTTAGCAGTGCAGCCTACTGCCTGGTAATTTCCGTACGCCCATGCCCCCAAATGGTAGCCGAGTTCCGCGGCCGGTGCGGAACTCTTGCGACATTCAACGTCATACTGACGGTTCTCTTCGCTCTCCGGAACAATCCTCTGATAAGTTTACTTCAGATTAGCTACGACACCTTCAACCTTTTCCATCGGTGGACGGCGCGACTTGTTGCGGTGGAGGCTACAGCCCATTCCTCCGCTTTTCTGTACAACACGTATGGGGCAACCCACAACGAGCAGAGCGGCGGGCAGAGCGGCGGGCATAGCGTGGGCTAGCTTTTACAACAATCGCTGTCGTATCAGTGCGGTCTTGCGTCTTTCGCCGCCTTTGTGTTTCTTATGATTCATTCCATCGGCCCTATCAGACGCCCTTTCTATGAGACGGTTCTCCCATTGCGCCGCATCGGCATTGCAGTGGCGATTATGGTGTCTGTTTCCATCTGGCAAAACATGCTCTGCCACAACTGCCTTGGATGTACTTGGTCATCGTTCTCTTATCGCTAGAGCCCCTGATCCGCGTCTTTCGCATACTGCGTCACAACTTCTCTTGGAAAGAAAAGGCGTGGACTGTTGTCAGCCTAGAAACATTACCTGGCGAGGCGACGCGTGTCACCTTTACTCCTCCCCACTCGCTGAACATCAATCCTGGATCACACGTTCAGATATACCTGCCAAGAATAGCACTAATGGGATCACATCCGTTCTCAGTGGCTTGGTCCCAGTCATCTGGATACGCGAAGATCCCGGCGGAGAAGGTACCCTCCACCACCGACGACCTTAAACTGGAAGGCGGGCCTAGCACCATCTCGTGCATCATTCGCTCACGCCAGGGAATGACGGGTACTCTTTACAAGCTGGCAGCGAAATACGAAAACGTTCAGGTGCATCTCTGAGGAGCGATTGAGGGGCCGTATGGTGGCTATCACTCGCTCGACTTATATGGTACTGTCGTCCTCTTTGCGGGCGGAGTAGGAGTCACGCACCAGCTGTCTTTTGTACGCCATTTGCTCAAGGCGCACAACAGCAACACTGCTGCTACACACAAAATTGTCCTTGTGTGGTGTATAGCCAACCTTGATGCGTTGGAGTGGGTGTGGTCGTGGCTCGACGAGATCGCGTCGACACAGCACTTTTGCGAAGTTGTGAGCATACGACTCTACGTTTCCAGGATGGTCTCATTCGAAACTGGAGGTCGGTCCCTACCAGCGTACCTCGGTGTAAGACTGCAACGGTGTGAGGTACAGGGCGTACTGGACGAAGAGGTGCTTGCACAGATTGGTACCATGGCGGTCTTAGTTTGTGGGCCAAGAGGCTTCAGTGACAGCGTTAGGGCAGCTGTCAGACGTAGAGTGGGCGTACGAAGCACTGATCTTTTCGAGGAGGCGTTTTCGTACTAACTGGCACTTGCTGGAAGCGTCGATAGGAGGGTAATCTATGGACATGGCAAATTGAGCAAGACACGTGTACTTGGAGCCAGTGTTTGGCCAATTTACCCGACTACGTGTACGAAGCACGAATATAGTACAACACGACTGCCACGCTGGTTGGCTTGTGATAATGCCAAAGTGCCACTAAGCTTGGCCGGGACTGACGTGAGCAATGTGTGCTGTCGGAATACGTTGCCGCATGAGGCCACGGTAGACAAGCTGCTGGAACACCACATCAAATCTTCCCGAAATTCACCCCGCAGTTAGTCTGTTTGAAACAACACCTTTAATCGTCTCCTCGGCGACTACGATCGTTAGTCCACTTGCATACTCTACGAGGATGGCAATGTGTCCTTATCACCACTTGATCGAATGGACTGTAGTGTTGTAACACGTCTTCGAGACGAACCTTTACTTCGATCCCGTCTTATATGAAATTAAAAGAGACTTGAGGATACGAGTGTGAGTTAGTCGACAACACCATCAACGTTCCATTTCACCAGTTTCTGTTTCAAGAATCATCCAAATGGATGAAAGAGGGTTGTGGGTGGGACTTGCTTTCTAGCACGTCGCTCTTCTATGTTATCGCTCATGCCTCTACCTACAATGTATATACGTCATGGAGCTACGCCTCTTAGATTGCGCTTCCCAACAATCGCGTGTCACTACTTCCGTTCTATGATATCCCATTACGATTGAAACTTCTCTAAGCTTCTAGTCATGTCTCACGTTTTCTTACATAGTACTGCCCTCTTGTGGTTGACGTCTAGGCGGCTTGGAGATGCGACGCGCTCTGCAGCATGGTGAGGGTGGCCGTCACTGCCTCGATTTCCAGCGCTCCTTCCTCACTATCACCAGTACAATCTTTGCTCACCATTAGCTCGCTTCCCAGCGCTCGCAAAAAACACCATTCTCTCGCGATCGACAATGCTGATGTAGAAGGCGTTACTACACTACCTTTTCCCACTACCAGCGAAGTAAGTACTCTCTCACCTGCGCTTCCCCACCAATAACCTGACATTATTCCATAGACCCAACTCGGAACCAATACCTGAACCCAAACTCGTACAAACAAACACTCCAACCAACCTACTCATCATGTCTGCCTCCAACTCCACCAGCAACGGCAATGGCACTTCCCAAGAATCATCCTTCTACCACAACTCAGTGGAGCTCTTCGACCTAGGCATCGCCCGCTTCGACCAAGATACTGCCGCAGTCGGCGACCGCGACTTCGCTCTCCACGCCAGCCAACCCGTCATCGCCCGCGCGGGCCGTGCGCCCCGTGGTCTCGAGAGCCAGGTTCACGCTTGGAATACGTTCCAGTACACTACCGATGAGGTGAACGGTCGCGAGGAGCTCAAGGGTGATTTACATGGCGGGCAGTTGCATCGCGAGAATAGGGCTGCTGCGAATCCACAGGGTATGGCGCCTACGGGTAGTGGTGGTCGAGGCAGTCGAGGAGGCTTTGAGAGGGGAGGCCGCGGTGGTGCTAGGGGTGGGCGAGCTGGAGGTACGGGACGAGGCGGGGGTAGAGATGATGGGCAGATGGAGGGCTTATGTGCGGGGAGGAAGCCGGATTTCGATGCGCCGCCTATGGCTAAGGGGATGGCGGAGGAAATGGATAAAAGTATGTTCTGGGGTGAACCTATTGTTTGAGCGGAGGTGGACATGTGCTGCTACCGCGATACAGAACTATGGGACGTAAAGCATGTTCAATGACCGCTGGTATTATTTACCGCTCATATGGCGCTGTAAGAGCGTCTTTGAAAACACAATCCTTACTCGAGCTACCTCATGCTGCGTTCTAATCTAGAAACTTTCCATCTCCGTTCAGAATCAACGCCGTACTGGCCATGCTCCTCTGCCACATTCCTCTTTCTTCTGTTGAGCCTACACACAAACATAAGACGACGGGAATTACCTAGTCTGGACGAAGTACAGTTTACAGCCTACGCGCTTCCTCCTCCTTGACACCAGCCACAGTCACAACTCACATAGCTACTATGTTGAGTGCAGGTTCTAGGGCAGGCTTTCACGCACGTGTTCCAGGGAGCGACGGAACCACATTCCACCACGATAGACGGAACGGCGGCGGCAAACGCGGTTGTGATGAGACCCAGGGTAGCAGGGTTCAGGGTCGAGGAGGGGAAGTGCATGTTGGACTGGAATGAGAGGTTTGAGAGGAAGCAGGATGAGGCTTGCAGGTGCTTAGGATGGCCGAAAAAAAAATGCAGGAAGGAACAATTCGAACGCTGGAATTGAGGGGCAAGCCACGCGTTATGTTTCGAGAATTGAACAATTATAGAGCGAGCAAGTGTACCCCTTGCGACGGCAAAACGGGCTGATATTGAGGCACAGTCTATTGAAGGGCTTGGTACGCCTCGTTGAAGTTACGATGTGCCAACGACTATACGTTGGCTGTACGTAATATACATACGATTAGATAGGTCGAAGGCGATTATCACATAGCTCTGGCTTGGGTTGATGTAAGCTCCGATACGCCAAGGATTAGCTGACACATGCTGATGTGGTTCAGCAACAGCAGCCACATTGTCCGCTCGAGTGGAAAGTTTCCAGAATCTGGGCAAGACATAACCCCCACTTGCTGACCATGGCGTTTAAGACTTCTTGAAGTGGCGATGGATCAACCCACACAAACTCTCCCACAGCACCTGATCCGTGCCTCTTAGCCACTCAACGACGACCTCGCGCGCCAAGTCCACAACCCGAATACGAAAGGCGAGCTCGATTTTTCGTTCAGAATCTTGCTTCATGTCGACTAGGCCATCTCTCTGCTTGCGTTCGTATGCGCGGCGGTATGAGCGACTCCACACGTTCTGGCTAGCTTCGCCGATGCCTGTCGAGGTAGCGGTATCCCATGTCCAGGTCAAGTCGAGCGACGAGAGCTGAGTGTTGATAGCGTCTTTAGCCGTCTGCGGCTCGACTGAAGGCGGTAATGCGATGGGATAAGAAGTCGGGAAGGGTAGGTATTCGTTGGCCATCTTCTCAATGCGTGCATGGCTCTGAACATGGTAAGTACGAACCACGCGGCAACTCAAGCAATTCAGGTCACACTTACATTTCTTGGTCTAAGGTCCCCAAAACTCCACGCGACGATCCATCGCTTGGTGCTGGACCCCACATCTATGTCACCGACTGCCCAATTGGTAATACCGTGCTTCTTCAAAAGATTGATGATGGCCTTGGCGCTATCCATCTTCCCGAACATGCTGGTATACCATTGCACCTTGTCCTTCAAGACAAGACTCTCATTGACCATCTTCGTGACGAAGCCTAGGTCACCGCCAAGACACACCATCTCGTTCTCTGAGCCCGTACATACAGCGTTGGGTTTCCAGCTTTTCCCCTCACCCTTCAAACTGGACTGCATATCAGAGACATCGGTGAAGAAGGGTGGGTTGCAGATGGTGAAGTCGAGATGTTCAACGCCCAAGGCTGCGAGCGGGATAAGAGGGTTCAGCTCCGTGGTTTGCAGTAGCTTAGTACGAGTCATGAATTTGTTGAGAGCGAGGTTGCGAGCTGCTGAATCAAAACTCTTCTTGTCAATGTCTGTAGCGCACATGGACCAATTCGGACGCGATCTCAGGCACAACAAGGTGTATATGGCGGATGCTCCGGTACCGATATCCAAACCTTGAACTTGACGGTTTGGATCATATTTGCTAGAGTAGTCTGGCGATGTGGAGTCGATTAGACCTTGCAGCCAGGCGACGTAATTCCAGCGATTGGGGATTGGCGGACATAAGCGGTCGCCTGGCACATCTAGTTGAAGGCCGAAGTCTAGCCTCAGAATCGCTTTTGATAGAGCCTGTGTGGTATCGGGGTCCTGGAAATCTAGTTTGCCTGACGTTCGCTGCCATAGTTGTTTGAATTCCTTGTCGCCCTACGAAGCTGTTAGCACGAACAGTCACCTAGAGTAAGCTGTCCGTGTGCTTTGCCTCCTACATAAGCAAGAGGATATTAAACGTTATCTTAGGGCTGCCTACGTAGGTAGCAAGATATTAGGCGCTGTCGCTAAATTCCCCTACCTCAGCTAACGTATACAACAAAACGTACTATTACGCAGTTAGCTAATTGTGTTACACAGCATTCGCGGCAGCTGCTTTACCCTTGGCAAGGACCTTGAAGTCGATGGTGTCATACGGCGGGCGCTGCGCGAAATTCATTCCGTTCTCTGACATGATCCCTAAATCGATTGGGGCGATAGGAGTTATCGCGTCGCTGTATCGTGGTGAAGGGAAACATGCGCAGGTGCAAAGTTGACGCTTGGGCCAACTCGCACTGATTGGCCGACAACCATGTGGGATGGGAAGAGGAAGGAGCATATGAAAGTGTACAATTGATATACAAAAAGTCGGAGATATAGCGTCGCCGCAACTCCCGCTTACACCTACATTATGCTGTCTACCCAACGCCGAACCCATGCATGCGATCAGATCAAAAAAGGCCCGTCGTAAGCTCCATCTTCTTCCTGCAGCCGTACTTCTTCGAGCGTAGGAACGGTATTGGGCTTGTAGAAGCCCAGGAGCATCTCCATGTCCTCCTCGGTCATGGAGCAGAGGTCGTCAAGGGAGTACTGTTCGCAAACCTTTGACATCCTAACAGGCTCTGAGTCAGCGGACATGTTGGGGGTAAGATGTAGGAACGTACCACTGCATGCGCTTAGGTCCCTCCTCGATGTTGGGAGCGACCTTTCGCAGCTTCCTTCGGAGCATTCCGACTCTTTGGACGGCGTTGCCGATGTTGTATGGGAGCCCAGCTGCTATCTGCCTCCTTACGATGTTGGCTAGCTTGGGGCCATTGCCGTTTGTGCTGACCATGATCTGCAATGGCCCATCGCGATGCACGCTGCCAAAGTAGAAGTCGCACTCGGGTGGGACATCGGCAATGTTGGCCGCTATCCGCCTTTCCTTGCATAGCTTGTATATCTGCGACGAGGCTTCCGGGTCGTCGACGGCAGTCAAGACCATGTCGACGCCATCGAGATCTTGCGGTTCGAACTTACGGTCGACATAGTCGACCTGGCCCTGCTCTATCCGGTAGGCGACTTCTTCGTTGAGGCCATCGCGCGGAGACACGACGGTGATTTTGGCGTCGGCATTGAGCACGTTCACGATGCGACCAGCGGCGACCTAGACTTTTGTCAACCGTCAATACTTTGTAGGGAGTCATAGGGGTGGTGACGTACCTCGCCGCCGCCGACGACCAGGACGCGTTTATTCCGAATCTGCCATGCCAATATCAGGGAGCCGCCGCCTTGAATCTCTGGGTAGGGTCCTTTCATGGTGCGGAGAGTGTTGCGGAGATGGAGCAAGCATGCAGCGCGGAGATAGCCATGTCAACCATTCCGCGTCATTGCCAAGGCCGTGCAGAGGAAGACTCGCCGGGCTGGCGTCCATGTAGAGTTTTCTTATCGCATGCCATTACTCGTCGATACCAAATCACGCAATGCTTGATTCCCTGCAACTAACAATGTCTCCATCGTGCGACCACGGAGCGGAACGCGTTTCCAAGATGCCGGCATGTGGTCCTGCAGCGCACCCTTAGCGTCCCTTGCAACGGCTGGCGCGCCCAAGACCCACTCTAGCCTACCCATCCTGGCCCATGTACATTCACGACTCCATAAGACACTCCCGAATATGACCTCCCGTAGGTCTCTGGGCGGCGGTCGTGTACTGGGCAGCGGGAGGAACCTGTCGCCCGCCGCTCCACCGCCGCAGCCAGCAGCCGCCGTCCACCGCCGCAATGCGAGCCTGCTATCGCCCTCGGAGAGCTCGGTGTCGCTGAGCTCGCAGACGTCCATCAGCCCAGCCAGTACCGCAGAGACAAGGGAGGACATCAGCAGTAAGGTCCTGATTGGGCCGACTGAGAATGCAGCGGCGAGTGCGTCAAGTAGACTCGTGTGTCCGATATGTAATGAGGAAATGGTGGGTTCATAGCACCTGCTGCAGCGTGTACAGTGATCTGACGTAGCAGGTAACATTACTACAACTGAACAGGTACTTGCCGCTCATAACAACCCAATATGCTATTCCTGACTAGTATTAGACATCTCGACGACAACCACCAAAACCTCGTGGTCGAGGAGCAGGATGAAGTCAAGAACTGGTTCGAGGCGCAGATGCACAAGGCGAAGAAGTTCCAGCCTCTCGCAGTGCTCAACCAGAAGCTAAAAGGACTCGATGTCTTCGAATCCAACGATGCCCCTACGCCGCCTCAAATCTCCCACTCCGCTAGCAGTTCGACTGCCCACGTCGCCTACGAGCCCGCGCCCGTACGCCGAGACCCAGAGGAGGAAGTCACGCGAGCACATTGGCAGAGGCCTGGATACCGCGATGTATGTTCAGACCCGGTCTGCGCAAGACCTATCACTGCATCACAAATGGCACTAGGCGGGAACCAGCCAGCGGTGAACTGCAGGCAGTGTGGAAGGCTATTCTGCGAGGAACACACCATGTACCAGATGAAGTTGTCGCGGCAGGCCAAGCATGACCCCGTCAGAGGCATCTGGTGCCGAGTGTGTGAGACATGTTACAAGTCAAGAGACGGTTACAACGACCACCACGGCTTCGAGCGCGACCACTTCGACGAGTTTGCCAACATCAGACGGAAACGGGTGGACAGGGAGCGCATGGAGGTCAGCAGGCTTGAAAAGCGCCTCACCAAGTTGACACAGCTCCTCGCCAACCCACCGCCAATAGAAGACACACCGACTACAGGGGGCTGGTTCTCCTCATTGGCAGGGGTCAAGAATCATCGCAAAGCTCTGGAGCAATCCATTATAACTTGGGAGGAAGACGCGAAAGTGGCCAACTGCCCCTTCTGTCAACAAGAATTCTCCACATACACCTTCAGAAGATCCCACTGTCGCATGTGCGGGCGCGTAGTCTGCAGCGACCCGAAGACTGGATGCTCCTCGGAGATAGGCCTCAACGTCGATGCCAGCGCGCAGAAGACTGAAAAGGATGCAGGCCAGATGAGTATTGACGTGCGCATGTGCAAAGACTGTCAGCACACGTTGTTCGCTAGAGGCGACTTTGAGCGAGAGCTAGCCGATAAGCCCAAGGACCAGCGTGCATACGAGAACCTTGCGCAGTTTGAACGAGGTATCCGTTTACTTCTCCCACGCTTCCATAAACTATTGCAAGCGCTTCAAGACCCGGATAAGTCGCCTACACCGCAACAGTTGACCGACGCAACCAAGGTGCGGAAACGATTAATGGACGGCTTTGCACAGTTCGACGTGGCCGCGAAACGCATACGAGACCTACCTACCGACTCGCCGACACAACAGAAGCTACAGAGAGCAGTATATCAGCAAGCTTACAGCTTCTTGAGCTTACACATGTTGCCGCTAAGAGCCTTACCGAAGATCCTCAAGCATGCAGCTCCGCAGGGTCGATCCAACGGAGGCGGTGCTCTTGCCTCGATCAAGTACAACGATCGCTCCACAGGTAGTGTTGTGAGCAGTAGCGAGGTTTCCGCAATGGAGTCGGAAGAGAAGGAGCTAAGAGAACGACTAATTGTGCTTGAGGAACAAAAGTTCATGGTATCCGAGATGGTCGCAGATGCCACTAAACACCGGCGATTTGACGAAGTCTCGAGCTTGGCCCAGAACTTGGAGGACTTGAATAAAGAGATTGACCACATCAATGGCCAACTTGGACAATTGGACTTTGCGAGTGCGTACCAGGGAGGTATGGCTAGTCCACAACCTGGATGAAGAGCTCCGAGTATATGAAATTCCAGAACCTTGATTGGTCCCGTCATCGGGCATGGTCAAATATCGATTGCTCATGGTGCCGCTACGGACCGATGAACTCCACAACCGACAACGCAAGAGCCACGTCGTTGGGACCAGAATCCACGTTGTCGCCCACTGAGGATCACAATTCTGACCGCCTGCACACATGGATTGGACGCTATGCCTAGTCGTACGCGATGGCTTCCGCGTCGGTAACAGGAATGACGGGTCTTCACATGAAGACGGCATTGTAGGGATTGGAACAGGACAGGTCGGGCCTTTTGTGAGTACCACGTCTCACATAATATCTATAGTAGTACACAGAGCAAAAGGCAAATGAGATACCTGTCACCAGTGCGCCTACAATTCCTGCAACAATAATTCAATGATATTCCATCTCACATATTCTCGATGCTGTGATATTATCGATGATGATTTTAACCGCCCAATCACTACACTGCGCATGGCCTCCGTCCGCCATCTAATATCCACCACCACCTGCACTACCATCATTTATTTCGACGTCACTCTCCACCAACGTCACCTCTTTCAATGAACCTCATCGTCATCCCTACATGGCAACCTAAACAGGCAACTTTACATTTCAACCGTTGAAAACGGTGCCAACTTTTTGCCGGGCCCAACAGTTGCAACTTGACTCGCCACTGCCAACTTTGCCAGCCTACTTTCGGCACGTCATTGCCCCATTAGGAAGTACAGGGGCCATACACAGGCCCGATTCGAGTATTACGGATCGACAGGGGAATGTATTGGGAAAGGATTGATCGAAGCTAGGTAATTCTAGGAGTTTGGGGCCGGAAAGGGTCGCGATGGGGGTGCGTAGGGCTGAGTTGTGGGGATCGGGGGAAAAGAGGCATTGGTGGTGGAAGTGAAAGTTTTGGGGAAAACAACCCCAATCTGGCTCCCATCGCATCGCATGGTGCATTTCGAAATGGGGGAGCAATTTCTCGTTTGCACTAAGCAGTGTTGACAACTTTGGCAGAGCAGGAGATTCATTTACAATGCTGTCGAAGACGTGCGCAAAGCCGCTGAGGAATAGGCGGGTTGAGCAATAAAGGTCAACCGCTGACATCATCAATGGTAGCGTAGTCTTCGCTCGCTGGCAATGCTGCGTGTTTGTCGCTGGGAGACAACGATTACTGTTTCTGTATGCGCCAATGCTCGAGATGTAGAGTAGTGATGGGACGCAAGTGAGTTTCCGGAAGATGGTGCGAAAATGTCGCAGTTGATAAAAATTTGACTCTTGATTTTATTGAGGTGTTGTACAATCTATCAGAATGGGAATCTATGCCTTCGTCTCAAATTGGCGCAGTGTTTTTGTCTACCCTCGAGGTAGTCTACACTTGGTGTGCGTTCAATCCCCACCATCGCCTGCACCGGCTTCGCCCCTTTCAACACTGTCATCACTCGTCGTGCGACGGCGAACACCAGTACTGACCGAGTGACCTGGCTTCGGATGCTCGCCGTGTTCAACCAACGGGAAGTGCAGGCCAGGCTTGCTCGCCAATGCATCCCTAATCTCGTCCACGCTTTTTGCCGCCCATCCTGCACTGCCCAAATTACTCAACGGGTATAGGAGTTGATTGTCCGGATGCATGACCACCTCCTCAATACTCGAAGCTGGCTTGCTCATGATGATATCTACATCTTTCCTGATCTGCAGGCAGAATGCGTCGAGCGGCAAGTCGTTCACATCATCTCCGAATGGGTTTTCGATTTCGCGGCCGATAAGTGCGATACCCAGGATGATATATGCCGCGAAGACGCTTGCTGGGATGGTAATATATCCCAAGAGCTTGTACAGCTGGAAGGGCAGGAGAAGGATATACACCCATGTGATTTGGCTGATGGCAATGCTATACGCCAAGGGGAGGGGAGTTGAAAGGATGCGTTCAGTCCCGGCGAGTACATCGTTGAAGGTGGTGAGCGCATTGAGGGATTGCGTTTGATAGATGGAAACCTTGAAGGTGCCGTTGTCGTAGATTGATTTCATGTAGACACTCAAGTGGTTGAGGATCTCCAGAGGGAGATTGCCAAGTGGGACACGCGAGCGCTTTAATAGTTTCCGCGGGTTCGACTCGGCCATGGGAAGCCCGAGGAACTGACCTGCCGTCTTGAACATATTTGGCTTCTTGGGAGTTGGCTGATCGGCATCTCGTGCATAGGTGTCCAGGTGGCCGACGAGATGCTTCAAGTCATCGTAGTGCACGCCGGGCTCAAATCGAAGCTTGTGCTTGAGCGAGACTGCGTAAGCGGCGATCAGGTTAAGGCAGTTAATTTTGGCCAGAAGGTCTTGTTTGCCGAGCTCAGCGTCCTTCTCGTGTCGTTCGTCAACGTGAATCCAGATAAGACGTGCAAGATTCTGGGACACAAAAGTGAGTTGTGCCCAGTATTTGCGGCCGTCATTGTAGCGCTCGTAGGCCGTAGAACTCCTGAAGCTCAGCGCCAGACCGACGACGAAACCAAGAACGGTAAGCAGGAGCTGGTTGACGCTAACTGGAGGTGGTTAATACATGTTGTAGGCTAATAGAGCAAGTATGAAGCATACGGTCGTGTACAAACTTTGATATCAGCGTAATCATGCTTGACCAGCCGGCTACGAAGAGCAGGGGCAGGACCATTTCTGGTGTCACACTGCCATGAATGCGGAGAAAGACAGGCCATTTCGAGTGATGATCGAGGTCGCGCGGTCCAATCTGGTCTATGTTAGTGGCTGTACTGGTCGCCATAGGGGGAAAAACATACGAAGTAATCGTCAAACTCCTTGTCGCTATCTTGCTTCTTCAGTGGCGGCCTTGTGGATGCACCGTTCGTGCCATTCGACACATTTGCCGTGCTTTGCATCTTCTCCGCCATCACGAAGTATCGTCACCTGCAAAAAGGATCAAGTCAAAAGTTGAGTCTGATAACCCTTTGGCATTCGAGGTTGCGGCACCCGAGCACCTCATATCGTGTCGCGTGCCCCTATCCCTGACCGTTTCTCCTGCATGCTCTCGACCATTAGAAGTCTGCAGTCCAGACCTGGCGTTTGAACAATCTCTACGTGGCGCCGTACGTCCAATGATACAATCATGGCGATACTGTAAATGGCAAGGCTACGATAGGCGGTTCCAATCGAACGCACTCTGTAGCGCGGGAATGGTGAAGCATAGCCTCGATTCAGATGCCTCCCGTCTTGGCAGGGCCCTTCTGCGGGCTTATCCATTGTGCAACGCGGGATGGAGATGAGTTGCTGAGCCATAGTTGCTTCTGCCTCGGCAGGGTGTTGTCTCTATGGCGCGAACGCAACCTCTATATCACAGTGTGTCCAACATCGTGTCAAATGTGGGGCTACCGTACATCAAACCTTGCTTCCTGTGCGCACATTGCTGTGCTTTTTGGTTTTGAGAATCACCTGAGTAGGTGTCGGTGAACAGGCAATCAGTGCACAGATTGGATCGTCGACCAGGACAAATTGTAATTTGCCCACGATTCAAGCTTCAGATGTGCGAGAAGGTCGAGATCTTGTTCTATAGCTTGGCAAACTTGGCACTGGCACTGCTAACAGGCATCGCCATAATCGCGGCCCATTGGCTGCTTAGTTGCTAACTTGGTTTCAGCCTCATTGCTCGCACAGCCACTATGGCTGTGCACTCAATGCGCCTAACGTGGAGCGGACGCGATGGACGATGAGGGTGGTAGGGCTGGATGTGTGGGGATTGGGCGATGACATAAATGCTGGAAAACACGGCTAGCATTCTACATGCTAACACATATGTTCTGGCTATGTAGTTTGCCAGTAGTAAGAGATTTTTGGGTATGTATCTGGAGTATTGAGCATTGGCGACTTGGTAAGGGTTGGCGATGGCAAATAACCATCCATTCCTCTATATCTTCATTCGTATCCTGTAAACATCAGCAAACTCGAACACATTCAGTCTCACCCCAACTCACCTTCAACTCGTATTCTATTCATCTTGTTCACCTATTCGTCTATTCCCATTCTTCTCCTTCTTATCACTCGACCTCCACACTCCCAAGTCCCACTTCTCCTTCTTCGCCTTTGGTTTACTTTGACGTTCCTTGATCTCTGCTATCCGACTCGTTATCTCTCTACCCATTTCCCCCAGGCATTTCGCTTTGGCGAGGAAGACTTCGGATTTTGAGGGTACTGGTGTCAGTGTTGGGACGGGAGCAGGTGGAACCGAAACTGATTTTGGCGACAGTTCTGATTGTGGAGGCGGAAGGGCTTCCCGCTCAAATTGCTCCGGTTGTACCTGCAGGTCGTAAGCCGGGAAAGACGCCATCATCGCCTCCAATTGTGCGTCTCCTTCTGTTACCGGCAGTTGAGGTGCAGGGATACTCTGAACGCTCGATTCCCTACCAGACGACCTTGGTCCCGATCCTGACTCCTTCTTGCTTCGAATCTCGACTTCCTTAACATGGGAAGCAGGTTCGACGGAGACGTACAGGGCCTCCCCTATGGAAGCATGCTCGAAAGTGGAGAGGGAGGCGAGACTGTTCATGCTGGAGTAAAGAGATGGTGGTCGGGGATTGACATAAGACGTTTCGTTGGCTTCATCGCGGGTGCCGCGACTGGATGGTGGGTTATGGATTGGTACCAGGGCTGGGGGAGACGATGTTGAGGTTACGCAGCGGTCGCGGAGGGAGAAGAGGGATTGGCTGTCCTCGTAATTGTGTATCCGGCTTTTTGAGTCCTCGTTGATGTTTCGGTGACGGGTGCGGCTAGCGACATGTTGGGGAATAGTGGGATCCTGTAGGCTCACTCGCGCATACTCTCGGAGAACGGAGTCCTGGTCTGATTGTAGTTCCAGAAGTGACTCGCGGCGCGAGCGACGGGGATAGAATGAATGCTCATTTTCCCCTTCAAAATGGAACCTTAACATGGATTGAGAGGGTGATGGAGCGGCAGATCGATGCACACGCGTTCGCACATTCCGTGACAACTGGTCATCGTCGTACTGAGCGAGTTCGTATCGCTGTGTCGAATCCTCACCATTTTCTCGGCCCCTTCGTTCATGTGTATTAGGTCGTCTGAGCGAGTTCTTTGGCGAATCTGGTGGTGTCATAGGAGTTCCAAGATCACGGGCTGCAAAGTCGTTATGCTTCTCCTTATGGGACCGGTTCTCAATCATACGCCTACTTTCCACTCGATCTAGGTCTCCAGCTGATGGGGCTGTGTCTGAAATCCAAGTCCGTTCCGCCTCCGTCTTCTTTTCATGCGCCATTAGTATTGCATACTTCATCAGCGATGCCGCGCGTTGTGGTTCCGCGTTCGTCCACGAAAATTCCTCATTGCGGATTGTAAGGCTGAGTTTGGAGCCTTTATTAGCTTCCTCCTTGGGCTCACTGACGGCTTTGCATGCCAGCGACTTTAAGGAGCTCTTCCGATTCGGAATCTGAGGAGAGATTTTAATAGACTCTTTCTTCTTGAATATGTGCGCGAACTCTTGCTGATTGAGCCGAACCCTCTCGTTCTCGGTGCGGATTCGGTCGCAGCGAGCCTGCCTATCAGACTTGTGTTTCTCCTCGTCATTGAAGACCCTCCGTGGAGGTTCCGAGTCCGATGATTTGCTGTGAATAATCACCCTGCCTTGAGGAATAGATCCGCAAGCAAGCCACTCGCCCTTTTCTCCGAGGCCATTGTCCATTAAAAATACTGCTTTCACCTCTTCAAGGCAAAACCACAATATCTCTCCGTTGTGAACGTCCTCCGACTGTCGGCTTTGTTGCTCAAACCAGACCGGGATGTGCACACCATATTCTACGCATATCCAGGCAGGCGTCATTCCGGTCGTGTCTATCTCTACCTTCACGGCATCGTATGGCTGGGATTTTCCTCTCACTTTTTCGGTGTGAGGGCGCTTTCTCGAGGCAGTATCTTCGGTCTCGTACAAAGAGATGAAGCTGGATGCGACGTTGCGCTGGAAGTGTGCTTCGATACTTGACTTGTTGAGCGCATCGTAGTTAAACTCCTTTGAGGAGTGTATGTCGTCCACGCTTGACCATTCTATGACGATATGGAGGTGATTGGGTATGAGATGGCGTTTCGTGAGGAGGGCGGCAGGATAGGATCGTGGTTGTTCGATGGACCTGCGCATTGTTAGTCTTGTCACCGTGACTGACTGTAGTGTTCGTATGTATTTTCCAGATTTTTCCTATAGCAACAATGCATCCTGGAGGTGTTCGCAATATCGCAATTTTTGGAATGTTAAATTGTAATATTACGAATACCCTCAAAGTACCTCGACCCTAGAATTGATTTTGGCGAACATGAAATCGAGGACTTACAGAGACATGATGGACAATGATGAATGCAGCGATGCTACAAAGTTCGCTTGAGATTGTGCAAGGTAGATAGGAATATGTTTGCGTGGTGTTTCAGGTCTGGTAGTATCTATTCTGGTTCTAGTGTTCGGTCGCGAGGAGTGGCCATACAGCAGCCGACGATATGGGATCAAGGGTCTGTAATGGAGTGGTATGAAGTGGAGCACCTCGCAACCTTGCACGCCAAACAACATGAAGGATATCATGGAAGCCACAAGAGAACAGAGCCTGTGTAAATGAAAGTTAATAGGGTGTGATAGCAATAAGTATTTGTCGCTCTAAATGCGACGTTCGATCGTCTTGGATCGTATGGATAGTTGTGAAAGATGCGCGCTAGAGTTGCAATGTCGGTACATGGTCCTTGGCTGGCATGAATGATTTGACTTACATGAATTCTTCCTCATCTGCAGACCCGCCCCTCATGTTCCCGTCTACACGGTTCGCGCTAGTTGACTCTAGCACTCGACGCCACTCATCTGCTCTGAGCTGCTGTTGCCTTATGTTCTCCGTCATGGGAGAGCAGAGCTTCGTGTTTCTCTCATGCGAGGCCCATTCTTCATCGCTTACTCTGCCCGCAGTCGATACACTATGCCCAGCTTGGTATGCGTTGAAGCCGCCGCCATCTTTCACCCAGACTTGGAGTAATCCGGAGATGAAAATCTCCGCTATTCGTGCTTGTTCTTCTCGGAAGATGAGGTACACGATGAACTGGTGCATGATGAAGTGCTGTTCGAAGATACCAACATTATGGAGGTGTGTGCATATGTCTTCAACAAGATTCATCACATAGTTGGATGACTGGTGAGCGCGATGCTGTGCTAGACGTTTGTGAGACTCGATCGAATATCCACACTCACTGGGAGGATACCGGAAGGGCGTATCGCGTAGCGATGCTGGTGTCTCGTCACAACGTTTCTGGACACCCTGACAGAAGAGCTCTAGAGTTTCGACACGCTTGTCCGAGCGACTAGTGGTGTGAAGATACTTACGATGACCTTTTGCTGACTGGTGTTGTGTCACCCATGGGCGGGAAATCTTGTCTATCTGCCATGCATGCTACGAAGTTTTACCTTGAGATAGGTAGTCGATCACAAAGTCACGGATTTTGAGATATTGATTAGGTGTAGGCGCGTTACCATCGCGGTCAGCCAGCAGATGTATGTATATAGATGGCTGATTTAGCGCTCTCTCCAAGACGGCGACGTATTCCTGCTGTAAGCTAGGTTCAGTCTGCATCCTGCGCACTAGGTTGCCTTGGGCTGCCGCTGCCATCACCGATGGTGCTGAAGCGAGGATTTGAAGGCATTTTCCTTTATGCATCTCACGGTCTGTTGCGTCGATGACAGTACTATTCTCGTATTTAGGCATCTCTTGATCCATAACTTCGGAGATGATGGATTCGTAGTGCTGTTCGCGATGAAGACGCGCCCATCTCGCGCGTTTGTCGTCGAGTGACTCTTGTATCAACTCCAGTCCGCCAGATTCTTGAGAAGTTGTGCTATAGGTGTAGCTTTTAGTCCTTGTGGTTACCATCGATGGAAAAGCTGGGTTCGGCAATTGAGTAGGAGAACGTGGGCGAAGCTTAGAGCGATACAAAGACGGGAGTCTGTAGAGTAAAGGATACTGGCAAATGGTAAGGATTGGATGTGAGTTATGAGTGGTGTGTCGGTTGTTGAGTTTTGATAGCTTGCAATCTTCACGAATAAACATTGAAGTTACAGTGGCACCACTTGTGCCTTCCATCCTTCTTGTGAGCCCTGAGCGGTGGCATGTTCGATATGCAGATGTGAAGCTGCAGTGGAAGGAGCGAAGATGCATACTGTATCTCAAATCAGGCCAAAGATGCTGTCAGAAAAGAAGATAGGTGTACACGTAGCAGGTCCAAGTCTGATTTTTTGTCGTGGTTTTCTGCTCGTATAGTGGTACAGAGCTCTTTGTTGGATTGTCTGTGTTATTTACGCAATGGGATAGTTTCAAAGCTCTGCCTTCGCTTTGGTATGTCTCAAGAGTCTGGTTTCGCAGTGCTACCGTGTCTCTGTACGATCAGGCTGACTTTATGATGCATGTCTATAATTTTGAGACCTTCTCTGTTCTTTCGGTATGTCTTGAACATGGCCGACCGGCCGTACCTTGGCAGGTCCAGGTTGAAGGGCTGGCATCGTGGAGTATCAGGCCGTGTCGGTGCACGTCGACTGGGACCAGAATAGAGCCATGGGCCTTTTTGCGAAATGGAGCGACCGATTGGAACGCCAACCGTCATGAGTACAGCAGAGACGACGCAAGGAGTGTTGTAAATGAGTTGCAGCTGGTCGGGAAGTACAAGTGCCGGGGAAGTGTGGCGTTTGTGGCTGGTGCAGTGCGATTGACTCAATGCCCCTCCAAAGTTGTTGATAGAGCCCCTCCAGCTGCACACAAGCTCCACAACCTCAAGTCTTTTCTAGTAAGTCACGATACCCCACGCGTTCTTCCTTGTTTATCCGTGTGTATATCAACCGCAAGGCGTATATCAGGAGCATACTTGTACTAACGTCGCGTAGACATGGCCGAACCTACAGCACCCGTACCGCCCGCCGCTGAGGAGGAGAAGGGCCCCTCTAAGCGTGCGCTCGAGAAAGCCGCGAAGAAAGCAGCAGCAAAGGCAAAAAAGGCCGAGCATGCTCTCCGACCCAAAGAGCAGGCGAAACCCACGACGAAGAGCGAACCGACGAGCATCTTCTCCGAAGGCTGGTTGAAGCGCATCTACGAAGAGAAACCGGTCCAAGAAGTCAGAACCCGATTCCCCCCCGAGCCAAATGGCTTCCTCCATATCGGACACGCCAAGGCCATCGCCGTCGACTTCGGCTTCGCAAAGCACCACAATGGCAAATGCAACCTACGCTACGATGACACCAACCCGGAGAAGGAGGACGAGATCTACTTCACTGCCATCTTGGATATCGTCAAATGGCTAGGCTTCGAGCCGTCGAATATCACATACAGTAGCGACAACTTCGACAAGCTGTACGAGCTCGCGGAGCAGCTTATCCAGAAGGACTGCGCCTATGTGTGCCACTGCTCACGTATGTTCAATCTTTTATTCACAACTACGTTGGGCTAACCATCATACAGGTGAGGAGATCAACAACCAGCGCGGAGGACCCGACAATCGAGGCAAGCGATATGGCTGCGCACACCGCGACCGACCGATCGAAGAGTCTATTACCGAGTTCCGAGCGATGCGCGATGGCAAATACCAGGCTGGAGAGGCTTTCCTGCGCATGAAGCAGAAGCTGACGGACCCAGACGAGGGCAACCCCCAGATGTGGGACCTACCCGCATACCGCGTTGTCAAGGAGAACCACCACCACCGAACTGGCGACAAGTGGAGAATCTACCCCACCTACGACTTTACACATTGCATTTGCGATGCTTTGGAGGGCATTACTCATTCGCTGTGTACGGTCGAGTTCCGTCAGTCGCGTGTCTCTTACGACTGGCTGCTGGAGCAGTTGGACATGAAAGTGCCCAAGTCGGAGGAGAAGGGTCCTATGCAAAGAGAGTACGTGACTACTCGTGTCTGAAAGTCATTCACACTAACCGGGCGCAGGTTCGGACGTCTCAGCGTCGGCGGCACGATTCTCTCGAAGCGACGCATCCTCCAACTCGTCGAAGGCACAACTGTCGAGAAGAAGAATGCAGATGGCACAGTGGAGACGCGGAAGATACCAGGCGTGGTACGAGGATGGGACGATCCCCGGTTGTTTACCATGGTCGCTTTACGCCGTCGCGGTATCCCAGCTAAAGCCATGCTCAACTTCGTCGACGAGCTCGGCGTCACGGATGCACTTTCCGAGATTGAGCCTCCACGTTTCGAATCTTCAATCCGAAAACACCTCGAGCGAACCGTACCGCGTCAGATGATGGTGCTAGACCCCATCAAGGTAGTCATCGAGGACTTTGCGACTGAGGACGAGCAAGAGATGACAGTGCCGTACGATCCAAAGGGCGCTATACCCGGTGAGCGAAAGGTCAAGATTGGCAGCGCCGTCTACATAGACCGCAGCGACTTCAGAGAGGAGGATAGCGCCGACTACTTCCGTCTGGCACCCAACAAGGCTGTTGGTCTATACAACGTCCCATTCGCTATCCGTGCGACATCCTTCTCAAAGGACGACAACGGTAACGTGACCGAAATCAAGGCCACCAAGGTCCCAGGCACTGAGAAGCCCAAAGCCTACATTCAGTGGGTCGATGTCGCAACAGCCGTTCCGGTCACAGCGCGTCTGTACAATTCCCTCTTCAAGACCGAGTCACCTAACACGTTGGACTGGAAGACAGGTGGCTGGGCTGACGACCTGAACCCCAACTCAGAGATCATTCACGGCAAGGCAGTCATCGAGCGGGGTATCAAAAACCTCATTAGCGAGACCTCCTTAGACTTGAGCGGCTCTTCGGATGCTCTTGTGCGCTTCCAGGCGCTGCGCACTGCTTATTTCTGCGTTGACATTGATTCCACTGAGGACAAGATTGTGCTCAACCAGATCGTCAGTCTGAGAGAGGACAAGGGAAAATAGATGTGCGAGGATCTCTGGGGTCGACTGTTGGCGTTGAAGGTGAAAAAATCCGGCGTGGGGCTGTAAAGGCGTTGTCGATGTAGTGTAGAGATATCCCCGAATTCTAAGGTTGGGTCGCACAAGCGCCGTTCATTGATTAGTACGGAAGAGAACCGGACATGACATTCGCATCGAGGTTGATGCAGTACTAGTTGTCTAGATCACTAATATGGTAGGTGAAATTGCTGACATAGCAGCACCATCGGTCTTGACGTGCGATATGCACAAGCGCGCACCCTCGATCGGGCGGATTACCACATCATGATCTCCCGCGTCCTCCATCCATGCGCGTCTCTGTACCGGAATACGAGTTCCAGCCCCAAAGGAAGCAATTCCAGCCGCACATCGGAGCTTTATACGCCGGCACATGCCCGAGGCTAAGGCCATACGAGGTGCAGGATGCATGTAACCGTTGTCCAATGGCCCACTGTCTCGCATATCAACCCCGCTGCCGTAATCAGCCCTGGCCTTAGATAATCGACCATGGGAGTATTCGTGGACTCACTTACTCTCAGACGAGCCAAGCTCTGAACATAGGCCGCTGTTTCGGCCGATGGGGCGACTCATGTTTCTGTGGGTAGCAGTTTGGTGCACGAAGGCCGAAGTATTACATTGCTGATATAGCAAGAACTATATGTGTAGAGCCGTAGCCTTCACGGCGAAACTCAAGAGATGGTTTTTAGCGCATTTCCAAGAACATCAAATTTCGGTTCTCAGTTTTCGCACACGACCCCGGCTCCGTTAAAAGACCAATCGACGAAGTCTGAGATGGCTACGCCTACAGAGCGCAAGTACGAGTTCTTCGTGACGACAGACGAGCCACATCAGCCAGATGGCGTACAACGGAACATGATCCGACGGTTGGTGATGCGCAACTACTTCGAGACGAAGATGGCCGAAACCCAGTCCAGCGTACCTGAACACAACTCCACTAGCACAGCCACGGCAAAAAAACAGCTGAAGAGCCGGTTCCGATTATCTGAACCGCAGAACGAGAAGAGGAAGAATGTGAGCAAGGTATCGGGAGATATATGCGAACAAAGTGATGAAAGAGGGAGAAGACCGCAAGTTTTGAGAACTAGGTCCGGCCCGATACCATCATCCTCATCCATCGAAGAAGGGAGCAGTACGAAAAACAGGTCCAATAGGAAGAGGACCAATATAAACAAGAGAAATACAAGTGAACCGACGGTAGAGAAGCCATCCCCAAAGATCGATCCAAGTGCTCATCGTATCGATCCGTTTGACGCTTTGCCAATACCTGGGACGCCACAGCTTGATGCGCTCTTCCGATTATGTACGTATGACACTCATCGTTGCTCCCCAACAATAGAATTACATCTTTGGAAGAGAGTCACACGGACTGACACTGACTACAGACCAAAGTGCACCCAAGGACAACCCAGTCGCCATCGACGTCAAGTACACATGGAGACCCTTCATTCTAAATGATGCTGGCTTGTTGCACGCAACCCTGGCAAGCTGGGCGTTTTATGGGGTACTCGTGAATGGATTTCGTGACCTACGGGTGTGTAATCTCAAACACAAAAGTGAAGCTATCAACATCGTTAAACGCAAACTTGCGATGTGCGGAGGAATCGTTAGTGATGAAGTAGTTGGCACAGTCTTGACACTGGCAAATCTTGAGGTACATCTCCGCCAAGTTTGGTATGAAAACACGTTCTGACTTTACAGAATCTTATTGGAGCATATGATGCGGCGCAACTTCACATTACTGCACTGAAAAGTATGGTGAATGCGCGAGGTGGACTAGCTGCTTTTGGGCACAACGATGGCTTGTTGCGTGGTATCATATGGTGAGCTCGGACAATGTCAGTTTCGATCGCTTGCTGATGCATTTGACCAGGATGGATTTCCATACTGCAGCAGCCTTTCGCATACCCCCGTCATTCCCGTATATATGCCTGGATCCAGATACTCCTCCTCTCCCCGGCGAGCTTATGGAAGAAGCAGCTTCCACGTCACCAACTTCTCTGCTTCAACTATCTTGCGCGGCTATTGACTGCTTCAACATCTTCTATCGACTTCATCGCCTCGCGCTGGCAACATCATCACACTGGCGTGGACACACTGCACGCCGGACGCTCAGCAATCTCCTCTACGAGATACAGTTCATCATTCTCTCAGTGCCGGATCACTCACACGATTTCCTGGATTGCGACTGGGGCATCCAACACGAATCGAGCGAGGATCATCAGCGTCGAAAAAACAGAGCAAATGCCGCAAGTGTGGTTGAAGCACTCCTCGCAGCAGCCCTCATCTTTGTGTACGCTGTTCTGCGGGCACTACCATTGCACACTAAGATTTTCGCCATCCTGCTGTCTCGACTGCGCATCGCTATAGATCGACCGAGGACATCAGTGGTAGAAGTATGGAAGCGAGAGGAGAATCTCAGCATGCTACTCTGGGTCCTCGTCACCGCGTGTTCTGTTGCGTCGGGCGCTGAACGAACGTGGTGGATCACGCGGCTATCAGAGCTTTGTGAAGAAATGGATATCATCAGTAGGCATCGTCTCGAGAACGAAATGCGGCATGTTGCGTGGACGGACCTATTCTTTGATGACAAGATGGATGGCATCTGGGCAGAAGTAATGCAGTTACGGGGACATGCGCTTTCCAGGGCGCCGCTAGCAGCCACATGGACTGATCCTGCCTTGCTCACTACACGGATATAGGATGATGATTTTAATTGGAGGCCTGGTGAGTGAATATAGAAGGATTTGAAGTTCCAAGTATTTTAGTGCATACGGACCAATCGCGGGTGACGCTAGTCCGCATCTAATCCATGTTCGTGAATGTTCCACCACACGTGCGTCGGGACCGCTAGCGCCGACGGCGGGCGCGATGGCAAAGGGACTCTGATAATCTTCGAGGACTGACGTTCGTCTGGACACGACAACCACAACCATGGCCCCGCTTGTCGACAACCCCCAGATCAAGCAGGCCAGCCTGCACAACCCGCTGCCGTTGCAGCTGCACACATACATTTGGCCTTTCTTAATAATATGGCCAGCCTTCTCTGCCATATACTTTTCGCCGCAGCGCTATGAGCAATATATCCAGTCCTCAGAATGGACCTTCGTTTGGGTTGCCAGCATCACCACCTTCCAGTCGCTGTTCTGGCTCATGACGCACTGGAATGTCAACCTCAAGAGCGCGTTTACGACAACTTCGGCCAGTGACGTGCGCTCTGCATCGCTTATCAAAGTCCAGCCGGTGAAGAATGCGGGTGCCGCTGAGATTGTGCCATTGGTGCGCGACAACGTTGGTGGAAAGCCGAACCTCTCGTTCCTCTTCCAGAAGCGACGTTTCCTCTACGACGCCGACAAGGGCTCCTTCGCCCCGCTCTCCTACCCCCTCGATGTCGAACCCAAGCCCCAACTCAAGACGTTCCAGCAGACCCAAGGTCTCACCTCGTCCGCAGAGATTGAGCGCATCGCACAACATTATGGCACCAACGAATTCGATATCCCCGTTCCGACTTTTACAGAGTTGTTCAAGGAACACGCTGTCGCGCCCTTCTTCGTTTTTCAGATCTTCTGTGTTGGGCTCTGGATGTTGGACGAATACTGGTATTACTCGCTGTTCACTCTGTTCATGCTGGTCGCTTTCGAGAGCACCGTTGTGTGGCAAAGACAAAGGACCCTGACCGAATTCCGTGGCATGAGCATCAAGCCATACGAAATTCTGGTATACAGGCAGAAGAAGTGGCAGGAGGTCATGAGCGACAAGCTGCTACCCGGCGACATCGTCAGCGCAGGCAGAACCAAGGAAGACTCAGGTGTAGCGTGCGACATGCTCCTCCTCGAGGGTTCCGCGATCGTCAACGAGGCTATGCTTTCGGGAGAGAGCACACCGGTGCTCAAGGAATCCGTACAACTGCGACCTGGCGATGCGCGCATCGAGCCTGAGGGCCTGGACAAGAACTCGTTCCTCTGGGGTGGCACCAAGGTGCTCCAGGTTTCACACGGAAGCGATGCTGAGGAAGATGGCGGCACCGTCTCTAGGCTTTCGTCTGGAGTTCCACCACCACCGGACAAGGGCGCTGTTGCTGTTGTTATCAAGACTGGTTTCGAGACCAACCAGGGCAGCCTCGTCAGGACCATGATCTTCGCTACTGAGCGCGTGTCCGCGAACAACGTAGAGGCCCTCTTCTTTATCCTCTTCCTTACCGTCTTCGCCGTCGCTGCCTCATGGTACGTCTGGAAGGAGGGTGTCAAACTGGACCGCCAGCGTAACAAGCTCCTCCTCGACTGCGTCCTCATCGTCACCAGTGTCGTCCCTCCCGAGCTTCCTATGGAGCTTAGTTTGGCTGTCAACACTTCTCTCGCTGCGCTGAGCAAGTACGCCATTTTCTGTACAGAGCCCTTCCGTATTCCCTTCGCTGGACAGGTGGATGTTGCCTGCTTCGATAAGACTGGTACATTGACTGGTGAAGATCTGGTCGTGGATGGTATTGCTGGGCTATCACTGGGTCAAGACAATGCTACAGTTGCCGCAGACGGTGCGCACACCGATCTTGCAAAGGTCACGGATGTTGGAACTGAGACAACACTGGTACTTGCTGCCGCTCACGCCTTGGTCAAACTCGATGACGGCGAGACTGTTGGAGAGCCTATGGAGAAGGCAACCCTTCAGTCTCTCGGCTGGAAGCTCGGAGCTAAAGACACGATTCAAGCTACCATGACTACCGCTAAATCCCAAGCTGAACTCGTACATATCCGTCGCCGCTTTCAATTCTCATCCGCTCTGAAACGCCAGAGCTCCGTCGCAACTGTCCTGGTCAACAATAACAAGACTGGTCGCAAGGTCAGGAGTACAATCGCTGCGGTGAAGGGTGCGCCTGAGACTATTCGCAAGATGTTGGTCAACACCCCACCCAACTACGAAGAGACTTTCAAGCACTTTACCCGTAACGGTGGCCGTGTACTCGCTCTCGCATACAAGTTCCTATCCGAAGAAGGAGAGTGGGGCCAGAACCGCATCAACGACCTCAAGCGTGAGCAAGTCGAGTCTGACTTGCACTTTGCCGGTTTCCTCGTCCTCCAGTGTCCTCTGAAGCCTGATGCTGTTGAAGCTGTCCGCTCTCTCAATGAGTCTAGCCATCGTGTCGTCATGATCACTGGCGACAACCCGTTGACTGCTGTCCATGTTGCTAAGCAAGTCGAAATCGTCGACCGCGACTGTTACATCCTTGATGCACCTGAGAACGACGAGACCGGCGAGAAACTCGTCTGGCGCAGCGTTGATGACAAGATTAGCATCCCTGTCGACCCTTCTAAGCCTCTGGACGCTGAGATCTTGAACACCAAAGATATTTGCCTTACTGGGTACGCCCTTTCGAAGTTCGCTGGTCAGCCTGGATGGAAGCAAATCCTGCGATACACCTGGGTCTACGCTCGTGTCTCGCCAAAGCAGAAGGAGGAAATTCTTCTCGGCCTCAAGGACTGCGGTTACACTACGCTCATGGCTGGTGATGGTACCAACGATGTTGGTGCGCTAAAGCAGGCTCATATTGGTGTCGCTCTACTCAACGGTACCCGCGAGGACCTCGACAAGATTGGCGAGCACTTCCGCAATACTCAGATGAAGAACGTTTACGAGAAGCAGTGCAACTTGATGCAACGCTTCAACCAGCCTCAGCCGCCTGTTCCGATCATGATCGCGCATCTGTACCCACCTGGTCCGACCAACCCTCACTACGAAAAGGCTATGGAGAACCAAGCGAAGAAGAAGGGTCTACTTCCGGCCGCCAATGGCGCCGCTAACGGATCGTCATCTACTGGTACTCTTGTTCAGCAGCAGCCCGGCCAAGTCCAGCCTCCTCAGGCTGCCGCAAACTTTGCTCAACAAATGCAGGAGAAGATGATGGCACAAGAGATGGAAGAGTTGGCCGGCGAGCCTCCGACGATCAAGCTTGGTGATGCGTCCGTCGCTGCGCCGTTCACCTCTAAACTTGCCAATGTCGTTGCTATCCCCAACATCATCCGTCAAGGTCGCTGCACACTCGTCGCTACGATCCAGATGTACAAGATTCTCGCACTGAACTGTTTGATCTCTGCCTACAGTTTGTCAGTCCTCTACCTGGACGGTATTAAGTTCGGTGATGGTCAAGTCACCATTTCCGGTATGATGATGAGTGTATGCTTTCTTTCCATCTCGCGCGCAAAGACCGTAGAGACTCTTTCGAAGGAACGTCCCCAGCACAATATCTTCAACACATACATCATCGGTTCCGTACTCGGACAGTTCGCTATCCACATCATCACCCTCATCTACGTCAGCCAATATGTCCAGCGCGTCGAGCCCAAGGACCCCAACCCGGATCTAGAGAAGGACTTCGAGCCATCTCTGCTCAACTCCGCAATCTACCTCTTGCAGCTTATCCAACAAATCTCCACTTTCGCCATCAACTACCAAGGCCGACCCTTCCGTGAGTCTATCCGCGAGAACAAGGGCATGTACTGGGGTCTCGTCTCCGTCTCTGGTGTTGCCTTCTCCTGCGCCACTGAGTTCATCCCCGAGCTCAATCAGAAACTCAAGCTTGTCCCCTTCACCACCGACTTCAAGGTTATGATCACTAGCATCATGGCTTTCGACTTCGTCGCTTGCTACATCATTGAGAAGGGCTTGAAGTTCTTCTTCTCTGATAACAAGCCCAAGGATATTGCGGTTAGGAGACCTGATCAGCTCCAGCAAGAAGAGAAGAGGAAGGCGAGGGCGGAGATTGAGGCGCAAAGGAAGAAGAACGAGGAGGCGGAGATGAAGGCTGCTGCTGCTGGGTTGGTTAAGCGGTAGATGGTGTTGTTGTTTTGGGATAGAGGATGCCTGTAGCATTTTGGTGGTGGAGTAATTTAGGACGATGAATTGATGGTTTCTCTGCTCATCTGCTGTTCGCGTTAATCATGTCGTGATGGTTCTTGACAGTTCGCGTTGTGATTATGTGTGCGGCCAGTCGTTAGTCTGATCTTATGGTACCGCTGACGCTCCTTTTAGCTCAGTCTTCTTACGAGCTCACGTGTCTGATGTCTTTGGAAACGCACATATGACCTGCATCGGGCTTCCGGCTTCTTTCCTCATGCACATCAATTATTCTTCAATTTCCGAATTGCACAATGGTTTTGGATGATGGCTGCGGCTCGCCTTCTTCCCTTCAAAATTTATACCCGTCGGTATATGTTTGCACTTCCACACCTCCACTACCTATCAGCTCCGAAATTTGGACGTATCCATCGCATGAGAAACCCCTTCTCCAAACTTTCCTCAAGTCAGAAATACACAACTATCGCTACATGGCTGGTGCCTCTGAGAAAGATGCTGGATGATCGCAAACGCCGAACGTCGATTGTCATGTTTGTCATTCGAAAAGAATGCACAAACCAAAACACACCCCAGGTGACATGTATATTCTTTTCTCCAGCACTTTTCCCTTGCTGGTGATTCCAACCTGTTCGTTGCAGTCTTCGAAACTCACAAACGGAGTCATTCTGTCTTCAATGTCTTAGATAGCGGTCTGGTTTTGATAATGATTTCAAAGAGAAGTGGGCCATGCGATCTCATTCAATTGCCAATGTTGAAGTCCGACATAAAAGTAGTGCGCTGTATACAAAACCCGCTACCTCACCACAGTCCTTCCTCAATCCAACATACTTCTAACGCCGCAAGTATCAGCCGTGCCAAATATAAGCAAATTTGTAACACCTCAGAATATTACGAAAGTCACTCAAGCCAGACACCAGGATGGCCACCAACCGCTGCCTACAAATTCTCACTGCCGCCGATAACATCACCGTGGCCGCATACCAAATCTTCTGCGAATGCCAAACCGACGAGAACATCAAGGTCAAAGACTGGGAGGAGCCTACTACTGGGCTAAATGATGAGGACAGGAAGAAGTTGGACGAGGTGGTTGGGAACTTGACACATGCGTGGGAGCGGAGCGCTCCGTGCGCGAATCTAGTGGCGTTGGTAAGGTGGCGGAGGGATGCTAGGGGTATTATGGGCTATCCATGAAGTGGAAGACAAACCCAGAAGAGTAATAAGCTAGAAATATGAACAAGGGTATATGAACGTCTCTTGTACCGGTATTCTATTTCATCAACACGCTTTGTTGCTGTGCTTGACCAAAACATTCATCCGTAGACTATATGTGTTCTCCCCCCTTTCTCTATACATTGTACCGAAGATACTAACTGTCCCCATCATGGTTGTCCCGAGAGGCATTGGCTGGTTGTTACATGTATTCCAGAATGGCAGATGCAGGATCTATGGGGCAGCTCAAGTCCATCTCGCCTCAAGAGCTTTTGCGAACAAAACCGTATATGACGGAGGACTCATCCTTGTAGTTTCCAAAAGGTCGGACTGTGATAGTTTGATCACGCGTATGAAAGTGAGGTCATACCTACCGCTTAGCCGCTTACAGTGTCTGACGAGGTTACCTAAAAGATCACCATGTCTCGTTTCTTCTTTTTAACCTGTATCTTCGACCCTACTCAGAAGAACTCCAAAACGTATCCCAAGAGCATGATTTCTGAAGATTCTGCTCTGTTAGAAATTGATCTGCATTTGGACATGTCTTTCCCGAAGTTTCGCTTCCAAAGAACAATGTCTATGTCTCCATGAGCGTTGATTGTCGGCATATGATATACTGATAGCGTGATTGTTACTGGAAGAGGGCTTGATTCCATGATACGCTGCCTTGCATCAATTCACAAGGTGGCCTTTGAGGTCCCGTGCGATATAAGAGCGAGTCGCAGCCTTCGTTCAAAAGCAGTTATTAGCACTTCAGACTCCCACCTCTTAGTGACGCAGTGGCAACATTGGCGAAGCCGTGGAAAAGGTATACAATACCCACCTCTTCTACTATAACATCACCAACGCCTCGGAAAACTTCACTGTTCAATATCACTACAAAAGGTGTGGATGTTCCCAGACTTCCGCCTTTTTCCAAAACATCAAGCTTTGGGTGTCATGTTGTCGTACGGCCATATCTATGTACTGGAGCCGCCGAATGACGCCCCATGCAGCATATCGGATTTGCACTGTGCCTTCAATGTGTTGGCCTGATCAAAGAATTTTGGTCGAAATCACAAGCGCGGCCAAAAGTGATTAGGAAACTTCACAGTTACTTCGAAATGATGTCTACACCATCGATGTGGAGGAGATACCGCGGCGCACACGACACGAAAGTCATTCGAGCAGAAAATTCCAAAGGAAATATTGACAAAGCATGAACAACGCACGCCACTCAGAACTAAGACCCTCATCGTTCGTGTCAGGCCGAAACTCCAGCGCCATACGCCTCTTGACATAGTCTATTTGCCGAGTACTTCCGGCTCCGATACAAAATTTCATTTAGTCGGTTCGCAAACTACGAGGAATGGATGCACAGCAGCTACCACGCATTAGCATATGATCCCCATAACCCATTGTAATCATGTTCTTGGACTTACCACTGATGAACAGTCTTCCGGTCTTAGCATCGTGCCTAACCGTAGTACTGCCACTCAAAACCTTGCTATCCCTATCCTCGATGACCTTCTCAACCCTGTAATCTACACTTCTTACTCCAGATCTGCCTACGTCAACCGTCTTCCTGATGCGCCAGATAGTCACGGGCGACGTCTGGTTGTAAGGGTCATCGAAGCCTTTGCCAGACTGGATAAGGTTCGGGAAACCCGCAGCGTAGATGTCACCGTTGGCGTCGGGTGAGATGTTGTCGAGGGGCATGCCGACGTGAATGGTATCGACGAGGCGAAGTGTCTTGTCGGGTTGCAGTGCCAGCACGCGGATTTGGCCGTCTATAGCGCTGGGTACGTAGAAGAGACCGTCTCGGCCGCGAGCTAGTCCGTTAGGGAATTTGAGCTTCGACTTCGGAAGGTAGCTGAGTGCTTGATTCAAATAAGCCTTGTATTTTGGCTCGTCGTGGGCAATTGGCTGGGCGACATCATCGTCCTCGCTTCCGTCGTAGGCTGAGTGACAGTTGCCGGCTCCATCACAGTACGCAACATTGCCCCCACCGAGCACGTAGTCGAGCTTCCTCCTCTACTTTTAGTTAGCTGCTAATATTGTCGAGAAATATGCAAGGAAAACATGCCATGCCGACTTTGACAGAATGGTCGTTTGTCACAAGAAATCCACCCGAGCCGTCACCAAGCGCCGCAACACGGTTTGGTGTCCAAATCTCGTTCGACAAAACGGTGCGTACGTGTCGCATCTGCTCTTGACCTGTTCTCATTTCGAAGATTTCGATTGTCGAATTTGCGCCACTCTTAGAGGCATCGATGATGTTGTTGAACGCTCCGACTGGTGGTCGTTGGTTGACTAGATAGAATCGAATGGTGTTGTCGTCCAAGATCTGAGCGTCAAATCCCAGAAGATCAAGATCCGAATTTCCGGTCGCTCCTCTGTAGTGGCCTATCGGCTTGATACCACGGAGGTTGTAAAAGCCGTCAACACCAGGCTCATCGATGTCTAAAGCGATGAGTTCAGATCCGCCAGGTCGTCGTCCAGTTACGTTGACATCCTTCATGCTAAATCAAGTTAGTACCTATAACCCACATATTGCCTCCATTTATATTGATATAGATATACAGAAACTTACGCTTGGTTCCAAGCCAACCTATCCGCTGTGCCTGCACAAGCCGCATACAAAGTCCTGTCATGATCATCCAGCCAGATATCCTCGCACGCTTCCAATCTCGGATGTACGAGGCGACGACAGCTGAACTCTGGAAATTCATCGATGCTTTGCATCACACGGCCAACTCCGAAAGTAATCGCAAAAAGGTCTTTGAGGTAGAGTTGGTAGAGCGACGCGCCCCACGCTACTACGAACGCGTACCATATGGACGTCGCTATGCTAGGCATGATGAGTACGATAACGAAGAAAAAGAATGCAAAAATCAGCAGGGAGCGACGGAAAGGCTGAGCTTATATCTCAGGTTGGTACCTGGCGGTACGGCTGAGCAGGGCTTGACGGCGCTGTAAGCGGCATGGCGTCCCTCTTACAGCCCCAGTAGGATCTTCCTGTGATTGGCGTGCGCAACGCACGTGGGATGCTAGAGGACCTTTCAGGCATGCTTGATTGCCAAGGCCAAACATTTCTGCCTCGTTGATAGCAGGGCCGATAGTTGATGATGAAGATCGTAGCGTTGGAGATGGAAGTTCGGACGGAACCCCGCGAAGGCTGACGGGAAGTCTGACGTCACAGGGTCTTCAGCCCAATTAAGTAACTTCTCCCTCCCCAGCTTACTGTACGACGACATACAGCCTCAGCTCAATATTGTACATCAAGGCCCAATCCCTCCACATCAAATCCCAACATCACCAAAATGACAAAATCCGCCTCGTTCGACGTAATAGGAACATGTTTCACCTTCAACACCCCCATCTCCACCATCCAATCCCGGCTTGGCTCTAAGCTATCCACCGCAGCGGTGGACCCAAAAACTCTCTTCTTCTCCTGGTTCTATGCCGCCCAACGCGACTTCACTTACGTTTCCATGACCGGCTCCTACGTCCCCATCGCCCAAGTCCTCAAGTCCACTTTCCGACGCGCATGCGCCGTTGTAGACCTACCCGTGGACGCCGTCAGCGACGAAGACGTAGAGGAAGTCATGAAAGCGTTCAAGGCCATGGGGCCGCGAGATGGGCTGAAGAAGTGTTTCGACGGCCTGAGAGAGGCGGACTGGGATGTTTATGGCGTTACGAATGGAGGGTCAGAGACCTCTTTGAACTACTACCGCAACGCGGGGATTGAGTTGGATGAAGCGCATTTGCTTAGTTGTGATAGTATCAGCATTGCGAAACCAGATGTGCGCGTTTATGAGAACGCAGATAGGCATCTGACGGAGAGGGGACTGGGCAAGGAGGAGGGGGAGAGGTGGTTTGTTGCGGCGCATGCTTGGGATCTGATTGCGGCGAGGAAGGCGGGGTTTAAGACTGCATATTTGGATTTTGAGGAACACGATCCTTGTACGGATGTTTTCGGCGAGTTTGATCTGTACGCGTCTAGTATGGAGGAGTTGTTGGAGAAGTTGAAGAACGTGAAGTAAGATTCTGGCATGTTCCTGCAATTTCATGCGGAGGCCGTTGCAGAAGACGATCTTGATGTTGGGATGATAGTATTCCGTGACCTTTCTCTGAAAATTACAGAGTATCAAGAATATTGAGCCGAAGCCGAGCATGCCACGTATGATCTGACATTTCCCAAAACGCCCGTGGAGTATATATCCGCAGATATATCCGTCCAGATTCACACCGATATCAATCCATGCAAGGTACCGTCTTTTCCGCCCGAACCCATGCATGAAACAACTCGTGACACCAAAAGCCTTTCCCCACCAAAACCCGCATATAGAAAAGCAACGCGCTTTCTACCTGAAAAGACTCCTCAGCTCCTCTAGCCTCTGTTTGGTAGCTTCCTCCTTGCTCTTGCGCTCCTTCGCCATGGTTAGATCAGCCAGCGCCTTCTTCTTTCCCTGCAGCACCAGCATCTTCTCCTCGAAGCTGTTTTCCATAATGAAGCGCTTGATCGTAACCTCCCTGTCCTGACCCAGACGATGAACTCGGTCAACGGCTTGTGCTTCAGCTGCGGGATTGAACTGAGGCTCCATCATAAAGACCTTGTTGGCTGTTGTCAAGTTGAGACCGAGACCACCGGCACCGATTGAGACGAGCATGACGCGGATCGCCGGGTTCTCGCGGAGTTGCTGCATAGACTTGTCGCGATTCTCGCGTGTCATGCGACCGTCGAGGCGGACGAGCGAGTGACCGGCATTCTTGAGCGCGATCTCGATGAGATCAAGATGTGTAGTCCAGGAGGAGAAGACGATGCTGTTGAGTTATGTTAGTGGGGTCTGAAAGGATTCGTGTTAGAAATGACAACTCACCTCTTGATCGGCCTCTCATCAGGATGCTGCTCACTCCAGAGGCGGAATTCTTGCAGGTCGTTGAGCAACGCCTGGGTCTTTGTATGCGGCCCAGTATAGCTGCCGATCTTTTTCGCCAACTTTGGGTCCTTTCGTATCTGATTCTGCTCTTCAAGGTAGTTGTAGTAGTCTGCGCGTTCAAGCTTGAGCGCCGTTGGCCGGTTGACGTCGTCACAAACGTGGCATCGCACAGACCCGTCAGCCATAAGATTGTTTTTCCACTGATCCTTCAGCTTCTTGATATGCTTTGGGCATACCAGATGATAGCAGGTGGTCATGTAGCCAATTACGTCCTGGACATTGCCATCTTCGTCTTCATCGTCCGAGTCTGCGTCCAGTAAAGATCTCTTGTCGGCGCAATACAAGCAATCAGCTGCACTTGTAGATTCGAGGAGATTGAGCATCTCGTAGGCTTGTTGACGCGTAAGCTGTGGCCTATCGCTCTCTTCCTCATCTATCTCCATAGGCTTCTCATACGTCATGCCGTCAGTGGTTTTGAGCGCCTCTTCGCTGAGAAGGTCGCGGCCATGAGCGCAGATCAGGCGGAGGTTGAGAATAGCGGTCAAGATACGAGCGTACGATCTCCCACCCATCTTGTCACCCTGCGTGACTGCAGCCACCTTGCGTTGCGTATCCTTCTCGAACCAGTCATGCAATTGTCGCTCTTCCTTAGAGAACTGCAATTTGACGACATAGTCCAGCTTCTTGGGCACCTCCTCCTTAATAATTTCCTTGGTACGGCGAATTGTGACAGTACTAACAAGCAGCTGGAGTTTCGTTACAACGTTAGGATCGGCATTCTTGAAAGGACCGAGGATGAACTGATTAAAGCCGCTGGGGGTGTCGAAAGGCTTCAGCTTGATGAAGTTGAACAAAGCACCAAGATCCTCAAGTCGATTCTGAACAGGGGTACCGGTTACTGCCCACCGTCGCTGACCCATCATCATGCATGCTGCTTTCGACTGGTTGGTCGGGTTGCGGATGGTGTGCGCTTCATCCAAGACAATTCGGAACCAATTGATGTATGGGAGGGCTCTCTTCTTATCTGCCAAATCTTTCGCGATTATGTGGTATGTAGTCAGGACAATGTCGTGATCCGCAAGTTTCTCGGGTGTCATGGTGAAACGCTCTGCGCCGTGGTATCGCGCCCACTTCAAGGTGCTTCTACCCTGTGGGAAGTGCTCTTTAATCTGCTCTTTCCAGTTTGTCATTGTACTGAGAGGACAAACGAGGAGTGTGGCTCGACTGTTGATAACTGGTTGCAACATCGCCGGGTAGGGCTTCGGAGATGGCCTCTTGCGGCAGAATTCCTTGGCTGCAGTGATAGACGCGTCATCGCATATGAGAGAAAGAATACTGAGCGTTTTGCCCAAACCCATCTCGTCAGCCAATATACCGCCAAGGCTTGGTCTCGGTTTCTCTTCAACCTGTTCGCTCGTGATAACATGCATGTAGTATTTGCGACCATTGTCGCGATACTTGGCGGCCCACAAAGAGTCTTTTCGTTGGTCGTATATCTCGGGAGGATGTTCTTGTTCGTGATCAACCATGAAGTACAGCGCCTGCTTCTGATGTGGGTAGAGTCCAGTGGTGATGAGCGATGAAGGCTCTCGGGTAGGCACTTCCTCCGAGCTGCTGACGACTGTGTCGAAGACGTCCTCAACATCGGCGCGGATCTCATCGACGCTGCGAAGAACATAGGTATTTGTCGGAGCACCGATAGCGTACTGAGTGGGTAGCTGGAAGTCTGGCTGTCCAACCTGGTTCTTTTGGAATGTCTCCTTGGTTTGTGGATTGTAGTAGTCGTGACGGGCTAGTTCGAAGACGGGGGTTTCCAGGATTAGATTCTTGCTCTTAAGGAACCGACCAATGTTATCCGCCGTCCTACGCGGACAGTACAGCTGCAAAGTCATGCCGACAAGGGCGGAAATCTGACTGCCAGGCGGTCCTTCATTGGGCAATTTGCGCCGGGGCTCAGTCCATGACATCCATTTGAGGCCACTGGTGTTTGCACTGTCGATTAAAGGTGTGAGACCTTGTGCCGTCTTCATGTCGACCCTGCCGAACTCTTTGCCCATACCATCGAGTACCTACATGCTGGTTAGTGTATTTCTCACGTGCATCCCGTACATCAGAGTTCCTACCATGATGATTTGATTCCCCTTGTGGCCACCACCCCTGCGGAAAGACACCTTGATCCTGCTTTGACCGCCATGATTGCCGGCGAACTTCTTGGGATCAGGGAAGGGAACCATGTGCGCCTGGATGTAGGTCTGCTTGAGTTTACCAATACAGACATCCTCTTTGCTGTTGTCACCGATGACTTGGATCTCGTCTTCGTCGTCGCTCATGGTCAGATCGATCGCCGGTCCCTTCTGAGGTAGCGGCGCAGGTGGTTGACCGTTCTGATTCTGCAGCTCAAGTGCGCTTCCACCGGCGAAGTTGGATCGACTGCCGTTCTTCTGCCTTCGCGGATCTTCGGTCTTGACGCGTTTAGCAGGTGATGATGTGCGCTCTTGGACGTTGTGCAGGCGCTCGACAAGTGAGACCTGGCCAGCAATTGTGGGGTCAATGCGTCCGCGGTCAGCGTCGTTACCAGAAGAGGCGGGGCGCTTGGGATTTGATGATGTCGGATTTAGAAGCGCGCGAGGGTCAAATCGAGAAATTTGCGATGCAGAAGGTCCATGGTTGTTATGGGTCGCGTTGTCGCCTGGCACGTGCGCGGTTAGCTCTGGGGGGTCTGGATCTGGGTGACTGGAGACAGGTGCGTTCGGTAGCGAATCAAGAATGGAGGAGACGAGACAGGGTTCATAGAGGAGCAGCTCTGATCTATCAGAGGAGTTTGATGTTGGACTGTCAATCTCCATATTGCTAGCCTGTGACAAGAGGGATCGATGGGCAGAAGCGCCGATGAATATGTATGAGAGTTCTCAACACCAGAGAAAGTATCAAGGACGAATAGGTAATGATGGAGTGAGGTGTAGAAGAAGGTGAGGTGGAGAAAAGAGATTGAAGATATACCTGTTCTACGTACCCTTCTCGGGTCAAGTAATAGGGCGGGATTCATCTTGTCCATGCCAGGCTTGCAAATAAAGCAACTCAAACCTTACAGGGTAAGAGAGCTTCAAGTGAGTGAGATATATCCCTCAGCGTTTCCTAGCTCTTCCAGCCCTTCCAACGATGTGGGTGCCGCAGCGCATCTGATAGTCAGAATGCCAAGCCTTGATCCTTTTGCTCGCCACAAATTACGCGTTCTCAAAAGTGTCTTGATGCACTCGTAGAATCGTTAGTAGTGTTGGAAGTCCTTTCAAGCCTGGTTGCGATCGATTTTCGGACGCGTAACTCCGTATCTCGATTGATGAGATGATGGTGTGTAGTCGCTTAGTACATACCCGGTCGTCGGGTAAGTGAGGGTAGACGTATGGTTTCGCGACGCAGCGGCGGGGCAGCTTGCCAGGCAACAATGCGTACAAGAATATGGTTTCAGACGATAGGCAGCACGCTCATTTGTATCGCCGTGCGTGGATGAAATGGCGCTGTTGCCTTTCATGATCGTTGTGGGAAGTCATCGCGTGTGGCTGAGAAGAGCCTAGCAGGAGTGTCAGATGACCCTTCGATTATTCACGGGGATTCGGCAGAGGGCTGTTGCCCGCCATCATCGGGGGAGACCGATTCGTATCGCACAAGTAGGGCAAAGCAAGGAGTGTCTTCAGCTCGCACACCGTGTATGTGTATCACTCGGGTCATTAAATAGTGTGGGGGTTGTTGCGCAACGTACGTGGAGGTGTGCGTGCACCAGCAGGATAGCGGAGCTGTTCCCGCTACTGCATACATGTTGCTATCTGTAGATTTTGTACAACAAAACGCCTTCCATGCTACCCAACCAGATGCCTATGCCATGGGAATGGTAACCTTGCGCCTGTGATGCAAGACAGCCATTTCTCACACGTGTCCATAACACGAAGAAAACCCTCAAACTGAGCTACAATGTGCTCAACACCAAGTAAACACCGGATTCCTACCCTTGACCATCTCCAACCGTTCTACAATGACCTTCTTCCTATTTCCTTCCATATCCTCGTTGGCGGCATATCCTAGATCGCCATCGTCGTCAAAACCATAGTCATCAAGGTCTCTTCTATGCGTCAATGAGAATCGTCTGTGGTGTCGTGAGTCGCGTGTATTTCGGCGAGGCGCGTCATAGCTCATTCGCGACTGGTGTGCAGGCCGGCCATTGGAGTGAGGGTTCAGGTTCCGCGACCCCCAGTATACGTCGCTAACGGTTGCTGGTGATTCGGGGCCTTGATCAGGACGTCGTGCGTCGAGGGAAGAGGAGCCGCGCGTAAGATTGAAGCGGTTCTCGTGTGCTGTCTCCAGAGGCGGCGAGTTCGTAAGTAGGTCTTTTTGAGGCTTCTGCGGCGGTGTTGAGACTGCTGTTATGTCCATCTCTTCATGCTCTTCCTCTAGCCTTGGCTGTCTGCCTGGAGGCTGTTTTCTCCGCATCTCAGCAGACGGAGCCCTCAACGGCACAGCGATGGGTATCTCAACAATGTCGTCCCATACGCATACACGCGCCCTTCTTGTAAGCTCAAGCGGTCCGAGATCAGGTGTCTTGAGTGTTTCCACCACATTCCATGCTTGTCCTTTCATGACCGCGATCTGTTTGGCGTACATACGCTCCTTGAAGTCGGCATCTTGTGAGAAGCACTTGCGGAGTGCTGATTGCGTGTCGCTCCACCATTGTTTCGACGTGAGAAGAGGAAGGAAGTGGCGGCGGGTGGCTTCGGAGAAGGGCTGGCCGATGAGCGAGACGGGTAGAAAGAGCCAACCAAAAGGATAGCTGCGCCACTATAGTCCTGTCAGCATAGTCTCGAGTATTAAGAAAGTAAAGTACTCACAGCGTCTGGGTGTTTCCAGGGCCACGACAAACTGTTGTCAATGGCACCAATGGTCACTGTAGGCGTTGGCCCGCTCTGCATGGGCGTATTTGATCGACTAGTCGTGGTCATAGGTTCCCTCCGTCCGTACGGGTCCAGTCCGGACTGCTCCATCGACTGCCTTGTGTAGTCGCTCGGTTGGTGGTCAGTATTGTCCACATCGCCGTCCATCTTGGGTGGCTCTGCTACGATAGTGGCCCGCTGCGTCTTCTGGTCGATTTTGATCATCCAGTTGTCCAGGCCTCTGTCAGTGTTTCGCATGATGTAGTCAAGAATGACCAGTTTCTCCAGTTGCTCCCTGAATGACTGTTGGATGGCAGGCGTCCAGAAGCCCCTCCGTTGGTGTTGCGAGGCCCCATTTCCGGTTTCTCCGTCGTCATCCTCGCCGTCTGATTGTGAGCCATTCGGTCTGCAGTCCTCAGCCCATCTTCGCTTCTTCTTCTTCTGTGCCGATCTGACCGCGTTGTACCCTGTGGTGTACTGATCTGGCCATGGGTTCTCCTTCAAGAAGATGTTCGCATCCTTGAAGCCCTTCAGAAACACCTGGAAACTCCCAAGCTTCTCCGGGAATGGCTTCCCTTTCCTGTAGTACGCCCGCCTATCCCAGAAGTCGTAGTGGAAGGATTTGGAGGAAAGACCTACGACATCGGTGTAGGGTACGAGGTTGGTGCGTAGTTGGGTGTCGAGGACGTAGGCGGCGGCTTCGGAGATGTATGAGAGGTTGGGAATGAGGCAGGCGCGACCAAAGAAGAAGGGAAACAGATTGCGATGTATCCACTTGGTCCATTTGGGATTTCTTGACGCGTAGGGCTCTTCGTCTTTGGGCTTGAAGACGCCCACCACCTTGCCCTGCGTGGTGCGAGCGAAGTAGCTGCCCGAACTGCCTTGTGTAATCAACTTGGGGTGTACGTCCATCTCGATTGCCGTTAAAACGCTTTCCACTATGTCGTCGAATTCGAGCTTCGTCAGGCGATCCGATGGAACGTCGTAATCGAATGTGAGCGACTCGGCCGTTGCCGGTCGCACCCAGTCGGGCGCTTGGAAGACGGAGTGGTGGATCTCAAGCGTCTCATCTTCTGCCGAATCTTTCTGCTTCTTGATCTTGAATTTCTGCGCAATCTCGTCGGCCCATCGCTCGAATCGCGCATTGATGGCCTTGATGTCAACGCCCGAATTGGCGCGTTGCCGTCGTCCGGATGAACTCTTCTTGTGATTTGGTGAGTTCGCGCCCGAGCCGTTCATGCGCATATTCGAACTCCGCTGTGGTTGAATTGGGGCATATTGCGCGTCGGATAGGGGATTCTGGTGGTGGTCACCTTCAAAGTCGCTGCCAGAGTCTTCTTCTTCTTCCTCGGCTTGGGCTATTCGGGCGTAACCCGAAGTCGGTGGTCGCTTTGATTTGGGCATGGTGTGAATGGGAGAATCGAGGAAAGAAGGTCGGCTGTGGTTTGCTGTTCCCCGAGGTCGTGAATCGATGCCTGCGATTATGTAGAATGACGATGGAGCTGTTGCAGGGGGGTCTCAGCCGCTAGTGTCCGCCGTTGTCTAGCGCCTCCACTGCGGATCACATGCAAATTGGCCAGAGCACACCAGTGCATCTGATTCTAGGTCGATCGAGTTTCTTATATGCTGTGGGGTATCGAAGTCTAATGCAGGTTCAAGGCGCCTAGAGATACGCAAAGGGCTCACAATATCAAATCCACCTTCTAAAAGCTATCGTCAAGATCCACCTGCCGTCTCACCACACTAGGGCTGTCCTCGTCCATACCACCCGTCGAATCCGTAACGTCGTGGCCGGCTGTCATGAGCAAGTCATCCACGATGCGCTTGCTAGCTTCTCGAGCTGTTTCAAATGTTAGCTTGTTGTAAGGGCAGTGGGATACTGAGAACTTACCAGGCGTCTGCATCAGCTTGCTCTGTGGGATATGGAACTGTATCGTCTTCGGAGGGCTAAAGTCAAGGTCATCCTCTTCTTCGTCGCTGTCATCGAATATAGTACCGCCAGTCCGATGAATGCTCATAGGCTGCTTGCCCTTTGCAGGCGTCTGCACGCTTACACCTGGTGTCCGTGGCGTCTTCATAGGCGAGAAGATGTCGGCGCGTAGCTGTGGTGCTGGTGACGAGGGTGGTGAAGAGTCGAAATCTAACAATTTCGTAGCTGCACTTCGTGGTGTAGGTGCACCGCGCTGGCCGGTGCGAGGGGTAAAAGCACCCGTGGGCTTGTACTTTCTCGGGCTGATGAGCGGCGTAGCTTGTACACGGTATGTCTTATCGAGGACGCGGTGGAGCAGTGGGTCATGATTGACATGTGACTGTTTCGTGGCTGTAGGCTGCATGAACGGCGAAGATTCAAAGCCGCTCATGTCTGGGAGGGCTTGCGATTTGCCAGGTGTGACTGGCTCGAGCTTTGGGGTCTTCGTACCACCGATGTTGGGTCTGAATTCGGACTTCAGTGCCTCATAAGGCGAAGACATGCCAGCGAACTGAGGCTCTTCCTCATATTCACTCTCTCCTTCCTCTTCGATGTTCCTCCCTTTCGTTATTGAAGGCGGAGCTCGTGGTGTACTGTGTCCGAGCGAGGGCGAGTCGAAAGCCATAGTTGATTCAGCGTCTTCTTGTGCAGACAAGGGCCGTGGTGGTGTCGTGGTCGTCCCAGCTACCGTATCCTCGTTCTCCACTGTCTCATCGTCATATGTATGTGACTGTTCGGTGTCCTCCTGCACAGCTGATTCGTCCTGCTCAGGGGCCTCGTAACCCGAGAGTGACACATTTGCGCTGGCCTCGAAGAACTGTTTCCAGAACTTGGAACCTTCCCAGACCGCCTCAGAATGCTTTCCGTATTGTTCGACTATTGGCAGGATACCGGTTGTGACAATTCGATGTGCTCGGCTGAAGTTCTGATCGATTTCTGTCCGTATTAGTTGTGATAGTGGGGTGTGCGAAGCTTTGTTTACCTTGCAGTGTGAGGGTGATTGACTGCTCTAGCTTCTCCAGCTCTTCCGTCAGCGATAGGTTGCGCTGCGGCGCCATACTCATTCGAGACATGGTGCAGTTCGCGTCAATGGGTTTGTTTGGATGGTTATTGACAGACGCGCTTCAAAGAGTTCGGGACCAAGACTCGCGATTCCTTGGCACCCCCGAAGTTCCCCGCACCTTCACAGCCAACACTAGCTCTGTTCTCATCATTGACTATTCTCCTTTTAGATTCGACCCAAACCCGCTAGAACGAGCATGCGGAACCGTGCCGCTCAACTCGTGTGATAATTACTTTACCGCGAGGCTGACAGGCTTGAGGACGTCATTGCCGGACCTCTTAAACCCGATCAGGATGCCTAACTTCGCGCCGCGCAACCGACACGATGCTACGAGAGGGGTTATGCATACACTACCTGTACTCCGCATGTCCGGGTAGCCCATATGAGCCTCCCGGTATACTGGGTGAGGAGATCTGGGGTAAAGTATATGGATATGTAGCCGCTTCGGTGGTTGCTCGACCGCTTTGCTGTCCCCCGGGTACCATTATTAATCTCATACTCGCATCAGCCTCTCAAATTGCCATAGTTCACAACAGTAATCACCATGTCGTTCCGCCTACCAGTAAGAACTTTGCGGCAGTCTACCCCGAGGTTCGCGAATCTACCAAAAGCAGTTTCCCAAACCCCACGTTGGGCGCGCAGTTACGCAGTTACTTCAGATCAAAACCGGACAGCCATCGTGACAGGCTCTGCTCGTGGAATGTAAGGCTCATATACTACGTGTGCATATTCGATGGTTCTGACTAAATCACGACAGCGGCAAGGCCATTGCTCTTCGATTAGCTAACGATGGATATGATGTCTGCATCAACGATATAGAAGCCAACAAATCTGAGGCCGACGAAGTTGTGAAACAGATACAAGGCCTAGGACGCAAGTCTTTCGCGCACACCGCTGATGTGTCAAACTTAGGCCAGGTCCAGGGCCTCGTGAAAGCGTCTGTTTCGGAGCTAGGACCATTAAACACCATGGTAGCGAATGCCGGTATTGCGCAAGTGAAGGCACTGCTTGATCTTACAGAGCAGGACCTCAAGCGCATGTTTGAGGTGAACGGTTAGTCTGCCTTGGTCCGGCGTCGAGAACAGCGCCTAACACACGTCTAGTGTACGGCGTTTACAATTGCTATTCTACCGCGGCCAAACAGATGATAGAACAAGGCAACGGCGGCAAGATTCTCGGCGCAGCATCAATCGTGGCATTCAAGCCTTTTGCTCTTTTGTCCCACTACAGCGCTTCCAAATGGGCCGTCCGTGGTCTTACTCAAGCCTTTGCCATGGAAATGGCTGAACACAAGATCACCGTGAATGCATATGCGCCCGGTATCGTCGGCACTGCCATGTGGGACCTTATCGACGAAAAGCTAGGTGAGAAGACGGGGGCAAAGAAGGGCGACACGATCAAGAAGTACACGGATGAGCTAATCGCGTTGGGTCGGACGAGTGTACCTGAGGATGTGAGCAGTACAGTGAGCTTTCTGTGCAGCAAGGACAGCGATTACATGACGGGACAGACCATTGTCATTGACGGAGGTATCATTTTCACTTAGTTCGTCTTGTCAGGCTTCAATGGTGGCTCTACGATCTACGTACGTAATGTCCTTTTCTACTGCTGGCGTATAACTCGCCCTCTTGGTTGGCTGCCAGGTCATTTAGTTTCATTTGTAGTTGTCCCGCCAGCATTTTACCACCACCTTCAACTACTTAAACTGCCTCACGCCCAGTTGCATTACACTACCTTGTATCATTTCAACAACCTAATTTCTGCACACCGAAGAATATAACCCACCATGAGCTATTGGCCCGGCGGCACGTTTTATGGTCTAAGATCCAATCTGGGGCCTGCATATGTAGAGCGAGGCCGCTACGAGTTCGATGAAACGGGTCGTCTCGACGATGCGCCTTTCAGAAAGAACCCCATTCCACTAGCCGCACGTATAAATCCGTACACCAGGACTAGCCATAACTCAGGCGTTCCTAACGCACCTCTCGCATCTCTCCAGACCATTCCATATGCAGAGCCTTCACGCGCACAGAACATTGCTTCTGGCTCTGGGTCTTCATCTGGGTCTACTCTCAGTATTAGGAGATCGTTGCTAGACAACTGGCATGCAGGCTTGTCAGCAATGGAGGATCTTTTCGACACAATGCTCAACAGTATCGATAGGAACAACATTCAAGAGTTTAGGAGAAATCGAGATCAGATGAGAACCTCGTTGGAAAACTTGAAGCGGGCGATCCGTAATAGGACAATGGTAGATTTATCGCCTGATCGGGGTGACTTAGGAATACAACGTTCAGACCATGTTTTGCAGAAATCGCTCATTTATTTGTGGTTGCTTGATCCCGAGATCGCTTTGGTTGTGCTGTGTCTATATCCGGCTCTTCTAGGCTGTTCTTGCTCTTTCAAGGCAGGTCGACATGGACCTGTTGGGGTATAGCAAACAAATTGTATCTGGTTAATTATACCCGCGGACAGGCACAGCTGTTCGATACAACGCACCAGCGACAGATCAGTAAGTTCTCAAACAGCATCCAATAGCGAAGCATGTCTTTTTTGCACTTCCTTGGCTTGACATCTGGCGAACGTCAACACGACCGATACCAACACAATCTCTTGACTCATAGAAATGGCGACAGAGAACAGCCAGCGCGGCAACAGCATCGTGTATATGTGAACGGAAGTGCTCGCGAGAATATGGTGCGTACTTTCGCTATATCAAGCCGCAGACTAGAGCGCTGGTACTTGGACTTGGACCGCCTAGATGCACTAAGAGTCGCTATGAAAGACGCCTCTATGTCACAAAGGGAGAAGGCAGCGAACATCAAGGAAATGGAATACATCATCAACTGTATCAAGTCTGAGATGGAGGAGAGGGCTGATGAAGGTTGATGAGAATCGCTTGAAACGGTGGGAATCAGTTAGTCGATGTGATGAAACGACGTCTCTTGATTGTTTATTTGCTACATCTTCTTTTATCGGTTGGGGCTTGCAACTGGGAGGAGGTACTGTTATGAATCCGAGCACGAGAGTAAACTAGGAACAAGCATCCCTGCTTTTCATTTGTTGAGGTTGATCATAACTAAACGAGTCTGGTGTGTACATCAATCTCATAGATTCAACCGTTTTCACTGGTTGTTTACCACAATTTCTTTGACAAGTACCGCAGCTTGTTAGCAACGAGACAGTCATTTGGTTAAACTTTTGGCTGGCAGATACATGTGTTAGTGAAGGTGATCAGTCGTCGCTCCCGCATCGATCGCGCGATCTCTCGTATGAGTCTTTACGAACGCTTTCCATTTGCTCCAAACACCTGCAACAGGAGGCGATCGTTTTTCTACTGATTGTAAAGCAATCGCAATTTTCTCTTCATTCAACGTGGTTGATGATGGAGGGAACTTGGGACATAAGTACAACCCATCCAAGATCTACATCTGTCTCATCGATAAGCTGACACTCGCACTCTGGATAGCCGACATCTCAGAATCGTCCAGCATAATGAGTCCTCGTAAGATAACAAAGAAAGTCAAAGAAGAGTACCCTCCAGCACCGTCCGTGGAAGATGACGCTGCTTCAAATGGAAATGGCGGTCTTGAGAAGTTTCAGTTCAGTCAAGAAGTCATCGACGAGTACTTGGCGTTTAAGCGAATGAAGGAGCTGCGCCAGGAAAACGAGGAGGAAGAATATGTAAACGATGACGATTATGGTAGTTCGCAGTCCACTGTCGAGAGGTATGAGCACTACGAGCAAGATGAGCCAAATCAGCACGTTGTGGTTGAGTCACCACAGCGTCCACCAACCCCGCCTCAATATTACACAATCCCCGAGCCACCACCTCCGACCGTCATTCTTCAGAAATTGGCGCCCACTGTTCCTGTAACCTCGCTATCCGCAGGTGAGGCTGAAGCTTGGTCTCAGTTCCTTGGCCGGGTTCCTAGAGACACCGTCCCAATTCATCAACGTTATCCTCAACCAGAATTTGCCTCCACTGGCGATTACTTTGAAGATCATTGCCCGAGAGGCGTCATTTCAGGTGGCTACAGTCGCGGTGTTAGAAGTCTGGGCTATAACAGGCGTCCTTACCGCACCATGCCAACTGGAATTCGCGGACCTAACGAAACAGTTCCGTTTGCCATAGCACGAGCTGTCGATAGGAACCTGGCTCTTTACGAGGAACCCATCAAGCTGTTCGAAATGTGGGCCGATACTTTTGGCAGGAGTAGACGGATTGAGGAAGACGTGACGACATTGAGAGAAAGACTTCGCCTGCTGCATCAATTTTACTATAGGCCTTGAAGCATGGGTAGATGGATTTGGCTTGCGATGTCCGTTTGTCTCTTTGGTAGTCTCTAGGAAATCTTTCGCTGATTCATCGCTGGCGTGGTCGTTCGCTCATCTGTTTGCCGTTGTCTGTCAATGACGCGCTGTCATGTACGTGTGTATTCGGTGTGGCAGTAGAACACTCCTTACCTACAATCCATTAGCAATATTACTAGTAAAGCATTGCTCATTGCGACAAGCCCACTACGCACCAACCATGTCTTACTACCAGAGATCCAGCGCGTCACCATACTATCTTCCCCTTGATTCTCAGTCATACCAACCCCAATATGTACGAAGCAGATCTTCAGGGACATCGATACACAGTCCACATGACTGGGTTTACCTGAGCGATAATCTTCATAACGACATGCGAGCGATGATGGAGGATATGAAAACAAGGAGGAAGCAGTGGCAACAAGAAAGAGAGAAAATGCGCGAAACACGGCAAGAAGGTGAAGCTTAAAGATGGAGGATGATTGTGTGAGATAGTGTAGTGAGATGTTAGCGGTAGCTTTCCTGGCCAATACGAGGTACCCTTTGGAATGGTATGAAAGTTCGTCGAGTGACCCGGAGTTTGCAATTGGCTTGAGAAAGAGCGCAAAGCTAGATTTAGGTGCCGGCATCCGAAGTTACTAAATGACCACGTGACAAGATTGTGGAAAGTATAAAGAAACTAAAAGGCGTCATGAGAACGATGAGAGCGACGGACTAACTGTCTGCATCCAATGTCGTGAGTCCGGTACAAACTGTATCAACTTTATCCTTAAAGGCTCTTCGTATCGAAAACAGATGAAGCACGAACGTACATTATAGCCAATATCGACACGCCAGTGATTTGTAATAGGCTGTGGTATTGTGGAAAGTGGTAACGATGGGTTTATGCTGCGCTGTCAGCGATTAGAGAATAACCAGAAAGCGGCAACCTACGTGAAGAGTCCAATCTCAAAAGTGGCTGGCATCGCTAATATGTATAGCGGGCGTCTTAACATCATTGCGTATTTGAACTTAACAGACATGGGTCGTGCGAACCGTTCTTCTCCAGAGACGGCGGAGATATCGGGTTTCCCGAGAGAAGAGTCGAATCATATGCTGGAAATTGGATGCGAGGTAATCTGATATGTTAGTGAGCTTTGACACTATGGAGTTGATTTTGATGGCTCGCACCAAGGCGACATGAAGAATGAGGCGAACCAGACAAAACCGGCGATGTGGTAATAGTATTTGAGACTATAAACTGCGAACGGTTTCTCCGCATTCCAGCCATTAGTCCTTCTTTAGTAGCATGTAGATCGCTTAGAATTACGTCGTGAAACCTGCAGCTGTGTGACAAGAACGACAACGACATTGTGACGATACCTCACATCTTGCGTCACCGCCGCTGCAGCACATTGGGTGCCCTAACAGCGTTCGTGCACATCAATTCTGAGCTTGCTCGACTTCTGCCAACGAAGTGAGCAGTCTCAGCTGTCAAGGAGAGTGGTGAAAACGTACGAGAATACGTGTCGCATTGGCATTGATATCAAGTCCTCAAAGACGCTACACAAAATGCCGTATCCCACAGCACCTCGGTACAGTCGCTCGTCGAGGCGCGCGTTTGCTCTTGTCATGATCGACGCGGTCGCGTTGTTTGCTTGACTTCGCTAGCGGTCGGTTAGAGTCAAAAGACGTGGCTAAGCTTCCGCCTGCGTCGGAAAGCTTGGGTAAACGAAGAGTAGCTTCCGATAGTAGACCGCCTGCCCGCTGCTAATGCTCAGCCATCATTGGTAGAACTTTACGGAGTCTATTGACACCCTGGGCCAAGACTCACGATGCGAAACGTTTGGGTGACACTGGTGACCGTAAAGCCAACTCAACCCCCGCTGTGTGGATAAATCCTGCTTCGAGCACACGTGGAGGATTCTGTCTGTCTGAGGCATGTTTCAATCATGGTATAAGATCAGTTCATGCTCGCCCGTCTTCGTCTGACAGAATTTCGCACATTATCTTACCCTCGTTTGTCGCTTGGTTTTATAAACTTATCGCGTCCTCCCATCGCGAGAATACCAGAGCAATGTACGAGATGGCTCATTCCAGACGGAAGAAACGAAATCTTGAGCGGCTGTACGAACACTATCCGGCTTTTGATCTAGCAAACTTTGGCGGTATTGGTGGCTTAGGTGGTTGGGGTGGATACGGACCGTGGAATGGCGGCTTTGAGAGCCAATATTACGACCTGCCGGGCACTGTCGAACAAGCAACGCGATCACATGTAGAGGCACAAAACGATTTTGAAAAGTCAAAGGAAAAGTATGAGGAAGCCAAGAAGAAGTATGAGGAATGCGAGAAGAAGGGTACGTAACATCCATATGAACTGCAAGGTGTAGACTAATCGTACATCCATTCCCAGTCAAAGAAGCAGAGCAAATGCTTAAATTAGCAAAGTATCATGCTGGAGCTTGGTGATATGGATGTGATCGTCATCGAGTGGCTGCTGGCAGCACATAAGCAGGTGGGGGCGAGGACAGGCCCATTGGTGTCTCGGGTTCCATGAATAGGTGTTTTGGGAAACATACTTGTGCGTCATTCCGTATGGTGGAGGTTTTGCTTTACTAAGTAAGGAGTCGTGAAGGCAACTTTGGGCCAGTTGGGAATGAAGGCGTACGCTGTAAACCAAGCAGAATTGAGCTGGATGCAATCACAATCGCCTTACAAGCCAGCCCTACACACGCACGTGGACTCACGATACGGTGCAATGTGTCGAGCCCAATTACTCCAAAATACCGGCTGAGGGCACATGGTTGCGTGCGTTCTCCATTTGGCGCAGCCTATGTGTTGTTCTGGATGTCATCGTGAAGGAGACGTCGTGCGTTTGGAGTTCGCTTTCCTTTCGTTCTTCTTCATTCCGCGGAAACTCTGTGTTGGTCAACTCAGCTCCTTGGGTATATAACCACCGCGTCCCGGCCTTCAGCGTAAACTACAATTCTAACATTTCTCTCATCATAGCGTCCCGAAAACACTTAACATGATCGCCGATGCTGCTTCGAGTGCTTGCGCATCTCAATCTCCCAAAGCCACAATTCTATCTAGTGTACGACCCGTATACAATGAAGACGAATATGATTCTGAAGCTGAAACTCTGGTTGGGAGTGAGTCTGATGATGACGATGATGATCACTCAGCATCGGCCAACAATCAGCCTGCAACTGGCCATGGAGCTACCGTGTGGTCTTCAGCTAACGAGCCCTGTGCGCCTACTCAGAACAACATAGGCACGGTTGTTCGCGCACCAAAGGCAAAAGAGATGGAGGCTGCAGTGCAACGGCCCTTGCCGCTGATTCCAGGTGCTGGGCGAAAGTAGGATAACGTGTGAGCCTCCAGGAAAGCCAGATGTTCCGGTGGCGCCTATGTCGGCAGAATCGTTCGCTTTGGGGGCGGCGAGGCATCCGAAGAAGACGACGATGGTGTGAAGGGTGTTTCTGGTCGAAAGACTGGTAAACAAATAGTGTTATTTTAAAGGAAGAGTTGTTAAACAAAGACTAGACACGATCCTGCAAGATCTTTGTTCTCGATGGAGTGTGTGTTTGAGAACAATTAAAGCACCCATTATCGGTGCAACCGTATTTGTAGCATATGGATCTGCATCAACGACACATGATGTAGCCGCCAAAGGTATTACGATTCTGCTGAAGAGCGTGATGAAGGTGCTGAGCGGACATTGAACGGTATTCGAGAGCTAGGCGACATATCACTAGTCCGCATTTTCTGATCCTTTGAGTTTTGTCGCACTCAGTATTCGCGATATGTCGCGTTGATATCAGTAAATAAAATGTCAATAGTTGCGTCGTGCTTTCAGAATTCCAGAGGCTGGATGGCCGACTAAATGACGTCATTATCGTTCCTGCTCGGTTTCGTTCGTTTTTCGCGCCGTATCCTCCTGGACCGACCACGTAGACACCCTGCTGTCATCCTGCATTCCCTCTCTCGCAACTGTGCTCGCCTATTTGCAACTCCGAAGCTGACCTCAAATTGTTAGTCACATGGCTCAGCTTCGTCACACTGTACAACCGACTCAGGTCGCGTCGCGTCGCGTTGCGCGTCTCATGCTTATACGCTTGTTCCGAGGGTTTTCCATCATGATCCGCAGATGCCCGGACTCCTCGCGTTCGACCGCCATCCCCTATGTTTTCCGTCGTCTTTGGAGAGCACAAATCACCTCAATACATCAACCTATAGGATACACCTGACTTCTGACTTTCTATAGACGTTATCTCGATAGCTGACGCCCGAAACACCGAAGGACATATGCTCGGGATTCATAAGTGAGGTAACTCACAGCGAAATCGCCATTGTACCTACCTGACTATTCGGCCACCACTTGTTCTCTCGGCATTACTGATTCCTCGATCTTGGCAGTAGTTATTGCTTCCAATGATTGACGCGGGGGGTGGCTTGGCACATGCAAAAGCGCTATCTCGTAGCGATAAGATATACCAGAGCCTTTACCCCACCTTTCCAGGAGGTGAGACGACTACAGATTATGGATATGACTTCCTATATGGCGATAGACTCATGCAACGAGCATACCAAGCATTCCCAACGTTACGGCAGTCTCGTAACAATCTTCGTCTGTTGGAACATCACGTAGCATCCAACATTGCCCCAAACCTGGCAAAGAACAGCAGAAAGCTTGCTCTATTTGACACGCACAAGACGAGCATAGACACCAGATGTGAGGTCAAGTCAAGGAAAGAGCATAGAAAGAGCGTGGACTGCCAAACGTGGATATGTTCAGGCTGCGCCCTACACCGGAAGTGGCCTGGCTGAGTGGATACTATTCCATATAGGCCTCCTACAAGCTGTGATCTCCCTCCTTATCATCGGATAAGTCTGCGATACCATGTCAGTTCATTGTCATCGTCGTAAGTCACTCGAGTCTTATCTAGGACCGCAACGCTCGCGACGATGTATAAAGTATAGCAGAAGCATTTCGGATTGTTATTAGCATCCACCAGAGATACCATTGACCAAAATGCGTTACCCTTTCCTTGCCTCCGCGGTTCTTCTCGGTATAGTCAGCTCTTCCGCTGTGCCGTTCCTTGGGTATGATCGAAGAGTAGTGCGTGATTACTTTGACAAACGAACTGACAATGCAACGGCATATTCTTGCTTGACCGAGGCGGCTACTACAACAGTAGCACCAAAGATCAATCCATGGGCTCCGTTGACACCAGAAGAGAACCTTGCTGTGTGGACTTTGCTCCACGCTCGAACCTCCGGGCTTAACCTTACTGATCCTACTGAGGCTGTATTAACGGACAACTACGTGTATGTTACGTTTGAACAATGAGATTATCGCTGACAGGTACTAGGTTCTGGATAGATGCATTGCACACTAACAAGAGCGAGGTGCTGCCGTACATAGACGGCTATGCAGCAATGCCTGCGAAATATGCGCGCGCTATTATCTTCGAAGGCGGAAAGACCGAGCCAGATTCCCAGGAGTACATGATTGGCCCCCTCCCAGTATCTGCGGGAACTACCATTAGAAAGCTAGATTACCTCTACAATGGTGGTTCTGGTGGTTCTGTACCCTACAACGCCAGGTACTTTGATGGCCCGCGATCGACTGCTACCGATCCGCTCGTCGCATCCATTATGGCGAACATTTCAGACATAACAGCAGCGCTTTTCCAAGGAGGTGTATACTTTGGGTCAGGTGATGACAGGTCAAATCTCTCGTTGACCTCCGGCACACCCCTCTCTTTCGATGGTACTAGCGCATTTCGTAACATCATGTTCCGTTTTCCTGGTCCAGCAACCTACATGACACCGTTAGACTTCTTTCTTTTGATCGATTGCACCGGCACCGATCCTTCTCTTTATTCGCTGAAAGGATTCGTCACGAACGAGAAGTTTTACTCTACTATCGCAGAGTTGCGGGCTGCATTCGAGGCAGGCGAGCTTGCTATGGAATACGACCAGACTCTTGACGCAAGTTGGGCTTTGGTCGATTACAAGCCAGAGCTGGGTGTACGAGACCTAGAAGAGCGGCTGGCACCGAGCACTCTTGAGATTGGTGGGAAGCGATACAAGCTTGACAAGGAGAACCAGTATGTTGAGTACATGGGTTGGTCATTCTACATGTCATTTTCAAGAACGCTTGGCATCATGTTCTACGACATCAAGTTCAAGGGCGAACGCATCCTCTATGAGTTGTCGATGCAAGAGGCTACTGCGCAATACGGTGAGTACCCCTTCATCCCTCATCAGATAGAAGCTAATTACTCGAAGGTGGTAACCAACCCAAGGCTGCTAATACAGTATACCACGACACCTATTACCAACTCGGTACTGAGATGGGCAGCTTAGTGGAAGGCTTCGACTGCCCGTGGGGATCGACGTTCTGGAACATTACATACCCATCTTACAACACAACGCGAGTCAACACCAACGCGATCTGCATCTTCGAAACCGACATGAACTTTCCTCTCTCACGTCATCGCACAGGTGCATCCAACGACTACGGCTTTAGCAACCTAGGCAGCGTCAAGGGCGCCGGGTTGATCGTTCGCGCGATTGCTACTGTTGGCAACTATGACTATATGTTCGACTATTCCTTCCGCATGGACGGCTCGCTTGAAGTCATTGTGCGGGCATCTGGGTACTTACAATCTAGCTTCTATTATCCAGCGCAGGCAAAGTTTGGGCCGAGGATCCAACAAGCTACCCAAGGCTCACTTCACGATCACATTGTGACATACAAAGCGGACTTTGACATAGTTGGGGCTGCTAACTCGCTTCAAGTCTCAGAACTAGTCGCCGTCAACCAATCCCAGCCGTAAGTGATGCTTGTGGTCTCGCTTACAAATACTTCAAGGCTAACCTCAGCTATCAGGTGGTTCCCCGAGCTTGGCGTGTTCGAACAGATGGAGATGAACATCACATACATGACCGAAGAGCAACAGTTCAACTGGGCACCCAACAACCAGGCCATGTATGTCGTGTTAAACCCGAATGCCACAAATGCCTGGGGCGAGAAGCGCGGCTACCGTCTCGTACCCGGTCGTTCCGACATTCACCTCTCGACCCTCAACTCCCCCTGGTCGCTCAAGAACTCCGAGTTCGCCAAGTCACATCTCGCCGTTACACGTCAACACGACAACGAGCCTTTCGCCAACAGCGTCCAGAACATTAACCTTCCCTTCACACCGCAGCAAGACTTCAGCAAGTTCTTTGACGGCGAATCAGTTGAAGGCGAAGATCTTGTCGTTTGGTTCAATCTTGGTATGCATCACTATACCAGGAGTGAAGATGTCCCTGTGACCTTGTACACAGAGGCGTACTCAAGTATCGTATTTGCACCGCAAAACTTCTTTGACAGGGCACAGGATGGCGATCTGCTTAACCGTAGGTGGATCGAGGTCGATGATGATGGGAATATGACCTTCAAGGCATATGGCGTGGGGCTAGATGTTTGCCCAGTAATGCTGGAAGAGCCTACGGCACTGCTAGGTGGCGTTGGCGATTTGTAAGACAGGCTAATTAGATGATAGAAGAACATGGTTACCTCTCATCAACCGAGTGTTAGTGAGCAAGCCTATGGTGAGCACTTTCGCATATCGTACGATGAGATCTCCTCTTACATTCAAATACTCTAACTACAAAAAGTGGTTCGCGAATCATCGAACATAGCCAGACATAACCCGTATAACACATTCTTCTCGGATTCGCTAATGTCATCGGTCAATGGTGCGCATCGATCTGGTGACGACGACCACCTCACTTTGTCACAGGTGGCAGCTCATCACGCCAGCATCCTCTAACAAATAGCAAATTTGGGCTATCACTAAGTTTCTTGAATCGTTCGCCACTATGTTGTACGTGAGTTCACAACGGCAGAACTCTCGAGTTTGATACAATAGAACTGGTACTTTTCTTCTCTCCCCTCGCAACACACACCTCATCTTTATCGCTCATCATGTACCTTCCGGTAAACGCTGTGATTACGGCTACTGGCTTTCTTGCCGCCTCCAATCTTGGTATCTCGAACCCTGCGACGAACGACCTGTCTCTATCGACCGCTTCCGCGGTTCTAGTGGCCTGTCAAGATGACACAGAGCCGCCACCTCTTGTTACATCAATCCAATTCATTACATCGATAGCTTTCATCACTTCCGAACCAACTCCCACACTTACTGCAACACCACCTAAACCCGACATCTCGTCGGTGGCGACGGCGCCGCCTCCAAATCCATCGACTATAGTAGGAACGCTGACCAGTAGCGAACAACCACCTACAAAGGCTAGTACTACTGCGCTGGCTCCTTCGACATCCAGCACTACCCAGAGCACTTCCAGTCTAACATTCGCCAGAACGTCAACAACCACAGCTACCACGACCCCGACCCAAACCTCACATGCAGACATAGACGCTGATCCTTGGCTAAGCAGAGGCAAAATCGCCGGTATCGTTGTAGGCTCCGTCTTTGGCCTCGTCATCCTCGGCCTCATCATCTACACACTATTCGCTGCCTCCCGCGGCATCAACGTATGTGATTGTTTCGGCGGCTGCTGTGGCAAACACGATGACAAGGACGAAGAAAGTAGTCGGGATCGCTTGCCTTCGCGGTCAGAAGACACGCATCCGCATCCTGATGTTCTTAAGCCTGGTCCTGGAGGTGGTTATAGGGCTTATCGTCCTGCGCATCCGGTTAACGATCACCCATCGCTTCCGCTTCCGCCGGTACTGCCACGGCAGGCTGAGACTCAGCAGAGACGCGCAGTGAGACTGCAGAAGGGATAATAAGGGCGTTTAGTTATGGAGGAACAATAGATTTATAGAAATTCTCTAGAAGAGGATAGTGTCCTATCAGCTGCTTCTTTACCTTCGTACAATGTACATACACATGCTGTTTTGTTGCATGGCTCTAGCCTTGATGAATGGTATAACCCTTTATTGAGATCAACTCGCAAGTGGGTACTGAAGACTGGTTGGTAGACGCTGGAGCCGTACAACCTCTGCCTGTAGATATGTTTGTCGTATTCACATTATCCATGCTCTCCCATTTCATAGTAGTTGCACATAAAATCTGCCCATGTTTCATTGGCACCACGGAATAGCCGAACTTATATGGTATACACCTCGATTCATCATTGCTCGCCCACACACTAATTCTTAGGCTTCTCACTACTGATGTCGACTTCTACAAAATCGTGCTTTCCACCATCCTTCCCCACGTGAGTGTAATGCACAGGTAGTTCAGAAGATGTACGCGCACTATGGCTATCGCCTATATCCCCGCCTTGATGGCCGGCGCCTACATACGGTGAGGAATCGTTGTCCTTGAGCACGATAGTCTTGGCTTCGGCTTCATTTTCTTTGCTCTGCTTGGTCGCACGAGCCTTGCGATATTTGAGACCGAAGAAGAAAAGGGTGTAGATGAGGATGATAGTCATGGCTGCAGCAGCTACGCCAATGCCGATCATGAGAGGGCGATGGTCAGGAAGGGGGACGGGCTCCGACCGTTCATGAAGCTTTATGTTGGCGGTTTGGGGCCAGGAGAAAGCAGACATATTGGACATGTTTGCTGGAGTTGCGGCTTCAGATGCAGACGGTGTGTATGGAGGGTTAGCGTGGGTTAAAGTAGCTCGTCAGATCTGCTGATGAATGCATGCGAGGTCAAGAAGGTTTGCAATACTTTTGACGTCAAGTAAGTATTCTGCATCGCGTACTTGAACAACGTCGAATGTGAACAGTGTCGTGACTCTGTTGTCTCCACATACCGTGCACCGCATTCATTGCGATTGTCCAGGAACAGCGAAGCCCCCCGGAAAAGCAACTCCATAGGGAATGCAGCCACTCGTCCAGCTCCAGCCTTTTCTTCCATAGCTAGCGCAATACTCAGGAAACAATTGGTCATTGAATTGCTCTGTAGAAGGCCGTAGCCTGCGTCAAACTTCCCCAGGAACTTTCTCCGCATCCATCATTGTTGAAAAATTGACTAGGTGTCCCCGGAGGCGCACCGAAAGTGTGGCGGGTGCATGCAGCGTTGCAGTGTCGCGATGCAGATCACCCGGCTGAATGCATGTCGGGGATCATTCCTCGGCCGTGCCATGCAAGGCCAGAGCCAGCCATTGTGTTGCACAAGCGCCGCGCCGCATGTAGATTAAGCACCTGTTAATGTAATCAAAGTTGCACAGTCAGTGCCATTTCGTGTCAAACGTCGGAACACGCTAGGCGAAGGATTACGTTCCAATGACTTGTTGCATGTCCTGTCTGATCGGCGGTGGTGAGATGGTTGGACGGATTTAGACAAAGAAAGCTCATGCATGGATGCGGAGTGCATATGGAACCACGCTAACCGAAGGCGTTTGATTGTTTCGGAAGACGCCACCGAGCTGAACGCGTGGCCCTACGTCACTAGCGAAGACCTCACACCATGCATCTCAGCTGTAATGTTCAACCCCAACGATAGAGCTATACTGAATTGGAAATGCAGAACAGAGGACAATTGAAAACTGTGAGGTTGGAGAAACCCTCACATTCATTGGAGTGACATCACGACTGGGTTGAGCAGAGCACCAGGATACTAGCACAGGGCATTGACTAACGATGTGGGTGTTTTGGATGTTTCATTGAAATGACTTATTATAAGTGTATAGACCGACTGGTTAATCCCCAGTGTCGCCGTGAAGCATTCCTATCCCGCACATGTCTCACGAGAGACGAAGCGTGTTCAGCTCGTGGCTGATGTCGCTAACCGATCGAAGAAGCTGTCTAAAGAGACTTTTGATGTCGATGATCGAAGTAAGCCCTTGAGGGTCGAGCCGCTTACAAGAGACCGGCGATGGCAAGGAGACCACCAGCCATGGCGCCCATGGCGGGGACGTTGTTGTAGTCGGCGGCACCAGTAGCGCTGGCGCTGGCAGCGGCGGAGCTGGCAACAGAGCCGAGAGACTGAGTGATGGAAGAGATCTCAGATGCGCGCGAGCCAGTGGCGGTCGATGCCTCGGATGCCAGGCTGCTGATGAGAGAGTCGGCGTTGCTCTGGGCAGAGGAAGCGGCAGAGGTGATAGCAGAGCCGGCTTCACTGGTAAGGGATCCAGCAACGGAAGTGATATCAGAGCCGATGGAGCTGGCGAGGGAGGCGATATCAGAAGGGGCGCCGCCTACAGCAGAGGTGACACGGGAGATGATGGAGTCAACCTGGGCGTTGGCAACGCCGGCGGCGACGAGAGCAGTGGCAATGGTGGAGAAACGCATCTTGATGGTGTTGGTTTTGGTGGGTTGTTTGGGTGGGTAAGAGTTGAAAGTAGTTTGTTTGATGTGGAGAGTGTGTGAGTTGTGGATGGGAAAGAGAAGGCAGGGCGAAGTGAGAGCTCTTATACCAGGTGAGTGCATACCAACTAGCGTGATTCCATGTCGCCATAGCCTCAGCAGCTAGCAACAAACACAGCGGCCGCCGCCCTTGCTCGGTTGCGCCTCCTCCACATTTTTTAGCCACGTAATGCAAGCAAATAACTGGCCAGTGACGCCACATGGCCCGCACTGGCCTTGTGCTTGACTGTATGCGGCAAACAACCGCAGCCCATCCCAGTCATCGGCACCCGTTCCTGCTTTTTCGAGAGAAGCTTGATCTGGGGGCCTCTCACCGCGCCTTAGCCTATGACGTCGTTTTCGTGACCGAGGGCTCTTCAATTTGTCCGCCGTGGGGCCAAATTAACTGGGGCGCGAGGCGATACATGCAGGCATTCGATGCCTGCTCCAGTCGTCCTGCAATGCCCCCGTCTGGCTGACTGCGAAGCCATGCCGTTGCAGTTGCCCACACGCCACTCCGGGCCATGGCGAGGCGTCCCAGATGCTATTTCCAGCGTTGCGGTGATCCATTCACTCTGAAACAAGTAAGCACATATCGTCTGGCCAAGCTTTCCGACTGCCAGAGCGACTTGACGCGAGGTGGAACTCCATGTCCCTGAAATGCAGGTTCGATTCGACCGGCGTGCAACCAGTGACTGCTATGGCAACCAGCAGCACGCTTCTCCCTAGCCCGACGTTTTCGTGTCTCGATGCTCAGCTCTTTGCCTCTGTACCACGATACTGTACATGCAGATCCACTTGCTGTCAAGGCAACCAAGTCACAGCCGCCTCGATTGGGGGCGCCCGAGGTAGGTGCACGTTGTGCGTACCAACGAGACGATGAGACAAGTATGTCGTCATTCTCCGGCTTTCTCTTGGATCCCGAGGCAAGTGATTTCTGAGACGGCCAACGCTCCACCGAGACCGGGGCGAACGTCAGTGGACAAGCCGAGACTGAAGCCATGACGAAGAGTAATCTTGGATGAATATCATGGTTCAAGCAGACCATGAAATCGAGGCGGGTGGTTAGCATTCATGGTGTGCCTGGCCACGCATCCTTACTCGGGTATTCGCGTCACATCCCTGTCCGATTAGCGCCAAGCCCGTTTTTGCCGATAACCTAATTCTAGCCCACCGGATTCGCCAATTTGCCATGGAATTCCATCAGAACATCTTGATCTCTCATCGTTGTCTCCTGTTCCCGACGCGCGTTGCTGATGTCACTCTTGATCCTTCATCGTGATTCGAGTCACGATGTTTTTCCGCAGCCGACGCAGCCTATCTCCTCCTTTGCCGCACAGTTTCTCCGTGACTAAAAGCATTTCTCTGCCCCCCACGAGGCTCGCTTTGACAAAAGCCTTAGCAGGTATCATGCCACGAGACGCATGCTAAGCACACTGTCCCTCTGGCGAACACGTGGACCCCCTCTTGTCATTGCTGAACACGTTCGTTTACGGTATGGTGAGCACATATCGCTTCAGTCTTACAGGTCCCGCTGGCCTGAGATGTTGCAGCCGCTAAGCTGTCAGCTGCCGTAGTATTCGTGAGTATGCTACAGACTAGGCTGACTTGTCATCTAGTTGTACAAGAGACGTTGATCCGCCCTTCGCCTCTTGGGTTAGCGCCCGTTTCGCTTATTTACCTGATTGGACAATGCAATTCCGCAATCTACCAGGTGGTATCCGCGGCTGTCTCTCGAGTTGTGCTCGCGCGGCATACACCTCTATCTCTTGTTACAAACACTTGATACATTTTGACTTGTGCTCTCCTCGACGAGTTGCTAATTCATGAATAAGGCCAACACACTGTTCTTTCCAGGCCTGGGGCGCCTGAGGCCATGTGCAGATGGCGTCGTCGTAACCGCTGAGGCTGTACACCAACAGCCTGTGTGACAGCGCATCACAACAACATCAAATAACAATCGCGCGGCCCGCCCCAAGCGCCATTGGAATTGACTGAGTCGGGATCCTGTACTTGATGGGCGCTCTTCTCGCTCTCCTATACCTATCTTCGTCTAATCGCGGTCGCAACAGGATGCATCTCACTTGGGGTTGTTCAGAGCTATTTCAATTACATTGTCCTCTTTGAGTCGCATGAGAATGCAGTGATGGATCGCTGTTGCTGACCATGGGACAACCGCTAAGCTCTGTACAAGTGCGATAGCCTTTGAATGAACAAGCCTGTCGACCCATCAATTCGCTGGGTCACATCTTCAATGTTAGGGTTCGCGCGATTTGCAGCAAGCGCAGGAGGCTTCCACATGTGCCTTACCAAGGCTGCGATCACTTGAGATCCACACAGAAGGCGCTTAGTTGCATTTGACGAGAACTGGCGCTCAGCCTTTCCGATAAAAGGCTTGGAAAGGAGCAATTCCTCTTCATTTGCTTGGTTTGGCTTCTGAGTAATTCTGCCCATGTGCTCATTCTGTATACCATCTCTGGGACAGCCAGGTTGAGTACAACCACCTTGACCATGGCCATTCGATGCACCATTACAAAATCCACCGCCTACACGCCTTCACTAAAATGTCGTACCGCTCAAGTTCTTACAACGTCGCCGGCGACCCTGTACCCAGACGACGACCGCTCGCTCTCTACACCAACTGCCATCGGAATCGGCGTCGCTATCGGTATCGTCGGTACTGTGTTTATTCTCATCACAGTACTATTACTTCACCGCGCATGGAGACTACGTTGCCCACAACCAACGAGACAGTACCGGCAAGCCAAGCTATGGAAAGGCTTCGAGCCAGTGACTCCGAGCACAGCGAGAACGACCTTTGTTGGAACTAGGATGACCAACATATACTTGACGGAGCTACCCACACCGGTTACACCTGCGTTTCTAATGAGTCCGCCGTTACATGGAAGTGAAGAGCATAGGACTGAGATTATGGATCGACGGCACAGCGAGCCCGCTTGATGGGAATTTATGAATTTTTAATTACGTCCAATATACTTGCACTGTATTGCTTCCACGATGATATTCATAATGCAGCAGGCCCTCGCCCACCGGCAGACACAAACGACTTGATCGAGGGTTTTGTGGTAAAACATCCCTTTGGTCCTGGCTACCACATTCAGTTCGCCTAGATTGTTGATACTGGGCGGATATGTCCAGGCTGAAACATGGTTCTTTTCAATTTTATTGTAGATTGGGCCAATGTAGTTATCTCCCAGACCATTGGTCTGCTGATGAGGGCCTGTTTTATTGGCCTATAAGGTCAGTTTGCCGACAGATACCAGAAAGATTGAGAAACACGACGAACCACGTAGACAAAGGCTTCGATATCAATCCTACTTCGATCTATCGTTGTATACTATCGCTTGTTGCGCTGCACAAATGAGTGAAGATCGAAGAAATTTACAAGTAAACCTACCATTGTCGAGCGTTTCTAAGCCCTCAGGCACATAGCATATCCCGCACCCGGTGTTCGAGAGCTGTTCCCCCAACCAGAGATTCAAGTTTACCTGTCTCAAAGTCGTACAAGAATTCTGGGCCTCCCTGAGCCATGCTTTTGCTTCTTCCAAAATCGGCATTTTCTAGAAACCTTCGAGGGCAGTTGCCATCTTGAAGGATTGTTGGTGCTGCGATGAGGTTGAGTAATGGGGAGCTCTATGCAGGTGAGTTTGTCGCTTTCAGTCACCCACAGTTGTGGCAACAAACTCCAACAAGCTAGGTCCTCGAGGTGAAGCACGGACCTATGAGGGTAAGTGGAAGGGTAGCAGATGGTAAAGCACATCTACATGCCTTCGTTCTGATCGCTGTGTGGAGCGCGGGTCGGAATATACTAGGTCATCTACGAGTCGAGATCGTCAACGGTCAAACCTACAAGCACAAAAAGATCAGACGTCCCTTTCCGTAGAGGATAGTATTCTTGGACAATCACTGCGTAATGGTCCCTCATATTGACGTATGTAGCTCATGCAGCCGTTTCTCGAGGGGAGATATATGGCAGCTCGGTCGCCGAGATCTGCTTCTGGAGGTCAGTAATGCTTAAGAGAGCACTGCTGATATATATCAAAACATTGGCAGACGTGGTGTGATACAAAGCCGACGTTGGACAGATGCTCGGTGCATAAACTGTCCAATCCCAAGCAGAACCCATGATCTGAGTGAAGCCAATCCTTTCCCCTGTGCCCGGCTAGAAAGTTACGAGAAGCGCAATATCATGGGTCTGATTGGAAGTGCACATGTGCTGTTGGAGCGGTGAAGTTCCTCATCTTATCGATAGTGAAGGTTTGCTCACCCCACTTTCGACCCACAAAGACATGCAAAAAAACCAAAGTAGTTTGCCATTCTATCATCACAGTGCAAAGTAGTCACAGTGACGATGGATGCAAAAAAAGAAGCGACCGATGTGGGACTCGAACCCACAGCCTCAGCCTTAGGAGGGCTGCGCGCTACCATTGCGCCAACCGGCCAGTTGCTTCTTGTTGAAGAAAATGACAATTCGATAATATAAATTCTTGGTCGTTCAAACGTCGAGGTTTGACCCGACGTATTACTAATCTGGGAAACCAACATGCAACCAATCGTGCGTCGGCCAAGCTCGGCTGTCAACATTCGGTCCTTCCATAAAAGCATTTGCTCTTCGACTCCAGGTGCAGGGTCTGATGTCTTGGTGGGGAAGGCCAGTTCCTACAAACCTCTTGCTCAACGTTGAGAAAAGCTTCATGTCGACAACCCTACGGCAGCTAAGTTCCCTTCAAGGCAGGCATCAAAGAGGCACATCAAACGGTGGCTTCAAATACATGTTCATGGAATCTTTCATACACGATCCCTTTCACCTCTTACTATAGACTCGCTTTGTAGTAAAACACTCGCTTCATGTGAACAGACAATCGCCAAACCAAAGTATCATAAAACATGGCCAGAACATAGATGCGTAATCCGTCAAACACATATCAACCACGACACAGCAGACCGTCATCATGCGCTCTCCGCCCTTCCACTATCAGCTTCCCGACTACTCCTCCTCTTCCCCACCGGTCTAGCCAGCGGTCTCATATCGCCCCTCCCCTCAGTCGCAGCCTCATAACCCCCATCTTCCTCCATCTCACTCATACTTGACGCATTGCTCAGCATGCTAGCCCTCTTGCTCTGCCACGGCAGGTTTCCCTCACTAGGCGTACTAGGTCGCGACCCCATGCTCGGTCTTTGCGGTGGTTGTCTTGCCGACTGCGCGTTACCCTGTGTGATAGTCGAACTAGAGCGAAGGGAAGACTTGCGACTTGCGGTTGTGCTAGTGGACGTGTTGCTCCATCGACGCTCACGCTCGCGTCCTTCCATGGGGCGGAGGCGACCGTCCATGTCGAAATCGGGCGTGGGTGTTGTGCTTCGCGACGAGCTACGCGAATGCGATGCGTCTCTTCCTCTGGGATTTTGTAGCAAGCTTTGTCGCCGCTTTCGTGAGCCGGCATGGGAGAGACTGTGGCTGTGACCGTGGCCGCTCTTTTCTACGTCGGCACTTCGTCCGCTGAGACCGCGGGCGCGCTTCCATCCTCGCCAGCCGGTCCACCATAACCAGCCTCCTTCTTCTCTAGCAATCTCACGTTGTCTGGCGCGGACACGTTTCCGCAGCTCTGCTCTTCGCTCGTTTTCCGTGGCCCAGTATTCGTTTCTGTAGACTTCCCACTCTTGGCGGAAGTCGGGTGTGAAGGGTTTGGGGAGAAGCAGTAGCTTGATGTAGTCGCCTCCAGGTGCAATGTCTTCTTCTGCGTATTCCTTCCCGTCTTCTACTATGCGATGGCGGGGTCGACCGCCGTCCAACGCATGCTTGTTCTCCTGCGCAACGTTGATGAAGTGGTAGGAACTGCCACCCTGCTCCCCACCCCACAGCCCACCAGAGAATGGCACAACAAAATGTCCCCATTCCACTAGCTCCCTCCACCAAGGCCCTCTTATTACCACAATCTTCGCATTCATGCCCCTAAGCCCTCGATTCGCAACGCCGATCCACCGGCGCGGCCATCTCACCCCCCTCTCCCATTGCCCAGTCGCCCAGAAGAGCAGAGCGGTGACGACGCCTGTTATGAAGCCAACCTTCTGCAGCATATCAACCAGCCAGTATTGTGACCCTCCAATGCCTTTGCCATCCTCTCGCGGGCGCAACCACAACAGGTAGAAGCAGAAGCCTATCCATACCGCCAACAGGGTGAGGACAAAGGTGTTTTGCCGCCGCCGGGCGCGTAGGGTGAGGTATTGGCTGCGAAGACTGGCCTCGAGTATGAGGAGGTTCAGGTAAATCTGCGGCGGCGACGAGGGGAGGAGGGAAGTCGGGTCGCTGAGGACGGGTGGTCGCGGGGTCTTGATGGTGGGTAGGCGGTCGTTGTTGGCATTGTGGGGTTCGTTGGTGAGGATGGAAGCAGAGTATGGCGGCGGGTCTCTCTCGACGCTTTCGGCGACCTTGTTCAGACTTGTGCTCGGCGCCGGTGCACCTTTGACAATCTGGTCGAGTGTTTGCGGCGCCATGAATTAGTCCTCCACCGTCAAATGTTGTCTTGTTGTCGGTACGTATAGCAATGACATGTGAATGCGACACTGCCGACGACTATGAAGATGGTGGTGCGGATATGCTATGCTTGTCTCGGCCCTGTCTTCTTCTCCTCTCTATCATCATCAGACAGTCGTCGCGTACACGTGAAGAAGAATGCGCAGCGCGTTGGAGGGGTGCTCGTGCCTATATCGAATGCTTGTGTATCCGGCGCGAGTCGGTCAGTCGTTCCCGATGATGCACCTGTCTCGCTTAGCCGGAGCGGTGAAGACATGGATTGCTGGCATACAGTTTTACCCCACAATGCTAGCATCGTATAGGCAGGCCGTGCGTGCCATCCTTCAACTGAGATGGCTGACACGTCCTTGGCCCTGCAGTAGTGAACGATGTCAACGGGACGGAGCGGGGGTGAAGTATGCAGGGGCTCATGTGAGATCGTCTGGCGGAAGTGAGGGGTCTCATCTACTGATGCAAATCAAACAGATGGGTGGGTCACGGTGTGAAGAGAACAATGAATTGTTGATAGAAGAATACCTGTGGTTGAAGAGGCTCTATACTGAAATACAGTGGTATGATCCAACATGCTCGAACTTGCAACGCTTTGCACAAACCGAACGCCCACACAATGCAACCCCACTAATTCGCAGACATCTATGCACGACTCCGCCCTTGTTCTCTCCGTCTTACCTCGTTCATTTCTTCCAGCATGACGCGGTTGAATTGCTCCCAACCATCGAGATACACATGGTGGCCGGCCTTGTTGATGATAATCACCTTGCCTACGCCATGGTCGTTCTTCTTTTCGTCGGCCGACGCGTTTGCTAGTAGGCGCTCGCGCTCTTGCCTCATCTTCTCTTCAGCCGCGTAGCCGCCGGCAACGTCCATCCAGTCGTTCTCTCCATACATGAAGATGACTGGGTAGCCCGTCTCGCGTTGAGCATCGGAACTGGCAGCGGTGTCGCTGTCTACGGTAGGCCTCTCATGCGCTTGTATCCATTGCCTACCGACACCCTGAATTCTTCGGATCATCGGGCTTCGAGCAAATGCGCCAGGGGCGAGCAGGTAGGAAAGCGCATACTCCGAACTACCCCGTTGGCGGAACAGAGCGTAGCTGTAGTCGTGCAGCGCTTGTGCCTCCTCCTCTGGTAGTTGCGAGAAGCGGCGTGATGTCCAGCCTGATACTAGACGAGGACCAAGAGGCCCTGACCAACGCACGAAAGTGAAAGGGGAGACCATGTTAGCCTCCCAAAGGGAATACAGCCACCACGGCAACCGTCTTTTGGGTGGCTGTTTAGCCTCCTTTGTAGTGTCCGCTGAGAAAAGTTAGTCATATCCAACAGCTCTGATTATGGAGGAACACACCATTCTTTGTCCGTTGGTTCATGAAGTTGTTGTTGTCCGCTGTCGACGGCTGTACACCACTTTGGTTCATCTCGGCGGCGTCCTGAGTAAACTCATTCGCCATGCTTGAATCTTGCGGATCAGGCATCTCCTCATCAACCGCGTACGGGTCCTCAGGAATACCAACCGGAGACGCAAGTATCAGCTTGTTGAGATGTCCCGGATACTTTAGCGCATAAGCAACAGCAAGGTACCCTCCCAAGCTGTGTCCCAGCAGCGTGAACTTGTCCAAGCCCCTCTTGATCCGCCACTCCTCGAGCGCATCCACGAACCAGGACTCGGTCTCTGAGATCTTTCCCTCCTTGTCCTTCGCATGGATTTTGAAGCTTGGCCTACTGCTCCGGCCCATGCCGAGAAGGTCCAGCGCAAAGACTTTCCAGCCTTCAGCACGCGATAACGACTCGAAGTTGCGGTAGAAGAAGCCTAGTCCAGCTCCGTACCCGTGTAGCATGACCAGGTTGTTTTCTACCTCCTCACCCAGTCGCTCCACGGAGAACTCGTTCAGCGCCCGATCCTTGCCACTTAGTTCGACCATTTGTGAATTCCATCTTCGCGGTCCGTACGGGTCATTGGTGGTATTCGTGGTCGTTTGGTCTTCTGGATGCTTTGGTGGCGCATGGAGATCTACCGAGGACGGGACGGCTGAAGCAGGTGCGGAGCCTGTTTGCGTATGTGTGGGTGGGCTCTGGAGGTGCGGAATGTACGATAGGACACGATGCTCTGTTCTAAGAGTCGGCATATAAAGTCAGTATACTTGTCACATACACTTGGTAGAGGGGCATCACTCACGCCATAGGCGATAGTCCCGCCCACCACTGCTCAAACCCCGATTTGGCTGACAGGGGAAACCATTTGGAGAATCTCCCCTGCGCCTCACCCTGCTCTTTTGCGCGTTGACTTGCCAGCATGGCCTGCTGTCCTCCGTGTCTCCCCTCTTCGCTGTCCTGCCCTGCCATGGTCGAATTCCCTTTGCTCTCAATCTTGATTGGCGTGCTCAAACTCAAGCTGATATAACTTGCGCCGCCAAATCCCACGCTCTTGTGTATGACGCTGCGGGCGCTGGGTCGGGCTAGGCAGCTTCGTAGCATTCGCAGGCGCACAGAGAGTAACGATGCTTGAAAAGACGGAAAGCAGGAACGCGAAAAGTAGTGTGAAGGTGGAATGGTGGCGGTATTTGCGTCGTGTCGCAGAGCGCCCTCGAGAGGCGCCGCCTGCGACGAATTTGTTTTGGTACAATGTGTTGACGTAGCCTCTGGACGAGTTACGGTGGCGGAAACGCGATTGTGACGCGGAGATAAGAACGCCGACGTTTACTGCGCGTGTCGGACAAGTAATCTGGCCGTCTCCGATCTGATACGCATACGCTGAATTGAAGGAGCTGAATTGATCAACACTAATGACATTGGTAGACATGTAAGCGCGAATAGTAGACACAGTAACGCTGCAACTTCAACTTGGGAAGTCGCGACTGATATGCCTACCCACTACCCCACTACAAGGCTTGTGCTAAGGTCCTCGAGCAGCGAGCCTCAACATCCAACGCCGCCGGCATAGTGAGACCCTGTGACCTATCAGGTGCACCAGACCCACCACACCGTGGTTGGGATGATGTTACTTGTGTCCTGTGACCTGCAAGCCTGAAAAGCGTCATCTCGATGTCAAGTACAGTCGTCGATTGCATCGTCTTCACTGTCTACATTAGGCGTTCGAGAAAGCAATTTTGTTATGGATAATTAGCTTCATTCATTGTCATCTATCATAACTTCGTGTCAAGTAGTATGCCAGCATCTCCAACCCAGATGCAAATGTCCCGCATGCATACAAACAATATAGTGTACGCTCGACATCTTTATATCTTCAAGGTTTGAACAGTGTCCTGGGTTCTTCGACTGGACGCGTTGATCGTCTCCTTCACATACCCGCCCGCAAAAGGCAAAGCGTGTTATAGCCACTGTTGTTGTGGCCTGTAGCGCTTTGCCCAGTCTTTGTGATATAGACCCTGTGTGGCTGTGACCTTCTGGCCTGCTGTCATTCACGGTCTGGATTTCGCTGACTGATGCTTAGGCGGTAGTCTGTCCTTGCGCGACGTCAAAATACCGTCAGCCAAGTCAGACTAGCTGCAGCTGCGTAGTAGTGGTTCCGCCAGCCATCGCAATCTTTGTAGGAGGATTCGCTGGCGGGAGAATTTGCGGAATAACCCATCATTAAATCCTCATACAAATGGCTTGGGCTGCTGAGCGTACGTGACAGTGTTGGCACTGACAACGCTATTCAAGCTCATCCGCGTGTCCCTCGCGTCGAATCCACTACCAGGCCTCTGCTGCTTATGCAGACGTCCAGTGTTGCTTGAGCTTCCTGTGTCGGTTCTGGTCTGGGCAGAAAATGGCCGTTGTGGAGGTGCAACACCTGGTTTTTCATATAGTGTCCCTTCGCTCATGGGCGCTTGGTTCAGTACACTCTGGGGTTCGGGGCGACGCTTTCGCTTGATGCAGCAGCAGTTACGGTCGTAAGGATAGGCCCAGAAGAGATAGCAAACTGCCCAGATCAAGATGATGCATGGTACGATTCCGAGACACACGATGAGGGCGATGGCTGTTGCTGATATTCCGCCGCTGCCGCTGGAGTCTTCTAAGAAGCGTGCTTGGAGGTGGGCGATAGCGGGCATGTTTGTTGTAAGAGTATTGTTCGGTTGAGTGAGGGTTCCAAGTTCGATGTGGCGATGAGGATCTCAGGTTGTAGTGTGATGTCAATGCTAAGAAAAAAAATCACAGTTGGAAGAAGTCAAGGGATGTGGAAGCGACTAGTATGAACGGGTTACGGAGGGCTGTGAAGCGACAGTTGGACACGGAGGGCGTCTGGAATAATGAACAGGTACTGAAACACAGGGGATGATAGTTGCCGGTGAAGCGCTTTGTATGCGGGTCTGGATAAGCCACCCGTGGAGACGTCATGGGTAGTGGAGAAGGGACTGACGCACATGGCCGCCATGCCGAGAAGTCGGAACTCGTGGCGTTTGCGCGTTCACACACTAGACTTGCGCTACACTCTTGGTGCGAAGCCGACTTCCCAGTAGTCGGTCTTTTCGCAAATGTAACGTCTTGGGTGTGCGATGCTGCTCATGAATGAATGATCCACTGATGTTCCTAAATTACCCACCTGATACTGAGGCGACAAGGGACCTGAGACCGTTCCTGATCTCCAGGGGTTGCATTTGAGGTTTGACTGAAGGCCACACTCATGCCGTATCAGCCGTCAGCCCGAAAACCTGAAGGATCGTGAGCGCTACAGGCGACCAAGTCATTGACGTGTTGTGTCCTAGTATGAAGCGTTAGCCCTGTTTCCAGCTAGCGGGACCGGAAGGCGCGGCGATGACCGCATGGGTATGAGGCTAGTCTGGCCCTGATCACCACGTGTGGGGTAGACGTCTGCATCGTGTAAGATCAAGATCTTCCTGAGCACAATGCTATTGGCCTCAGGTTCTCTGCGATGTGCTTCATTGAGTTGCTGCAGCCAGGAAATGAAGGGTGTAAAAGTGTATCGACCCCGTTAGACGGATGTGGGGCAACCCGATCTCATCTGACAATAGGCGAAACGCGCAGCCTGCAAGCGCCCACCCTCAGGGATCAAACTGCCAGGACGAATACGTACCGCCGTGCTTAGCAATCGTTTTTGAGATGCTGCGCGAATTGCTCTGCCAAACCTCTTGTCTACCGGCTTCGCCCAATTCTACGACCTCAAGACTCTTGAGATTATCTTCATTGGGACTCGCGTCTTTTGCGGCCCGAAGTGTCGATTGGAAAAGCGACTCTGTTTCGTGCCATGGCATGGTCTGGTCACTCTCGGCGTGAACGAGGACCAACTTGAACCTCGCGCAAGTTCCTGCTCAATTCATCAGTATCGGAACAGACGGATCGGAGGAAATTTGAACATCGTAAAACTCCAGAGGTAGCCCCGCAATATTATTGGTTTCTCATCAACTTACGCGCCATTGTTGCCAGTCGGTCATCGCTTCGCCAGGTGTCTACCATCTTACGGGCAAACCAGGCTTGGAAGGCAGGGAACACCTTTACGGGCGCAAGAACGGGAATAATGCCACCGATCGAATACGACGAGAATGCGCTACCGGCATTCGTAAAAGCCGCACACAAAATGAGGCCCGCAAACTCGATGCCGAGAGTGGTCGCATAACGGTGTGCGATGCCGGATACAACGGCCGTTCCTAGTGAGTGTCCGAGGAGCACGATTCGCTCTGGTGGTATAAGACAGGTGTTCAAAGCCCAGTCAACTACAGCCTCTGCATCGTTCAGTAAGCCACTCTCCGATGGGTCGCCTGTCGAAATGCCAAAGCCGCGATAGTCAAATGCCAAAACAAACATCTTCTCAGATGCTCCAGCAGAGTACGATCGATACTCTATTGTACGGCGCTCCTGTGCTAATGTAGCAGAGTTGCCATGGAAGTAGATGAGAAGTCTGGCTTCTGGGTCGTCGCGCAGCAGTTTCCACGCAAGTGTATGCTCTACGTCGGTGCCTGTCTTCTCTTGGATGAAGGCGTCGGCATTTCTAGCATATATGCCCAGAGGTGCTATAAGCCATGAGAAAAGCCGCTCTCCGTCTTTTGAAGTGATGCGGAAAGGGACCACCTGGTTCTCTGATCGCATAAGCCCAAGAAACCTGGCGGCACAAAGTTGTACGATGGAGGACGAGGGGAGCCGACGTACTCAGGAAGCCCGCTCTTTCGGGCTGTGTCAACCATTTGCCTGGGAAGAAAGTGAAATTATGCAGATAAAGCATTTCTACTATAATTAGCGTTTGCCCGATCGTGTTCGATGGTCAGGTGTTTCCTAACGTTTCTGAACCCATGGCAAGCAACATAGCAGCGTGGCGGGAACCCATATCAGACTAAGAAAAGACAGAGTCGTGCCGATGGAACTGGAGATGCTCATGATGGAGTTGGTCGTGTGCTCGATGGCGGATGCGATCTGTAGCAGGAGACGAGCGGGAAAATTAGCGCGCCATCCATAATCGCTCGCAGTTACTGCCCGCTCAGATGCCCAACCAAACTCTGGGCAGAGTGTATCCTTTTCGCTGCTTCGCTCCCCTCACAAATCAGCATTGCTAATGATTGCGCATTGAAGCATACTCATTAGATGCGATAGCTCAGGTGGTTTGGTTGTCTGTTGGGTGAGGGGTGAGGGGTAGCGGTGGGCGGGGGCATGCAGCACCGCGAGCGCGTTTGGTTAAGTGCCCTGATCGCGACTGCAACACCATATCCAGGGCACCAACATCAACGCCAAGACGGAGTCCCACGAACATATATACACTTCGATTGTGTGTATTTTCCTGTATAGCAACCCAAAACTGCAACTCAAAGTCAAGTTTCGCTTCACATTCCGTCTGCGCGACATAGTAACACGCTCGAAATCTGTAATTACAACGAAGGCGAGCCACTCTGAGCACCAGTGGGGACATGCTTGTAACAAGATGAAGCTTGGGGACAAGTTATTAGTATGCATTTTACATAAACATTTGAACGCTAAGAGACAAAACCTTCCGTATGCCAACTTGGGAACGGAAACCTTCTGGATTCCTGTCACTTATAGGGCTCACATTTCGACGCTGCGAGGGTTGGCATAGCTACCGGCGCGTGTGTCATCTCTGAGGGACAACTGCCAAGGTTTTCGACGGAAAGTTCGAATGGCAAACATTCGCATTTACATACTCTTACGCTTGTTGGTCAACTCCTTGTCCGGGTACTCGGAAAAGCCCTCCTGGATGTCCTTCGGCTCCGGTGGTATACCACCTTCCTTACGCCAATCGAAAACCTGGTACGAATCAGGACACGTGGGCAAGTCAAATTCTGGAGACTGGTTCAGGGGCAAACCAGCCTCAGTATACTTGCTAGGATGACGAGCGATGTTCAATTGCTGGTCCGTCAAGTTAACAATACTCAAAGCGCGACGCGTTTCAGAATCCGTGGCAGATGCGCGCTTCAGGATGGATTCGGCGTCCTTGTACTCTGCAGATTCTAATCTAGCCAATGCGATTGCAATGTTTCGCTCCTTTTGGCCAGTGTCGTACGGGTCATGATCAGTTGGTGCGTATGCGGTGTAACGATTTGGCTCATCCGACTCATTGCGAAGAGGACCGCGCATGTTGGCAATGTCCGGCGTCGAGACGTCGCTGAAGACACGCAGCCTATCGGTGTCAGTACGACCAATTTCTTCAGCTTTAGAGTACGTTGAAAAAGCAGGGTATGTAGAGTAACGAGTTGCATACAGATAATTCGCACCATTGCCAGCCTGCGGGAGCAGAGGCGTAGTGCGACGAGAAGGGTCTGTATCACCGATGGGTGCGTCTTCATTGACAGTGAAAAAACGATCGATGCCATCAGTAGACGGCGAACCTGGGTTCCGGGCTGGTGACTTGCCTTTACGCGGGAATTTGGCCTTAACCTTTCGGAAGAGCGACGGCTTCTTGTTACTCTCGAACTTATCCAAACTTGGAGCACGGGACATTTCACGCCCGAAGAAGCCCATCTCGATATCGACATCTGATGAGGCGTTGTTTGACGAAGCGGCCTTATTTAGTGCATCACGCTCCATAACCATAAGCGGTGTGATGCGCTTCAGCTCCCCAGACTTCCATTTGGTGAGCTGCCGCTGCAACTCACGACAATGGAGACACTCGCCTTTACAACGCAGATAGATCAAACACGAAACCAATGCGATAAGAAGGACGACAAGAGCGGTGAGCGCAGCGAGAGTAACGTACGCGAAAGTATCGTTAAACTTCTGCCTTGGTGCGAGCGGAACGCCAGTCACTGAAGAGGTGGGTAGCAACGTCGGAGAGGAGAGAATCATCGATGAGATTGAGGCGGTGGAGTCTGGCACATCGCTGCTCAGAATAGCTAGAGTGCTGATAGCCGTTGTTGACGCCGGCGTCGACGTCGAGGATACGAACGGCGCGATCGTAACTTGGACGAAATCCGTTGGGAACACAGTCGTGAACTGCGTAACTAGGACCATCTTTATGTTTACTTTGGTTTCAGAAACTTCGCTGTGGCTTTGTCGCGGGGTGAATTGTCTTGTCCGGGTGGACTTTTGCGTTGTCACTCACTTGCTTTGTGGGGTTCTCGTACTTTATTGGTGTAGTACGAAAGACAAAAGTTATAGGCGACGCATCGGTGCATTGTCGATGCGCAGGTCGTAGTACGCTTACAATGCGCAGACGACTGGGCGGGAGTGAAAAGTTTGATCACATGCCAGACCCATCGGAAGACTCTACGTCCTCGCAATGTTGACGAGCCACCCAAAAGTATCGCATGCGCAGAGATTGGTGTCGATGACAACCATTGCCTACATAGTTACGCTCTACATCAGGACGTTTTTCAGCTTCATCCTGGGTTATCTAAACGGATCACAGTGGAGGAGTAGATTCTAAAAGCAGGTGTTACAACATATAAGCAGTTTGATGTAAGAGAGATATGACAGGTTCCTTACTTGCCATCACGAGGTTGTGGCGTATGCAAGGCCATACGTATTGGTACTGCTTCTCCCATGGAGATCATTGTACCTAACGTCATATCCGAACCTATAGTATCATCCGACCAACCACTATCGCGTACAGGGCCATGAAATACGCTGAGAGATTCTAGAATACTTCGAGGAGCAATGGCAAGCTCAGGAAATGGGTCACAATCCACCCTTGTCAGTCTCTTACCAGCAATACGATCCTCATTTCGAGGCTTCCTTGACGAGATTGAGTCATTCAACTTCGGAGCGAGAGCTAACGGACGTGTTTGCAAGCGAATTTCGTCTTCCAAAGTAATTGCTGGAATCTCTTGTAGCTCCTGTGCTGACCGTTGTGTAGGCGTATAGGCTAAACCTGCGTCTTTGTTCGTTAACGCGTTCTTGCGCACTGCTTGCAGTATTTGCGTACGCTTGAACCATGGTATGCCACTGTTCACGAACCAGAATACGAACAACAGCGAGACGATCGGACCGATGATAGCTCCAACTATTATGTCGCTACGAACAGTCGGAGAATCCGGAGCGTCATTGGGAGTGGTCCTAGCTTCGTTGCAACAGACAAGGGTTGGAAGGGCTGGCATGGTAGTTGATGATGCGGGATAAATGCTTTGCGAGCAACATAGTCTGTGAGTCACGAATCGACGTTCTCTTACTATGTAGCAGTGGAACAATAGGAGTAGCTGAGAAGGCTGGTTCGGAAGTGAATAACCCTAATTGGTGACACTGTAAGAAGGCGGTGTTTGGACACTTGGAGATCTAACGCATCGTGAGCGAACTAAGATATAGATCGTATCACTGTGCGCCAAGTTATGATTTAGACTACTCGACTTTAACGAATTCCAGGGAAGGAGGACTTTTGCGGACGAAGGAGTATGTATTTCATTCAAGCCTAGCTTCCATACAAAGGCCTAAGAGCTTCTGGACTGTCGTCTTCGTGCTCACACCCTCCTCCCAACTATCGCATCATGTTCTCCAGATTTGACAGGCTACCATGTGCTCTCCAAAATCAGGCCACTTAGTAGAGATAGCAGAAGTCTATGAAATCCACGGCGATGTAGTCAAAAGGAATGCTACAAACCCTGCTATATTCGTAAGTACTTACGTGAGTAGCATATTCAAGGTATCTAGATGGGGTGTCCTTCATTGAGGCAGACCCTTAAACATCAATATCGACTTTGGATGTTCTAACCTGACACTAACTTCAAGACACAATTAGTAAATAAGGGTGAGAGACAAATGTGTAGTCGTAAGTTTAATGCGGTAGAATGTCGTTAGAGGCGCTTGATCGTGCGTGACTTGCCAGCTTCGCTCGGATCTGGTAAAGTCTCTACAATGCTCAGTCATTTCCCAAGATATAGAATGATGCCACTTAACCGCCAGGACCTTTGGTCGGACGAGAAGTTCACTGAAAAGTGAAATTCTGTATACACTGCCCTCATTGTTCGCCGTGACCGCACCATGTGCATGTAACAGGACGGACCCAACTCCCGCTCAAACGGCTATCGGCGCATCCCGCTGACCTGCGCGTGATCTTACTCGAAAGCAGTCGCCTGCCCACAAATAAAACTCGCCCTAACCTCAACTTATCTTCCTACATCTTAATCACCTGAAAGCTCAACGTCAACACTTGAAGGCAGTCGACATAGCCAGAGACAAGTAGCATTATTACACATGTTCACTTCCAGAATCATTCAGAGTTCATGAGTAGAATTTGTACAGCCTTCGCGAGGACTGAGTGTGATATTTGGATTATTAGATTTCCAAACTTGAAGATTGAGTAACGCCTCAAAGCGCATAATAACGCACGACAAGGCGGAATAGGGGTGCGCCCCTTCAATCCTTCATTAATATGCCATCTGCTCCTTGGTCGTTCCCACATGCTCGGCATGAGAGATTGAACCATGCTTAGCGGCAACTTCCTCGACACGACGTTCAATGTCGAGACCCCAGTCCTGCTTGTTCATGCTGGGCACGAAGAGAGGAGCGTTTGTGAAGAGGTAGTTCATCTCCTCAAGCGGGCGCTTAGCAGTCTCAGGCAGGAAGCAGTAGAAGAAAATGGCGTTGGTGGCGTTGCAGATCTATGGGATAAATTAGCGTCGAATCCTGTCTTTGGAATTGCGGATGTACTTACGGTGAACAGCAGGTAGAACCTCCATCCTGCAGTTTTCATGCCGAGCTCGGTGACTTGGCCGATCATGGTGTTGAAGGCAAAGGATGTCATGGTGGCAATGGACACACCCTTGGAACGTGTCTTGGTGTCGAAGATCTCGGCTGGAATAATCCACGACAGCGGTCCACAAGTGGAGCTGAAGCAGAAGTTGTACAGCCAAGTAACAGCGATGAAGCCCCATGAAGCAGCCTTGTTTCCTGTTGAGCCCGGAGGGAAAACAGCCAACATGATGGTCGAAATGATGAACGTAATGCAGTTGCCGATGTTACCACCGATCAAAGTCCAGCGACGTCCCAATCGGTCGATGAAGGCGATGCAGAGTGCTTGTCCGCAAAGAGCAAGAACAGAAGAGATAGCCTGGTACTTGAGCGCGTCGGTACCGCTGATACCCATCTGCTCGTAGATAGTGACGGAGTAGTATTGAATAGCCGAAACACCAGTCATTTGAACAGAGGCCTGAAGCGCACAGGCGAGGAAAAGACGGCGGAAGCACGACCTGTCCCGGAAGAGCTCCATGTAGGATTGAGCCGCATGCTCCCGCTCGTAAGTGAGGGATTCCTGAATTTGCTCGAACTCAGCTTGAACCCAGACATCCTCTGTGTCGCCGTGAGCGTGAAGCTTGGCCAGATTCTGAAGACCTTGCTCGACCTTGCCTTTGCTGATGAGCCATCTGGGTGACTCGGGGAACAGCATGATGCAGAGGGCCAAGAAGAAAGCAGGTACGACTTGGATACCCAGTGAAACACGGAACTGAGCGTTGTTGCTGGCATCAAACCCGATATCAACACCGTAACTGATCCAGGCAGCGGCTAGGGCACCGATACCCAACATGAACTGCACCAATCCACCGATACGTCCACGGATGCTGGGATGAGCCAACTCGGATTGATACAAGGGAATAATCATGACAAGCTGACCAACACCAACACCAGCGAGGACACGTCCGGCGTAGAGATAGTTGATGTTTACAGCAGCAGTCTGCAAAGCACCACCGAGCATGAATACCTATAGGCACCGGCTGATTAGAAAAAGGACCCGCAAGAGAATGTACTGATAATTGCTTACACAGGCTCCAATCAAGATAGTCAATCGTCGACCGAGTCTGTCACCAAGGGGACCACCGAACATGGCACCGAAGAAGGCACCGCCCGTGAAGACTGACACAACAGCTCCCTTTGCATTTGGGTCAGGGTCGTTGAATTCGCGCTTGAAAGCCCCGGAGGCAATGACTTGAGCAATGACACCGAGATCATAACCGTAAAGTAGCGAACCAAGGGATGCAAAAAGACCCACGAGGAACTGGTATACTTTAGGAGGGAGCGCCATGGCGACTGCAGGCAATGTTGACAGCTGCAGTGGGGAGGGAGATGCGGTGCGTGAAGAGACCCACTATCAGCAGCCTGTTGAGCCTTTATACTTGATGCTCTAATCTTCCTTGTCTGACTGGCCTTGTCCTTGTTGCATTGTCGCATGGCTGACCGCGGTCTGGGGAACGCATCGAACGAGACTACTCCACGGTCTCCGCAAAGAGCGGGGACACTGACTCAGTCTCCGCGTTTATTACCTCCGCAACCCTCGTCTTCATCCTTGCCTCACCAACCATCGGCGGCAACACCGAGGTCGCGGCACTTGCTCGGTTGATCGTAGCCCGACTTATCACTTTACCGCCAACGCGATACCGTTAGCACGTGCATATTGAAGACGCATATGCGGGATGGGCTGCCTTTCGACTGGTGGAATGCGTCTTGGCTCCCCGTGACTTGGCACGACCGTTTAGCTCCAAATAACAGTAGCGTGTCATGTGTCCGGAATGAGATAAGTTAGTGTAGGTTGTTGAAATTCCACGAATAGGAGAATGCATCAGCGTCGGATGCATCAGCCAGTTTGGTGTTGGCGCCGGTGCCGAGCCGGAATCGCGCAGGAACGCCATGGAGCTTTCAACGACGTCGAGAAGGTCATGCCACTACCATCGTGACTTTTGAACTTGAATTTGAAATTCTCCTCCGAGACTTCAAATAAAGAAGTTCACAAGCATAGTTGTCGCATCTCATCAACACCAAAATCATGGCAACCTTTACCAAGATCGAAGACGGTGAAACACCTTCCATTACTATTCATCCTTCCCACAAGATCGCTAAGATCAACGACAACATCTATGGAGGATTTACCGAGTATGTTCAGAATAGACGCCCTTCGGATAGCGTTTGGGTGTGCATGCTTTTTCTCGGCTAACCAACCACCCACCAGGCACATGGGCCGCTGCATCTACGGCGGCATATATGATCCCGGCAACTCTTTGTCAGATGAGCGAGGCTTCCGCAAAGACGTCATTGAAGCCTTTAAGGAACTCAATGTTCCAGTAGTGAGGTATCCAGGCGGCAATTTTGTTGCTACTTACCATTGGCTTGATGGCGTCGGACCTAAGGAGAATAGGCCAAAGAGGTAAGATTTCTACGCGGACACACTAGTGCGTGGCGTCTCTTGGACTGTAAATCTGCCTCGCGGCATGCAGCCTCGGCTTGGAGCGCCTCTGTTGCTTGTTTCGTTGGCACCAGGCGCTTATACATGTGACATCAAACCGAGCCATTGTTCCTTCAGTATGTTGGACGTGAAGAGCTAACCCCGAGTTTAGACCTGAGCTTGCATGGATTGGGATCGAGCCTAACACATTTGGCACAGACGAGTTCATGCAGTGGTGTGAGGAGGTCGGCACAGAACCTTACCTTTGCCTTAACTTCGGAACCGGCACCTTAGATGAAGGTATGTGCAGCACACTTGATCGAGCGATATGCAGTCTGATTGAATATAGCGCTCGGATGGCTTGAGTACTGCAACTCAGACCGTGACACATACTACGCCAACCTCCGCCGCAAGAATGGCCGCGAGAAGCCTTACAACGTACGTTTATGCATACTACATGTCCTGAATTCATGTTTTACGACCATACTGACAACCACGTAGGTCAAGTACTGGGCCCTCGGCAATGAATGTTGGGGCCCATGGCAAGTCGAGCAAATGACCAAAGAAGACTACGCGAAAAAGGCGTATCAGTGGGCCAAAGCCCTCAAGCTCCTTGACCCAACCATCACCACCATCCTTTGCGGTGAAACTGGCTACTCTTCTTGGGACTACTATGTCCTCAACCAGTGCGTCAAGTGGGATGTCCACGGCCTCAGTGGCGATACCACCAAGTCGCTGATCGACATGCACTCTATTCACATTTACACTGCCGATAAAGAACATCTTGCCAACGCTACAGCGCCTCGAGCGGCTGAACGAGCGGTACAGATGACAGCAAGCTTGATTGACCTTGCGCGTATCGAAAATAAGGTTCCGGAGACAGTACCCAGGCAAACAATCTGCTTTGACGAGTGGAACGTCTGGGATCCTGTTCGCGCACCTGGTGAGCTTGGTGCTGAAGAGAAGTACACACTTTCCGACGCTCTCGCGGTGGCCAACTTCCTCAACGGCTTTATCCGTCAAGCAAAGGACATGGGAATGGCAACCGTTGCACAAAGTGTCAACGTCATCTCTCCCCTGATGACAACAAAGGAAGGTCTCGTCAAGCAGACTTCTTGGTGGCCATTGCTCCTCTTCTCAAAGTACATGCGTGGTCACACTATCGCGCTCAATGTTCGCGCCCCGGAATACACTGGCCGGACCAATCCTAGCTGGATCCGCAACACCATTGAGACCCCATACCTAGACTGCAGCGCCACGCTCAGCGATGACGGGTTTATCAACCTTGCTGTCACCAACGTTAACGAAGAGCTGGACTTTGAAGTTGACATCCCGGGACTGAAGGCTGACAAGGTTGAAGTGCACACTGTCACTGGCGACAACGTTGACGTGGTCAACACTGAAGGTGTACAAAATGTCGGTATCAAGGAAAGTAGCTGGGATGGCCAGGGCAAGTTCAAGTTTGGCAAGCACTCCTTCACTCTGCTGAGGTGGAAGGCTTGAGTGCCTTCTGTCTTGTGATGCGTACATGAGTAATGGGATTTCGGGATGATTATAGACAATTAGATATATGACATGGCAATGGCTGAGACGGTAACGAATATCGATACAAAAAATATGTGTTGAGATTATCATTACTTTTTCAAGCACCATCTAGCCCTTGCATACCATCTCACAGCTCTCCTGTCTCCATGTACTTCTTTGCCACCATCAACCACTCATCTCGATATGCTCTCAACTCAGGGGCATGTGTAAACAGTAAGTATGACCCAACTATAACACCACCGGGCAACAGAACCATCGACACAAAGTACAGAACCATACCCCACCACGCATTCTCGAGTCCCTTGCGCATTGTCTTCTCCTCGCTCATTTTTGGGAAGTTTTGTTGCGGTACTTCTCTGCCCAAGAATTGACAAAGAGGCTCCCAACTCAGATCCACATCAGTATCCAGCTCGAGTAGACGATCCTGAGATACTAGCGAACGGACAGTGTCGTAATGTTTGTTATACGCCGCTTTCGCTGCAGGACCACCATAATTATTATCGTTATGCACCCGAAATACGGAATGTACAAGTCGCGTCAATGGTGCCATTTGTGTAAGGTTGAATTGTCGACAGAGCGTAAAGAGCCGCCATGTATCGAGACACCATATACTTTCTTGCATACTCTGTTCCCAGTCTTCGTACCTTCTCTTTGTTAGGATGACTTTGGCGTCTGGATAGGCCTCCACCAGTTGCGACGCAAACACACATCCAGGTAAGTCCATAACCACATCGTAGTCCGCTAGAAGCTTGTCGAATTCTGCTTTACCGTACGGTTCCATTGTCTTCTGGTTGGATGGCCGGTCTTGGGGCGGTAGCAGAGTAACGTTGACGGCTTCTTCCCACAGTGCGAGTTCAGACGGTTTAGCGAGAACGTCGCGCATTTGATGCGAGGTATACCCCAGTTTGCGGAGCGCGACGGCGATCGTTGTTGTTCCCGTGCGACACATGCCCAGGACCAGGATGCGCATGGGTTTCTTGCGAGTGCGCTCGTCGCGGTCGATTAGCCTCTGCGTAGACATTGTCGGTGTAAGTTGCGACAAACCCGTGTCTCCTGTGTTGATTCGAGTAGTGGTTGTAATCGTCAGGTAAAGATACGTTTGCTGGAACTCGACGATGCAGAGGCGTGGTGATGCATTAGGCTAATAAGCGGGCGACCGGGTGAACAGGGCCGCAGGTGCGAACCGCTGGTCTGGAACGGCCAATCCTCCGCATGATATGCAGGGCAACGCGAATCAAGCCTGCGAGTCGCTTGCAGTATTTCAAGTCGAGGCACGATGCCGCAAGTCTGCCTCCCAGTTCGAGATGAAAGTGCTAGTGAGGTGGTGAAGCTCCGATGTGCTCGGTGACTCTGGATCCTCCATATAACGTATTTCATATCCTCTATTTGCCCACTTGGCTGCGGTTGCCCAATCTTCCGCTCTAGCATGGCTTATGGCTGCGATCCTGTAGGCTTTGGCGTAGTAATCGGCGAGTCCTTCTTCTTGTACCAGCTGGGCAAGCTGGATACTTATCTCAGCATCTTTCCGCGCCTGGCGCTTCCCAGCCTTAGACTGTGGGGTCGCAAGAACGAGCTGAGGCTCAAACTTTGCGAAAGCGTTCTTGATGGTAGTTCGACGATTATCGCTCGCTTCTCGGGCCGCTCGACCTTGTGCACATGCTTCGCAGTGGCACTTGAATCCATACCGATCAAGCTGCTCTTGGCGATGTTCCTGACTGAGCAACAGTGAGATGTAAGACACGAAGAATTCTTCTCCTGCTTTGATCTTGCGTGTCGCATACACGATGCGCTTATTGAGCTTTTCGCTCCAATAGTAGCTCGCATTTGGTCGGCACGAATGGTTGATGCGAGCGATCTTGGGAAACAGGCCGACTTGATCGCCGGTGTTGTACGCATTGTTGCGAAAGATGGTACCCAAAGCGTCCGTGTTTTTCTCGTCCACGGCATTCGACTCATGTGTTAGCGAAAGAACCTCTTCTTGTGCCTCAAGCGAGAGTGCGTCGAATTGCTTATGAAGTAGCCTTGCCACTGCTGTCATGGGATATGGGCTTCCTTTCGCGAGCTTTGGTAAACGAATTTTGAAGATAGGTGTCTCGCGCATGACAGTGTCGCCTATCTCCATGTCATGAGTGGCAAAAACTCCCAATCCCTTCCCTTCGCTGGCTGCGACAATGTAGACTTGCGGCGGTCCGAGGCAAATGGGGTGCTGGAAGTGCCGTACGGTATCGGATGGGCATTTCGTCGGATATGCAAGAACTGATGAGGAGAGAAATAATACAGAACAAACAACATGAGCGAGCATTTTGGAATATGCCGGTGAGCGATAGATGGTAACTCAGACATGGTGACGGCATACCTGGGACTATCTATACGCAAACTTGGTGTGAAACGCGTTTCATAGTGATGTCTCATAGTGGCGCCCTCCTGTAGCGACGGTGCAGAAATCGTGAATCTAGGAAGAGCATCCTCTTGGACACTCGCAAACCCTGTTGTCGACGCGACGGTTTGGATTGTTCAACGCGGCTGTCCAGTGGAGTGAAGAAACGATGATGGTGTTTTGACCATCGAGTGGCTTCTCCACATCGCGGAACTTGGCCGCAACACAATCAAACGCGAAGATGCGTGACCTGGCAAGCTTCATCATTTGCATCAGCTTGGACACATCACGCTTTTACATCCATTGCAGATGTTGTGCACAGGAGGGTATGAAGTTGACTTGAGTCACCCTACTGGAATGGGATGAGAAGTTGCGATCGACCCGTTGACAGCCGCTGCCGCCCCTCACTCTGCCGATAACGAGTTGGTATGCCGTCAACCCCAACCGTGACAGCAATTTCCCCGCGTCCTAGTGGGGCACCTGTCCATTCCGTGGCTCTCTCCACGATAGCAGCTATGGGGTATACTTTACTCCGACGGACGCCGTCATCGGACCCGTCCATCCATATGCCCTGAAGGCAACTTCGAGGACTACGATCGATACATCACGACTTACTATAGACAACATGGTGTGAGTTGAACTTTTGCACGTAGACTCGTATCCAATACTAACTATCTACAGCTACACAGCATCTTTCGCTTTCTTCGAGGCGCTCTGGGAGTACGGCGTCAGCCATGTCTTCGTCAACCTTGGATCGGACCATCCGTCTATCATCGAAGCTATTGTCAAGGGTCAGAATGAGAAGAGAGGCCAATTCCCCAAAATTATCACATGTCCTAATGAGGTGGGTACTCAAGATTCAGTCCTACACGCGCAAAGACTGACGGATATAGATGGTTGCCCTCTCCATGGCGGACGGATACGCCAGACTGACAGGCAAGCCTCAATGCGTTATCGTACACGTCGACGTCGGAACCCAAGGCCTCGGGGCCGCTGTACACAATGCCTCGTGTGGTCGCGCACCTGTTCTGATATTCGCGGGTTTGTCGCCTTTCACCATTGAGGGCGAGATGCGCGGCAGCAGAACGGAATACATCCACTGGATACAAGATGTGCCAGATCAGAAGCAGATTGTGGCACAGTACTGTAGATATACTGGGGAGATCAAATCGGGCAAGAACGTCAAACAGATGGTCAATCGAGCTCTGTCCTTTGCCATGAGCGATCCCAAGGGGCCTGTCTATCTCTACGGCGCGCGTGAGCCCATGGAAGAGGACTTGACCCCGTATAAGCTGCAGATGGACTACTGGCAACCCGTCGAACCGGCTGCTCTCCCTCCGAAGGGTGTCAAGATGATTGCCGAAGCCCTGGTTAACGCCCAAGAGCCGCTCATCATCACTGGATACTCGGGTCGAAATCACGATGCTGTGCAAGAGCTCGTTCGGTTAGCCGACAATGTCAAAGGTCTACGCGTCCTAGATACTGGCGGATGTGATATGTGCTTCCCGGCGAACCACCCAGCTTGGCTCGGTCTGCGATACGGTAATGACCCCGCCATCAAATCAGCCGATATCATCCTAGTCCTTGACTGCGACGTGCCCTGGATCAACACCCAGTGTCACCCGAAAGAAAACGCCAAGATCCTTCATATCGATGTCGACCCACTGAAACAGCAAATGCCCGTTTTCTACCTAAACGCCATACAACGCTACCGAGCCGACTCATATACCTCACTGACGCAGCTCAACGAATACCTCGAATCACAGCTCAAGGAAACGCTTTCTAGTCAGCTCTTTAGCCAACGTTGGTCAGCATTACAAGAGTCACACAAGAAGAAACTAGAAGGCATTGCAAGCGAGGCCAAGGTTGACGAGGACGGCCATTTCAGCACCCCATACCTTTGCTCCCAACTCAAGAAACTTTGCCCAAATGACACCATTTGGGCGGTCGAGGCCGTTACCCAGACTGGCTTTGTCGCAGATCAGATTCAGGCTACACTTCCAGGCTCATGGATAAACTGTGGTGGTGGCGGTCTCGGTTGGTCTGGAGGTGGTGCGCTTGGCATAAAGCTCGCAACCGACACAGAAGGAAAGAAACAATTCGTGTGCCAGATTGTTGGCGACGGCACCTATCTTTTCTCCGTCCCTGGATCAGTATACTGGATCGCGCAACGCTACAACATTCCCATCCTCACCGTTGTGCTCAACAACAAGGGCTGGAACGCCCCGCGAAGGTCTATGCTATTGGTACATCCCGATGGTGAGGGCTCTAAAGTCAGCAACGAAGAGCTCAACATCAGTTTCGCGCCGACTCCAGACTACTCGGGTATTGCCAAGGCGGCGAGTGGAGGCAAAATTTGGGCTGCGCATGCGAGCACTGCGGACGAGCTCAGCAAACTGCTACCAGAAGCCATCAAAAGTGTACTTGGTGGAACATCTGCTGTTTTAGATGCTCATCTGGAGGGACCGGAAGGCAAGTATGGAGGTGGTAAAGGTCGTTTGGGTTGAGCCGAGCATTGTTGATGTTGTGGTCGTTGTTCAAGGTAAGGTGGCACGACACCTTTGGAAAGAAGTATAACGTGTTTTATAAGCGAGTCGTCCTTACAAGCGAGTCGTCCACCCCACTAACTTTGATCACCTTCAAAGCTACGCAACGCAACAACGTAATAAGGTAGAATAAAGCGATTAATATAGTAGATTAAATAGTATCTACAGCATCCTTTTTGCACGTTCGTGAGTTGTGCCCAGTCTCCCTGCACCTCCTGCAGCGCGCAATAGCCTGGCGGCTAAGGCCTGATCGCTCACCACCTTGACGCTGTTCACGCTCAATCTGCTGGTCAGCCTCCTTTTGAGCTAGTATATCCTCTCCCTCTCCCTTTGTTAAGGTCCCACGCTTCTGTATCCGTTTCTTTTTTGCGCTGCCTACGCTTAGTTGCTGCCTCGTTGGCTCTCTCAAGGCAGGTAATCTGATCGCGCATAAGCTCGGCTGAGAGCATCATCACCTCAGCCCCCTTTTTAAGCTGGTTAATCGCCTCAATAATCGAGGCTGGTGATGAGCTCTTATGCTGCCGCACGCGATCACGTATTAACGTTGATTGAGCCTCAAGCTCACGTACGTTGCTTGGTGTACGAGCCTCCCAGGGAGGCTCTGCGAGAGCAGCTGGTGGAGTAGGCGTACGCAGCTGCACGTTGAGCTTTGATAGAACAGCGTCTGGCTGGAGAGGGGCTAGGCCTGCGCCTCGAAAAGCTGAGCAGATATTGGCTAAGGTGAACGATCGATCAAAGGCTGCCTTAAAGGCTGGCAGGAATTCGAGCTTGGTGATATGGTTGATATTGTAGCGCATTAGAGCCTCAATCTCACGGCTGTACGCCCCTTCATAGGCGAGAAGCAGCCTACGTCAAGAGGCTGCAGTAGGTGAGATGAGTGAGCTGGCATGCAGAGCGTGTAGATATTGCTCTCCTTGCAGAGCTCTTGAAACTCAAGAGACTGGTGGCTCTCGTGGCCGTCAAGGATAAGCAGGCGGCGTGCTCCAACTACCTTGCCCTCAGTATGCTTAATAAAGTGCTTTAGCCACTCTACTCCTATCTCGTTGGTTGTCCAGCCGTTGTCGCTAACTGCGATAGCCCAGTCGCGTGGGATATCCTCCTCGTACCAGGCTGACAGGTGATACTTGCCAGCAAAGATGAGGAACGGTGGGATTGTCCAGCCAGCAGCGTTGATTGCAGCAATTACCGTCACCCACTCGCGGTTGCCAGGCTGGATAGTCTTTGGCCTGCCTCTCCTCTCTGACCCTGTGATAACTAGCTGAGTCTGGATCTTGCCCATCATAAAGCCAGCCTCGTCAAAGTTGTAGACGTCCTCATCACAGATGCCGTACTTGGCCTTTGTCTCCTCTACCAGCTTAAACCAGCGGCTGATTAGCACAGGATCCTCGCATAGAGCTCTCTGCCTATCGTACGATCGATTAAAACGCGTCATAAGACTGTCTGTACGCTTGACAAAGTTGCGCGGCCAGTGGACGCCAACGCGACCTGCGCCACGCGCAGCAAGCAGCTTATTAGCCATATCGCGCGCAGCTGTATACGTAGGCCCAAATCCTCGCTGATCAAGGTCGAGTATATGTCTAATAATTACCTCCTCCTCTAGCTGGGTAAGCTTCTTTGAGTTGGGCTGGCAATCGCGTCGTGCAAGCCTGCCAGCGCGTCGGTCGCGTAGCGTCATTCGAGGACGTTAAACGCGCGAGCAGCAGCTCTCTCAGTCTTGATCTGGTGGCTATTAAGAGATGATATAGTAAGCTGCATATCAGCTTCAGATGAGCGCAATAGAGCTTGTTGGCGTTGAGGCATAACTGATTTGATCTTCAAAGGTGATCAAAGTTGGTGGGGTGGACGACTCGCTTGTAAGGACGACTCGCTTATAAAACACGTTACATCAAAGACTCACAAACAAACATGTTATTCTTCAAGTGGTACTAGCAGTCCTTGCCGACTCACTTATCTCTTATAGCTATCGTATCACCTGAACCGTCCGATCTCAGAGGTGATAAACCTGTATAGCTAATAAGATATCGAAGTTCGAAGGCTGTGTGTTTCGCATCCTAATTACGTCGAGTCTAGCAAGTTCGAAGACATTTATGCGAGGCACATCGTGCTGACAGTATACAGCGTTTCAAACAGTGTAGCCGCGTTAGTCAGGACGCTGAGATGCTCTTTCGGGCCGGAACGTACCCTCGGCCGAGCAGTACCTGGCCGAGTGTGCCTGCCAATCCGAGCTTACATGTATTACCATACAAGGAGGCAGTCAGCGTCAAGGAACAAGGCTTTGTAAATACTTGGCAGCTTGGATATCTTTTCCGAACTTCATGGTGCCAAACTTTGGCTGCGGAAAGTGAGAGCACTGGGACATATGAGTTATGATAGAGCTTCGCAGTATGGGAAAAAGCACCAAACAATTCCTCGCTATCACAACTGCCCTCCTTGTTATCAAATCATCATTTTATCATCTTTGAAAATGCATTTCAAACCATCTTTCCCGTCCATGGCTCTCACTCTTAGTTTAGTCGTAAAGGCAGCTTCTCTACCTTGCGATCCAGCCATGTCCTGTTCTCCAACCGTGTCTTTAAACACCTCATCTATCGATACTGTCAACGCCACTGCCTTTGCGTTGATGGTAAGTGAAATGAAGCCCCAAAAATCACTTAAGGTAGCTAATTGTACAGTACGGATACCCTCTCGTTCTATACGTCCAGACTTTCGAGCCGACTCTCTCCGAGCGGTTGGCGCCAACGATTTCCAGAACGAAGAAGGCATATCCACAGAAAATGCTGAAGTTTTGGTCCGCCCAAACGTTGATACATTATACTCCAAAGCTGCGATCGATCTTTCGCATGCGGATGTTGTGCTTTCTCTCCCTGAAATTCCCTTGGACAGATATCACGTTGTTCCTTTCTATGACCTGTGAGTTATTTTCAATCAAGTAACTTCTTCAATACAGACCCCAGCTGACTCTTGTTGGAATGTGCAGATACGGGAACAATTTTGCCAACCTCGGGTCAGTCATCGACAGCCCTCCAGGAGACTATCTTCTCACAGTTGCGGAAGATGACGAGCCCGGCCTTTTGATTCTCGATGAAGACACATACGAAGGCTCCAAGTACAAGGGAACCATCAAATTTCCCACCACGTATCGATGTATCATGCTTCGCATCGTTCTCAAGAACAACACAACCGATGTTGAGGAAGTCAAAGCTATCCAATCTCAAAGCAAGATGACAAACATCGAACGCGCAGGAAAGCCTATAGCCTCGGCTCTTACGACTGGCATTTTGGGTAACGGTCAACCCTCACCTGCCGCTTTTCTCCTCCCCTTTAACTTCAGTGCCACTCAAACAACCCAGGCTCTCCAGCTCCTAGCCCAGCTAAGCGCATCAAATCCACCTGTGGAAAGATCCGACCTGGAGTGCGTCAACTCTATGCTTGCCGCCGCTGGCCCCAAGGATGGAAGTTATACAGTCCCAGCTGGCCTAGACTATGCCCAAGTCTACGAAATCATCGGCGGAGAGTTTATGTCTCTTCTCGACCCACCAAACCACGCTTTCAACCAGAACGGCTGGTTCACCCTCCTTCCTAGCATGAGCGGCAACTACGGTACAGAATACACTGCTCGCGCATACATTGCATGGTTTGGCTACCTACAGCTCGCCGATTACGTGACTGCATACCCTACCTCTAACGATCCAACCCTTCCTCCAAGTGCTACTCGGGTCATGATGCGGCTAGCAGCGACTGAGTCCTACATCATGACCTTCTCCGGAAAACCGCCAGTCACTGGTTGCTGGAGCCTGACAGCATACGGGAACACGAATCATCTGGTACCAAATGATCTGAGACGATACTCGCTGGGCGATCGAAGCAACTTGACTTATGCCGACGGTGCACCGGTTTATGAAGATGAGCGCAGCGACAGACCATTCTTGATATTGATTCAGCCAGCGGATATGGTATCGAGCTCGAATTGGACTGATAATTAGCTGCCTGCTCCGGTTTGCGGTGAAGACTTTACCGTGAATTGTAAGTGTCAAGTGAGGTTGACGATGAGAAGAGACGAGCTAATGGATGACACGTAGTAAGATGGTATGGAGTTACTCCGGCGCTTTCAAATGGGAGCTATGTTCACCCTATCGTGACCAAGCAGGGCAGCGTCTTCTAGGCGTTCGACCAGCATTGTATCAAGCCGGATCATCGATTGTTTTTATGGAGAGACATGAATTCATTCCATATATCTTGGGAAGTGAGAGACGGGCGCTGTAGAGGTTGTGAGCTTTTAATATGCACAATCACCACATGTGCAATGGAAAAGACCGCAAGAGACCTCATTGGTCCGCTATTCAAAAACTCAAGACAGCGCATCATTTCTGAAGAACGAGTTATTGTTAACCTATCTGTAGCGCAAACTTCCCTTCCTATTTCAATCTTCGGTTTCTCCATCCACTTATCCAGAGTTTCGGTATATGCGTTCCACATGCGTCTGTCGAAAACTTGGAGAGCGTCTAACATGGCAATCCTAGCAACACTCAAAGGTCTCTGCGTTTTCAGTTCGATGCATTGGGCAGCACGTGTAGAACCGAACTCATCAATTGACAAGATCAGAATATACCCAGTTTTTATGACTTTAAGCAACACGGGAAGAATGCGTGTCAGCCAGTTGCGCAGCGTGGATGTACTACTTTTCGTGAAATCCAGCCCTATCTGGAGTTGGGCAGACGCTTCGTCTCGGAGTAGAAAAATATATTCTAGGCTTTGCAGGGTACACCCGGATGGCATGATGTCGGGCTACCGGAGGTCGATAGCGACGACTGTCTTGTGTATGAGCTGTCGAGGCTTGAGGCCAAGGCGGAAGCCGAAGCGGTCGTGTTGCAGGATGAAAGAGAGACATTCCAGAGCACCTACGGGGGATTTGTTCCGGCACAGTAAGTTCGAAGGCTCGAAATGGAAGGTAGAGTCACGATACCAGAAATCGATCAGCTCAGCTTGTACCCCTGGTCTGACAGCCTTGTGTGGCCAATAATGCGGGGTGCATAGCTTGTCGTCCGGGGAGCGGGGACGGCGCGGAAGCCAGTTCTCCGCTAAAGATTTTACGGCGATCAGCGTCGGAAGTGAAGGCGGCCAGTCTTTTGCACTCAGCTCAACAAGATCACAAATGTTGACTTTTTCCAATGTCATGTGCGCATATACCATGTCTCTAAGTCCTCTCGGAAATTGTGCGTACATGGCTGCGCATGTATTGCGGCAGACATCCGTGTTGTATGCCTCGCACACTGACTAGATGCCGAAAGAAACGGTATGGAGTCTGTGGTATAACCTGTTTCACCAGCGAGCGGCCCACCCCACCGAGCGGCCCAGTTCCCCCACCAACACGCGTACCTAGCAACAACACGTAATGTCTCAACAACCACAACCTCTCAAGGCTTATACTGAAGCTGATGTGCAGCTTGCCCTCTTAGACGTTAAACGTAACCAAATTCCAAGCCTGCGGCGTGCGGAGGCAGTCTACAAAGTCCCAAAGACGACGATACGACGGCGACGCGACGGGAAGCCCTCTAGACGCGACTGCGAGCCAAACTCAAAGAGCCTGACGAAGCTAGAAGAGGAGGTGATTGTACAACGTATACTTGATGAGAATCTGCGTGGAGTACCGCCCTCGAAGCTACACGTACGAGATATGGCTGATAGATTGCTGCGCGATCGCGGCGTCAAGTCTGTTGGCAAGAACTGGGTTGACAGGTTTATCCAGCGTACACCTGAGCTGCGCACGCGCTGGAGCCGTCCATACGATCGCCAGCGAGATCTCTGCGAGGACCCAGCAATCATTGAGCCCTGGTTCATGCTGGTTCAGAACATGAAGGCGAAGTACGGCATTATAGACGACGACATGTACAACTTTGACGAGTCTGGCTTCCTGATGGGCAAGATATCGTCGCAACTCGTAGTGACAGGCATAGACAAGCCTGGGAAAGCAAAGAAGCTTCAGCCTGGTGATCGCGAGTAGACTACGTTGATACAGGGCGTCAGCGCAATAGGGCGCGTTATCCCACCCTTCCTCATCTTTGCCGGCAAGGTTCTTATCTCTAACTAGTTCACTGAGGACCTCCCACGCAACTGGGTTATTCAAGTAAGCCCAACAGGCTGGACAAACAACGATCTAGCGCTTGCTTGGCTTGAACACTTTGATACGCATGCGAGGCCTGTAGGAGCGTACAGGCTGCTTATTATTGACGGCCACGAGAGCCATTGCTCAATAGATTTTCAGGATCGCTGCAAGGAGAAGAAGATTATCGCCCTCTGTATGCCTCCACATTCGTCGCACCTCCTGCAGCCGCTTGACGTTGCCTGCTTCTCGCCGTTGAAGCGCGCGTACGGCGATGAGATCTCAGCCTTGGCACGCGATCGCATCCACCACATCAACAAACAGACCTTCTTACCAGCCTTTAAAGTAGCTTTTAAGAAGGCATTTACAAGAGAGAATGCTTGCGCAGGGTTTCGAGGCGCTGGATTGTGTCCACATGATCCACAAGCCGTGTTATTAAAGCTGGATGTGCAGCTGCGTACGCAAACTCCACCACAGCAAGATAACGCCGCTTAGGAGGCGCAAACACCGCGCAACGCCAAAGAAATGGAGGCGCAATCAACGCTGATTCGAAACAAAATGCAAATCTATCGAGGGTCTCCAGCAAGTTCACTTGACGAGCAGGTGCGACAGCTAACAAAAGGCGCGCAGCAGATAGCTCATGAGATGGTGTTAATGCGCGCAGAGATGGGGCGCCTTCGAGACGCAACAGAGACGCTTACTAAGCGTAAGAGTCGCAAGAGACGCTACGTACGGGCAGAGGAGACACTGACAGTTGGCGAGGTATTAGACTTAATTGCTGAAAAGGAGGGTGGCAGTCGTGAGGAGGGTGAGGAGCCGGCGAAGAGGGTGCGCGCAGGGCGACGCTGCGGCCGTTGTGGCAAGATTGGGCATAACTCTCGTACGTGCAAGGTAGAAATTAAGGATGCGAATGATAGCGACGCTTCTGAATAATATTATACTGTTGCAAGAGTATAAAAATTGTGTTGTGGTGCTAAGCTACGTCGCTGCGCGTACGCTTCGCTGGTGTTCATGGGCCGCTCGGTAGGGTGGGCCGCTCGCTGGTGAAACAGGTTATTAGTTTTATACGTTCGGAATGATCGCCGTCCTTAGTGTAGGGGATCAGCACCTGAGATTGTAGTGCTGTTCCGTTCTCGACGAGCATGCGCTCCTGGTTGACGAGTTCATACAGTCCCAGTGTCATATTTTTCTCGTGACTTGTTGCGCGGGTGTACTTCTGAAACGCCGGTGAACCGTAAGGGTTCGTTGGTATACTGGTGATCTATATGTTGGAAGCTTTGGCGTCAACGAACTTTTAGATGATGAGATCGATGATTAGATAAATACTCGTTCGCGATGTAGCATTTGTATAAGTCTGGTGTACAAGAAATTCGCCGTATCATGTTTGATAATCGGCCCAGACCGAAGTCACACTATTTGTTGAGGAGATTATGAGTGGCTCGCCGCTCGCTTCTGCGTCATCGCAGTGCTATGGGACGAAGTGGACGACATGGACAAAGTGGATGATGTGGATAGTAACCACAGTATACGCACACACAGCGATGTGAGTCAAAGGCAGAGCGTATATAAAGTGCAGTGTAGTATCTTGGTTGCCGCCCCAACACACACACCATGTTTCGCAATTCGTGTTGGTGGTAAGCCTACATCATTGCGCATGATCCAGTCGACGTCTCTGAATCTCGCGCGTGTTCGTTCAACAACTCTTCCAGAGCCTCAGCTCTTGCGGACCCGAAAGCCCTCTCCAGAATGGCCTGTCTTGTCAGATTTGGGCGGTTACGGGCTAGTGCGCAGTTTTTATGGGCACCATATTGGATGAGCAGTTCACAAGCTTGATACCGTGCTTCTGTCAAGCTCGGCGGGATGTTTGAACTTTGGGCGACACCTGTCGCACGATTCGTAGACTCATACAGTGATAGTAGGAATAGCGCCCAGACGGTCTTGCTGCCGTTCAGATGAACAGCCTGGTTCGGATCTGCGCCATGTTCTAGCAGCAATCGTACCATGTCGATGTTAAGACTAGGATCCTCTCGTTTAGAGTGATATGGCATGCTGATAGGGGTTTTCCGGTGCGGGCGGAGCGCATAATCGAGTAACGGTCGTCCGCGCTTTTGCATGTTGCTCGGGTCGGCTTTCAATTTAGCGTGGACGTATTTTACGAGACGCGATTGTACCGCCAAAGCCAGGAAGTTGCAGCTATCACCCTCTCGGTAAACATCCAAACCCCGCGCAGTTCCTGGGTCACGGCCATGCGTCCAGTGATTTCTTATCTTACTTGCGTGGTGAGAGTTCGTGCGGTCTACCTCGTCGAGCACCTCCAGGAGAGGCACGTCTGATGACTGATCGGAGCGTTCAGTCTCGTAAGCATAGTACAGTAACTCGTCCGTCAAGCCGATCACGCGATTTATCGATTCCTTGCTCTCGAAATCCACGTTTGGGAGTGATTTTAGCAAGGCCAGACAGATCTTGCATAGCGTAGCCGTAGCGCTGAACTCATTCTTGAGGTTATCCTTCAACTGCTTGTAATAGTTATCCTGTAAAAAGTCACGAACCGTTCGATGCAGGAAATCGACTGGGTGACTGAGGAACACTGGGTGTCTAGTATCACATGTATGGTCAGCCAATGACTCGTTAATGCACGATACGGCAGGTAAATTCCCAAATCGCTTTTCCAATGCATCTGTAGCCAAGAATCTATGCTTACGTACCGTTCTTCGCTGACCACAAGCAGGTCACTGCATCTGTTCTGAATGAGCGACTTCCATCTTGGATATTGATCCAGCAGGTGTTCTTCAAATAAAGGTTGTACTGGTGTTTTCACTGCGAAGCTGTTGTCCAAGCGCTGTTGCTCAAGTAGGGAGAAGGCGTACAATGGAAGAGGTTGGAGCTCATCGACCGTAATAAGGAATATCTGCGACATCTCTTCCAAGTATTGAGGCCTTACTGATTGGATGATGCGTTGGAAATACGCTTTCAGGTCGGGGGGCAATTGGTCAACGATCTTCCATAGCATTGCGACATCCTCATCTCGATTGACAGCTTGTTCGAGATCACGAGTGATCAAGAAAACCCATAGCCAGACGCCGTGCGCAAGTTCTGCAATACGCTCCATCAAATCTTTGCATGCAAATTCTGTTGTTTCCAGACATCGAAAGTTGGCGTTTTCAGACAGCCGAAGCCGGACATGTCTTCTCATGTCATCCTTCGTGAATTTCGCGATGTCAAACGTGCGGGAACTGTTACTAAAGAACTTTTGGTAGACAGATCGAGGGCGCGTAGAAGCACATACTTTGATGGCTTCGGAAGCGGAGAGAAACTTCAGAACTTCAACGATGTCTTCCTCCGCCCCATTGTACTCATCCAAACCATCAATGAAGAAGCAGAATCTGACTTCAAGGTCGTTTTGAGCAGCGATACGTTCGAAAATCGCCTTGAGTTCATCCATTTCCTATATTTCGTGCTGGGGCCTTTCTAGACAGACGATTGGTATCAATCTGGGTATCGTTTTGAGTATTTGATAGAGCAGTGATTGTAGTAGCCCAACCTGACTCTTCTGCATCTCGTAGCCTTGGTTCCAGAAGTAGTAGCTTGCAATGCAAAGTTGAGCTGGGCTAGCCCAGTCTTTGAGACTTTTCGTAGTGCGTTGATCCTGTGCGATGAACTTTTGTAAGGTAGACTTGCCACTGCCTGCCTAATAAACTCGAATATCAACACACATGCATCATTATGCGAAACGACTGGCTTATAACATACCCGACCAGTGATGCAGAACAGTCCGTCCGACGCTTCTTTACTACTCAGCCGGTGGTTGAATGGTGTGAGTGTGTTGTCGAATACCCAAGCGTTCGAGGCTTCGTCTGCGTGCGGTATCTGGTTCCACCGTCTCCGTATCTCCTCGAAATATAAGCTTTCTATGACTCTGTTCTGCTGGATGCATGCATGGTGTTCCTTGGGAAATACTTCGAGTTTGGTTCTAAGACTAGAAAGCTGAGCAGTCCGTAAGGCGATCTCTTGAGTATCAAACTCTAGAGGATCGATCTGGTAAGTACCTGTTTGTTGAGCTCCCGTTTGCTGTACGAGATCAAGAATTTCGTCTCGCAACATGTCCATCTTCGCGTCATAATTGATGTTGAGAGTATGCTGCATCCTTTTGATGCGATCTAGCTCCGCAGATATAGCCGAATGGTGCTCACTTGTGTATTTTGTTAGTATGGAGGTTTGAGAGACCGATACCCAGAATAAACATGGGAAATGGTAACATGCTGGCTATATTACCTTCGAATGACATTCTCGATGTGCCTTCGCAGCCTTTGATCCAGACTGTCCAGCCTTCTCAGTAGGTCGGCAATGTGGTCTTTTTGTTTCCACCATCCCCAAGCAACACGACCGCTTTCCAATGTTTTCGAACGTCCTTGTCGTATACGTAGTTTCTTGATAGCCTGGCGTAGGCCGTTTGCCATATTCTCACACTGTGCGGCCATCTGCAGAATGAGTTTCTCATCGTCTGTTAGCTTCTGACCACCATCTTTCTGTTGTGTGATAATTTTGTTGTAACGGCTGACTTCATCTACGATAAGTTCGAGCTCGCGAACTTCAGTGGTAGTTCCGTGTAACGAGCTGCGCACATTTTGCGCTTCGGAAGCGACCTTGAAACCGAAGTCGATGAATGAGATAATGTTGGACACCAGGCCTAGTATGGCTAACGCCTCTGCCATTGCGGGAATTTGCTAGACGAAAACGGATGCGAGAAGATGAGGAAAGTCTTGAATAGATAATGTACGCTCGGGTTGCGAGAGCTGAGGTAACCAGCGCGAGCGCAACCTTGGAAACCGCTGCTGGCCTGATCATCGCTTAGAACGGCATAGCGTTGTTGATGGCGGGGCAAGCCCGTAAGAAGGCTGAGGGCCTGAAACTTGCGGGAAGCTGCAAACATTGTTAGAGCTGTCAGCCGCACCCTTGACTTTTGACCGTTTCTTACCACATCATATGCAACCGACTTGAGGATTGAAAGATGAAGAGCCTGCGACGTATGGAGGCCAACCTACAAGAGTACACCATCTATTACATAGTCCCCGTTACCCTAGGCTGACTAGTTGTAGAGCCTGGCCCCCACAAGCTAGGCTGGATCGTATCGAGAACGTCGAAAACAACGAACAAACATTGCTCTTGGGTGGAAATCTAGACAGCTGGACGCCCTTGTGGCAGCACGACAATGCATGGATCCGAATACCGGCGCAACTTACACTGAGTCCTGCAAGGTATCATGTACTATTCTCAATGTTGTTCGTCAGCATAGGAATACCCTTGTGTATCGGACTGAGCCGTAAAGAACTTTCATTGCTCCTGCTTCTTATCGAAAGCTTTATCCTGATAGCATGGGCAATCTTTTCGCGGCTCGCGCATAACGTAGACGGTGAAGACATCTTCTGACTGAAGCAACGATGTAAAAAAAAACCCTCGCATAAATAGTTACTGAGACGGTATCCGTCGCTTTGCTATTCCCCATAACATAACGGTGGTTAGAGATCTTTTCGACAACGAGCTTCTGGGCGATGCTACTGATGATCAGATAAAGACATTTCGCGACCCAGCTTTTCCATGTGCAAAGGTTGTCTTTGGGTAACATTTGTATTGCGCTAGTTGTGAGTGGCTCGTCAGGAATGTGCCGTTGTCAAAACAGACTCTAGCGAGGCGAGTTTTCGGAGTCACAGTCTAGCTCATTTCTGTGAAGCTTAGTGCAATACTGTTTGCTTCATGCTTCCATCGTAAACCAAATTCGAATGAAGTCACCTTAAGATCTTTTAGGGGGTTCAAACTAACGCCACTGCCGCATGGTGGCGTCGCAACTTCGTTCGTACGTCCACACCCAGGTACCTTCCACTGCAACAACACATGTCGCGTGTCTGAGAGGCCAGGTGTGTTACCGGCCGCGGTCTTTCCCAAGGATAGCCTAAATGAACTTGCCAATACTATTGTGGGTATAGAATTCTATACAACTAGCCAAAGACGTCGTTACAGCCGCCGGTAGCGGATCAAGCGACTTGTCGCCACGCCCAGGTGCACCATGTTCGACGGACCATCCCGTAATATTATCGTTTGTTAGCAGATCCGTCGCCTTGTCTGCATGTCAACGGAGGCTGAGTCGGTGCTTGGTATCTTGGGGCGGAAATACTCATCCTGTGAAGCTTGGTTGTTCCGCTTGATACCCTGGATCTAGACAGTCGGTTCTAGGGTTTGTCATTCTACGCTATCTACGCTCGTGTGGTCACTCGACCGACCACTGTTGATAATTGCAACTGTGCAATACATGCTGATATCGACTCATTGTGTATGCGCTTTGTTGGCTAACGTTGATTGAACATTGGTAGGTTAAGAGTGAGGATTTTGTGTTACTAATTGTGTGGTCGAAAAAGGCATTCCGCTACGGGCACAGATATTCCACCGACCCGCTTTACCCCGCACACGCTACTGGCAACCGCTGATCTGTCAAGCTTCACCACGCACACCTTCGATAACGGTTGTACTGCCAAGTTCCTTACGTGCATCCTTCATGCATTCTCTACCTATAAAGAATGATGACCCCAGATGCCAATCACGGGGTAAGGCTTGACCTTGTTCATTGCCAAGTGAACCCTTCCCCAGATTCGCTGCGATAGTCCGAGAAATAGCTTGGAACAGCAAGTGTTGCGGTAAACAGGGGACGATGGTAGTCTTCGTGCATTTCCCCGCGGGGTGTGACTGTAAAGATGGTGAGGTAGCATCAGGAGTATGGCTCGGCAATGAAGCCTTGGAGACGAGGCAGCGAGCATAAGAGGACGGTCACCCTTCGCTCGAGACCTTCATCATTGTGCTGAAATCTTAACTCTGATTACATATTTCACGATCAACACCAACAATTTTTTAACGAATGGGCTGCTTCAATACTCATGCATCAGGTACTCTGGACCCGCCAGAGGTCCGCAATTGGCGGATCCACCTCATCGCACTCATCGCTTCGATGTCTGCACTAGCCAGTAGGTCTCAGTGGAGCGATGTGGTCCCAAATATCTGACACGCGGATAGTGGGATACGATACAGCTGTAATCGGTGGGACTATGGCTCTCACTTCCTTCATTCGCGACTTTGGCATGAATGACATCGCCAAAAGCAACCGTGACACAATTCAGGGCAACATCGTCTCCACATTCCAGGTCAGTCTCGATGATGCCTTTCCTAAATAACGATGAACTGACGATGAGCAGGCAGGATGCTTTTTCGGGGCGCTTATCGCTTTCCCCTTTGCTGAACGAATTGGGCGGAAGAAGACTATGATAATAGCTTCTACAATCTTCTTACTCGGTGGCACACTCATGACCGCCTCTCAAGGTAGTCTTAATATGATCTATGCTGGACGAGCTGTAGCAGGCTTAGGCATCGGTGCATCGAGTATGGTTGTACCTGTCTACATCTCTGAAACTGCGCCGCCTTCCATTCGAGGTAGGCTGGTTGGTATCTTCGAAATCGCTTCCCAAGGCGGAGGTATGCTGGGTTTCTGGATCAACTATGCTTGTGATCGATCCATCAGCGTTGAAGGTGCTACACAGTGGGTCGTACCTCTCGCGATCCAACTCGTTCCCGGTCTACTACTACTTCTCGGTGTCGCATGGTGCCCAGAGTCACCACGATATCTCGCAAAGAAGGATAACTTTGAAGGAGCAGAACGTATACTGTGTAAGATTCGGTGTCTTGACGGATCGCATGCGTACATCCAGCATGAGATGAGCGAGATTCGGGCGCAGGTCGAAGAGCGTAGCGCCAACCGTCAAAGTAAGAAGGCACAGTTCATGAAACTGTTCCAGAAGGGCGTGCGCAACCGGATGGCCATTGGTCTTGCGCTCATGTTCCTACAGTCTTTCACTGGTGTAAGTACGTACTGCCTGCACGATAGGCTAGGCGCTAAGCTACTCAGGTCAACATCATCACGTACTACGCTCCTCGCATATTCGAAACGCTCGGTATCTCTGGAACTTCGCTGAAGCTTTTCTCTACTGGATTTTACGGTATCGCAAAGACACTCGGCATGTTCACCTTCACCTTCATCGTTGTCGAGAAGGTTGGACGTCGCAAGGGGCTCATCTGGGGAGCAGCGCTGGGTTGCATACCCATGTGGTATATCGGTGGATACGTCATGAAAGCCGATCCAGCTGGAGCTGCTTTGAGAGGCGATGTTTCACGCAACGGTTGGGGTTACTTGGCAATGGTCTGCGTTTACGTCAACGCTTTCATCATCTGCGCTACGTGGCAAGGCATCACATGGACCTACGCATCGGAGATCTTTCCGCTCGACATCCGCATGCTTTGCGTATCGCTAACGACCGCTGACACTTGGCTTGGTTCGTTCATCATCGCACGCAGCACGCCATACATGATCTCAGATCTCGGTTATGGTGCATACTTCTTCTTCGCTACCATTCTAGTCCTGATGGGTGTTTGGAGTTTCTTCTTCGTACCCGAGACAAAGGGTATCAGTCTTGAGGAGATGGACGCCCTCTTCCTGAGGCCCATGCACCAGGCTGTGTGGGCGCAGCTTCGCGGCAAGCCGATCTTGACCGAAGAGGAGGTCATCGCAAGAAATAAGGGTATGGATCCAGTACACGAAAAGAACGTTGGCGTTGAAAGAATTGAAGTAGTCAAAAGATGAGATTAATGAAGGGCGACAAAAGGGCACGATCAATGATGGCCGAATAATTCTGCCTCATTCTCTTTGTTGCCGATGGAGGCGGGTAGACGCGCATGACTACATTCGCGGCATTCAATTTACAACTCGTCTTCAAAACCTCTCTCAACTCCTGTTTCCTCAGGGTTCTTCTTTTCTGCCCTTCTAACCGTGACTCATGCCGTCTGACTTGAACCATCTTCTGCAGCCCTTGCCCAGTACAACCTCGACACAGAATCATTCTCGATGTTCTCCGACCACAACATTAGCACGTCCCTTCCCTCGTGTGCCTTTGCCGATACAGTATAGTTCCTCGTCTGGTTCGTCACGACCCACTTCGGATACGACGACATCACCAAAGGTCCATGCGTGAGCGTGCCTGTCGTCTCATTGCTGCCTTCCCAAACCTGCAAAGCTCCTGCGTAAGAGAGAGTGTGATGTCCAATAAGCGCCCACTCGGCGTCGGTGTAGTTATCGGCAGGAGCGGGGATGTCACCGGGGTCAGTGGACCATAGGTTTACGGAAACATAGCCAAAAGGGTGATAGATGAGAAGTCCTTCGGGATCGGTCCCGAGACCGCCCAAGGCGCGATCAGTGCCATTCAGGTATTTCCTGGAAAGTGGTCAGGAAGAGATGCGACATAGGCTTGAGGGAAGTTGTGTTTTACTGTGTTTGGTATAGAAACTGCCATGCACCACCGAGCACGGCAGCAATGCTGTCGGGAAGTACCATTGTATACGAGATAGATCTCGAGTTGATGCAGCCACAAGTACTAGACTAGCGAGTGAGTAAGAATAGTTGAGTGTGCAAGTCCTCGACTTTCCCATATAAAGGAGATGCGATACTTTTGTGGGAAATGTTCATCGGTGATAGAAGCAGGGCGAACCTGTGTTTAATTCGATTGATAAGATAGAATTGACATGACACCATCTGTAATATGTATCCTGGTAGTGATGCCTGTTCTATCGCCTACAAATGGTCGGGATGCTATTATGAAGATACCGACCACGGCATAAGCTTCATCAATTTCCAGACCCCCGGAATTGGCATCTCTTGCCTTACGCCCAAGGTCTGATTTGTATTAGGGGATTCTGCGAACCACTTCAGACCATGATTTTGTACTAGCTTCGTCGTAACAATGCATCATCTACTACTTCTTGTTTCTTTCCTACCATAGATGCATATCCTCCTCGGGCGCCTTCTTCTATCGCAGGATCAAGGTCTAAGTAGGAGTATTCGTGTAATATCGGAGTCGATGATATCTGTGCCACAGTTCTCGGAAGGCGCGGTACTAGAAGCACCTAGAGTTGGTGGTATTGAAATATAATTATGGAGACGAAGCTATTCGCGTACGCAACCGCAGCCTAAACAATTCAACTTCTCGTTTCCCAATCGCCAGGGATGATGCACAAAAAGAAAGTGATCGAACGCCTTCAATTTAATTAGTTCCTAGGTGGACAAAAGAAGACACGGTTGAGCTAGAATTAGAATTGCTGCAGAAAGGATAATTATTAGATTATGCTGATACGAAGCGGATGATGCTAGACTCTTGGAGTGGATCGCAGCTGACGAAATTGACGCCTAGCGCCGATCCCTACTTTCTTCCGTAAGACATCGAGAGATCTAAGTACGCTCCCAGGCATCACAATCCACTCTCTGGAAAGCGCATTTGGTGTGCACTTGAAAGCACTCCACAACAGCGACATGAGGGCTCGAGAAGCCCTACGACTAAGACAGCGATTGCTCTTGACAGAGTAGGATGAGCTTCGAGGATAAGTTTAAGATTCCCCGCATTCGATACGGGGCTTCCCAGACATGCAGGCCAATGCTATTATGACTATTGCTGGATGGACGAAATGCGGAGAAGCCATCCCTTCCGTCTCTAGCACCTACGGGCTCGTCCGAACGATGATCGCGTATGCCTAGGAAAAAGGCTTATGAAAGCTGCCGAAGTACCCGAGCGCGATGATTGGCCGAGTGAGCGGATGATCTGCGTTGAGCGGAGTGCTTGCGCAGTACCGAGGTAGCATCTGCAAGCTGATTGGTAGCTATACTACATGAGAAACTGGTCGAAAGACTATCTCTGTAGACCGACTCCAGATCTGTCAGAAGGAAGCGGACCCTTGCGTTTACTTACCCCATTTGTCAATCTGAGGCAGCTTTAATTCCGGAGGTTTATCATGAACGACTGAACGACTGGCACTATCCAGGAAGAGCCACGTAAAGGACTCTCAGTAGAGTTTCTGCTCTGGCTCTCGCTCTCACTTGAGTCGTGGGCTGCGTTTCTTCTAGGTACGTACGCATTATTTCTGCATTCAGACAGGTTTGACGAGGCTAGACGGCGACCCATGATGATCCACATGCGAACACCAATGCAAGATGCACTATCGAAATTGAGCTTTTAGTCTAGTGCCCAATTCCAATTCACTCGGCGAGCTGTCACCTTATGGTATAAGACTTGACCTGTCATGATAATTGGTGAGCAAGCAGGCTTTACATCTTCTGCAATCCTTCGGCTTTCGGACGTCTGCCATTCCCAATATGGCGTTGCACATTTCCTCACTATTGGGAAAAGCGCTTTTCCTATGCTCGTTAATCTCGAGTGCCATTTCAGCGCCCGTTGATAATGGGCCGACGGTCACACTGGCCTCAGGTATTGTCGTAGGAACCACTACCAAGCCTGCGAACCAGCCATCCTCGACGGCCTCAGCCAACGCCTACTTGGGAGTTCCTTTCGCGAAGTCGCCTCCCATGCGCTTCTCACCGCCCGAAGCAGCAACACCATGGTCTACTCCTCTACAAGCCCAAAATATCAAGCCAGCATGTATCCAGCAATTCTCCGGTACTGGTGATACCCGTGCCAGAGTCATGGAGTATTTCAACAACCCCACCTATCCACCACCTCAGGAGAGTGAAGACTGCCTATACCTCAATGTATATACACCTTCAGGAGCCAAAACTACAAGCAAGAAGGCCGTGATGTTCTGGCTTTTCGGGGTATGCGTACCCTTGTCTACTGTTTGGCGCAACAACATACTGATGAGTACAGGGTAACTTAGCTTTTGGGACTGGCGGACTGGCATACAACGACGGAAGCTCTCTTGCAATCAACGAAGATGTCGTGGTAGTCACTATCAACTACCGCACGAACAGTGAGTGACTTTGTCACCCTAAGTTCCGAGATCCAGTGATTAACATGCTCGATTTCAGTCTTCGGTTTCTCCAACTCACCCGAATTGCCCTTTGGTTCCCAGAACGCTGGCTTCTTGGACCAACGGTTCGCATTGCAATGGGTACAAGAGAACATTGCGCAATTTGGAGGCGACCCGTCTCGTGTGATGATATTTGGTGAATCAGCAGGTGGCGAATCAGTCAAGCAACTGCTAGCTAATCCACCGAGTCCACTTCCATTCTCATCGGCTATACTTGAGTCTCAGAACGCAGTACTCCCTGGAAATGGCCTGCAAAACTACAAGCAGGTACTGCTACATTTTGGCTGCGCAAACGTCGATTGTCTTCGCAAGATACCTGCAGTGGACATCAAAGCGTACATTGAATCGGAATCGCTCTCATTTCCACCAGTCAACAATGATGGCACCTCAACACCCGACGTCAGACTCAGCATATCTACTGGGAAATTCGCCAACGTACCAACGATGCTAGGATCCAATCCGAACGAAGCACGTGTCTTCCTGGCCGTGGCTGGTTTAGCCGACGGCACCACCGCTGTGAACAGCTTCTTCGATCAATACAACATCACGTCGAAAGCAGTGCGCGACTCCATCATCACTGCATATCCTGCGCAAGGTATCACTAGTCTGTATGAAGTAGCCGACAGGCTTGGAACAGATCTAGTCTTCACATGCACGACCGCTAGGCTGGCAAACTACCTCGCTGTTTCCGGACGCACAACTTACCGTTATCTATTCACGTCCGCCTTCCCTTCAATTAGCTTCTTCCCCAACCCAGGTGCATGCCATACGAGCGAGATTCCGGAGGTCTTTGGCACGTATCCGCTTTCGAATCAGTTTGGTACTGCAACACAACAGCAAATCCAACTCAGTGCTTTCATGCAGAAAATGTGGGCTAATTTTGCAAAGAACCCCGCTGGAGGTGTTGGATGGCCGAAGGTTGGCAGCGCATTTGGTAAGGAGCTGGGCGTACTAGGAAAGGATGGCAGTAGTGGGGTGACGATTAGGCCGTTGCTAGAGGCGGATTACGCTTGCCCACTTTATGCCGGCATTGAAGATATTCTGGGACTGTCTTTCAGGTAAGAGATGATGATAAGTTCGGCATCGTATAGACGAAAGGTGGCAGGGAAGAGTTGATCATCATCGTCTGTTACGCGTATGTACTAATGGCATGATTCACGCTTGATACACTAAACTCACAACAAACAACGTTATCACGACAATTGCCAATACCCCCGCAAAAATATTGAATCCAATAATCCTTCTCCCACTTAGCTTCCCTAACACAAACTCTTCTCTCAGATCTTTTTTCACTAACGGTATGGAGGATAGGAATCCGATACCGGCGAGCCAATAGCCCACAGTGATAATAACAGCCAAGCACAACTGGGTGGCCTTCCCATAATTCTCACTTGTCGTATCCTCGTCCATCAATGCTAGGCCAATGATTTGTGGACCTGAAGAATAGATGAGTACCTGTACGCTACCCCAAATGGCAAGACCAAACGTCTTGTAGCGCGGTGGAAGAAGCAAAGCAATGAGAGCAAAGAGGCAGCCTAGCCACAGTTCCGCGGTGAGGTATGCGAGACTCATGGCCCCGTAAAGAATTTTGATGCCTCGGTCTTCTGAGCCATCGGCTATGTCGCGCGAGAAGACCATGAGGAGGACGAACAGGGAGCTTATCATGCCTCCGATACTTGTTAGATATATTGGCGTCAATTTGGTACGCGGCCATAGCACCGAGGTGAGAATGCCGCCACTTAGCACTGCGACTGATCCGACGACACCAACAATGATGCCGTAACGGGAGAAGATCTCGGTGTGCGAAGGATACGTACCGCCGAGATAGCTGGGCATGTAATATCCGAAGACGTTCCCGCTCAGCTGACGGAAGCCGGCAGAGAGAACAAGAATCCAAAATGAGTTCATGCGGAGGATGTAGGTGAAGGTAGCGAGCAAGTCAGACTTCGCGGTTTGTAGTCCTGACGCGCCTTGGGTGGGGTATGGTATATCGGCGAATTCTTCATTTACGCTGTTGTTGTAATCTCGTGCGCTGATCTGAACCAGACTTGCTCTTCTTTTCGGTTCCCTCAAGAAGACTCGTAACAGTACTACGACGACCAATCCCGTGATACCGATCGCCCGCAAGGCGATGCGCCAGCTCGTACCAGTCTCCGCAAAGGCAGTGGCGATTTGACCACTGATGGCTTCGCCAATGTATACCCCCACATAAAGTATGCTCTCTCCAATGAACACATTTCTCCATCCCACCAAGTCGCTGATGAGGCTGATAGATAGTGCCTCAACACTCGCCTGTCCAATACCCATTCCAAGCCTGGCGCAGAACAACTGACCAAAACTGTTCGCTAGAGACTGGAAGATCACGCACAAGCTCCACCATGCTGCCGTGACACATAGTACCCATACGCGAGCTGACGTATAGTCCGAGAGGAAGGCGATGGGTAGTGCGAGAATGGCGTAGGCAATTCCTGTTGCGTAACCGGAGAGCAGCCCATATTGTGTGGAGCTCAGTGAAAGGTCAGCTAGCACAGAGGTCTGGAAATATGATAGTATGAACTTGTCGTACTGTGCGAGGAAATAGTTAATCAAAAGAAGTACTATGCAGAGATATGCATAAAGATTGTGAAGCAGTGGCCGTTTTGAAGTAGTCGAATGCGCGGTAGGTATCACCTCGTCTTCGCAAGGGCGTCTCGTTGCGCCGTTATATGCTCCTTTTGCGTCTGTCTGCACCATGACAGCAATCGTTGTAATTTGCGAATGACCTCCGTAGATATCGAGAGGTCACATTTTGTAGCTACCAAGCCGTGGCGCAAAATCGATGACGTAACAACCACAACACCCCGCAGCCGGTATAGCCGTTGTGATATGGGGTTAAGCGTTACTGCAGTCTAGAATTTGTGGTCAACTTCCAAATCCACGATGCCTAAACCAGAACCACAACTTCCCCTCGGCAGCTCTTCGACATTGCAAGGTTTTGCCGAGAGCTTTTCGTTTCACAATTCGCCAGAGTCATTCATCACGTCACGCATCCTCGCCTTCCAGAAAGAACACCCAGAAGCCATAGAGAATAGAGCAGTAGTTCGAGCGAAAGTGCTTAATCGCAACGTCGCCATAGTCTCTTCACATGCGCAGATTCATCAAGTTCTTGCCCAGGATGCAGCAGGGTACGAAGCCGGTGGCGCGTACGCTAAGCTGATGGCGCCATTCTTTCCATCACCGAACCTGTTGCTGATGGATGGCGACAAACATGCCTCTATGCGCCAGACATGGAAGACGAGAATGGAGAATTTGAGAGCGGTGCTACATCCTCTAGTATCTCGGCAGGCTGACCGACACTTCTCTGAACCGTCCGCATCAGAGATAGATATGTACGAGTCTTTGAAGAGACTTTCATGGAAGATACTACTCGGAGCGTTCCTGGACCTCGACAGCAATGACGGCTTATTCGACACAATGGAGAGTTTGCAGGAAGACCTGCTTCGAGGCCAGTTCTCGCTGTTCCCGGTAACTGTCAACGCAGGCTTCTGGCATTCGCCTCGCAAGAAGGGTAAAGAGGCGAACAAAAGGCTACAAGGCAGAATTTCGCGTCATCTGGAAGAAAACAAGAGTGCGTGTCCTTTCGCTACCGCGAACAAAGGCGAGTTGGAGGATGTAGCAAAGCACTCGGTCCTTTTCACGAGCAGTCTCGCAGTTAAAGCGCTGGCTTCCCTCTTAACAGCTTTCCTATTGAACCTATTTTTGTACCAAACGAACGGTGGTCAGTCACTAGCAGAGGTTCTGGCTACTGAAGATGATCCTAAAAGGCTTTCGCTACGCCTGAGAGCCATACTGATGGAAACGGAGCGGCTTAGCCCGCCCATTGTGGGCGTCATGAGACAGTCTATGAGAGATAATATTATCTCGTCACCTGAAGAGCAGGCAGACATAAAAATACCAAAGGAATGGGACTGTTGGCTCTACTTCGTGGGCGGTGGCCGCGATCAGACAGCTTATGGGCCGACTTGGGACGTGTTTGACGCGAATCGATATCTTGACAAGGATATGCCGCCAGGTGTAGCCTTCGGGGCGGGTCCAAAGACATGTTTAGGTCGCGACATGATCCGCGAGATTGCTCTAGCTGTGGCGGAGACATTCGTACGCCTCAATATCAGCATACATGGCAATGTTGCATCGCGTGGGGTACGCGGTTGGCTGGGGTGGGAACGAAACGATTCGGTGAGAGAAGAAGATTGGGCTAGGGACATGAAGCAGTTGCCCACACAAAGGCCGTCGGAACCTATTATGATTCGGGTGTTGCGTAATTCCTTCTCGAGATGATCTCAATGTAGTCGGCGCTTGGTGTTCCTCTTCACTATGTTGACAGCCAATATGGTCCACCAGAGGCCATTTAACCCAACCAGCATAGCAGTCCCGATTTGACATCGCTTCCTCAGCATTGTATACGCCTTCCATGGACCTAGACCATGGTGATGGCCATACTTTGTCAAGATCCAAACAACAACACCGAACCTTGAAGCAGCGAATGTACTTAAAAACGCTACATCCAGAATGATATTCTCCGATCCTGTCCGCTGCCGGTTCCACCATCGTGCATGCATTAACGGCGTACTACTATTCATTAGTAAAAACGCAGTGATTACCCACATTCCTTTTTCCTTGCCAGCTGCAATGTACGCTTGCAGCACGAGGAATGCGGATGAAAGTAGCACGTGATGGACGAAAGCGACAGGTGATTCTCGAGCCACAACGCCCAAAGCAGCGCGTAATGGCGTGTGACTCTTCTTGCGATATGCGTGAACCATCACGTAGGTATCATATAGGAGATACGCCGTCTCCCATGCGGTCAGCGCGTTAGCCAGACGGTTTTGACCATTGATTGTGGGATTGCGCGAGTCGTCTGGGTGCTGCTCCCTATCGCTCGCGTTGCGGGTGGATGTGCTCCGCGACGGAAGTATCGGCCATGATGCGTACCGTAACAACAGTAATGCTACGATGGAAGTCGTTGTGGCATGCGCTGTTGAGAAAGCCTTGTTCAGACTGACGGGGTCTGATGGCATTTTACAAGTCTGGCTAACGGTTGGGTTGAAGCGGAGTTCGATTTGTCAATCGAGGAGGAGCATAATGCGAATAGGGCTTTCGGTAGGGGACAAAGTGCCACGGTAATGAGTTCGGTGGCTCATTGAGGACACTCCTCGGCTGACAGACACTTCTGGTCCGTGCAGCATGCACGTCATCGGTCATGTCAACCCAACCACCTTGTGACTTGACATCACGTTAACTACCATTAAGAAAGAATCAATACATGGCGGTCGCAAGAATGTCGGGTACACTATACATCCTATATAATGCCGATGCATCTATCATGGGTAAGCTAAGATATGGCTATCGAAAGATTTGCCATTCTACTGAGGATAACCCAGCTTGTGCAGCCTGTACGCTTCTCTCATCAATTTTACCCTTTCGATGATACGAAAATGCTGATTCCGGCAGGCGATATCACTCACGGGGGGTTGTCGTTAAATGAGACGCCGGCTTGGCTGGAAGCAAAGAAGGTAATCGAAGCTGAGTCTGGATATCAAATCGTCCAGTGGCACCGAGACGAGCTTTCTGAAGAGGTTTGTGAACCATGAAAGTCGTTGCGTTGTAGAGTTTACACACTGAATATGTGTAGTTGAAGAAGTTTGTCGAATCGAATGCCATCCGCTACCCGACCATCGTATCGAGAGGGGCTGGCGGTAATCTGTCTGAGGTGATGACCAACTCAGAACTTGCAGCGTGCAAAGGAGATGCACAAAGCGTCATCTCGAGGTTGCGTGAGAAAGGCATCGTACAGCAGAAGGCACCTTCTTCTTCTTCTTCTTTGTAGCTTCTTTTCTTCAATCCCGACTGTCTATCCGAGCGCTTCCACCAGCCACTTTGTTCTTTGGGCAATACCTAAGCATACTAGTAGAGCCATCGTCCAAGAGAGCTGTTGTAGGTAGCTAGGGTATATGAGCATGGCCGTAAAGAAAGCAGCGCTTTCTGTGCCTTCAATGAGTGCTGGTCGCATCGCGACGCTGGTCAACTCTTTTATTCTGCTCATATTGTCGCCCTTACCGCTACCTTTGCGCTTCTCCAAAATGGCGCCTATGTAGAACAAGACAAAGTTGTTGACATGGAATGAGGCTTCCAGGATAGCCACTGACAGCCAGATGCTCTTCGCACTGCGGTCCTCGTTATGCGCTAGAGCGCAGCAGATAGGAATGGCTGAATAGACGATGAAATCGCCTAAAAGGTCGAAGAAGCCACCAAGATCTGAAGACTGGTTGCGTTTTCGGGCGACAGCTCCATCGAGACAATCCAGTGTTCTGTTCAGTGCCCAAAACGTGGTACTCATCAGATTGTTGTTGGAAGCGGCGTAGAGGCAGGAAAGAGCTCCAGAGACAAAGGCCAGAATCGTGATACCGAGCGGCGAAAGAGCGCGAGGGACAAGGGGCGTAACGGAATCGAATAGTGTGTCCTTGATCGGTCGAAGCTGTATGTCTAGCATGGCTGCGATATGTGCCAATTCGAAGTAGAATGATAATGATTGTTCATGCGAAAAATCAGAGCCCCGTCGGAACTATTCCGTTTCAAGTTCCGATGACGTCAAGAGTGAATGTCCAGCGAACGCTTACCGAAGGCAATCACCAGAAGATTTACAAACACGATGGAGCTCTTCATTGTTCGAAACTACCACAAGCCATGGCCTCAATGTATCGAACCGCCCTAGGAACTCTGTTCTTGTCTGCTGTCGCTTTCCCAGCCGTGTACCAGCCTCTCCTCACGCCTTTGTGGCAATGGCTGATACAGAACCCACTGTACCGTCTTTCGACCTTCGAGACAATTTGGACCGTCTTTCTATATGCAGTGATCGAAGTTTCGATGACAGTCGTCTTCATGCGAAACCCGCGATGGAGGTTTGCAGTGCAGGCGAAGAAACACCAGGGAGATGCGGTGAAGAAACCACACGGCATGCGACGACCTTCCCGGCGATGGGGCGAGGCTGTTACATACATGACGCCGCTACTACTTATGGACCTGACCATGATCAAGAAATTCGCTGACGTGCCGCTCACGGCGATGCTTGAGTCGGGCAACTATCACGCTGCAGCCGCTGCAATCGCTGCGAACAACTCCACGTCAACGTATAGCAGTACCTTTCTTGTGCCGACACTGCACAACATGACGATGTCTTCGCCGCTGCAAACACAACGAGCTCTACCAGAGCTCCCTCCTTCGAGTCGACGAGCCGCCCTCGAGCTTGCCGCGAGCTTCTTCCTCTACGATGCCCTCTTCTTCCTCTTCCACTTCTCGCTCCACGTTATACCCGTAGTCAAGCAGTGGCACGCTCCGCATCATCGACACGCCGAGATACACCCCCAAATCACGAACCAGCTGCACATCTTCGAGCGTCTGGGCTTGGTGCTGCTGGCCAACTTCAGCTTAAATATAATCAAGAGCCATGTCTTCACACGGACGTTATTTGTGCCTATATTCGTCTGGCTGCTAGTCGAGCTGCATTCGGGACTCGACCTACCATGGGGGTACGAGAAGATACTACCCAACGGTTGGGGTGGTGGTGCGCGGAAGCACAGTCTTCATCATGCACGAGGCGGTGGGGGCTACGAGCCATACTTTACTTGGTGGGATATTCTTCTGGACCGAGTGGGACATAGTCCAAAAGAACATGTCGAATGATTGCGCACGAACCCTGCCAGATCTTTTCGCACCGCATACCACGTACAGCCGAAGTGGACGGACTCATATTGCTTCTGCACAGCCAGCGAGTCGCACCAGGCGCACACGAATAGCACGGGCCCAGCTTTGCTACACAACTTTACGATCTCAATGGTTTAGAGTGTGGCAATTGGCGTATTGTGCCTCCGCGGAAGCGGGAAATTTCCAGGGCCGCTAAACATCAGGCGCCAGCCCCTATTGAACGCCACAACCGTCAAAGAACTGGATTCATGATAGCTTGTACAACTTCGCGAAAGTCTTATATTTAAAAGGCTTTCTCAATAGGTCAATGGTAGGCATCGCTCTTCGTCGTTCATTTTACCCACAAAGTCACTCGTTTTGATCTGCGTGCTTCATCAGTAACTACATTCGTTCAAACTTGCATACCCTCGAATTTACCACCATGGCCTCAAAATTCATTCTCGCCTCCTTCATCAGTCTAGTTGCTGCGCAAAAAGGCTCAACAACAACTGTCTCTATTCCTTGGGTTGGCATGGACTATGAAAATCTATCAGTCTTCACCGACATGTTCGCCTCCGTTGTTACGGCGAACCCCACCGCTACCACTCTTGCGCTCGCCTGCGCTCCTTCTATGGACTGTGGTCTCTTCCCTGCCGAGACACTCGTCTTCGGTCCTTCAACTTACAACCTCTACATGGGAGACCCAAGCCCAGAGTCCGACTTTACCGCTACTATGGACTGTGTGGTTGCTAAGAGCGCGGTGTGCAAGGAATCCGCTGGTGGTACCGAGGCCAACTTTCCTGGCAGCAGCACAACGACGTATGATGCGGAGGAGGTGGCTACATATGGCATAGTGATTACGGCCGGTGCGGACAAATTTAACGTACAGGCGGAAACTACTACCACCGAGGCTGCAGCGTCCTCTGCTACGACGAAGACCGTGCACAGCATGTCTGGATCTATGGCGCAATCTAGCGCAAGCACTGGCGTTGCAGTGGGCTCTGGAAGTGTGAGCCCAACTGGAAGCGCAGCTGTTGTGGAGTCTACTGGTGCTGCGAATGCTAATGCTGTTGTTGGTGGTGGGCTCCTGAGCGTTGCTGCTGGTGTAATCGGTGGATTGCTGTTGTAAAACTTATATTTGGTTTGCTCAAGACGACGCTGGAGGGAAGCTTCCAGTGAAGGTGTATGCATCAAGAGGCAATTAAGATGAAACGCTCTCTTTCATCAGAACATCTTGACTGTGTTTAACGAATTTGATATGATCTCAGATTACAGTTTGAGCTCTCGCAGCGAATCTTCAAACTTGATCTTTGTTTCTTTTGTATTGGCCTCAGGTTCAGTGCGCCCCCAACCTATGAGATACTGCGGATAGTGGACGAATGAATCCACAACTACCAATTCTACAAGAGGCCGACTGCTTCATGTACCCACAGCGCGACCAAAGCATTCTGCCCTGATTTCCGAGACAATGTTACTCCGTGCCCGAACGCGAAACATGAAGGGATACTCCAATCGGGCAGCTGGACGACTGGCTCACACTCTTTAGCTGAAACATCGTAATACATCCTTTTGAATCCATGGTGTACGTCGTGAGGAGGATGGGTAAAACGTTTTGGGAGCGTTGTCCGATAGGCACCAGGTTCACGTTGTCCACTATCTTTGACTCAATCTATCACTTTTGCTCGGTCCGGGACAGCACCAGTCTTTACAGCATTTTAAAAGATCTGCTCCGAACATTTCAGGCCGCTCGTAGTATCCGTCATCGAAGGATGGAAGACAGTGTCCATAAAGCTGGCCTCACTTACTGGAGACCATGCCCACAGATTCATAGACGTCGAAGCTTGTATCTTTGGCATTGACATGTCCCTACCTGGCCTGGAGAAGCATGCTCTTATATTTCGTCTAGATCATATACGTCTCTTGGGGTCTCTTTGTCCTCACCATCAATAAACCATACAGCTCTTTCGACGATCACTACTTCCGATTGGCTTCATCATCTGGATTTCGATATACAGACACTCACTATTCGATGTCATATGCCCTAAACAGATTTAACGAATTTTGCAAAAGACCTCACACGCCTATACGTCTCTTCTAGCTGCTTCTCGAAGCATCGGGGTAGTTCGTCTCAAGAGTGGAGTGAAGGATGACCCCATCGAATGTGAGTGAACCACTGGACTTCTGGACGATCTAGAGTTTGAAGCACTAAGCTACGTTTAGAGCGTGACTATAAAGTGTTACGAAGTTCACGTCAACAAAGAGCCTTTTCTCCTCGCGCACAATCTCTCGGATCGGCAACGCAGTTTCCAATGAGCAAGACAGGCTGGTGAACAAGTTCCAAAACCACTTGCATACAAAAAGTACAAATCAAGAGCTATATACCATCTTGCGCCACGAATGGTGGCAGCGCGTGTGGGTCATCCGGGAAGCAGTTGTTAGCAAGAACCTTATTGTGCAGAGGGTTGCGTACAGCACTATGTGGCAAGAACTCAGCCGGTTCATTTTTTCATCGGCTATCATGTATTACCCACAAGCGAGCGCTTTTGCTTCCGCCGTGCGAGTGCTACACGCCAGTCTGCTACGCTTCGCTCGGATAAGATATACAATCTGATGAATTTGCTACAGACTGAACAACATTCACTGCTGGAGCCTGACTACAGTAGGGCTCCCGAGACAGTCTTCATACATTTCACTGTCTCTTGTTTGCGTCACTACGGGAACCTAAGAGTACTCAGACTCGCAGCTGGAGGCGAGCTTCCCGATGCAAGTTGGTGTCGTGGCTACAGCCTGAATATAAGCGGAGTGGAAGAGAGCCTGCCACTCCACGGATTGCCCAGAAGACGACGACCCCGCAGTGCCCCAGGAAATTCTTCCCTGGGATATGATGTGAGCTTTGAATACGGTATCTTATCTGTTTTGAGTATGGCTATGAAGGAGATCATACAGTTTGCCGGGGTCTATTTACCTGGAGATACGCTACATACCGTAAATTGGTCGATTTTGTTGGCGGAGGGAGTCCGGAATAGAAAGGAGCTTTCAGTCACACTATTGTCGCAGACTGTCTGATCAGGCCCGGAAATCAGGATACTCCACCGGCTGAAGCCGCATGGATTGAGCAACACCGTAAATCTGTGGACCGAGCATGCATAAATCGGCAGCTATTTACCACACGCTTAGGAAAATTCGGCACTGGGCCACGAAAGCTCAAGCGCAGTGAAAACGTAGCCATATTTCTGGGCGGCAATACACCGCTTGTTTTGCGAAGACACTCTCCAGGAAAGAAGCGTGGGTGTATCAGCGAGTTGTGTGTTCCGGGAGATGCTTACAAACTTATTGGTGAAGCTCATGTCGATGGCATGATGTACTACGAAGGAAACGCGGAGGAACGCATCAAGAATGGGGAGGTGAAGCTGCTACCCTTTCGTATGTCGTGATCCCAGAGCCGAATATATACACTAAACAATGTCATCGTGCCGAAAGACGATATGTTGACGTCCAGGTTTGAAGAGAGACAGGAGAAGCAGCAGGCGCCACACACACTAGGCCCAAAGCTACCTAGGTATCATCGCGCCCCTCCCCACGTGATTACGACAAGCAGGAACCTACTTCACCCCAACATGACATCCCGTCTGCAAACCACAACATGATTTTCTTCACGATACGTCTCGTTTGTACGAGGAAGAACGTAGTTACATGATCTAGCAGGCCCACGTGGCGAAGCGCAACCACAAAACTGCTAGTCCGGAAGCCCAAGACGACCGAGAGCCTAGTTCAACAAGTAACACATAGGTCTCACACGAATAGCTCGAAAGTCACAACTGAAGTGCGGAAATCGTATGAACCTGTCTTAAGCCTCAAGATGTTGAACGTCCCTTCATTGTATCGGAGACCAACCACGCCCCCAAATTCCAACCCCACAATGTCCCCAACTCCAGCACCAAACTCCAACCCAAAGCAAGCTCCAAACCATACCATCATAACCCTCAAATCCGGCACCATAGCGCACACATGGACACCCGATACCCCACCCATCGCAACCATAGTCCTCCAGCATGGCTACGCTGAATACGCATCCCGGTACCTGCATTCGCACCATAACCTCATCACACACTTCCTCGCCGCCGGATACTCCGTCTATGCCATGGATATCTGGGGCCACGGTTCTTCCCCCGGTACCGTTCGCGCAGTAGCGCATGTGGGCAAGGCAGTGAACGATCACCTTGAACTACGCGACCACGCCGTGAAGCTGGGCAAACCGGTGATACTATTTGGACATTCACTCGGCGGCCTCATCACTGCCGGGAGTGTGACACAGAATGCAAATCATATCAAGGGTGTGATTCTCACCGGTCCCGCATTTCCGGGTCCTTTTCCCTATGCAGCCAGAGTAGCAGTAGGCGTAGCAGCGCGCACGATGCCAACGGTTTCTATACCGGGTCGCCACGTCGATATCTCAGGTCTTACGCGATGTCGACCTGAGATTGAAAAATACTTCTCTGATCCGCTTTTCTCGAAAAAGACGATTTGTTTCTTGACTGCTGCTACGGCTGTGGATGTTACGGATGCTGTTATGGGGAGCTTGGAGCAGTGGACTGTACCGACGATGGTGTTGCATGGTGATGCGGATACGTATTGTGACTGGAGGGGTAGTGAGGGGTTTGTGGAGAGGATAAGGAGTGAGGATAAGGAGTTTGGTGTTTATCCAGGGGGAAGGCATGAGTTGTTGCATGATGAGTGCGGGGATGAAGTTTTGGAGAAGGTGTTGAGGTGGACGAAGGGACATATTTAGTGTGGAAGATAATGTTGGATGCTCGCTGTCTGTATATGATGGAATGTTCTCAGTATCCCGAATGCCGCCTGACGCAGTACCGTCTTGAGCCTAGTAATACAAGTATATGCGAACCAGATGAGAAGTTATACAAGATGCCGATATACGTGCCTGTTGCCTGTAATCATGGTGAACAGACGCCGTAATCATGTGGTGAGTCCGCTCCGGTGGGAAAGGAGACGAAATCATGTTACTACTGGGTGGATGTTGCGCTACGTGGCTGACTCTTGCGGAGTCCTTTCAGAAGATGACCTCTTGATATATCTAGACAGTGCTTCCACTGCTAAACACCTTTCCAAAAGCATCTCCCTCCTCCATACTCAGCCCCTCATCTAGGATGTCATGCGCCATATTGACGACCTCGTCCTCAATTCCCGCTTCTAGCACCAACCCCTCACTGAAAGCCAAGCGCGTGAGTGCAACGAGGTATGCATGCTGTCCACCCAGTGTGTTCACCAACTTGCTTTTGATATCAAAGTTTGCATTCGTCGTAGCGACGTGGTAAATCAGTTTCATTGTCGCATTAATAGAATCAACTTTCCGGTCTTGAGTCGGGGAGATGGGATGCCGATAGAGACTCGTGACACAGTGATCGAGGTACTTGATCAGTCGGCCTACACAGAGACGATTCTGGGCTAGACGGCCGGAACCGTATTCTAAAACGGAGAATTGCGTCAGTACTGAGATGACAAGCAGGCGGAGTTCCCAGAGATCTGCTTCGGAGACTGCTGTGGTCGTGCTGGGAGATGCCGCAGGGTCGGGGACGGGCTTGGGTATCTCGGTGAAGAGATTGGTGAGGCGGTTGATGAGGGCGTCTTCATTGTTTGCTTGGTTGTCTTGAGGGGAGTCTGCAGTCGTTATGGGGCCTACTGAGGTAGGACGTGCCGAAGTACCGAGTATGCGCAACATGAGCGTAATTTGCGCCTGTGGCTGCTCTTTGACCAGGAGCATAATGGCGAAAGTCGAGGGTATCGCCTGCCACAGGCGTACTATTGCGCTGGAGTCTACCGAAGACACGCAGCTGCTTGCGATGAGGTAAAGCAATTCAAGACAATCCTCAACATCAATGTGAGACGCAATCTCTCGCTGTTTCTGGGAGTAGAGGTCGGCAACAGCCTTCTCACCTCCTTTGGCTGCTTTCGAGATGGGGTCCGCTACGAGATCAACAAAAGCAATGATGAGCGGCACGACGCGCTCAGTAACCTTGACCGCAGTTTCGATCGGTTCACATGCCAGAATGAAGTGAAGCGCATCGAGTATCAACGAAATTGGAGCATAGTACTTCTCAGTCTGACACCGTTTCCATAGGTCAAGGAAGATATGACATATCTGGAGCGCTAGTTCGTGCACATTAGCCGTGTTTAGCTTTGCTAGTCCATCATATACGATCGAAGATAGCTTTTTAGATGGCTGAGACGGAAATGCATGGAGTGTGAGTGCTTCGAGTATGCGATCTGTGCCATTCGAGGATGGATGTGAGAGCAGGCGGTGTAGAAGGGTGAATCGTCGATCGTCACGTCGAAAGTGCTCGAGCAGTGCAGCGTCTAGCATAGGTCCTGTGACTGGTGCTGGCTCTTCTTCTCTTGGCCGACTTCGTGGTTCGCTCAGCTGTAGCGCAGGCAGTGGTATGGGGCTTTGGTCGATGGCCTGTCGTTTCCTCTTGCCGGCCTGCTTGGGTGTCGCTGTCTTCTGCCTTTCACGATGTTTCGATGGCGACGCCATAATGACATCGTCATCATCGAAGCCATCGCCCAAAGGGCCCTTTGTCTTCTGCCCCCTCTTGGGCGTGCCTGCTGGACTGATGACAGGGGGACCCGACTTTGGTCTTGATGGCATGATTTTTCCAGGCCGTCGCACCATGCCAGTCTCTCTTGCCTCATGCTGGTTGAACATGTTGTCTGTCTGCACCGACTCTTTCTCCCGCCGCAGCTTCTCCATCTCTGCACGCAGTTTGGCCAGCTCAGTGTTGTGCGACTGCTGCTGGTCGGCCAGCTGGCGCTCGTGTTTGCGACTTTCGGCATCGTAGCGTCTTCGAAGGGTATCAGCTTCGCCCGACTTTGTCTGTAGCTTCCCTTTCAGCTCATCGGCTTCCCTTCTCTCACGCGCCTTGTCTTGCTCTAACTGCGATGATTAGCGGGACCTCTAGCATGGGAAGAAGCGGGTATCGCACCTTCTTGATGCGTTGGAGCAGCGCGTTCGGATCGGCCTGCGATCTACGTGGCTGCTCTTCCACTTCCATGGAGCCATCATATGTCTGCTCGTCGCCGTTTTGGTCGTAGTTGTTGTTGTAAGCGTATTCGTAGTCCTGCTGAGGCTGTGTGTACTGAGGCGCCTGATGCGTTACCCATGGCGAAGCGCGCGGCGGACCAGACGCATCGTCGAGATTGACTACCTCGTCACCGTCTTCAAGGCCGTAGTCGGACTCTAGGTCGGGGCCGGGCTGGTGTTGTGTCGCCCTGATGGCGCTTGCCTCGAGGTGCTCGAGGGCGTTGGCAGGAAGGTCGTCGAGGTCATTGTCGGAGAAGTCGTCAAAGTCATCGTCAGCCATTGTCGGTCCATTTGCCAGTTGATGTCCGCGTGTGCATGTCCCAAAACGGTCGCAATGCGGGGCGCGACGCGTTGTTTAGTCTGGTGTTGGACCGGGAAATTCACATGCAGGGTGTCGCTAAGCGCAGCAGCGCCATGACGTCTGCCCGTTGTTACTTGTCCGCAATTTCGCAACCTGCCGCCCAGTCAGTCAGTCTTACTAGTAGCTTGCCGCCAACACTGCTACTCTTCACCCCACCCCGCCTTCCCTCACTCTATACACCTTTTACTCCCTCGCGCCTTCCCGTCGGTCCCCCTCCGGCTGCCCCTATACAGCCCTCCGATACCCGGCGCAACCGGCGTCTCCCTCCGCACACGATGGCGCGTCCGAGAAAGGACGTCAAGTTCAACCACCAGGTCCGCAGTGCCAGCAATGGAAGAGCCCGGAGACCCTCGCAGAGCATGTCCGAGTTCAGCGACCCGGGGAGTCCCACCATCAAGGAAGAGACGACCCCTCCAGTATGTTTGCATTTCTCTGCCTACATGTCCACCAACTGACCGCGCCAGTCCGCTGAACAACCCCCCCAAAGCGAGTACGAGAAGAAAAAGGCCAACTTCATAACGCGCACAGTATGGACTCTGGTCATGATTTCAGGTTTCTTCTGGGCCCTCGGTGCCGGCCACCTCTTCATAATCATCATCGTCACGGCGGTCCAGGTCATATCCTTTAAGGAGGTCATCGCAATCGCAAATGTCCCCAGCAAGGCCCGCAGCCTGCGCTTCACCAAGTCGCTGAACTGGTACTTCCTGGGAACCGCCATGTACTTTCTCTACGGCGAGAGTGTTATATACTACTTCAAGCATGTCCTGATGGTCGACCGTCTGCTACTTCCCCTGGCTACTCACCATAGGTTCATCTCTTTTATGCTGTACATTATCGGTATGTACTTGGTCCCTATAGTTAGGGGTTGAACTAATTTCTCCAGGCTTCGTTTTCTTCGTCGCCTCGCTACAAAAGGGCCACTACAAGTTCCAGTTCACCCAATTCGCCTGGACGCACATGGCTCTCTTCCTCATCGTCGGACAGGCACACTTTGTCATCAACAACATTTTTGAAGGATTCATTTGGTTCATTCTTCCCGTCTCCATGGTCATTACCAACGACATCTTTGCCTACCTTTGCGGTATCACCTTTGGAAGGACACCCCTCATCCAGATCTCGCCCAAGAAGACTTGGGAGGGCTTCCTCGGCGCCTGGTTCTTCACCGTCCTCTGGGGTATCCTTGTTACCCACTTTGCGGCGCAGTACAAGTACTTCATCTGCCCCGTCAACGACCTGGGTGCAAACATCTGGTCGGGCCTCGAGTGCCGACCAAACCCAGTCTTCATCGCGCGCGATTACTCAGTTCCCTTCCTTCCTGAGGGTCTCCCAGTTCCTCGCACCTTCAGCATCATGCCAGTACAATTCCACGTCATTATGCTCGGAACCTTTGCGTCTCTTATCGCACCTTTTGGTGGCTTCTTCGCTTCCGGTCTCAAGCGCACGTTCAAGATCAAGGACTTTGGTGACTCTATCCCCGGTCACGGCGGAATGACGGACCGCATGGACTGTCAGTTTATCATGGGCTCTATCGCTTTCTTTTACTACTCGAGTTTCATTGCCATTCATCACACCACAGTCGGTGGAGTGATTGAAGCAGCCGTTACCGGACTTACCTACGAGGAGCAAATGGATGTCGTGAAGATTTTGAGCAAGCACTTGGTGAATCAGGACGTAATATCACCAAAGGTATGTGATAACTTTCTTCCGATACGATCATGCACTGACTGCTACAGGTACTGGAACTTCTTTCAGAGCAAATTGTGAGGCGATGAGCAGATGGTTGTGAAGATTTCAACAATTTTGGTACAATAGGGATAGGAAGAAACGTTACGCTGGATGCTGTTTCGACATAATAGGATACGGGGAGGGGCATCGGCTATGCATGAGGCGGGATGGTATTTGGGCGTATATACCCTTTTGCGATTAGGCACGGGATTTGAAAAGCACTTGGCGAGTGCATGTGTGTATGTAATAATAAACTATGCTCCTACCCATATTTCCTGTGCGATGGTAGTGGCCCTACATGACGTAGAATTCGTGCATGCGCCGAACCGAGGCGCACGGATGCTGCATCTCACGCTCTGCGCATGGAGACTTTAGCATTGCACATCGTCAACGCCAATGCCACCACGCCCATTCGTCAACGACGGGCTATGGCGGTGCCTTTGTCCTAGCTTCCAGCCAAATGCGGTAGCAATACAATCCATCCCCAGAGGAGCGACTAGATTGCCACAGCGCAATGCAACCCGAAAAGATGCCACTGCCCACTGCGGCCGTCAATTGCGTACCTACAACAGCTCCAAGGCCCCCTTCGCCGCAAACGACTCCTTCTTCTCACAGCCCGGAACTTCTGCAATTGGCTTCCGGCCCTTTGGAGAGAAGCCACGCTCCTCGCGTGATCAACGTCCACGAGGTAAGGTTGCACTCTCGCAGCTGCCGACCTACATCCTTTACGAACATGCGCGCGATGAGGGCGCAAAAGGAAACTGGGAGGAAGTTATGAACATCTGCAGAGTTTTGCTCAAAGACCGGGGAGAGCAGCCAAACAAGGAAATGTACGCAGCGATACTGCATAGCTTCGTCGACTCAAAGAACGGCACGGCAGGAAAGGTGCGCAAAGTGCTCGAAGAAATGGGCTTTTGGAACAAAACGGATGAAGCCCTCCTCGGACGACCGAAAATCGAGCTGGACGCGTGGGGCTGTGAATGCGTGCTCGAAGTGCTTGCAGTCCATCCCGATTTCATTCTTCGCAACGAAATACTCGAATACATGAAGTCACGGTGGTTCATGCTATCGGATCGTGCACGGAATTTCGTCATAGCTGGAATGCTACGTGAGCGGCATTTCGAACAGGCACTGGAGTCGCTGGATGACATGGTCCGGAACAAAGCACGCGTCGAAGGCTGGCTGTTTGACAAGGCTATTTGGATGCTGCTGGAGTTTGGGGAAGTTGAGGAAGCTTTTTACGTGCTACGTCTCAAGGAAAGTGCAAAAAGTAAGAGTAATGGGACAGGTGCTGTGGAGCTCAGTAATGCTCTATGGGGAGCATTACTGGATGCCGCAGCGCATAAGCAGCTTGTAAGTGGGACACCTGTCATATGTTTTTCTCCAAGACACGGTACTAATACTGCAGAAGCTCGAGGAGACATTCCTCGTATGGACAACGCAAGTTCAGCCAGGCTACCTCAAACCAGGAACTGGGGCCTGTCTATCCGTACTTACTCTCGCCTCACGACACGGAGACATCCAGCTCGCTACCGATGTCTTTCGCATTTTGACGGAGCGAGGCACAACCTTCACCACGCACCACTACGAACTGCTTATATCCACATATCTCAACGCCAACAAGCTCCAAGAAGCTCTGTCCGTGATTCTCATCATGGTGGATGCCAACTTGAGGATCAACACTGGGACCTGCGATCCTCTCTACTGGCATTTGTCGGCAGAAAAACCAGACGAGGATAGTCGACCCATGCAAGCTTTCAGGCACTTGCAGGACTTTGAGACTGCGGGCCGCAAGGTACCCACCGCTGCCGTCAACGCTTGCATCCAAGCCAGCATCGCGTGCAAGCGGCTAGACGAAGCCATCGAGATTTATAAAGCTCTACATACCGTATCCCACGCTGGTCCTAGCACAAACACCTTCAATATCCTATTCCGAGGTTGCCATCTGGAAGGGCGAAAGGAGCTTGCTATGTTCTTTGCGAACGAGATGGTCAAGCTAGGTCTCAGACCCGACCGCATCACATATGATCGTCTGATCCTGGTCTGCCTTACAGCTGGTGACCTGGAAGACGCCATGTTATATTATGAAGAGATGACGTCTACAGGTGCGACAGCTGGTAGAAAGGGCCCTTTGAAGCCTAGAAGGAAGACTTGGGAGACTCTGATTCACAAGTGCGTCCAGAAAGGCGACGAGAGGGCAGTCGCACTATTGAAGGATTACAAAGATAGTGTGGAAGAACCGCGAAGGGCTGTGGAGAAGGCAGTAGTCGATCGCTTCGAGTATGGCATCATACGAAACGATGCGACGGATATCGGACGAGAACCGACCGAGAACACAGCATCCGGTGCTGTGGAAGATCAACATGTCAAGTCAACGTCGGGAAATAGTATAACCCCAGATGCTGGCGCTGACACGGAACTGTCGGAGAAACGAAGTGGGGAAAGTTCTTAAGAAAGAAGTTCGAGTGCGAATACGGAGACGGAGATGCATAGAGCCGATGATCCTGACGGGCTTGCACAGCTTATGAAGGCTAGTAAGTGCGCCGAACGGTACTAGAATCGGAACCATCCCGCGAGGCTATCAGATAGTGGCATCCGATGCGCTCTGGCCAAGAATAATGAGCTATACTATCATCTCGCTCAGAGTCTTATCTCGACGCATGCGCAGGTACATCACATCAACTCACCAGAGGTTTCTCATCAACTTTTAGCCGACCCCACGGTGTGGAGCAATCAGGCAGATTCCCTGATTACACTTGTCGTTTCATCATCAAATCTGGGCCGCGTGCTACCCACATTGAGCAATTTGCACCTCTCGCGCGAGCTGCCATCTTCCGATGTTACGGAGCGCGCACGGCGATGGTGGGGATAGAACAGCTACCGAGGCTGGTGCCTTGACCAATCACAACCTACGCGAATCAAGGTTTTTAAGCTAACTAGTGCCTTCTTGGAAAAGCTTAACTCCTACCAAATCCTGCCGCAGAGCCTCTCGTACAATCTGGCCCACATCAAGCCTCAACCGTCATGATAGCGCTGCGACATGGCGAAGGATTTTACTCCTCAGCCGCTGGTCTCGAGGCGAGCGACGCCGAACTATAGCCGCGGACGCGCCCTGTTTTCTTGGTCAAATGCGAGTCAATTCCCGCAAGCTCGGACTCCACACCGGTCAACACCTGACGCCGTTTGTGGAGGTTTGCTGGGTTGCGGTGTATGGGGTCAGTGCTAGAATGAAGTATCTGGCGCGCTGCTACACTGTATCTCCGGTGGTTAACCCCAAGGTGGAGATGTTCAGTGCTCAATACTGCACTGACTGGAGTGTCTCCATGATAGTGCCCACATTGCAGGATATTGTGGGGAGGGGACTGGAGTACAAGTACTGAGCTGCTGTCCTGCCCGTCTCTTTCTGTAGTCGCTCTTCTCCCCTTCCTCCGTCTCATTTCCCTCTGTCAATCTTCACCATGGGACTCAGCGGCAAAACCCTCCAGACGGCGCAGCTGTTGCTCGTCGTCCTGCCAGCCTTTGTGCTGTTCGGATACAACCAGTCTGGTGTTGGTGGTCTTCTGTCACTCCGTGACTGGAATGATCACTTCCCGGAGATCAACACCATCGATACTCACGGTGCGGAAAAGAGTAGCAACTCAACCAAGCAGGGTGCCGTTGTCGCTAGTTTCACCATCGGTGCTCTCTTCGGTGCTCTATCTTGCTCATGGGTCGGCGACATCCTCGGACGACGAAAGCTCATCTTCGGTGCCGCCTTTCTGACTCTGGTCGGCGAGATCCTGCAATGCACTAGCTTCCAGCTTGCGCAATTCGTTGTCGGTCGTCTCATCCTGGGATGGGGGGTTGGAGCTCTCAGTGCTACCGTCCCTGTTTGGCAATCCGAGTGCTCATCGTCTGCCAACCGTGGTAAGCACGTTGTGCTTGATGGCTGCTTCATCTCTCTCGGTTACCTGCTCGAAGCATGGATCAACCTCGGTTTCTTCGAACAGGACAACCTGCCTCTACAATGGCGCATTCCCCTCGCCATACCCACTGTCATCTCGATCATTCCCATGCTCGCCGTGTTCAGCATCCCCGAATCACCTCGCTGGCTGGTCGCCAAGGGACGCGTTGAAGAGGCTCGCGTCAGTCTGTCGAGTTTCAAGGGCTTGGAGTTGCACGATCCCGAGATTACGACTGAGATCAGCGGCATCGAGCTCGCCCTCGAAGAAACCGGCCGCAGCGCAGCGAAGATGAGCGATATCTTTACTATGGGCAAGGACAAGCTGTTCTACCGCTTCTCGCTGTGTATCTTCCTCCAGTTCCTGCAGCAGATGTGCGGTAGCAACCTCATCTCCACCTACTCGACTGTAAGTTTTACTTTTCCCTGAGCTTCGGAGAGCAAACCCTAATTATACCCAACAGATTATTTTCCAACAAGGTCTCGGTCTCGACTCCGAAACCTCGCGTATCCTCTCCGGCGGTGCCTTGACCTGGAAGTTCCTCTCCTGCTTCGTCGCCTTCTTCACCATCGACCGCTTCGGTCGCCGCAAGCTTTTCATGTTCAGCGGAGCAGGCATGGCATCCTGCATGTTGGCCCTAGCCGTAGCATCCAGCTTCCCCACGTCGAACAAGTCCGCACAGATTGCCAGCGCCCTCTTCGTGTTCCTGTTCAACTTCTTCATCCCGATTGGTTTCCTGGGTGCCAACTTCTTGTACTGCACGGAAGTTGCGCCGACGAGGCTTCGTGTGCCTATGGCGGGTATTTCCACTGCTGTAAGTTCAACTTACCTCGCATTTTCCTGTAAACGAAAAGTTACTAATAAGTTTGAATAGAACCACTGGCTCTGGAACTTCGTCGTCAACATGGTAACACCCGTCGCCATCGAAACAATCGGCTGGCAATACTACCTCGTCTTCCTCATCATCTCCGCTATCATCCTGCCCATTGTTTACTTCGGATACCCCGAGACCATGGGTCGCAGTTTGGAGGAGCTGGAGATGATGTTCACAGAGGGCAAGAGTATTCGCCATATCGTCAAGATGAGCCGTGAGCCTTTTACTAGCGGGCTTATGACTGACCATGTGCTTGAGAAGGTTGGCAAGGATGAGGAGGAGTATGCGAACTAAGCACTGCGTACGTCGAAGAAGAGCAAAAGCATACTGCTGTATAAATGGAGTGTGTAGGTCATCCCGAATAAAGGCGATGCTATGAATATATGAAATGACTCTATGAATGAGCTTGAGCTTTACTTGTTTAACGATTCTGCTGCTTCCGTGAAGAAGGTGTATCGAGGATGTGGTCGCCAAATACTCGCGAGGTTACAAAGCAGGCATCACAACCGGCCCAAAGGACGAGATAGGCGTGGAAATGGATTCTCATGCTGTCGAGGCTTTGTTCTGGCATGTTATGATTAGAACTTCCCCTGTTCGAAAGCATCCCATCGTCTTTCGGAATCATTTTGAGTCGCAAAAGCTATGAGCGACCTGTTGTCGCTAGCTTTCGTTCCAACGAAGAAAAATGCGCGCCATAAGACTGGTGGTATCGCAATACCTCCGAGATCGACCATGCAGTTTGGAGCTAATCTTAGACATCGTCGTGGCCTACAGTGGTGGCCTGACGTCTCCCCAAGCTATAAGCATCGTAGTCAATATGCTACTTGAATCAAGCACTAAAGGCAGCAGAACTATGTTGTTCTTCTTCGTCTGACGTCATGGGATCTGCAAAGCAGGGTTGCAATGCTAGTCCGCACTCAGCCACCCCGCCTTCCCATCGCCACCGAGGCACTGCAATAGGTTGACCAGCACGACAATTTACCTGTTTGACAATGTCTCTAATATTGCGGCTGCATGCCCGGCTCTATTGAGTGGAATGAGAACCATGGTTGCCCATATCCGAGCCTTTGACTGTAAGCTAGCCACAGCTGGGGGCTATGCGTGTCACTTCTCGTATCCAGTGTCTAAGCCATGTGATGCGGGTTAGTTGGAGGCCCTGAAGCAGATCATAGGGATGAGTTGTTTTCGCGATAGCTTCGAGCTGGACCTTTAAAGATGCGTCGCGCTATGGTTTGAAGGTGTTGTTACAGCCTACGAGACACACATCAAGGTCATCAACCCCTTCACATAGACACATACCACACACAATCCTCAATCCATCACAATTCACAGCCATGAAGGACGGAAAATCTAAAGCAGACGACACGAGCACCGCGGCAACCAAGTCAGAAGAAACACTCCCAAGCTACAACAAGGAAGAAGAGGACGGCCCCCCAACATACACATCCGTCGCCCGCGCCTTAACCACCCTCTCAGAAGGCCCCCTCGACGAAACAATCCCTGTTCCCATGATCTCCCGTACAGTCGCCAACTCCATTCACAACTACAATCCCTTCTCCCGCAAACAAGGCGAAGTAAAACAATCCATCGTTATCCGGCAGATGAAGCGGTCACAGTACCTTGCGCACTACGTCAAAGACGCAGAGGGTAATTTTGTGGGTACGGGGGCGCCAGCACCGGATGCTGGGTTGGTTTTCGTGCCTGGGAAGAGTAGTAGTGAGGATTTGCTTAAACAGGCTAATGAGGTGGCATTGGGTGTGCAGAGGAGGAGGGGGAAGGGGATTGGGAAGTTCGGCATGCCGCAGGATGATAATAGTGACGCGATGATGGGGGCCCCGGCGATGGGTGGAGCATGAGGTTATGATACATGACTTGGATACGTTCGTAAATTGACTTTGCAGTCCTTTTATAAGGTTGACATTGCTCACATGCAATGAAAGACGTGTGAACTCTTCTTAAACAACCCCTCAAGAAGGAGGAATTGGTAGCCAGCGGTGTTTCAAGGACTGACAGCTAACCGTCATCCGACGTCTAATAATACCCTTTGTCGTCCCATGGACTCCTCCTCTTAGCCCACTCTTCAATCGGCGTAAGTTCCACACCCAACTCTTTCACAAGAGACTTCATATCAACGTTGAACGGCTCGTCTTCCGCCTCATTGTAATACGTATACGCCTTAAACATCTGACTGACAATCGTGTCTGTATCGAGACCCCGCCCCTGCATCGTCTTACCAATCTTGTCGCAAAAATCGGCAACAGTCTGGTTCTCGTATTCTAGCTGCTTGTCCCAGGCTTTCGACAACTTTCCAGTTAGCTGGGACAACACGACGGTCTCAGGACCGCCGATAGGGATGTCGCGGCCAGCGAACTCAGGGTGGTTCATCGCGGCCATCATGATCTGAGCGACGTCGTGGTGACAGATCCACGACACGCGAAGGTCGGGTTTGTGACAGTAGACAACGGTGTTGCGGTCGCGGATGGGAGGTAGAGCCCAGCCTTCGAGCAGGTTGTCGAGATAGACTACCGGCTCGATGCTGATTGTTGGTACAGACTCTCGCAATAACCTCCTTATCTCTCTTCGGTCTTCCTGGGCTACAATGCCTTGGGATTCTTTTGACACTGGCATACTCGTGTTGAACAGCATCAACGGAACTTTAGCGTTCTTCGCGGCTTCCCCAATGTGTTTGGCTGCGGTAATGATGGGTCCGGACTGGTTGAATGATGTAGACGGGAGGTTGAGAAAGACCCTGTCCGCCCCTTGGAGCACTTTTGCGATGGCCTCTCGGTCGGTAAAGTCTGCGGCAAAGGTTTCCACGGGCTTTTCGTTGATCACAACGGGTTTGGGGTTGCGGCTCACGGCGACGACGGAGTGACCTGCTCGGGCGAGGACATCGACTTGATGACGTCCTTGAACCCCTGATGCACCAAAGACAACTACGCGCATTGTAGCGGTACTACTTCTGATGACGTTTGGATTGTTGAGGTTTGGATGAATATCGGAGCTGGTATAGTTGCGACCCTGCTGTCGTAGGTTCTTTCAGCTACCATGTTTGGTTATGAATGCGGAGTTTCAAGGGTCGGGTAGCCGTTCGCGAGGCCGAGATGGAGCGCGGGAAACCTTACCCGCAACGGTCGCTTAGATGTCGGGATGCATGACGCCTGTTGGACCGTATCAGTGTTTTGAACACTGCCGGAATTGACTGGTTCAATCGTTGTTAGACAACCGTACCGATAATTCGCTTCATGGGGTTCATCGGAGGTCGGAGTGGGGGTCAAATTCGGAATCCCAGGGGATCAATCTCGCTCTCATCCACGTCAGTCACCCTGTCTGCTAGGAAGTCATGACCTTATCAGACGTCGATTCCGCCTACTATTTGAGTAAGTTAATTTCGATATCGAAATGGTATATGCTCCGGATGGCAGAATTTCGATATCCTGCCACCCTTGCGTGATGATCGATTGATCGACTCGATACAACGACGCGATCAGGACGTCAGTTGATAATATCGTGACGAGGACGGCGGATCCAAGCCCGGATGGGAGTATAAATGCAGAACATCGGGACTTTCTCATTGGTTCACGTATGTTCCAGAAATCTTCTTCGTCTTTGATGCAGGGAAGTCGCGGTGATAGATGTGTGCCAAAAGACACGGTGGACGCCTCAATACCAGTACCGTCAAATTCGATGGTAGCACCATATGACAACACGAAATGAACAACGGAATGTAGTACGCGAAGTGTAGACACAGAGATATAAAACATACAACATTCATATCGCGCATAGTCAGCGCTCGTAAAGCCGGAAATAAGCATAAGACAAGAGGAATTCCACATACTAGTGGAAATCAAGGAGACCAAGGCCTCTGAATATGTGTTGTAGTTGTGTAAAGGGGATGAAGTTCGATACGAATACCTTTGTTATTGCTTCTTGGTAGAGGCTAGGCCTACGCCATCAACATATCGCATAGCTCCCAACAAAGATGTATCTGGTTTAAATATTTGTAGAGCGATATACGGGAAGCAAGCGAACCAAGGTCCCAGTAGAGATCAGGGATAGAGCTAGACCGTAAGGGTCTCCATTATGCTTAGTAACGTGACGTACTTCAAGCGACGCTTTCCAAGTTCGGTAGAATGTCGAGAAGTCAACGTCTACCTTCTAACTGCTCTATTGCGATGTTGATGACAGCATGTGTCAGATCAACCGATGTGGCAGGGTTGGGAAGCTGTAGTCAACGTTGACTTCGGTGTTATGACCTTGGAAGTTCGGAAGACCCAAGCCCGGTAGGCGCGGGGATGGTCATTATGGCTTGTTATATCTACTCTGTGGATCGTTGGCACCAGGAGATGCGATGCAGTTAGGATACCTGGTCTACAGGCAGAAACCTCATATGTATCTCCATGGATCTGCAAACGATCGACTGGCGCCGCAAGGAGTCTAATCTTAGCCCCAGAATGATGAGCTTGCTGGAGGCAGTAAAACTGTGTGTTCTGATTGGACCGGAAGCTTATTACCGAACATATGCCTTTTGAGCTCTGTGACTGAGTGAAAATTGGTCGGCAATGTGACTACTTTGTGGGGCTCAGAGCTGACATGAGCAAAGGGTCAACGGAGGCAATCTGCAGCCGCGCGATTCGGCATTTTGGCTGTTATTAACAGCTATGACTCGTGGTTGGCGAGGGCTTTTCTCTCTTAGAGCTGATGATGCCTTGCTTCACATCTTCCTTGTTCGACACGCCCTGGCGCTAGCATGGTGTTTGACAAGTGGACGGAAGGCTTGACCGAGAGGATTCACCAAGCAGAATGACGTTGAGGTGGAGATGGACAGTACAACACCAAACCGGCCAAACGTACGCCGAGCTACGAGAGCTAAACTGCCGATATGACACGCTTGCATCCGCGGAGAGATATTCTCAAGACAGCGTCGGTATCTTTCTTCTGGGGATTGAGTTTGCGCCAATCTTAGTACGACGGATGCGCAAAAGCAACGAGCTCGCAAGCGCATCGGATTTGCAATTGGAATGTTGTCTTGTGAGTAGTGCTTGTGTTGAATTGTAGGATGCAGGACCTTCTCTTGTTTATCGCTTGCGACTGTGCAAGTCAGTTCCGAGGGATAAGTACGGGAGCAGCTGGTGCCGGGAGCGGCATAGTTGGCGACTATGGTAGCATTAGCGGCGGCACGTGGTTCAACGTCGAACACATCTCCAAGACGACTAGTGCAGAATGCTGAACCGTACCTGATGCGACTGATGCTGCTCTTGAACTGGTTGAGTACCTCTGAACAAATACACCGACGTCGTGCCGTTAGCTAGTCATCTCCGCTGTAACGCCAGCGTGCCGTTCCTACCGCCGCCCTCGACGCGACTGCCATCAACCCGTGGACAAGTCTTCCTAGCGACCGCAGCAATTTGAGAAGTACCTTCCTTGCGAAATGCGCATCTCTTCGCTGCACCCTGTACTGCGACTATGATCTTATTGGTCCCGGCAAACTCCGCCGCATAGCTATCCCAATTGGCATGTCGCGTCGATCCTGTACGGGCATGTTTTCCGCACCGTCATGGCCTTCGTTGACAGACTAAAGCACACAGTAGGCTCGCGTTCCGGTACCACGCGTTCGACCCAAGACCCTGGTCGAGACTGCCCCGCTCGGTATCATAACTTTGGAAGTGGGTATGATGTCCACGGTTGTAGCAGCCGCCAACCGTGGATGAACCGTGACTCTCTCTCCCTTCCCATGACAAATTTGCAACCCAAATCATCTCACAATCATCTCGTCCAGTTTCAGTGATCCTCGCCTGTCTAGAAAGGCGAATATTCATCGGTACGTTGTGTTATCTTGCTAAGTCTGCGAGAACGTGGTAGCGAACCACTCTGAATCTCAAAACTTCACAAGCACAAAATTTCTCAGCATGAGCTTAGTACTCATACCGTCTACTCAAAACCATCCCTATCTGCCGGACGGGCATCCTACTATGGTGCCAGGACAACTAGGATACCCGGTGTATCTTCCACATCAACCACAGCCGGGCCAAACACCAGAGCCCGCCGGTCACGATCCTTACGGGCTCACGTCGCATCTCAACGCTTCGATCCCACAACATGGAGGATACCAGTGCATGAAAGATTACACGCCTCCCATCCACCAGTCTTCGAACTCACAGGCGTTCGGTGCGAGCGCAGACATCAACGCAGACTTGACATCGACTGCAAACGCCTACCCGATCGCAGAGTGCAGCTCAACATTCACGCCTTCTAATCGATCCACAAATTCACTCACTCCACCGACTATCTCTCCTTCGCAAACACAGTTTGATGCCATCGATGCGCCCCATTTCTGCGAGGCTTCTGCTGTTGAAGGACGGCACGACAGTCTATACCCTAGGGAAGAAGCTGCTTCTCAAACGACATATACACCATCAATAAAACGGAGACCCAGATCTCAGTACGCTGAACCAGGCTCAGCGCGCGCCATATATTTGGAAAAGAATCGCAAAGCTGCTAGCAAATGTCGGACTAAACAGAAAATGGAGCAAGAAGTCCTGGTTGAGAAATCCAGGGAGACTGAGCGTAAAAACCGTCTGTTGAAAGCGGAACTGAGTCTGTTAGAGAACGAGCGGCGGCAGTGGTTAGAACTTGTCCAACAACATATGAGCTGTCCAGATCAACGGATAGCCATTTATCTGCAGCGACGAGCAGACAGATTGGGTTCAAGACCACCACCACCAGGCCCTTCATGGTAGGATTAGGAGGGCGAAGTCGCGTACTTGGAGCTCTTACTCGATGCGGAGCATGTTTCCTTTCTCCAAAAATAATATACGCCCTCGGCGTCAAGGCGGCCAAACATCGGAGCTCCACCATGCAGCTCCAAATTTCGTGCAGCATGATTCGCATTGCGGCTATAGAAACCTCTCAGGAACCTACGTCATACCCGCATGGGTGAAATTTAATTACTGTTGTCCACGAGTCGTGAAGGTACGCCGATTGTCCAGGTCAGCCCTCATCGCGCTCATTAGTCACAGAGCCGAGCACTTTTTGACAAAGGAGTAGAGACTGGGATCGCTAAAGAATATGGACTCCATTCGATACTTTTGTTTGAAGCTTGGGGGCTGGCAAGAGTGTAACTGCATTGTTTCTTTTGCAAGCGACTAGACGGCACGCTATGACGGAGCCTGTAGGACCCACCATCGTGTGTTTTGTACTCGGCCTGTAGATGAGCTGTCAAAAATTTCTTTCCTCACTACTCCAAGGTCAGTTGTTCCCACCGCTTGATGTGATTCGACTAGATGCACTTGCCATGGTGAAGTCGAAGGCTTGATAGGCTGTCGCCTGTCTGAGCAGTGCTTTGGATTCGACGACTGCATTGCAATGATCTACTTTTATTTAAGCGACAAGGCTTTTTCCACGTCTCATCCACTTCCAGAATGGTTGGCCAAAAGCGCCTGCAAAGTGAGTGACCTTTCGATCGGCGGTTCTCTCGGCCAGAGGCGCTCCAGTAACACGCTCATTCTCACTGCCAAATATCAAAGAAGTTGCTGACGATGCTTGTTCAACCTTGGGAAGGAACCCAACCACCAGTGCGTACCCCACTCTGAGCTTCCCGATTTTCCAGCATGTTCTCCTCATCTGCGCCAGTAGTTTCATCGGGGGAGATTTGGAGCTCCATAGGCGAGCCGCTTCGTAGTCTCTTCTGGTGCGCATCCGTGACCTGACTTGGATGGACCCAGTTGAACTCTACCATGACGAAGAACATGAGCATGGCATCGAAGACGTATAGGTATACCTCGTGACTGAGCAGGTATCCTGCATTCCCTCCAATGTACTCCACCACGCGGAAGATGCTTCGAACCATGATGAGAGCGCTGGCGATGTATAGATTGAACAGGTGGCGCTTCCAAGGCATCTCAGACAGAATGGACCGGGACACCGTGGATGAGGTGTGTACGACTGCGTGAGATTTCTGAGATTTGAACAGCGACGACAAGCTGTAGCGTTTCTTTAGAGGAAGATCTCTGACCAGGCGGTAGTGAAAAACTCCGGCTACGACGATGAAGAGACCGAAGAAGATCAGTTGGACAAAAAGACCGCCAATGATGATTTGCTCGCCAGTGTGCAAAGAGTCTAGAGTACCCATCGCTTGGATACCGCCGCCTACACCGGCCATTAGCTCTAGACACTACAACAGTATCGTGGTAGATATATACCTGAGCCTTGCAACATGAAGCTGAATACATCTCCTGCGACAAAAATCTTCGTGAGCCACTTTTTTCGCACTAATGAATACCGCTCTCCATCCACTAGCAGGATGATTCGACCCAGTATGATGTAGATGGAAGCCGCAAACAGTGCCGGAGCAAGTAGGATGAGCAGCGACTGCATGATGAATGGGCCGAGTGCCCAAACATCGTCGTGTGATAGGAAACGCCCAATGAAACCTATGACCTCAACTGTATCGTCGTGTCAGCGATACCTTGGTGAAAATAGGTTGTTATCCAGTCTTACATAGGCCGCCAACCACAAGTGGTGTGAAATACCATGTCCTCTTCTTGATGAGCTGGAATATGTGCGCAATTGTCGTGAGGCCGAATAGAACCACAAATATGATCGCTGCTACTTGTGAGGGGATGTATCGGTATAGAACGTATGCGGTCGGGTCGTCGAGTGCTGGCCGGCTTGCATTGTCGGACATGTTTGGTTGAAGTAAATGGAAAAGCGGCAAACAGTATGTCCTCGGAAGTATTGCTCGTGCATTTCAAAGTGGGCTGTCGAAACATCTTAAGAACAATTTCGCTCCGTGATCCTTCGCCCAAGCCAAAAATGCATCGATGTTGTACGGAATACGTTTCGCGAAATACGCCGCCAAGAGCTCCTTGCCGTGTTGGGATTTTTTGGCGGGTCCCGTATCGGCCGTATGGAATCTGCCGCACTAGCGGCATGAATGGGACTTAAATCGTGCAGTACCCCTTCCACCATCGCATTTTCGACTGCTACACCTCATTGGCATTGTCTTGGTTGCACAGCCTCTCGCAAGCTCTGCCTTTCTTTGCGCTTCACTTAGGATGTGCTGCGTAGAACCATTGCCAACACGTCCCATGACCATGGACACCACCCGGAGATAAGTCATCCTAGTACAATACACCCGCGCATGTCAGATCAATGGTGATAGGATACGACGAGCGCGGGATTCGCGGGGTCCGCGATATCGATAGTGGTACAGCTTGTCCCAACTCGGGTCCTCAAGATGCTACTGGGGTGGTCGTTGCACTCCAGGCTTGGGTATGGATGATTTGTTGCGGCCAATCAAGCCACTTGAGAAGGTCTGGTGTCGCTGCTAGCAACTGTTCAGAGGCAGAAAGAAGCCATTGAGGCCATTTCACTACCCACCACACCGGACGACATTGAGCCAGCAGTGCAGCGAAATGGGTTGTGATGATACAGGTCACCGGATTGTGACCTGCGAGAAGATCGAAGAACCGGTTGCTTAGCCTAGCAGGCCAAAGAAAGAGCAGAGAGTATTCGTCGCGATCAGACGATATGTGTCGAAAGCGCAGCCAAGTGGCGTGGAGTTCGTCGATGGCTGTGGCACAGGCCTCTTTATCCTGACTGTCCAGTAACAACTCTGTAAGCTCTTTGAGTCGCAAGATTTCTTGAGGTTTCTCCTCCCTTGCAAGCGTATCCAGTGCATACAGCGCTTCGGGGGACGCCATGTCCGTCATATGAGCGAACACCGAACTGTCCTTGATCCGATCCCAGTGTGGTAGTACCACAATCTTGATGCCTTGCAATAGCATGAAGCAGTGGTGAAGCGCGCTAATAGGGTCTTCGGGGCGTTCAAGCTGTGCTGAACCGAAGTTGTAAGTCAGGATCACCGAGGACAGCATGAACATCGGAATCGCCAGCTCAACGCTTGGCGTCTCTAGGTTCTTCCGATAAGTATCCAAGGCATGGCTGATGTGTGAGTCTGCCTGGAGCAAGAGGCCCTGTCTCTCGCTGGGCGGAAGCAAGGATGCTTTATGAACTGCTGAAAGAGCCAGGAAACCACGAAGGAGGAAAGGGTACTCGAAGCCCAACTCAATAAATTCGTTCTGGAAACCACGTTATGGTCAGCCGAACAATCCTCGCAAGAGAGCGCTAGAACTCACCTGCCAGACGACACTCCTGATTGCAGGGTTCGGATGCAACGACTTCGCGCACGACTTCGTCCAGTGATGCAGTAGACGCAGATCTGCGAGGGGCAGCTCAGAATTAGTCGGACTTGCTTCAGGACTTTCGGTAGGGTGTATTTCAATGAATGGTGAAGAGACGCTCGGACTATTTTGTGGAGATGTCGAGTAGCTGTCTGGTATTGATGGGAAATGGCAATGAATATCCAAACGAACACAGTTTCCACAGCGTGGGCGCGCTTCATTGCACTACGAGATGTGGTAAGTATATAGGCAGACATCACGACATGGAAAGTCTCATAGCTTCATGGTACCTGTCGCGCCCAGGATCTGAGCTTGAGGGACCATTTGCCGGGGTAGAGGCAGAAACCCGGATAATACACTATGATTGGCTGGAGAAGGCTGCAGCAGGATCGGGTGTTGACACGTACTTTGGTATGTCTCTGTTTGCATTGGAAGCATCCTTTTCGTGACTTGGTGTGAGTCTTGCGCTTTGCGACGCGCTGTTCAGTCATAGTGGCGAGGACGAGATGAGTGTATGAGTGCAATAGAAAGTTACGATGATTTGGAGCTGGGCTGCGGCGCAAGCTGATCAGTTATGTAAGCGACTAGCCGAGCCATTCGCGTGGGTGCGCTGCCCCGCGGGCCCCGTGGCCCCTTGCATTCTTCTCAACTTTCTGCGACGGAGCACAGAACGATCGCTGCTGTATGATTCTCCGAACAAACTCACGGTACTAAAGGAACACGTCGTAGCAAGAGGTGGACAACAATCTGCTTGTTGGGTATGGTTCAGAACTCCGAGAACGCCATGTAAACCCTTGGAACACAAAACCTAGCCCTTTCCTGCGCCTCTCGACGCCTTCCCAGATTCCGTCTCACAAAGTCGACGGTTTCCAGCCCATTCGCCAAGAATATAGCTCCGACCTTCCCAACTAAAGTCACATAGATCTCCTGTGTTCACAACTTTCCATCGCACCATTCCTCAGTTCCAGTTTCTAAACTCTGCCTGCGCGTCGGCATTGCGCCATCCGATATTTTCCTTACTCACTTCCTCGAGTGCGGTTGGCTTCCTCTTCGCTTGCGCGCCTGTGGGTGAGGGCTTCCTTGACCTTGGCTGGCTGGCGAAACGCTTGTCGAGAGCCGCCTGTTGCTTTGCGCGCATCTTCCGAGGTGTTAACGTTGCAAGATAGATTGAACGAACAGGATAGTTACCTCGACCTGCAGTTGTGCGCGCTCTTCTTCACTAAGTTGCGGCTCTGGAGGTTGCTGCGCCGCTTGCTGTTGAGACTGACCTTGACCCATGTTTGCGACGAAAGAACGATCAAAGATGACTTATTGGATAATTAGAACTTGTTTGAAACAAATATGTTGGGAGCGAACTCGAACCAAGTGCTCTATTGATATACATGTGGGTGTTGGCTGTCAGTATATCTTTGAGCTTAGGCCACTTGCGGCACGGTTGTCCTGTTAGGCAACGACGCTAATGGCACGGCCACATCTCAAGGCGCATTTATGTCAGGGGATGTACGACGTGCTATAAATATCTAGGTATATCCTCCTCCTTGGCTGTGCGACATATGGAATAGTTGCTATGATAGCTGCTAAACCGGTTAAAGGAGAAGGGTGGATGTATTCACTGAACTTACCTTGGTTTCTTTGTCTCCATCCTTGGTAAGAAGGACTACAGTATCTCTTGTGTCGTTTTTGTTGCCATGGTTGTCAGTGGCTCATCGTCTATAGCTCATCACAGTATCATCGGATGGTGAGTTCACTGGACAACCATGGTACCAGCCTGAGTCAAACGTGTACCGGTATGTAACACCACTTTCCCTTTGCATCCTCATGCCCGCTCATCACAACTATACTGATACCAAAGTCATTAAGAAATTACTTCTTCCATCATGCTCATCGGCGACAACCCGCACCGCTGTATCGGAAAAGGCTTTTGCGGCGGTGTTTGGTCTGCCGAAGAAGACACAGACACACGCGCCATCAAGCGCGAGGATGGAGGATCCGGACGATCGATTACCAACAATTACAAAATGCATCTCAGGATCATTCAGATCATGGACCAGTATCCCGCTTACATGCCCCTAGCAATACCACAATGTCATCTGCTCATCCAGCCGTGCGATTACTTCTGGTGGGACCAGCATCTCCCTCGCTTTTCCGCTGGCTTTGAAGAGTGCAGAGTAGAAAAGATCTAAGGGTTGTATTGGAAAATACCGTTACGTGCGCGTCGCACCTTATCTAGATCAGAACAACCTTCCCCTGTATCCAAGTAATAAGTGGTGCTCTCTTCTGGTAATCGCACAACATAGTTAAGTCCATGGTCTCGAAACACCCTGCAAATCTCGTGATAGCCGTTCTCTTGAGCAACCGTAAATACCTTCCGGACTTTCAAAGCACCTAGTGCAACAATACTAGGTCTCAAGAGCGACTTGACACATTCCAGGTGTCTGGCGGAAGTTGCTAATGACAATGGAGTATGTCCTGTGTTTGTCGATATAGAGAGATCAACCATGTCGCGAAGATAATTCACAGTCTGTAAGTGACCTTTTTGTGCTGCGATGGCAAGTGGTGTAAAACCGTTGTTATCTTGTCGATTCAGAAATGGATCTTTCTTGAGCAGAAGCTCTAGGATGTCCGGGTGCCCACTGAATGCCGCGTACCAAAGAGGACTGCGTCCATGCCAATCTACAACATCACACGGGTAACCACTAAGGTATTCGATGACCTTCTTCTGTCCTCGCATAGCCGCAAGACCAATGGCGTTACAACAGTGGATGTCCATCAAGGCCGTTGCATTCGGGTAATTATTGCCTTGGTTTCGGAAGAACTTGAGAATGTGGACGTGACCGAAGAAAGCAGCCCACATCATCGGCGATCGACGCAGAATTCCCAAACTGCCATTGTATCGGCTGTCCATGCAGATGGTGGTTTCGGCTTTGGAGTTTTTCTCGTGGACATCGATTTCCATCTTCCAGATAGTTCTACAAATCTCTAAATTTCCAGAGATGACTGCTATATCTAATGGGTATAGACCGTTCGAAGCTTCCACGTTTGGATTGACGTTGGCGCGAATAAGTTGTTGCACGCGGTTGTGATCTCCATCGCAGCAAGCAAGATACAAGCTTGTACGTCGGAGATTGTCGATGGTGTACATGTCGCTGGGTGGCCATTCCTTCAAGCTCTTCGCATCATACAGAACGTGAGACACGGACCTGCCAAGGCAATCAGGAATATTGCGTTGGCGGAGTCTTGAAGCGACCATAGGCGTGATAGCAAACGCACAGGGAATGAAAAGCTGTGAGGACTTCAGAGTAGTTGGCACTTGTATGGGCAGATGATTAAATAGGTCGTCGGCCGCTGCCAAAAAACTTTCTCTGTATAGCAAGAACGATTCGATGTTATCAGTTCGCAACTGAGGTCGTTCGTGGAGGAGCTTCATTTGCAACACATGAGAAAGACCAGGGTAGTCAGAAGTGTCCCACGAGGTAGCTTTCTGATGAGCAGTCTCCAATGCAGATTTATCTTCGGTCCACGTCGCTGATCTCGCGAAACGTTTGGTCGCTAGAGCAGCCTGAACGAGAGAAACACAAGGCCCAGTGGCTAGTTCGAGTGCACGTGACTCAAGACTATCAGCAAAAGAGCGCAGTTCGTGCACAAGAAACTGTACTCGCGGCATGCAATCCCTAGGGTCTGAGTATCGCGTGTCGTGCATGAATGGGGTAATCATTTCGCTCGCTACCACAACAAACTCTTCGATAGCCATGCTGATGACTTCAGCGATAGAGAGAAGTAAGATTCTACAGACTGTTAGCGGGGGAAAGACGGATGGAACCTGAGCTACGCACGCCTCTCGTGTCCTTACTGCTACTGCGTCTGCTTGAGAACATTCGGGACTTGGCCCATGGTACCGATCTTCAATATAATTCTGTTCCGGAGCTAACCGACGGAGTCCGGGCAGACAGTGTGGGGTAGGTGTGGTGGGTATCGAGAGGGGTCGTGTGTATGGGGTGGCCGATTGTGCCTCTGAACATACATGATGCTGGGATGCGCATCTGTCGCATCTGTCCGGCCATTTGCGGTTTGATGGGAGACACTGTGGGAATCAGCCAGGCCCTTGTGTGAATATGGTCACGAATGTCTTACTTTCTGTTTGTCTTTGCGGCATCTGTCACATTTCGGCAAGGACCGAGGCATTATGCCGTTGAGCCTTTGCCGCAAGAAAACTTTGAAGAACTACCATGAATCAATGGCTATTTCGTAGCATTTAAATGGGACCAAGTCTCCACTGTGGTTCAGATATATCGGTGTCAGTATGTATGTCTGAAGTCCCTCGATGTACATATGGGCCAATCAAGCCGTGTCGCATCACCGTCAGCCAATGGCGCATGTTGCGCGGATGCAGGAACCCTCCCCCCGGGGCAGCCGTACTTCGGCAGGCCGCGCCGCAGGGAGCAGCGATCGAAGGGAACATCTTCGTCCAATGGCGCATTATGGGCAGTGGGTACAACTCTCCAGACGTGCGACGCTAGATACAGCCTCGAACATTTATCTTCTGCAAAAAGTGAGCGTCCAATAGCGCACTTCGGAAGGAGAATGCATATCCGCGATGCGCGACGGGTTGCGTAGGGTCGAGAGCTTTTCCATTGTCTTGAGATGTGGTAACCAATAGCGCATTGGAGTCGCTGTCGCCGGAAAGGTTTGAACCTATGTCGCAAAGTCGCGGATATTTCAAGCTCGACGCATCGCCGAAAAAAAGCGTCTTCTGCTGTATTTGCAGATACAGTGGCCAGGCAGAAGATATGTGAGGATCGATGTATACTTAGTGTAAAGAGTTCTCCCCCGGAGGAAGAAGCCAGATAATCTCTGGCATACACTCCATAGCTCTTTTCGTCCAACTTCCCTACTACTGCCTTTTCCCAGTGTCGATATCGTCGATTAGTTTTGTTTCACTAGACTCGTGCGAAGGTTCCTCTCCGCAATGTTACAGTATTCGCGTACTGATGGAAGTAGTCATCGTACCCTCGCTGGCCCAACACAGCATCATGGATGTCTCTTCGCAATCCAGTTCAGCGGCTACCGAGTTGGGATTCAGTATAACCGGAACATACCTTGCAGCTATGACAGTCGTAATAGGGGTTCTTGCTCTTGCTCGTACTGTTCTGCGCCAGCGTCAACGCGCTGTTATGACTGATACCTACGAACTCGATGCTACGCCAGCATAAGCTGTAAGTTGGGCCTAGGAGCAATACTCATCTCAAGTTCACTAATTCTTTGGCATTCAAGTATCTCTGTCATCGACGTTGGCTTAGCACGGGAGAAATTGACATAGCAGAATAACTAGGAACGTTGGCTGGAGAGTGGTGGCGCGAGCTTGGATCGAAGGAGGGCACCCTAATAGCTCTTTCTTTTTGGATATGTGACCATGCAGCCTGTTTAGGTGAAGAGCTCTCGCGTACTAAGAGGCGCCCAATGAGACCAGGCTGGGGTGTGTCATGCTTGATGGCGCGGACAGACGGATCAGGCTGTGTCGGGTAGGTCGGCATATTGTTAGCTAGAAACGACCATTGTCATATGCGACACGAATTATGGGTTGGTAGCACGTTTTGCGTAGATAGGCCCATGTCAGCAGTGTGAAAATGTGTGGCTGTGAGGCGTGTGGCGAGCCAAAAAGTTGGTGTTGTTGCGGGGAGGCGTGAGGGTCTGGGCAGGAACCAGAAGCTTAGCGCTGGGTGCGTGCAGGGTGACGTACCCACCTTTCGGTCGCGCCTGCCCGCCTAGAGCCAGCATCCCTCGCGCCTCAACTGTCGCCATGTGCCAACACCGAATATTGCACCCATACACAAAAGACGATTGTCGGAATAATGGTGCGCATAAAAGGAAAATGGCACCGTGGACATTCGAACTGACCACCGTAGGCATCGCTACTACGGCAACTTGTAGCCGGTCCTCGCGCCAGACATGCTGAAGCCGGTCTCGATCTATGCTATGTGACAGACAACAGTAAATCCGCCCTGCGACTCGTAGCATTGTTCGCCGTCTGACATACTCCAGTAATTGCTACATCAGGCCCCAGCGGCACTTACCCGCAGCGCGCTTACCGCAACCCGCTCGACTCGCTCGTAAAGTTTCTCGACGCTAAACATGGCGACGACTGGGCCATATGGGAGTTTCGCGCAGAAGGGACAGGCTATCCAGATTCAGAGGTCTACAATCGCGTCTATCACTACCCTTTCCCCGACCATCACCCGCCGCCTTTCGCCCTTATACCAAACATCATGGCCAGCATGCGCAACTGGCTACACGAGAAGGAGGGGAGAGTCGTCGTGGTCCACTGTAAAGCCGGAAAGGGGCGATCAGGAACTGCTAGTTGCAGTTATCTGATCAGCGAAGAAGGCTGGCCGGTGCACAAGGCTCTGGACCGCTTCACTGAGCGGCGCATGCGCCCAAACATGGGCAAAGGCGTCAGTATTCCCAGCCAACTGCGTTGGATAGACTACGTCGATCGCTGGGCGAAACACGGCAAGATATATGTGGAACGACAGGTCGAAATTCTTGAAGTGCACTGCTGGGGCCTCAGAGATGGCGTCAAGATACAAGTCGAGGGCTTCGTCGAGGACGGCAAGCTTATTAAGAACTTTCATACCTTCACACGGGACGAGAGAGAAATTGTGCGAGGCGAAGTCAAGACTACCGGCATGGCACAGGCGGTGCAAGAAGTCATGTACAAGAACGGTTTCGGCCCATCAAAAACTAGCGAAGGTTCCAAGAACGGTTCCACTTCCTCTCTGGAACAACAGAACAACGTCGATGGTACCGCTTCCGAGCCGAGAGCATCGCGCGAGAGCCTACCCATGGGCACCGGCGATGTCGTCTTCCGTCCGTCCACGCGTGTGGTCCTTCCTACCAATGACATCAACATCGACGTCGAGCGCCGTAACAAAGCCGCCTTCGATCTGACCATGGTCACCGCTGTCGCGCACGTGTGGTTCAACACATACTTTGAAGGCAACGGTCCTGAGCAAAATGGCAATGTTGACCAATCTGGCATCTTTGAGATCGCATGGGAGGCCATGGACGGCATCAAAGGCTCTTCACGTAAAGGTACACAAGCTTTCGAGCGGATAGCGGTAGTCTGGCGCGCGCTTTCTAGCGACGAAGGTCGGCCTGGCGTTGTCATCACAGAACCAAAAGAGGGTGAGCCCGTTTCACAAGCGAAACCCGCAGATTGGAGGGGTACCAAGGGTGTGGAGCCGTCCGAAGACAAAGATCTAGGTGTTCGTACAGCAAGCCCACCCAATGCTGATTCAGATATCAGCCGGGCCAATAGTGTCCGAAGCGAGAACAAGAACAACACCAACATTGTCAACGCTCCGGGACGAAGGGATAGTGGCGAGAGCGACACCAAGGATGTCCGATCACATGGCCCGAACGGAGAAGAAGTTGTGACAGAGCCAAATGGTTCTCGAGCAAGTACAGAGGCTAGTGGGAGCGGACCGGCAGCGCCAGCCTCGCACCCCAAGCTATCAGATCGCCTAGATAACTCTAGTAATGCTGCTGGTGACTCGCGATCCATAGACCACCCTACTGGGTCACACAAGGGCGGGGGCCATATTAGTGGAGTTGCCGAGAGCCTAAAGTACCACATTTCGGGAGCAGCTTCCACCAACGATCTACCTGATGGAAAGCCTGAGAGCGAGATGAAGGATGCGAAGGAGCATGGGCTAGGACACATGACTTTTGGCAAGAAGAAGACAAGTTCATGAGTACCTATATCGCTGCAGCGACGGCAAAACTCGTGCATTGCGTCGATAACCTTGTACTCTGCTTTGGGGAATGCGGGGCGTTATTTGGAGAACTTGCATGACAGATCAGGAAGCTTGCGGTTGGCGTCTGGTCAGCGTATCACATGTGTGCACGAAGCGTGGTTGGCGCATACTGCATGGTGCCCTATGCATTGATGGAGTGTTGCGCAGCGCTTTTCTTTCGTAGTCAGACATTGTTTTGAGTCTGTATGAGTCTGTAAGGATGAGGTTGGCTTCGCTGTTCCTCAGATATACCAATTGCTTTCGGACTGCTAGAGAATGTTAGATGCTTCCGATCAAGAGCTTCCTAATCACAGAGGCACTAAATGTATATGCCTCTATACTACATATATTAGAGGGGGAGTGAGACGAGCACTCCACAGGTGCTCGCTAATGCACTCGGATGCTCAGCCGATACAGCTAGCGCATTCCTTCCACCGTCTGGCCACTTACCACGACACACGAACCACCATCACTGCAGGTCAGCATGGGACACAACATCAATTGTCGAGCCATTTCGATAAGACGCGTGTGCGTCGCGAGGACAGGGTGGTATTACGCCACCGGAAGCGCAAGGCAGGCCGATGTAGATGATAGCCGCAGCGTCGCCGAACTACTTGCAGGTATAAGAGCTATACGTAGTCGCAATGTATGGGTGTCGTGATTTTGATCTATGGTCTTGAGCACTAGAGGTGCGAGTCTATCTCGACGGCTTGATTGGAACCGGCGAAAGCGAGCGCTTCCACACAGGCACCTGCGAGGCTGAACTCTTCGTCAGACGAGGCTGAGCTACGCTTCGCCATAACATTGGCTACCTACTCACCGGTCGCAAAATCGCCATCTTCTCAGCCGGTCTATGCATCGTAACCTACTCGGGCCAATACATTGACGAAACGTTTCTCGCACAGGAAGGTCGGTTTCCAGGCAGCAGATTTAGGCGAACGTGTTCACCAGGTATGTGCGGCCTCACTCATGAAGACCCTGCATTGATATGGTGATTAATGGTCTAGTCGAATATACTCGTTCTCAACAAATTCAGCCTTGTTACGTTTCCCTAGGCAGCGCTCGTCATTTGCCAGATTAGCAGTCAGTCACTGCAGGGTAATTGAGAACGACATCACACAAGACTGTAGCCTGGTAGCGGTGTTGGGGGGGAAAGAGATCTGATTAGCAAGTATTGTGGGTCGATTATAGACGCAGAGTGAGGCTCTGCTTGTGGATAAAAGGTGTGAGACACAGGCTCTCCACTGTCTTCTTCTACCCTGAGACTGACTCAACTGTAATTGCTTTGTTTCATGTACATCTCAACTCTTACTTCCTAGTGTTACGAGTCCTTCAAAGTCCTCTCGTCAAGCGACACATTCAACAGTCGAGCGATAGTACAGAGACAGTCTCGCATCTTGGAAAGTCTGGAACCCATGAACGGACCGGATACTTCAAAAGCTTCCCACGACATTCCTCCCTTGCCTGAAAAAGCAAGCAAGAAGCTCTCCGATACCTCATTGTCTTCACCAGTCATTGTAGCGACACCATCGGTAAACTCCGAGTCGGACGATCTCTCTCTCCACGAGCGAAGGATGGAATCTTCACAGGAAACCATAGAGACCCAAATGGTTGACCAAAGCCAGACGACTGAAGAGAAGCAAACTCCTGTTCCTCCACCGGAGACTGAAGTGCCAAAAGTCGAGGTGATCATTGCAAAGAAGAAGACCGACAAGCAGGAGAAAAACGCATCGAAGAAGTCGAGGCGTAAGGCTGATGAGAGCTCTGCATCCGACACTAGTGACTCTGAGAGCGACAGCGAGTGGGATTACGATGGCGAGATTGAGAAGGCCAAGCGTAAGAAGAAACGGAAGTTGGCTGCGAAGCGAGCAGCAGAGAAGAAGAAACAGAAAGCAAAGGCGAAGAGCAAGAAGAGTAAGAGCAAGAAGCACAATCTCGTGAGCGAGGATGAGACTTCATCTGATTCTTCCGACTCAAGCTCCGACTCTGAGTCAGACGATGACGACAAGACGAGCCGACGCAAAGCTTTACGAGCGAAAGCTAGGAAGAGGAAGAATAAGAAGCTTGAGAGCTCTAGCGACGACAGCACCTCGGACACTTCAAGCTCCTCTAGCAGTGATTCGAGTTCGGAAGATGAGAAGTCGAAACGTGAGCGGGCGAAAGCGAAAGCGAAGGCAAAGCGCAAGGCCAAGAAGTCAAAGAAGGTCGAGAGCTCTGCATCATCGTCAGATTCTTCAATATCCGATGCCGAAACTCCTGTCCCGCCAACTCCGCCACCAGAACCTCCACTCCCGGGAGATGATCTAGACACCCAAGTGGTCAAAGTGAGTGGTATCCTCAGGAGTCTCAAGGCTCAGAAGGCTTCTCTCAACGCTGCCGCTACCGCTGCAGCCGTATCTACCACGAAGCTCGAGAAGCCCGTTAAGAAGAATGCATTTGAATTCAAGCGCGTTGATCAAGTCTTCGATATGAAGATCCATGACTGGAAACTCGTTGAAAGTAATTCCGACCAAAAGGACGAGTTTGACTGCGTGTTTACGGTGCGCAGGAGACTCAACTGGGAAGGCAAGTATCAAGAGACTCAACTGGATATCAAATCCAAGCTACTTCGCAACGCACTTCAAGAGGTGTTCAAAGACTGCAAGAGTATTAGTCTTGTAGAAGACATACCGCAGATTGATCCTCACACGCTTTTCCACTACTACAATGAGCTAAAGGTCTATATCAAGAAGACGCTGAAGCCAAAGCTGAAGAAGGCGAAGAAGTCCAAAGAGCAGAAGCGCCTAAAGCAGCAGATTGCACAATGCAAACTTCTCTTGAGCTACATTGATGAAGATTATACGGCAACACGGAAGGCTCTACGGCCTATGCTCAAAGCAGGCACAATCACATACGATCTTGTTTGGGCGTTGTTCAAACCGAACACGATCGCTTTCACGCCCACATACCATAACAAGGACGACCCACGCTGCTTCAAGGTAGACACGGCGTACGAGTACGAGAGCTGGATGACCGGAATCAAGTCATGGTACGTAGACGGCAAGTACCTGGAGTACGACGGAAAGTCTTTCGGCCTCGGAGATCACCAGATTACGATACAAGCCTTCAAAGGCCACAAGAAGATTACCAGCCTCTCGGCGTATCCGCTAGAGTACCACAAAGATCCCGAGGTGAGTAATGACTGGAGCATAGAGCGTACGTTGGCTGATCATTTTGCAGGGCGTCAAGAACAAACTCATTGAGCGAGGCAAGAAATTTGTCGCTCTCCAAGGCATGAATTACCGCCTACAGAAGGGCATCGCGTACATGAAGCACAAGAATAACATTATCCGCTTCATCATCAATGGCCGCGTCATGGTGGACCCGGCCATTTTCCGTCGCATCAATCCCAACTATCCGCTCTCGTACCTCAAGCAGGATGAGCTAGCACAGAACGAGGAGAATGATGAAGACGACGACGAGGATGAAGATTGCTGCTGTGGATCCGAGGAGGAGGGAGAAGAGAAGGAAGAGCAAGACAAAATGCGCATCGTCATGTGGAAAGACAAGAAGGGCAAGAAGCACCCCATCCGCGTGCCACAGAGTGTGGTTGACAAGGAGAGAGGTGACAGTCCTGATAAGCAAATCGAAACCGATGAAGATGGCAATGAAACTAAGCAGCAGGTCTTCACGGAAGAGGAGTTACTTATTGCGTCTCCAGTCGTGCTTGGTTTCGCCTTCTCGGAGAAACTTTGGCTCGAGTTTTCTCTGTCCGGCATCGATGAGATCAAGTGGAATGCTGAGGCCTTTGACAAACTTGTCTTACCCAGTCGCATCAAGCAGAATCTCAAAGGCCTAGTCTCCTCCCATTGCTTCAACGCCGCGAAGACGATCGACGACGTGATCCAAGGCAAGGGCAAAGGTCTCAACGTCGTCCTCCATGGACCACCTGGTGTGGGAAAGACCTTGACTGGTGAATCTATCGCCGAGTACCTGAAGTGTCCGCTCTATGCTGTCTCGGCCGGCGAACTAGGCACCAACAGCCGCTCACTCGAAACCGATCTCAATCGCATAATGGACATTACGCACTCCTGGGGCGCTATCCTCCTCCTCGACGAAGCAGATGTCTTCCTCGAAGCGCGTCAACCCCACGATATCCATCGTAATAGCCTTGTGTCCGTCTTTTTGCGTTTGACGGAGTACTACCAAGGCATCCTCTTTTTGACGACGAACCGTGTAGAGACGTTCGATGAAGCGTTCCAGAGTAGGATTCACATGGGTATCCGGTATGAGAATCTGCAAGCCAAGGCGAGGAAGAAGATCTGGGAACATCATATCGGCAAGGTGGAGCAGATGGGTCGAGAAGCTGAGACGGAAAAGACGAGGAAGAAGAAGAGCAAGAACAGTATGAAAGAGGGTGGGGAGGTGAAGGTGAAGGTAGAAAATATCGAGGAAGTGATGAAGCCGTTTACCGAGGCGGACTTTGATGAGTTGAGCAAGCGAAACATGAATGGACGACAGGTATGTATTTTATCCTTTTCAGCACGTACAGAAAGTGGAAAACAGACTGCTAACTTTGACTGCAGATCAAGAATACGGTCAAGACGTCACAGTCTATCGCTCTCGCCGAGAAGTCGGTCTTCAGCATGGAGCACATTAAGCGCGTGCTCGAGGTTGCTGAGGCGTTTGAAGACGACATGCGCGGGGGTAAAGGCTATCGCGATGCCATGAGGCAGTATACTTGAGGGACATGTCTTTGGTTCGTGGTTTGATTGGATCTTTGACAAGAGTACTGTAAGAAACTGAACACGCAATTCTCAGGATGTATGCAAGGATATGGGATACTGTTTCGACAAGTCTCAAGACCGAAGGGAGAGATGTTTCGACGCTCCGTGTGAGAGCAACGGCTTCTTGATTTTGCTTATACGTCTCCTCTCGAATATGATATGGCACATGCCGAAACTATTCTCTCAACATCTTCGCAATCTGCTCACGACCAAATCTGTCACCATGCTGTCAGGAGCAATTTTGGCCCGGTAGTGACTGCCGACGCTCCGGGAATAGCATAACCCCCGACGGGGGATATCCGACGCCAGCTACGCAATCTTCCGTTAGTAGAACAAGCCGCACACCGATGACTCGTCTGATATGCCAATCCATCTTCGTCTGATGCAGCATGCCGCACAAGGAATTTACGGCATTGTTCTTTGCCGGCCTCGTACGCGTTGATGCTTCGAAGCCGTTTGGAGATGGCGATGACGTACCGCATCTCAACAAATCTCTACATGACTTGGAGCTGTCATTCGCCATTGTATTTGCGTTTGAGATGATCTATTGCCTAAACTGACGCGCAACTGACAAAACTGACGTCGTAGCGGACGATAGGTTCTAGGCCTTGTCTCACGCCTGGTGCCAAGCAGTGGCTGGCATGAACTCCACATTGTCCCCACGCAACCTCGGTGTCCTTTATGGGGCGCGTCGCTCCAGCGCGGAAATACTTCAACCCTCACTTTTATTCCCGCCAACGTCGTGCCCACCGCAGCCGCTTGGATCCTGTCGTATTGCTGAGAATAATCAAGCACTCGGACCAAGCTCACGCGCAATCCCGATCGCCACCCGGCGCTGCACAAGAATGGATGACCAAGGGACGCAGCCCTCGACAAGTCCTGATCCATCTACGACCAGCGCAACGGGCACCCAAGGCGACGCGCCACCAAGGAAGAAGCAAAAGCGCAACAAACCCACCCTGAGCTGCGAGGAGTGTGTCGAGCGCAAGACCAAAGTGAGTTGCATTGCTCTGGCGCCAATGCAGCTGAAGACTGAACCAGAAGCCAGTGTGATCGCACTCGTCCTCATTGCTTGGCCTGCATCAAGCGACAATCAATATGCAGATATTCCGAAATCGCCAACTTGATCGCATCTTCTGTAGACAAGCAAGTTCTCATGGCATCATGGGTTGCGCTTCTGCTGACACCGTGTACAGGGTTGGCGCCGGTCGCACTGCGGGACGGTCCAGAAAAACCAGCGCGAGGCCTTCGTTGCAGCTTGGCAGCGACCCGCAGCCACATGGCAAGCCGCCCATTCAGGTAATAAAAATTCCTTGTTCCTGTCGTATCATGCAGAGTTCCTGCGAACCCATCTCGACCCACCTGTTCGGAGTGCCGGGCTATGGGCGTCTTTTCGCGGAGGTGGGACTTGTTGCTGACCCATCCATCAGGTTCACATTCAGGTGCCACCAACACCCATCAGAACACAATACCGGAGCGTCTCATTATCGTCATCGGGATCTTCACCATTCCTGTTATCCAACATACCATATTCCAATCATACGCCTGCACCTTTCTTTGGTCTAGGATCCGAACACCCTTTTGCTAACTACTGGACGAGTCGCGGCGGTCTTGCCGAGGTCGTTGGCGTGCTGCCAGCAAGAGAGCAGGCTGATATCCTGGTTGACAAGTATTTCGATGCTGTCGACCCTGTGTATCCTATGGTTCATCGTAGGAACTTCTATGCCGACTATGAACGCTTCTGGTCGCTGTCACAGGAAGAGAAGCATACGGCTGATCCTGTGCTAGTAGCTCTCCACTTTGTTGTATATGCCATGGGTACGCAGTTCATCCATACCACTGATAATCGCGAGCGGGCGCAGATTGCCGAGTTTTACATATCAGCTGCCCAGCAAGCATTGCGGATATCATCGTACCTCAGTCGAGCTTCGGTCAGGACACTTCAGGCCATGGTCCTGATAGGATATTTCTTAATGAATGACAACCATGCCTCTGACGCATGGGCGTTTGGTGGCGTTCTAGTACGGCAAGCATACGCCATGGGATTACATCGCGACCCTGATGTAATTGCGCCTCGGTGCTCAAAGAGCGATAAGCAACAACGGCGGAAGCTATGGCAAGCCATTTATTTCCAGGACACGTTTCTCACTGTTCTGCTCAAGCTCCCACCGACGAGTGTTTTCTCAGACATACAGCCAGAGTCGTTGAGCGATGATCTTGATGACTACATACCGAATGGGGCTTCGAGCAACGGCGCGACGGACCCCGTAATCAACCCCATGAGCATCAGCAACATTGCTTCGAACCATGATCTTTATCCTCCGTATGAGCTCTCGGATCGGAGATACATCCGCTCCATGTGGCACATGGCCAATCTCGTATCTCGTACTGTTTGTATACCACGGTCACTAGCAACGCCTTTGACTTCCTCAATCTCACACAAGGCTGAGCTTGTTAACGAATACTTTGCTCTCCACAAGAGTTTCCCAGCAGATCTCACAGCGTCTGATGATGCTACCATACGAACCATGGCAGAAACAAACCCACGCAGTCTGCGGCAGAACTTATTCTTTCGAAGCAACTTCTGGCACTGCGTCATGGCGATCCAGGCTGACGAAAACCCCGCCGAGGGTGTGCCCTGCGACGTCAAAGGTGCGCTGGACGCAGCTAGGATGGCATTGCAGTCTTTCTTTCACTTCTGGGAGTATCTTAGGATCGACGCTAGTGTGTGGTGGGTGTTCCAGCACCGTGCTTTTGAAGAAGCGGTAAGTTGTACTCGCCATGTAGCGTTGCTTGGTTATTGACATTGATCCTAGCTCCTCATGGCACGCATTCTAGGCCAACAAGCACAACCACTTTCACCTAGCCACAACGGCCTACCCCTCTCGGCGGATCCTTTACTCAAAGATGCAAAGGACGATGCGCGAAAGTGTCTCGATATCCTGGATCTGGTGGGCATCGCGCCGGAGATGCAGAAGACGAGGACCGAGGTGCTAAGGACTGCATTTTCGGACATACTATGGTAGTCAAATGTATATAGGTGTTAAATAGCTGTGGCAGCAGCGTCGAGCATATATATTTAGGTAATGTAATCAGGGATGACAACTTCATTTTCACGTTCTTCCTCCGTGAATAAGTCTGGTCCTTTCCCCTATCAGCCACGTGACGCTGAGTGGCAATTTGCTTCCTATAATATGCAACAGTGAGTGTTCTAGGTAAACAAGCCTTCACTCGTTGCTTATGATAACCCCTGATTAACGGACTCCCAAGACGAAGGGCTGCAGTCTCCGCCATATCTGCTGACTTGGCGAATATTCACCAGACCAACGTTTGCTAACCCATTTTCATATGCTGATGTACCCATGTTCATGTGCTGTTTCCTTAAGCAAGCTCTCAAGTACATGCCGATTGCCCTGTCTTGTAGCTATATTACTATGTTATGTAGAAATGGTCGAACTGGCTCTCCAGCTACGCCAGAATAAGTTCTTGGATGGCGGCCATCGCTTCTCCGACAGCGTACGTCAGAAATCTCTCTTCATAAAAAAAATTAAAATCAAAATCTTGCCTTCTCAACGCATTCTATAGATATTCTAGTGTTGTAATCAGGCTCGCCGAGGCCAAGAGATGCTGGACCGAATGGACAAATGCAGCAGAGCTTCATCGGTCAGAACCCATGGTATTGGTTGGCGATGTCGAACTCGCGATCGAAGCTACCGATATATTGAAAAAAACAGCTGCACGAATTACGACTGGAATTGACTACCATCGAAAGTGGCTCGACAAAGCGAGAAAGATGATGAAAGGGGAAGTAAGTGAGGACGAGGAGGAAGAGAGGAAGGTGAAATAGGGGACATAGTTATTGTTCGGGCCTATGCTGGCTGGTACTAGATGAGGAATTTCAGAATTGGAAACAAACTAGAGTTTGGCTCGAACATCGCTGAGTTGACAGCTAGTGGTCATTGACATCGCATAGATGAAAGGAGGGGCCAAATAACGTTAAACTGTATTGCTTAGGGGTATCTATTATGTAATTTATTAAGAGACCTTCGGCTAGAAGCGCTCGTGTACCTTTGCCGCCTTTCCTGTTGACTTGCTGTCAATAGTAGCGTCGCTGGCCGCACCGGGGCTACCTCTCCTTTCCAGGTCCGCTATGTGTTTACGGCTCTTTTCCGTTGTTTGTCGCTGCCCACGTTCATCCAGGACTGTAGATGTAACATAACCAGGCAATCCTGATTGTTGTTGCCATGATTCAGATGGTAGACTTCTGCCACTCAAGAACCTTTCCTCGTCGGAGTCGGCGCTCTCTCTTCGAGCTCTAGAAGTCGTGATTGTGGTCGACTTCTTGATCGTTTGTTTGAGGTTGCTGAGTTGTTGTCCCGACTGAATCGGTCCTGAATTCAACGATGGTTTACTCCATGGTAGGGCTGAGGCGGAGCGAGTGATCTCAAGAGCCTGCTTCATGAGCGGCCTCAGAGTCGCAATAGAGCCAGCTGTTATGCCCAATCCTACTTCTACCGTGCTCCAAATCGCAAAGTCTGTTGTTCGGTAGAGGAAGTCGCCTTTGTATCCCTTCATTGTGGTCGTGTAAGGAAGGCGGATGATCGTTGCTGTCGAGCCACTGTTGATCTTGGTCAGATATGCTAGTAAACAAGGGGCTGACAACTTACATTGCGGCAAGAGCAATAACTCCAGCGACCACGACTTTCATGCGTTTCTTCATGTGCAGATCCTTGACAATGAGAACAGGGAGCATCGCGAATACCCAGTCCGCAAACGCATTGAGTCCAGAGACGACAAACGTAAAGTTCATGACCAGGGTCGATGACAGGCAAGTTCCCTTGTGAGTGGGGTCCAGGTCCCACCAAAAGGAGACCGGTTTGCACTGGAAGATAACCACCGACGTGTATGCAACTCCAACGATTGCAGAGACGACCATGATCAATCGGATGATCCAGATATGCGTTGGGGAAACGGTGATCCGCAGCAAGAAAAACCCGACGGCGATCTTGAGCATACATGTCGATACTGTGTAGAATACCTCGCAGAAGAACCAGAAGTGAAGGGCCGTTTGCGCGCTTTCATCGGAGAGTTTTTCACGGCGTACGCCTGTGCCATGGACCGCGCCGCCAATTTGGGACGCCAGATATCCTGTGAAGCAGCATAGTGTGACGACCATGCAATAGTCGTCGATGCCGAAACCTTTGACCATGAAGATTCTACATGTTCGGTCAGTAACGTGGTGAGAAACCTGGATTCGGGAAGTAGATCATACCTGACATAGCACCGAAGTCCAACAGTGACCCATGCTAAGATCATGAATGTGATGGCTATAGCCAACACCGTACCACTTCGGTCCTCCATACTCGGCGGTGTGTCGGGAGAATCGTCAAAATAAGGTTATGTAGGCGAGGAGGAGGATTTATGAGTCTTGAAAGCCACGATTCGAACACGATCTTTTGCAGCATATTGTATTTTGAGACTCTGGCTTCCCCTCGTCGACGATCTCGCCTCACAGACGTCTCAACACTTTCTCCGAGCCGTGTCTGTCCTGGCATTGTGAACGCTAGAATACTGTTAGCAAGAAAACCGAAGCTCCTCTGGGTATCCTTGCGACGGTAGTCGACACAGGTTACTGTTCGAGCCAGGTTCTTTGTGGGGCAGAGCGACATGGCCAGGCGCTGGAAGATCGGCAACGTGCTTCGCTAAGCCTATGCCATGCGGATAAAGGGACTGTCAGGCCACGCTTGGCGCCATACACAAAGCCACTTCGCCGCTAAAAGAGAATCGGATATGTTCCTAGTGCTCAGCTAAATCCCCAGTCGGAGAAGTTTCTTTATACTTTTGTCAGGATAGTGCTTCTAATTCATGAGGCGTACAGCGGGCGCTTGAGTCGGGAGCTTTTAGCGAGTCAAACTGGGTTCGGGATCATGCACGCGTGGACGTCACCGCGTCGAGGTCAACTCTAATGGCGAGGAAGGAGCTCCGATGGGGCCCACTTTACCCAAAGGAGCGAAAGGAGAAATGACGATCATACTAGATGTCAAACTGCTTTTGGATCCAAAAGAGCAAAAGCCTTGCAAGATGTACAGGCAGATTCAAGTGCCGTGTTTGGGCGGGTCTACAGGGCACACGAACCGTTCCGTGTTCTGACAGCTTTGCTTAGCCTTGTCATTCAGAGGAGCAAAACATGCTGCGCAATTGCGCATTCTTATTTGTGCTCTCCTCCGAAGAGTGCTACTACATCCACGCCGTTAGAACTAGAGATGTGGGAGGCAAACTCTAGCAGTAGCTGGTACACCTTCCCCGAGCCGTGCCGAACCTCCGCCTCCACGCCACCCAAAGTCCTTCCAGTTCCCCGGTAGTGTTGGTGTGCTTAGAGGTGGCTTCCGACTCCGCGGCTGCTGATTTTGAATTGTAGGTTCTGGAAGTCAATGAGGCGCGCTGAACGATGTACAGCTGCCCATTGGCTGTCGACTCACGAGTGACGACGGTACTACAATAGAACAACAACAAAAGAAAAAAAAGAAGTCAAGAAGACCTTGCTCTGGTTTTTCTATATGCAACATAGCCTATTGACGACTCGCAAAATGTTGAGAGGGTGGGCTCCTTGGTCCCCTGTGAATGTCACCAGCGAATTGTTTCCAGCGTTCCTTGTCCAACTTGGGCAAAGGAAGGAGGCCGGATCCGTTCACAGCTTCCGCACTAACTGGATATCACCGAAGTGGGACCGTTTGTAGGGGTATGTAGCATCCCGACTCTCGAGGTGCTTAATGGCGGCTTGTGCCAGAAGCAATGATGAAGACTTTGCTTTCTTGCTCGTTTATTAGTCTACACCCACAACAAGTCGCAATTCAATCCTGTTGGTCAATCAAGGTATCGTGGCGCAACTGATGTTGTCGGCGCGGCGATCCCGTCAGTGTTCTCGAATGCGGAGAACTATGGGCGTCATTCAAGGTGCCCTAATTTGGCATGCGGAAATGCAAACGCCAAGGTCGTTGGAGCCTCCTTCGGCACTACTGCGGTGCAGGGCCGCTGCTTGGGGGTTTCACCATAGCTCAAGACCCACTTGACTATAGTCCCGATAGTGGATACTGACCCAATCTGCCTTCGACAGCCACCCTATCAGACTAGACTGTGCGACAATCTCTGCTAAGCAGAAGTTGACAGTTAACGTACCCCAACATCCTACCCGACATCCGAAACGTTACCTACTTTCAATTACTCGAGTACTGCTTAGACATCTTCCTGCGTTACAGCGAATGACGGATGTATCGTCATTTCGATACGTCTACCACGGAAAATACCAGACTTGCTTTGCCCCAAACACAAAGACAACCCCTTGAGCTGCAGCGAGCGAGGGGCGCTTTGACATGCATCTATCCTCCAGGTTCATATCCGATCAGTATCCGGACGCATCCGACCAATATAGTGATGGAAGAGCTGGCCAAGATATGCCCAGTCGTACATAGGGCAACAATAGGAGGTACACCGCTCAGAGTGTTCTAGGGATGATCTTCCTTAAGGAGCTTCAATCTTATCGACGACGGCACAGTAAGAGATATACGGCAATCGTTCGTCGTTCAGTCATTGTGGCAGGGCCCAACGAGGTTCGGAAACCGATGAACATGAAACCAACGCTTCCACCTCTGAGTCGCTGCACCGGGCTCTTCGTATCCGTCTCATCGCGAGTACTAATCCCGTGGATCACCTTGACAGTCGACCTAGTGAGGAAACATGATGGGGAGGCATGGTCCAGACCAAAGACGGCTGGCCTAACGAAAGACCAAACTGAACGAAGTTGTGTCACAAATTCGATAGCCTATGATCATGGCAAACAAGGCTGGCGAAGAGGTGCTTATTCAAAAGTAAAAAGATTGGATTAAACCCGTGCCGCTGCACACCAGAAGTATCGGACCGCTCTCCCTATAACCAGGTTAGTTTCCCCCGCACGCATTGCTTTTCTCGACGTTCGCAAGTAGTGCTTTCAACTACGCGCTCAGCGGCGTACTACCGGTGGTCTTGTAGTCGCGAAAAGCATGCCGAAGTTGCTCGCACCTGCTTGTATAAGTCAAGCTCTTTTGCGCCGAGTAAACACCGGGTAAATGCCCCGCGATGAACCTTCATCTGGGGACCCCGTCATCAAATGCAATCTATTCGAACAAATAGCGATGTCTCGATTATATTGATGAAGGTTCCATGCATGTTCTCCCGGACCGTTTTGCGCTGTCCAATTCCTACAGCGAGGGTCCGAAACAAAGACGGCCTCGATAATGAGGCCGAGGCAAAGCTTCCAGCCAATGACAAGAACAGGCGCCAGATCCGTTGTAGATGTTTACTCGTTGAGGCTCTACATATGATATTGCGGCTCTTGTGGCCCGCACTTTTCTAAATTATCATGTGCATACAGTTGTCTAGCACGGGAAAGAACTTCGGCTTCACTTAATCATCGACGTAGGTATATATATGTTCACGATTCGCTCCTCTGCATGTGCCGCAGCTCCTTCCTTCGAGACTACACCCCGTTAGTTATATCACAATGGCACCTTACGCTCTCATTGCTGCTACCCTTTTGGGCCTAGCCACTGCCCAAACACCAGGAAGCACACCAGAAGTTCACCCCAAGCTCACCACGTGGAAGTGCACCAAGGCAGGCGGATGCAAATCGCAGAACACCGCTCTTGTCACCGACTCAGCTGCTCATTGGATCCACCAGGCGGGCAACTCAACACTAGGTTGTGGAAGCTGGGGCAGTGGGCCTGACCCGACGGCCTGCCCTGACGAGGAATCATGCGCCAAGAACTGCATCATGGAAGGCATCCAGGATTACTCAACGATGGGTGTCTACACCAATGGAGGAGAAGTCCGTATGGACATGTACAACCCCAGTGGTGGAGTCGCGAGCCCTAGGCTGTACATTCTAGCCGAGGATGAGGAGAACTACGAGATGTTGCAGTTGACCGGTAACGAGTTGGCCTTTGATGTCGACATGTCGAAGCTACCGTGCGGCATGAACGGTGCCCTCTATCTCAGCGAGATGGAAGCCGACGGCGGACGATCTCAGCTCAACCCAGGTGGTGCTGCGTATGGTACAGGATACTGTGATGCTCAGTGCTATGTCACTCCTTGGATCAACGGTGTAGTAAGTACAAAACACCTTTTCGTCGGATGCTTTGGCTTACTTGTATTAGGGAAACGTCAAGGGCCAAGGTGTTTGCTGCAACGAGATGGATATCTGGGAGGCCAATGCTCGTGCCAACCAGATCGCACCTCACACGTGCAGTACAGACGGTGTCTTCGGCTGCACTGGCGACGAATGCGGCAAGGCTGGTCTGTGCGACAAGAATGGATGCGGAGATAACCCGTACAAGCACCGAAACTCACCAGACTACTACGGCCCTGGCCTCAAGGTTGACACCACCAAGCCTTTCACTGTTGTCACCCAGTTCCCAGCCAAGGATGGCGTTCTCCAGGCCATCGTGCGAAAGTACGTCCAGGACGGTGTCGTCATCGAGAACGCCATGCAGAACATCACCATGGACCAGGAGTTCTGCTCTGCTCAGCCTGGCGCTGAGATGTACACCAAGCTCGGTGGCCACAAGGGTATGGGCGATGCATTGGCCCGCGGTATGGTTCTCGCGCTGAGCATCTGGTGGGATGAGGGCGGTGCCATGCAATGGCTCGACGGATCTGCGAACGGTGCTGGTCCTTGCAACGCAACTGAGGGTTTCCCCGAGGCAATCCGACAGATTGAGAAGGCCCCTACAGTCACCTTCAGCCAGATCAAATGGGGTGAAATTGGGTCCACGTTTGCCGAGCAGAACTCTACTGCATTCCGCTGGAAGGCGTAAAAGTTGATAGCACTATATCACCGATGAATGTATATATTAGGTCCTTCTTCGAGATCCTAGCTCGGCCATATGTATCCCGTGACGAAGATGTAGCATTGCGTTTGCGAATGTCGCGATGGTTTGTTGTTGGCTGGGGCGTGTGCCTTTGGCAGCAAGCTTGACTTTCGACATTGCTTCGTGCTACGAAACAGCAAGATGGTGACTCAAATGCCCATTCGGTGTACATGTTGAGGTCTGAATGCGACTTATGCGAAGAGTGACAGGATAGCCGGATGACGCGCGGACAGCCAATTGATGCACTAAGCCTTTTCCATCGTCACCGGACCCACATTTTGACTCAACTACGGCTCAGCCCTTCTACATCCCTACGTCCTACCTCAATCGTACCTCTTCGCGGTAACAACAAGCGATGCGCCCTTCCGATGCACATGTCGAATGATTGTTGACTCATAGATATCGTACGTACCGCCGCGCTTGGTCGGTCAGTCATCAGAAATGCAGACGGTGCCAGAAAACGCCAATGGTGTAGATGTGCTGTACACGATGTTAGCTTGGTAATAGGACTCATGACTGTGCTGTTCGTTTGACAAAATGCGCCCAAATCCGGGAGTGAGTATAAGAACAGGTAGATGGTTCCCACCATGATCAGCCATCAACAAGCAAACATTTACGCGTCGCGCATCATCACAGTCATCAGGACCGCATCTATATCTCCAAATTTTACCCCTCAAGATATTTTGATATCCACTTCATCTCATCAGAAGTTCATCACCTGCCTATATCCAGAAGACATACGCGGCAAATACGACACTTTCTCGATCATGTCGTCAACCAACCGACCTAGCTCTAATACACCATCCGAGAACGACGCCATGTCAACAATGTCAAAGTCAACAAAGGCATCTACCAAATCACTTCTTCGATCGATACTCCCGCATAAGCGGTCGAAGAATGCTGAAGAGCCGAGGAAAACAGAATCGCCCGCAGAGAAAACGAAACGAGACCTGGACCACGCGGAGGCGTTACATACCTCGGCACTCTACAAGTAGGAACGGCTACATTGGATGTCACGATTGGGATATATTTCGGGTGTCGGCTGAATACAAAACCTACAGTTCAAGGCGTTTTTGTTAGGGTCTGGCTATAGAGAATAGGTTTTGCAGGGCTGGTGTGGAAAAGTATTGCAGTTTCTCTTTTAGTTCTAATGATACACTGAAGCTCAACCTGTCTTTACTATGTGCTGGCGAATAATGAAATTTCCCAGCGTGAACAGATGTGCAATCGCTTTCTAACTCTTTGCGGTATAGTAGTACTTCCCTCGATTTTCTCGGACCATGCTCTCTCATCTCAGCCCCAGCATCGAGAACGGAAGTGAATTCGGGAACAACCACATATATAAACTGGTATTTAACACACTCGGTCAACCACCAATCCTCTTTCTCCTACACGATACCTTCTCCAGCCAAACCCAACAGTGACAGAAGCGAACTCTACTATTCAAACCCGAACAAAGATTGATTCAGTATCCAACTGCCTCATTTCAACATCGCCATGGACGGCCACAAGCGTGCACGCGCCATCAAGAGCGAAATCGAGAACAACATCTCCGTTCTCATGCCTCAGGACAAGAAGACTAGCACCCGCCGCAACGACAAAGAAGATCTCGAAAACAACATCATCAAGACTCTGCGCCAAGAGCAAAAACTGACCTGGAACGAGATCGCAAACTACCTCAACCAAGAGCGCCTCAACAAAGGCGAAGCAGCTACCTTTACCGACGCCGCAGTCTACAGCCGCTTCGTCCGCAACGCTCCTCGCATCGCTACATCTGTCGGCGAAATCGGTTTTGACCCAAAGGACTACATGCACCTGCGCCATCCAAACCAGTACACCCAGACTGAAGGGACGGGTGGTATTAGTAAGGCGGGTAAGAAGCGTGTCAAGAACTACGATAACGCGACGGAGCTCAAGGCCAACATTCGCCAGCTGGTCGCTGCAGAGGTACAGGACAACGGTTTGGACGACGCGGAGAAGACTGAACAGCTTATGGAAGCGGTAGCAAAGTGCGAGCGCAATTTTTGGAAGTATGTCGCGGATGAGATGGAGCGGGCGACTACCAAGATGTATGATCCCGAGGTGCTTGCTAGTCGCTACCATGCTATTTGAGGCGAATGGCAAGTCTTCTGTTTCTGGTATCAGCACGCCTCAGCAGTTAATACAACCAGGTAGTACATGTGTAACCAGAAACAGTTAAAAAGACACATTTACGGCTAGTATGGCCTAAATCTGCCATATAAATACTTCGATGCATCACCTCTTCTTCAGTACATGTTATTTTTCTATTGTTTTCGATATGGCGATGGAATTCGTGAAAAGCCTATATACATCCTGAGTACGCGTCGCGTTCTCTATTCCCCTATCACGTCTGATACATCGCGACAACCAATGTTGCCATCCTGTGAGCTACATCTAGCAAGTAAATGTAGGAGGACCTGGGTTGGTGTAGCTAGTGGGAATTGGGTAGTTGATGTTGATCAAGATACCCGGGTCGGTAGCCTTGTACGCGCCAGGGAAGGCGACAAGGTTCGAGGGTGCCTTGCTGCCACCACCAGTAACCTCAAGTTGCGCGCAAGAAAGGTAAAATTGGGCTCCGCCCTTGCTTTGAGCGGTATGGATGGCGATGTGCTCATTGCGCATTAGGTACTTTCCAGGTGCAATGCATTGCGGGATCTTGATATCGTAGTTGGCAGCGCCTGCGCGTAGGGCGATTAGTATACGCTAGTTTGGTGATGGTTATGTGAGGAACTTACTCAACCACGTCAACTGGGAACCGAACTTGGGTTGCTCAGCGTAGATACGGAACCAGACAGCGCCGGTAGGGTCCCAGGTGTTGATGTCCTGACCTTCCGGTACCTTGGCGAGGTACGACTGGAAGGGTCCAGGGTGGTATGCGTTCGGGTTGACGCTGACCTTGACGTTTGAACCAGCAGCGACACTGAGGGTTGATGTGCCGGCCTTGAGCTGGTTGCAGCGGATGTCGTTGCTAGTCACGTCACCAACAAATCCATTGTCCTGCCAGTTCTTGGCTTGGCGGACGTGAGACCAGGCCGCATCACCGTTCACACTTGGGAGTGTGTCTTTGAGTGGTCAGCTTGCGTTGTTGGGGAAGACGCGATTGAACATGACATACAGTGTGCACTGGCCAAAGAGGCCGCAGCTAGTAGAACAACGGATGTCTTCATCTTGGCGAAGACTATGGCTGATTGTCGAGATGGGATGCACTGAATATGCAGTTGGTGCCGGCATATTGATCTTTCCCGAGCGACATATATACTCTGTCTCTTGCCTTGGGCTTGATCACTCGTTACGCGATACCCACCGGCAATAAACCCAAAGAAGCCGGAAACATCGCAAAAGACCCGAACCTTGGGTGCAGAATCATGGTAGCCGAAGGTATACCCGACAAGGCGACGCGTTGCATATATTGCAAGAGATGAAGTCAATCTATTTGGTGTGGCAGGCTGCTACATGTGGTACAACGCTAGTGACGGATGCCGCTTCCGATTTGAAATGTGACCAATAGAGACACCAAGCTTGCTTAAAATGTTTATATTACCTACGTCAACGCCATGGATTCGGCAATTTACACTTTATGAGACGCGATCACACGCGTACAAAGGTATGAAAAACTTGTCCACACATAGCGGATATGGTAACCACGGCATCAATAGCAAAAGTATTCACTAATACTAGGTATCAACATTGCTGCATAGTATGCAGGCAAAGGCAAGCAACAGAGGTTCCGCAAGGACTTTGGAGTATTGTAGACTATTCATATTCCATCATAGAACCCAAGGATAAACTTGGGCTCGTAAGTCATGCCACACAGATTCTACACATGTCCCCTAGTCTCCGCATCTTCACTATCCTGTCTCCTACCATACTTGCCCTCATCCGCCCCCGTCACGACCGCCATATCCTCATCAGCAGCCACATCAAAGTTCTTCCCCCTATACTCTGGTCCCAACGCCGTGAGCAGGATAACATACGCATACACACACCCCATGAAAATGCAAATCACCAACCCATACTTGTACCTGCTGGTCTTGCCTTTGGGTGGAAGTGGAAATCTCTCACCAATCGTCGCTTCGATGGTTGATGAAGCAGAAGAGGCAAGGTTTCCGAGTTGATACGATGTGCCAACAACGAAAGTTCGGAACGATCCGGGAGACAGCTCCATGAGGTGGATGGGAATGACACCCCAAGCACCCTGAACGCAGAATTGTTGGAAGAATGCTGCTGCGATAACGGCTTCGCTGGAAGTGAATGTGTAGGGGTAGAGAAGAGCGCCGCCGATAACACACATGACGATTATGCTGATGCGGCGACCAAAGATGGAAGAGCAATAGCCGACGACAGTACCGCCGGTCATGGCGCCAAGGTTGGCGACTACTTGGGTGACGGTCACCTGGTTGGAGGAGAAGTTGTACTGATTGCTCAGCATGGTGGGGTAGAGGTCCTGACTTCCGTGTGACATGAAGTTGAAGCCCGCCATGAGCAAGACGAGGTACACAAGGAGGAGCCAGTGGCGCTTCAGAGCAACCTTGCCTTCCTGAGCAAAGACCTTGGCAGCGTTGGGTTGTTCTTCACGTATCCGCTTACGCTCGAGGTAAGCTTGTGTTTCTGGGAGACAGAGCCGGAAGATGATGATTAGGACTGGTGGGCCGGCCCCAAACCAGAACAGTGGTCTCCACCCATGACCGACGGTGTCGACGAAGGCGCGCGCAAAGACAGTGGCAAGTAGGTAGCCGAATGCGTAGCCCTGTTGTAACATGCCGGAGATGATACCACGAGCTTGTTCGGGGCAGTCCTCAAGAGCTGCAGCTATGTTAGATATCTGGTTGGCGCGATGGGAAGAAACAAGACGTACCGGTCGCAGCAGCGTTGCCGTACAACCCGCCCATGGCAATACCAAACAAAGCTCTTACTGCCAGGAACTGATTGTAAGTAGAGCAGAACCCCGTACCCAATTCCAGTATGATGAAGAGCACGTTGTTGACAATGAAAGGCCACTTCCTCCCATAGCGATCCGCTGCTAGACCAAAGATGATACTACCCACACTCCGCAGCATGAGCACCAGTGTGATACCCCAGGTAATATCAGCTTTGGTTTTCCCGAACGTTTCGGCAAGATCCGAAACAGTGAGAGATACGGTGAAGAAGTCGAACGCATCCCAAGTCCAGGCGAAAAAAGCTACCAGGAAGAAGAGCCATTGTTGTAAGTTTAGCATGCGCAAGAGGGCGATCGGGTTGGCGACCTTGTCGTGCGCAGGCTTGAGAGTTGGAATGCGCGTGGCGAGGTAGCGACCAGCCGACATGTTTGCGGCCGGTGGCGCATATTCGCGCTGCTCAGTAGTTTCGTATTTCTCGTCCGACATGGTGACTGTGGATGATATCGGGCAGCTGGGGGGTGCGAAGCGTGACAGAAGAAATCGTCGCCTACCACGAGAAATGGTTAGCAGACTGTCGAACAGACATAGTCCATGGTCGGCACCTGGCTCTCTTTATTCTGATCAGCATGCATCCGATCATCGCCTGACCTGCCAAATGCGCGATTGCTGAAAACCAGTGCTACTACCCGTGAACGCATCTCCGACATCCTCATGACGTCCCCGCAACCCCGCATATCCACACGATATCCAATGGAACCCTTACGGAGGGCGGCAATGTAGTCCTTGAAGGGTTAGCGCGACATGGCCCAAGCGATGCGACAGGGACTAATGCGTGCTAAGAGTGGTCAAGAAGTGATAAGCGTCGCTTGGCTGATGAGAGACGGCACAAAAAAGCTTTGTTGAAGGACGCCGAAAGGCTTGGTCAACGTCAAAGGCTTGGAGCACCAACGGCCCGATCATTTTGTTTCTCAGATGTCTATCAACCTTTCCATTAAGCAGACGGATTCAGACCAGCCGCAGAGCATTGCTCCAGTTACAACAGCTCCTACGAAAATCTAAGTGAGAGATAAAGCACTCTAAACCTAAACTTGCTGACGTTGCGCGCTGACTGTGAAGCGCGAGAATCCAACGAAGAGAGCGGGAAAAGAATGGCACCAGTTCAAGCAGGTGGCACGAGCGGTAGCGACTCCACCGACTTATCCCCGCATCTGGGGGACTTGAAATTTGACACTTGGAATATTTCACAACCACGGCACAATCCGTTATCTAGCGAGCCACTCTGGTGGTCGAGCAGAAACTACTTCTCAGCGAATTCACACTTAGTTTGAAATGACGGCTAGAAAATAGACCGGAGGATGAAGAGAGCGACCGCGTGCGCGACAGACCGAGCGCTTGCATGCAAGGAGATAAATGTGGTTCCGACGACCCGGTACCAAATCGCGGGGGGGGCGGTTAGGGTTGCTCCCAGGATGACTGTCGGCCGGGAGCAGGCGTGTTCCACGACGCGTCGTTGTAGTAGGATATGCTGGGTAGGAAGAAGTCGGGTCGACTATTCGGGGCCGGAATGTTGCTCGGCAAAGCTGCTGGAGCCCAGGCTTGCTCCTTTTGTATGGGCTATTGGATACATGTCGTTCTAGGCACAACTTCACCTGTAGTGATGCGCGAGTGAGTGTTGGGATATAATCATGCTTTTCATGACTGATGCTGAAAGCCATGTTTGTGCTAGAACGCCGAATAATGCCCAGATTATCAAGATTTGAATCTTTAAGTGGCTAGTAACCAGCCACCTCTTCTTGTATATAGTAGCGTCTCTGCATAGGTTTTAGTCTTTAACTAATTCATTCATCTCATCCTATTTTAATACAGATAAGGTACAAAGTCTAATCGCAGCAAATCGCTAATGCAATACGCCCAACCCCCAAATGCAGTGCTAACGTGCTCAATCTCATCGCTTCAAGGTCAAAAGAATATATGCATCAATCGGCCGACCTAAGCTCGGCTGGATGTAGCCCTTGATCCTTCCGCGGAGCTTCCAAACTCCTCAGTCAATCGCTCCAGTTCCGTCATGCGAAGCGCCTCCTCGACACTCTGTAGAAAGTGTCTTGGGCCGCCGCACATGTCAATAATGCCGCTCTTGTCGAACAGCTCGTAGACTGGACTTGACTCGTTTGGCACTCTGCAAAAGAAGACTCTGACTCCCCGCTTTCTGTAAGACTCTACAATCTCAGCAAGGACCTGAGCTCCGGCGCCGTCAAGCGACGTGACGCCATGTACATCGAAGATGATATTCTTGTTGTGCTCTGCACGACGAACGCGCGGAAGAGCAGGATGTGCCTTGTTGGTGCCGTGATCCTCTAGGCGGCGCAGACGAGTCTTTAAGTTTCCTGTGTTGGCAAAAGTCAAAGGTTCAGGTATCTTGACAATCAGACACCCTTCGATGAACTCAACATCTCCCGCATGATGCTCGGCGTTGGAAAATTGGTTCGTGGTTCCTGGCACACGGCCCAAGATTTGAATGCGGGGACGAACTGAATGACGTATTAAGCGTAGGAGGGAAAGACCAATACCAACTCCGATACCGCGCTTAAGATCCCATACGATAGTGATGACGAAGATGAGACCCATGAGGATGAGCTCTGACCAGCCACGAATCTTTAGGAAGAATTTGACATCGTGTGGTGCTTCTTCGACAAGTGAATATGCTACAACCGAGACCATGGCGCAAAGAACGCCTTTGGGTAGGTAGTAGAAATACGGTAGCATGAAGACAGTACACAGAATAGTGATGATGGATAGCAGCACTGAGCTCATGGGGGTCAAACCACCGGTGGATGCGTTGACCTTGGAACGACCGTAGCCGCCGAAAGCTGGAAGTGCCATGAACAGTCCACCAGTGATGTTTGCGGTTCCCAGTGCGATGAGCTCGCGGTTCGCGCTGAGTGGCATCTGAACGCCATCCTTGTTTACGTCACCGGCGCCCAAAGACTTGGCTGCAACTGAGGACTCGAAGAAACCAAGCATAGCAATGATCAATGCGGTGTTGATGGCATCTGACACATACTTGAGATGCGACGTCTCAAAGGGGAAGTGGATGGAGAATATCTTGGCGCTAGAGTTGACGTCTCCAAGAACGGCGAGCCCCTGTTGGTCCAGACGATATCGCCAGGTAAGCACAGCAGACAGTACGACAACTACAAATCGGTCGGGAATAAAAGCAACGTTAGGGTATCTTGGCTGCAATCGCTTCTTGAACTCTCTGAATGTTTGTCAGTAAAAGTGAAATGGACATGATACTTTGGAACTTGCCTGAAGAACATGATGATGAAAAAAGCAGTAAAGGACATGGCACATGTGAGTCCATGGGCGCGACCAACGTTGCGGAAGAGGAAGACGACCTTGTCCAGACAGCTGCCATGGGATACCTGATCGGCAGCCAGTCTTGCGAGCCCCATCTGGGGAATGAGCTGATCTATAAAAATCACAACACCAATGGCGCTGATGAATCCTCGCAAGAAAGGCCGGCTCAAGACGTTGTCCAGGAAGCCTAGTCTGAAGAAACCCGCGACGAGGATGAAGGCACCGGCCATGCATGTCACGATGCCAGCGATCTCGGCATTGCGCCTGCCGTCGTTGTCATGGGTGGTACCCTTTTTAATGTTGTCGCGCACAATTTCGCCGATAAGAAGCGAGCCAGGCGCTTCGGGACCGACAATCATCTGCGGACAGGTACCTAGGACAGCGTATATGAGGGGGTTCAGGGCGAAGCTGTAGAGGCCATGGACGGGCGGCAGGTGGGCCAGGTTGGAGGCGTACGAGAGCGACATGGGGATATAGAACGAGGCCATGGTGATGGCTGCGATAAGGTCGCCCTTGAAGTAGCGCCACTTGTACTGCTGCGTCCAGTTAAGGACGGGAATGTAGTACTTGAGGTACATCATGCGCTTGTCCTTGATGCCATGGCGCTCAGCGAGCCACTGCGTTGTGCTCATCTTCTGCCCGTTCTTCTTGTTCAGGACACCGTCGGCAAAGGCGTCACCCAGCAGCGCATGTGCTTCGTCTGGTGCGCCATCCTCTGCCGTCTCTTGTATGCCCGGGAAGGAGCCACCAAAGCTCTGCTCCGAGTGGATGCTGCCCGCGAAGCTGCCATAATTGCGATGCGCCGACGGCCTCGCATCAGCCCGGTTCGAGTTGTCCCAGTTCTGGTGGTTCAGCAGCCGCGTGCGCGCCGTCGGCTCGAGGTCGATCTCGATGATGCCGCCTGGGGGAGCGACAGTCTCGTGGGTTGAGTGTATGGACGTCGTGTCTGTCGTGGGCTGGATGCCATCAGTGGAGAAGTCGAGGTCGTGGGGAGCGGCGCTGCTCGAGGCATGGGGCTCGTCGTCGTCGTAGTAGGGGCGGGGACGCATGACTTCCTCGGGAGAACTGGACCGGTCCGAGGGCACATGGGCCTGGCGAAGCTGGCTGGGCGTCGAAGGTGCGTGGGCGTGACGGGCACTGGCGTTGGAAGAGTCGCGCGAGTGTGAAGCCATGCTGGGTGATAGTAGCCGAGGTCACCAGCGAATCGGAGTATAGGTAATAGCCGTGCTATGGACAACAGGCGTCTATGGGGGACGGCACAGCGAACTTTTCTCAGCGGCAAGCATAGCGCTGTCGAAGCTAGATGGACGAGAGAAAAGCATGGACGTCGTGTAGCAGACCATTTTCAACGGCGGGAGAGAATCCTACCTAGCTTCCAACGTCGGTCCAGGGCCCTTGGAGTAATGCACGTGCCCCGCTAATGTACGGCTGCACCACCGCACAAGGCCAAATGGCTCAGATGCGGCTATGTCATCGCAATAACGGTACAGCCCTGCAGTAGCGCCGTTCTCGGAGCTCGATTTTGGAGCCCCCCCGCGAAAATGGCCATGGAGTCATCGTGTGTTGCTTCAGTCCGCGCCGACCATTCTCGATACTCCGATCTCCGTTGGACGCATAAAGAAAGGAACAAGCAAAGAAACATCCATTTTTTTTTAACACCTTGCAACCTCCACAAGTCCTAGAATTATCCAACAAGCACCATGTCTTTCCCCACCCTCCATGCCCGCGCAGAGGCCAAACCTCTTGAACACCGTTCGTGGTGAGTATGCATGTAAACTCCGAGCATGCACTTTACTAACAAACACTCCCAGCCTCACACCCACCACCGCCAAGAAGCTGCTCGACGCCGGCTACCCCGTCCTTGTCGAGCGCTCACCCAAGGACCCCAACTATGCCCGCATCTTCAAGGACGAGGAATTCGAACAGGCAGGCGCAACCCTCATCGAGGAAGGCGCATACAAGAACGCGCCCAAGGACAACCGCATCATCATTGGCCTCAAGGAGCTGCCCGAAGACGAATTCCCCCTCGAGCAGACCTTTGTACACTTTGCACATTGCTACAAGCAGCAGGGCGGCTGGGAGAAGGTCTTGGCCAGGTTTCCCCGCGGAGGAGGCACCCTGTATGACCTCGAGTTCTTGCAGGACGAGTCGGGCAGGCGCGTTGCTGCCTTTGGCTACCACGCCGGTTTCGTCGGCGCTGCCCTCGCTATCAAGGTATGTCGACGACGGCACCATGGTGGCACCCCACTAACTCATGCTAGACATGGTCATGGCAACTCACCCACCCCAACGGCGAGCCTCTGCCAGGTCTTGAGACTTTTACTCAAGGACGCGGATACTACAACAACGAGAGTGAGCTCATCGCCCAGCTCAAGGAGGATGTCGCAGCCGGCGAGAAGGTTGCTGGCCACAAGCCCACCAGTCTGGTACTAGGCGCCCTCGGACGATGTGGTTCCGGTGCCGTCGACCTGCTCGAGAAGATTGGCTGCCCCGAGATCAAGAAGTGGGATCTGGCTGAGACCAAGGAGCGTGACGGCCCCTACCCAGAGATCGTCGAGTCGGACATCTTCGTCAACTGCATCTACCTCTCCAAGCCCATCCCGCCCTTTGTCAACAAGGAGAGCCTCCAGTCACCCAACCGCAGACTCAGCGTTGTCTGTGATGTTTCATGTGACACCACCAACCCACACAACCCCATTCCCATCTATGACATCAACACCACTTTTGACAAGCCCACAGTCGAGGTTTCGGTTGAGGGCAACGGCCCTAGGCTTTCTGTCATCTCTATCGACCACCTTCCATCTGCGCTACCCCGCGAATCATCAGAGGCCTTTAGCAACGCTCTGCTGCCGAGCCTGATGGCCCTCAAGGACCGATCATCGACGCCGGTATGGCAAGGCGCAGAGAAGCTGTTCCAAGAAAAGGTACAGACTCTGCCTGGCGGTGTACCCAAGAAGGAGGTTTAGGGCTTCTTGTCTTTCTGTGGTACATTAACCCAGATATGACGATATGAAATGTAGAAATGAAACATTGAATGTATGGCATCGGTATTGGATTGGGAAACCCTGTATCCGGAGTTGCAAGCCTGTAATGACAGGTCAAGATTAGAAGTAGAGAGCAACAGCAGAAACACACTTTGCACAAGTCTGCAAGATTGCATGTAGACTCCTTCGAGTGTAAACTTACACTATTTTTTCTATCAAAATCGAAAAGCTACTAAGCAAGAGTACTCATGAGAAAGATTCCTAAGCGCAATCAACAGTAGAAACTCGCCTGGGCGGACATGCTACAGGATGCCTAGGCGAGAATATAGATCAAGACTCTACCTAGGTAGAAACTACAAGTAGGAACTTTTATTAGAAAAAGTCTCTTTTTGCATCTTCGACGATTTGCGTTTACTCTATCACAGTTGTTATTATATATAGTTAAGATGTAACGTGTGTACAGGAAAAGGTGAAGAAAAGAGAGCTTCTATATAGTCCTTTAGCAGATACAAACACTTCTAATAGTCTACCTTTAAGCTATCATGTTATATCTTTACTGTTCTCTCTCTCCTTTTTACTCTTCTTTTTACTCGTCTCTTATTTCAACGCGTTATACCGTGCTTATATGCAATAAGAACTACAATAGAGTGAAAGCGATGGCTTGCAATGTAACAAGGGACGTTTTCTCATACTAATATCAACTCTTCAACATTTCAAGATATTTTAATAATCCCCTACCTGATTTGGGGGGTCTGTATATTTCCACAGGCACCAACTGGCTAATCTGGATCAATCCATGCACTATCTTTAATCTGCTACAACAATGTCCAAGGTTCTTCAGATTACGGTAGAGGCTGTTTGACGAACTCGGAAGATGACTTGGGTGAATGGTGAAGCGTGGCTTGGCGCGTGCGAGGTAATGAGATCTTGCAGTGTTCCAACATTCAACCTTTTGCACCGACATGACATTGACAGATAATCAAACGGTCACCATTTCAGCAGTTCCCCCAGCTGGAGCTAGTCTCCTAGCTGGAGGTCCATTCAAAGCACCAAACCGCGCCCAGCGACGGGCGATTGAAGACAAGTTTCGCGACATGATCAAAAACAACGACGACTTGAAGAATCACGCAGCGTCCAACAAGGCAGACATCGATCGAATCCTCAAGGCAGGCGACGACGGGTTCTTGAACTACTACGTATGGACACGACTGCATCCGGCGAGCAATTGCTATCCCACTATTGCCCAGCTCGATAGGTTGCTGTCGCATTTTGCCAAGGAAGTCTTCCGCTATTATGAGGATCTCTGTCGATCCATGTCCATGGCGGGCGATTTCATATCAGAGATATGGTCCCATGTCACACGCGGCCAGCGAAAATCAATATTGGAACAGGTCTTTCCTGGAATTTCGAAATACCCTAGCGGTAATCTCATGGTCATATCCAAGTTCGACCGAGGAGACAAAATGGACCCCAACACATGGCTGCTGCTCAACGCCACCCAGATTACCACGCCGCATATCAACTTGGACGCACTGTCGCAATCGAACATACTTTTGGACTTCATCTGCGCTCGGACGCGCAACCCGCCCCAAGACTTTGCTCATGCTGAGCTCCTTCACGCTCCCTGTCATCGATGGACGGGTTCAGACCTGTTCAAGCGACAAGACGGATTCGTCACTCGCTTCATCGGGCGGCATCAACGTAGATACGGAGAGATTGAACAAGTTGTCGACGCCCGCGCGCTTGTCACAGCTGGGCGCGCGATGCATCCCTGGACTGCATTTAAAGTGGTCATCATCCAAAACTACATCTATAAAGGGCTCACTGACTGCATCATGGTGACGATGCAATTGGTAGATAGAGCCGATTGGCGAAAAGTCATCCGGCCTATGATACCATCCTCGGTGGCCGCGACCGCATTGGCCATCGCCCTCGAAGCTCCATACCGGCTGCCCGCAACACTATATCTCGATGACATGGAACCTCTGGTGTCAGCCAAGGTCAATGAGTTGGAGGATCACATCTGGGGTCTACGCGAAGATCATGTTTACTTTGCAGATGTCTGCCAGCAAGCCTTTGACCATAATAGCCAGACAATGAAACCGTCCAAGGGCGGCGAGGCTCTAGCCCTGATTCACTTTCCTGAAGCTGTCAAGAGATATGTATTGGAAGAGGTGGTGATAAGCTCCCATCGGTTCCTGGCACTTTGGCATGAGTGCAAGCAAGCGCTGGACGACGTCATAGCTCTCCAGAGCCGCTATAGGAAAGTGACATCTGATTAGGAACTAGACACTGCTTTAAAGCAGCCTTTGGTCAGGCTATGGTGTACCCTGTTCAATATCATGGATCAGTCTCGCCGCATACTGGAGGGCTCCATGTTGACCTCCCCGCGAACACGGCAAATGTCCACATTCACATATGCCGACGAACCAAATGGGCACGAACCTTGGGAGCCGACGATGATCGAGAGTAAAGCGAAAATAGACGCCTTACCAGAAGAGGTGCAATGCAGCTGCAACCTCTTCATGAGCACCACATTGGCCCTCCATAACATTCAGGTTCCAACTCGCGTGGAAGGTTATTTTCTATGGCTAAACGAGTTGGAGTGTTGGCGCGCCAACAATCCATCTGCAGCCGACTGGTTCAGCTCTCACGTGGACTTTCATCTTTCCCAGCTATCTGTCGCGTCCACATGTGCCAACCAATCGAATTTGTATGCGCCACACTCAGTTCGCCACCGATCGATGACACTGGAATCATTAACTTCCGGGGCTATGGACGCGTACCCAGGTATACAACCACTAGACGAGCACATGTACGCCGCCATTGACGTCGACGTCGGGTCTATGGTCTTTCCGACGGAGGATAAGTTGGATTTCCCGGTCCATGGGCTCACAAGGCGTGAGAAAGTCTGTGCAATGATCTGCGCCGAGAAACACTTGGACGACATCTGGCGGAAAATCGATCTGAGCTACATGAAAGCGCAACCAATTGACGGCAAACAGTTGAATACCCTCTTCGAAACATCTCCTGTGTCATTCGCGCCGACTCGCACATTGATGAGAACCACCCCTTGGCAAGAGCCTTGCAAGAAGGTTTCGGTACCAACGACTGATACCCCGACCGCGCATGGACAACGTCCATGAGGCTGCCGGCCTTTCCAAGCACGATCCGACCAAGAAAATAAACGGAATCCTAGACAAGACGCAGATCAGTAAAAAGATCAAAGTCAAGACAAAGGGCTCTGGCGCTGAGGCTGAAGTAGAACAAGCGCCTGTTATGGACTAAGCGACTCCAGAGCCTGATGTGCTGTACACGCTCAAACCGGCTGATTACAAAGTCTTCACCGCGCTTTTCCATAACCAGTCGGATGCTGAAGCGCCCAACACAGTCCAATGGAGCAGTTTCATCCGCGCCATGGGTGCTTTGAACTTTTCCATCTGAAAACTGCAAGGATCTGCTTGGCAGTTCACGCTACCTGAATCCATGGGCACTCAGCAGCCCATTCAGTTCCATCAGCCACATCCAGAAACGCGGTTTACTTTGGCTTATGCGCGGCATATTGGCCGTCACCTGGACATGGCCTACGGGTTGACAGGTCCCATGTTTCGGTCTCAGTAGGAGATGTTGCTTTGGCCTGTGACAACAGGTGATGACCTTTTTGCATTCATCGTGCGTGTCTTATCGCATGATTCTGTCAGCAATGCGTCCTATTGCTGTCCATTACACTTGGCCTGCGAGATGCAGGCGTTTTTCTTACATAACTTCCGTTTGTTTGGCCTTCGCGTTCGTTGCGTGATTGCATTTTCCATCTTCATCGCAATCTTCGTCAGGGTATGACCTTGAACTCTCTCCAGTGCAGTGGTGCACTTTTGGTCTTTTGCAAATAAGTTTGTTTGTATCTTTGGATACATCTCGCGTGCATGCGGTGACCCTGCTTTGGGTAGGGCGTTTGACCTTCTTTCGGTTGTGCAGAGCTTGCACGATATTCTCCAATTATACTTTACGTGAATGCCCGTTGCTATGGGTAAGTCCTTTATCTTCGTCCGACGAACTGCTTGCCGGTGACACATATGTTCGATGGTTGCGCAAAGTTTATGCAATGTTCTGATTTTACTTGATGGCGTTGTCTCAAGAGTGATTACTCTCATGTAAATAGTATCATCGTAGCACCACGAGACCTTACTCTTTAGTCACTTTAAGCACTAATCATGCGAAGACAATGTTGTATCTTGAACTAAAAGCTGTATGCCATACTATTCAGTGGCGAAAGCGGGATTTTCGAGTTGTACGTGGAACAAATATGACTTCTCTAACAACATGCAAGAAAAGTCTTCCTGTACGGGGATTTTCGCTTTCCCACTTTTGATCAGTATAGAAGAAGAAAGTAAACGTGTCCATGTCCAAGTTTCTATACGTAGTGTTATAGTAGGCAGAGCCCGTTATCATGTATTCACAAACCGTTCCTGCCAAGACATCGCTTTGGACAGATTGAGATGCAGTGAGCTATGACCTGTGCTTCAGCAATGTTGGAAACGAAGTTGAATACATGAGTACAACTGGAATGGTCGAATAAATGGATCACATCTACGAAAAGATCTCTCCCTGTAACAAAAGCTCTTCAAACTGAAGGAGCCACTTTTATTGTAATCTATGTCACTAACCAAGTACCATGAACGAGTAAATACACCCTTCACGATGAAGAGCCTATAAAACGAAAAAAATACCCTTTGCGGCAAAGAGCCGATAACATGGAAACACTCTTCACAATGAAGAGCCAAGCGAAGATACTACCCTTGGTGGAAGAAGAGTTGGAGGAACATGGCAACAGCCCTCAAAGGAGGTACGGCACTGATAAAACATCCTTCAAAAATAAGGAGCTGAAATGCCTTGAGTAACGCCCATACACGAAGAGTGAGCCAATTAAAGCATGAGAACCAAAGCCCTTGACGATCTGCGGAGCGCAGCGCCAAGAGAGACGACGCTCATTCTTCGAAATCTGCGATTTTATTTTCAGCATCCTTCCGCCGAATGTTCTCCAATGTGAGTCTCGTTAGCATCTCGATACCAGACTCGGCCACGTGACGGGATGTGCGAGGTCTCGAGTTCTTGGATATATTCGAAGTCGAAGCCATGGACGGAGGGTTGGGAGTTGAGCCCTGCCTCGAACCTTGCTCTGGCGGTGCTGCCTCATGGGTGACACCTTGAGGGGCTGGTTGATTCGAGTGCGTCCCTTGCTGCGGAAGCATCCCATCGTGACCACGATGCCCAGTAGGCTGTTGCTGTGTGAGGTCCTGACCATATGTCATCGCGGGTTGAGCCTGCATTGGTTGGTTTGGAACATGTGCAGATGGCGCTATTCCCAGTGGTGAAACCTGGTGATAAGTAGGATGGGGCGGTTGTGCCGGGTTATGACTCTGCACCTGCAAGTTTTGAGGATAGACAGACGGTGCCATGGCCCGTGCCAGCGCCTGCTGTGGGAGAAGATGGGTAGGCAGCACCTCCTGGTGTGAAGGCTGGCCGTACTGCGGTATACCATGGGGTGGTGCTTTTAGGTGTCCAGGATGAACATATAGCGCTTGCGTGTATGTGGGATGAGCGGGCGATGCCACTGTCGAGATTGGTATGTGGTGGGAAGGAGGGTAGGCAAGCGATGCCATGGGTGGATTCGGGACGTGTGGGTACGCAAATTGTTGTGGAACCTGTTGTGTGACTGGTTGGTATTGTGGGTTACCTCTTGGTGGGCCAAAAGGTTGAGCTTGTGGGTTGTATTGGAGAACCTGAGGCGTTGTGGGGTAGGGTAGAGACTGTGGATACTGCATAGAAGCAGGCGGTACAGAGTTTCCAGAGCTGTGGGCAGGCACAACCGCCGTATGATAGCCCGACTGTGCTTGTGGCCCCATTGCGTGAGAGTATTGCGCAGGTTGTGATTGCGGGCTAACAAGTCCGGGATTCTGCATGGCCGGTGCCAATGCAAGTGAGTGTGGAAAGTGCGGGTTTGGGTGTGGGGAGCTCGGGTAACTGAAAGAGGAGGTTTCTGTCGAGCTGACATAGCCTGGGTGTTGGTTACTCGTGTATGGTGATTGTCCTGGGTGGCCGTAGCCTTGCTGCTGCTGTGGTGGCCCCATGTTGCGACCCCCCTGGGTGTATTGTTGAAATAGTTGGCGGCATAAGCTTCGAAACAGTCCAGCCCGTACCTGTGACTAGCACATTCGAGGGAATGAAGCTGAGGTGCCTCTGCTGACAGCAGATCATAAGCCATTTGTGTCCAGTCTAGTGTCATTGGACTACACAAGTATCCGTGTTGAAAGAGTAATTTCTTTTGCTCTTCGGTTGGCTTGATTCGCATCCGCGATGGCAGTGTCTTGGTGGATGACCATGGATATAGCGTCCTCGTCATCTTCGAGACGGTGACATAAAGTCCTTCGCACATCTGCATGTTGTGAGCTTGTGTACCGCTGCCACGTCTTCGACAATATACATACCACACGTCCGTCATTGTGTACAATGCCGCACCATCCACATGCCGGCCGTGGAACTTGGTTGAAGCAGCCAAGCAGCATCACCCTGTGGCTGCATGGAATGCAATGCCCATGGCTTGTGGCAGTAGCTGCAATGTGTGGCCATTGTGAATTTGCATCGATTACCGTCAGGTTGTGTGATGTTGATGACTCCGTCTGCTAAATGGATGCCATTGTTTTGTTCTGCCATGAATCGTACGATTGGATAGGAGGTGATTTTAGGGCAGAAAGTGAAATTGGGATAGAGCCGTTGATGCTAGGTCCTGTCAGTGGTGGGCATGCGCTTTGATCTTGTCAGCACCGACATCTTTCGTTATGTTATTCACAGGACGATTCCCAGCACTGTATGTGGTTTGGGGATTCTGTGGATATGACTAGAGCGCGTGAGCAGTTTGCAACCGGGTTTTTATGCATTCACTCACCTCAGCGGCTGGTGAGTCGAGTGGGTCGCATCTTGCGCCAGATGGATAGCTCTCAGGTTGAGAGCCATCCATGATGGGGATTCTTCCTCGATTGAAATAATCCATGGTCGACAAGAGTGCGAGGCGACGGCAGGTTGGGGAATATCGCAGATGTCTTGGCGCTCACCAGCGCGCCTTCCGCATTGAGAGCGAGAGCTCGTGACACCACTTTAGTCCCCAATCTCCATGGCACAATGTAATTCTGTTCTCGAATCTTCGAGCCCGCGGTTTGACCCTTCCAGGCCCACTCTCACTACCACCTGTGACCCGGACGAGAAAGCCAATGACCCGACGAGTACTCTGGCCATCGTAGTATCTGGCCTTATAGTACTGATGTGGTGCACATGCAGACCACCGGCTAAATGCACCAGTATTGTTTGCATGACACTGGAGAGCACCAGAGATCTGCGCGTTTGTCCTACTTCGAAGTAGTATGATATCTGGCCCGTGACCAGTACACCCAAGCTGGAGAACCCAAGGAATACAGCAATTGTGGAGATTACAAACGAAGGCGCTTGACACCTTTCTTCTAATAAAACTCCAACAGCAAAGAGTACGGTATTGCCGGTTTGGTTCGAGGTGAAGCAACCCAAGTCGAGAACCGGATGGCATCCTGGATTCCGATGGTTACTACTAATAGAAGCAGTTCGAATTCGCATAAAAATTTGGTGAGCTCCGGTTCCCGCTTGAAGTACGCTTTTGCAGCAACATCGCCGTGGCTTCGACAAGAGAAGATATTCGGCAGTGTTGGTCGAGGGATGCGTTGTGCTGGGTAAATAATGATGCATTATGAGCTTTGAAAATCTTTCAATAAACTATGGTCAAATGTGTTCAATGATTAAACATATGTTACAACATGTAACATATGTCTTGCTTAAATCCTGATATTGCTTCACTCGGGGTGTCAGACTCCAAGCGGACTATCGGCGACCATCACGGCTGCCCCAGTAGAAACCGGACCGCCTTGTACAAACAGAAGCATTGATTCTTCTGCTTTCATGATGCAATCAAATCTTCTGATGTTTCAGTGGAACGGGATGATCTGCTGAAAGCTCGACAAGTAGGATACCTCAACAGTAATCAAAAGCTACCTGATCCAGCCCTTTGGCCCACCCCATTCGCCCTTCACGTGATATCTATCGTAGACCCAAGGAAAGAAATCCTTCTTCAAGTGATAGAACGCACGTCGAGGAACCGCTTGGTCAATTCCGAACCAATTGTTAAACGTCTCCTTCGGCACAGCACCGTACTTGAACTCCGCAAGAAGCACCTTCTTGTCGCCCGTCAAAAGCGGACATGATGTGTAGCCGTCGTATTCAGACTGCGGTTCTTTCCCTTGCAGCCCGAGCAAGAGGTTCTGCGTGACAACGGGCGCCTGAGATGTGATCGCAGCCACAGTCTTCGATGTTGGCAGACTCGCCGCATCACCAAGTGACCATATGTTTTTGAATGTCTTGTGCTGAAGTGAATGCTGGTCAACATCTACAAAGCCCGCTTCATTGCCAAGGCCGCTCTCTTTGATGAATGAGTGCGAGATGTTCCTGGGCGCAACATGGAGAAAGTCGAAATGTTGCTTCACTAGCTGTTCACTGTTCGGTCGGTCGAAAGTGGCAGTGTTTCCATCGATAGAGACAAGATTATGTTCAAAGAGTCCTACAACTCCTCTCTCTTTTCGCAATTCGTTCAGTTTGGCGCTATACTTCGGTACGCCGAACATGGTGGGAAGTCCCGTAGCGAAAGTCGTCTTGATCGCGGACTGCTGTGAGTTATCGCTGAACAAGCCTGCCCGCCTCCAGTGATCCAAGGCGAGCCACATGATCTTTTGGGGTGCGCCCGCACATTTCACTAACCCGGAAGGCTGCGTGAAGATGGCCGAGCCTTTTCTGAAGCGCTGGATATCTCGGAAGACTTTGTCGCAGTGTTCGTAGCTATATATAGACGCTACAAGGCTGTCTGGATTGTTCATAGCCTCACAAAGGCCTTTTACGCTACCATAATCAACTTTGATGCCTGGTGCGATGACGAGTTGATCATAGTGGATCCTGTCTCCATCTTTTAGCGACAAGTAGTTGTCTTGCGGGTGGATAGCCCCGACATGGTGATTGTAGAACCTGATCCTGGGCTCGACAAGTTCGCTCATTGGTCTTCTGAAGTTCTGTTTGCTATTCAAGCCCCCACCCACCAACGTCCAACCCGGTTGGTAATGATGCCATGTTCCCGGATCGATGACCGCAATGTCGTCCTGGGTAAACTGCCCCTTCTGTAAGAGTTGATGGCTGACCGCGACACCAGCTGAGCCATTTCCAATGACGACAACTTTGTGATTCCTCGACGCGATGGTGGCGGGCGATAAAGTAGCTAAGCTTCTAACGGCTGGCCGCTGCCTCGTGGTGAGTGTGATTCGGACGGAAGACGGTGCAAGGTGCTTGGGCAACGAAGGCATTTCGCAAGTACGATTTGCTGCTTCTGTGATGCTGGGGGATCGTCAACGGGCGCTCTGGTGATGACCTGCAAAGCGACAATGAAAGTGAATCGTCTCGTCTCCAGGACTCAAAACTTGTCGCCAAAATGCTACTTGCGAAGGAAAGGGACAAAGCAAGAGTTAGTTACCTTCGACCTATTTTGTTGGCAAAGTAAACGTATCTTGTCCCAGGACATTGTAATGTCGGCGACTCACAAGTGTCCTCGGCGTTTCGTTTTGTGGGGTAAACGCCGAACCCTGGCTCAAAGACGGTACCATAATGTGCTCAATAAAATTGACGCCATTCATAAGATGACGCGAACCGAGGCAACTGTCGTGCTTTTTTCAACACATGAAGAGCACCAGTCATCTGAAGCCACGAGATGAAAAGTTTGAGATCGTTTACGAGCACACAAGCAACCTGGGAACTGTCAAATCCTTCCCACCACGTTTCGAAAATACAGATTGGAAAAAAACAACACCGACTTCCAGATCGACGAGTCCATACGAAACCCGACCTGCGATCAAGTACATCAGCTTATTCGACAAAGTCCTTGACCTACTCTAGCCGAGCAAGCACTAGCCTCGCCAAACCCATCAATTCTATCATACAAGCCCGAGTAAGAGCGGGAAATCGGTTGTCGTACAGTACCCAAGCCACTATGGGCGAGGAACCTGTAGTGCACAGCTTGTTCGAAGAGAAAACAGGGACATGGCAATACGTGGTGGCACACCCTTCCACCAAGAAAGCCGTTATCATCGATCCAGTGCTCGACTATGACGCCAACACCCAGATGATCAATACGCATACAGCCGACTCTTTGCTCGCGACGATATCCGAGAGTGGCTACCATGTCGAGAGGATACTGGAAACGCATGCGCATGCCGATCACCTGACGGCAGCTTCTTACCTCCAACAATGCTTGTACTCGCAGCAGGGATTCAAGCCGCCCATTTGTATCGGAAAACGGATTCGAGAGGTTCAGGACCGATTTGCAACTAGGTATGGAATTGCGACTGTCGAGTACGAAAGCGCGTTTGATCATCTTTTCGAAGACGACGAGACGTTTGAGATTGGACGTTTGACAGTACAGGTTATGCATCTTCCTGGACATACTCCAGATCACATTGGATACCAGGTTGGTGGTAAGTATTCATCAGAAGGCCATAGTGACCAGCAAAACTGACTCTGCGACAGGCAACGTATTTTGCGGTGACTCCATATTCCATGCTGATATCGGCACGGCAAGATGTGACTTCCCAGGCGGCAGTGCGAAGAATCTATATACTTCAGCGCAAAAGTTACTGAAACTACCCGAGGACATGAGAATTTGGACCGGCCATGACTACCCGGCTTGTCCCCAGCGGTGTGAGGCTGTGCCTTGGATGACTGTGAGGGATCACAAAGAGAAGAACAAACATCTTGCCAATGATGTAAAGGAGGCCGATTTCTTGACGTTACGAAAAGAACGCGATGCGAGCTTGGCGGCGCCGAAATTATTGCATCCCTCTTTGCAGATCAATATTCGCGCTGGAAGACTCCCGCAACCGACATTAGGTGGCCAGCGATTGATGCATCTTCCGATCAAGATGACTCGCCAGGCGTGGTAGGCTGGGTGAGCTTGTCATGAGTACCCTGGGGTCTATCAAATCAACGAGAAGATAGACGATAGTCTCAGAAAAGATGTATAATATCCCTTCTTTGCCTAAATATTGCATAGATGAAGCGACCGTTATGTTCTCACGCTCTTGGCAAGATAGGCAAGCAAAGCTTTGGTGCTATCACGACCCTTTTATATACCTAATGTAGAGTTGTCAAGGCCTACAAGTCCATAGAGATCCTGCAAATCGAAGTCGGGGAAAGTGTCATTATTTATCGATGTGGCGAGAGGGACTACTGCACTGCTAGGGGATGCAACACAAGAAGTACGAAATACTGCAGATGCGACTCTCTTTAACGTACGTAATACAGTCCCAGCAGCCGACCATTGTCGGCTCATGGACTTGAGTACGCCTAAAAGCAACTTGACTCGATCCGCGTGCTGGTCCAGGCAACGTCGAGAACTTTTGTCGTGCATCGCTCCTATAGAAAGCTGGACCACAGCAGCGAGGGCTAGCGGGTATACGAATAGAGGAGTATGTTTCTGGGTCGTAGAACGTAGCGCGGCTAACATGGATATGATTTTGGACGCTTCGATGGCTTTGACGGAGTGTATATGTTGACGATTGCATGGGCAGAGAAGCTTGGTACAGTTGGCCCCAAGTACGTCATGCGTCAACAGATCAGGGGAGATCAGATCGCCTCGGGGATAATGCAGGAGGATCGTACTCCATTGGATGATAGTGTGCGCTTGAAGCATGAGCTCGTCCAGATCACCGAACGTATTCGATATCTCTGCTTCGCTTTTGGAGCGTGGCAAATGATACAGGAATGCAGCAAGCGCGTTATCAACAGCTTGTACCAAGTCCCTGTCCACACCATGCTTTCCAGTGATAGTCAATACTCGGCCAAGAAGGCGAACAGCTTCGATGCGATAGCAGAAGGAAGAGAATATCTTCTCTTCTTCCGCGAAGACGTTTCCGTGGAAGTCAGCCATCGTTGCTGGCATAAAGCACATGCCGGCTTCGTAAGTGAAGTCGTCGCATGGCAAAAGCACGTCGGCATTGACCGTATTGGTTTTGAATGTCGATTTTCGCTGCAATGCGGCGATGCAGCCATCGATCACATACAGTTCGTACCAGGTCCTCCGCATACTTTCTTCTAGCACAGTCAGATCGCCAGCATGCGTAGTAGCAAAGTCCCGCTCGTGCAGGCCAAGCCGTAGGGCCAGTTCGATCGTGGTATCAAGGATTCTTTGCCCTTGGTCTGAAGAATTGTCCGCAAACATGGTGATTGCGTAGAGAAGTCTTGCTTGCACCATCTCCAATGTGTCTTCGTTGCTATGATCGAGTTCTCGTGCCACGCTCTCGCGCAAGTTATCTGGCGATGCTGTGTGTGAAAAACGACCACCGATGAATTGGACTACCGCTTTCAAATAAACGGGATATCCTTGTTGCCAGTACATATCCCTCGGAAGGAGAATGGGGTGACTTGGGTGAAAGTTGAGATAGTAAAGGTTGACCAGTTGTTCATCGTCAACCCACGAGACATGCCGGCCTGGCGGACTGGTAGACAGTCTACGCTGCAGTAGGCCCGGATCGGGTGAAGCGATTGCATCGTTAAGTGGAAACCACTGCGCTGCAGATGGAGTGCATGCTAGCGTTTGAGCGACGGCGGGTTGCGCGACTGGATCAGAAGAAGCAGGCAGAGCCTGAGGCAATGTCAGCTGGTCTTCAGTATCCGGGCGCGTTATGCCACGTCGGCGACCTCGTCCAGAGCGCTTGTAGGTACACGCAAAACCACGAGTTTGGCATCGTCCGCAGATGGGTGTGCCTCCATCGCACTTAAGATGGGAACGACGGCACTCTAAGCATGCGAGTGGGGCTGGTCGAGCATGATATCTTGATTCGGAAGAAGGCATTCAATTCGTCGTAAGTCTGTTGCGAAGTGAGAAGGTTTCCACGTTACTGTCAAACGCGACGCGAACGAGGATACCGAAGAGCCCGAAGAGCCCGAAGAGCCCGAAGATGCCAAGAAGGGGTCTCGTACTAACTTGCTTCGGTCAAGGCAAGGAGCCCCATGCTTCAGCACTTTTTAATCATTTCACCCCCTCTCTGCAAAGCTCAAAGTCACGACTTTGCACATCATGTCGTCTCCACTACTGATCACGTTGACTTTCGGAACATCCCACCTTTTTGAGTCATTGAACTAACGATTTCCAAAATAAGCATCTAGACCTTCAAGCATATACGACGTATGCAAGTGGCCTCATTACAACATGTTGCCTGCAAAAGTCACCAGTCACATCTTCGAAGATAGATGGCCTGCATCATAGGATATCACATTACCTTCCTGTCGGTATAACCTGCCTGGCCTGCATGCTTTCGGCAGTCTGATATGCGTTATGCCACAACAGTTATCGCTGCTTACTGCACATCCAAATGTCCACCAATGACGTACGTCGGGTTAATGCTGGTTAATTACACTGCAGTATCGATGTGCAAAGCCACTTTTACCTGAGAGGCACTTTGCTGTGAGTTCACCGAGTTGCCATATCCATATGTAGGGCGTAAATCGGCTAGACAACGAGCGCATAACCTCATGAGCATAAGTTGATGCTGATCCGGAAGATGGAGACCCTCCGCCTTTTCCTACTCATACATTCTGAGTTCAGTGTTGCGACGTGCACCGCTCATTGTGATGGCTTCTCATAAATCCGCAGGAGTGCATACCAGAGAAGAACAAGGTGTATTCAACGATCGGAAGCAGGACGACATGGCTGAGAAACATGCGACCACAGCAGATGCGCACGACATGCATCGTATGGGAAAAACGCAGGAAACGCGACGAAATTTTCGTTCTATCACCATTTTGGGATTCTGCATAGTCCTCCTGTCGACATGGGAGACTATCCTGGCTACGTCTGTCTTCGCGCTGGCTAACGGTGGAACTGCCGGCCTTATTTGGGGATATTTCATCGTCATGGTCGGGTTCGGTTTTGTGGTCGCTTCTCTAGCTGAGATGGCATCTATGTGAGCATAGTCAAATCGGTCGTCAAAAATACTTGCTCACCCTTTGTAGGGCGCCCACGGCTGGCGGCCAGTACCACTGGGTTTCCGAATTCGCGCCACCAAGCTGCCAGAGATTCCTCAGCTATTTGGTCGGCTGGCTCGGTGTTCTAGGTTGGCAGACCGGCGCAGCGACCGTGTCTTATCTGTCCGGCAAGCAGATACAAGGCCTTATTATCTTGAACAATCCGTCATATATACCAAAGGCCTGGCACGGCACACTTCTGATATGGGCTGTCCTGGCGGTATGCTTGATCTTCAACACATTCCTCTCTCGACACCTACCATTGGTAGAGGGTGGCGTTGTCATACTCCACGTTGCTGGGTTCTTCGCGGTTGTGATACCATTGTGGGTCATGAGTGATAGGAGTCACTCGTCCAGCGACGTCTTCACGCTCTTCCAGGACAATATGATGTGGGGTAATCTTCAGCTTGCGGTCATTCTTGGCCTTACAAGCGCTACCAGTACATTCGTCGGCGTTGAAGCCGGTGCACACATGGCAGAAGAAGTACGCGACGCTGCTCATGTCATTCCGCGCGCTATGATGTGGACATGGCTGGGTAATGGGCTTCTCGGATGGATCATGGCCATCACCTTCTGCTTCTGTGTGACCGATACAGTCTCTGTACTCACGACACCGCTTGGTACGCCTTTCATTCAGGTGTTCGTGGATACGACCAAGTCAGTTGGAGGCGCGACCGCGCTTACGGTCTTGATGTTGGTCATCGCTATCTTCGCCTGCGTTGCAGTCGTTGCAACAAGTTCACGTCAGGTATTCGCTTTCGCCCGTGATAATGGCATCCCGTTTGGGCATGTTTTCAGCAAGGTTTGTGGACCACAGCACCCACCACCTACTCGTGAGGACCTGACGCTAACCGTCTTTAGGTTTCACCCAAGCGGGAAGTACCGGTCAACTCGGCCTACATAACTCTGGCTTTCATCGTGATCCTCTCATGTATCAACCTTGGCTCCACTGTCGCCTTTATGCAGGTCATCTCCCTTGGTGTCGCTTCCATGCTGACATCTTACTTGATCACAATTTCGTGCGTTGCGTTGAAGCGGATACGAGGCGAACCTCTTCTACCGTCCAAGTTCGACCTGGGAAAGCTGGGATTGCCGATCAACATGATTGCAGTACTCTTTCTGCTGTTTGCTTGGATATTCTGTTTTTTTCCTGTTGGACCCCGACCAACGGTAACAGATATGAACTGGGCCGTCTTAGGCTACGGTATCGTCGTCATGTTTGCTGTCTTTTACTATGTTCTTCGCGGTCGACATACATATGTTGGACCAGTCAAGTACGTTCGAAACATGTAATTAGGGGTACTTAAGATGGTGCTGTGGCCCGTCGGATCAAGGCACATTGTGTGTATATGACGAAGCATATTCGCCACCATCTGAAGTTCATCGTCGCTGTTTGACGAAGTCAAAGAACATCTATTCACGATACACTCCATGTACCTACAACAATGTCACAGCACGAGAACGATATCTAAAGTACCAGGTATAAAGTGGATCATCCATAGCTGGAAGTACATGGTGTCATTCCCACGCTGTGTACAGCAACGATCACAAAAGATCACAAACAAGAGAGATTGGCATTCTCACAATTCGCTGGTACGAACAGTCACAATCGCTTCCAGTCTAGTGTTTGCAACTTTGAACCTTGCTGCTCCCGCATCCGACCTAGAGATGTTTCACCAACTTCTTACTTTTGCTCTATTGAACGTTTTGACCGTTTCTGCAGCTCCAGTGCACCCTTATCCGTCCACCTCGGAGCCAACAAAGGTTACAGCAATGGCAAAACCGACAGTTGTGGTTCCGACACCGATTTCTACGATTACTGCTAACCTTCAGGCTCGTCAGCGGGAATGGTCGCCATCTGCACCGGCGTGGAGTGAACCGGTGTGAACACAACCAGCATGGTCAGACCCTCCTGTCGTACCTGCATCGACGGAGCCAGTGTGGACTTCTTCTGTGTCATACGCTTACACTGAGGTTTCTACCCATGCACCCACATCAACCTCCTCATGGACAGAGACGCATCGCCCTAATGCTAGTGCTACTAAGACAGGCTGGATAACCGGTCTTTGCGTCTTGGCTGGGATTATTGGCTTAGGTCTAATCTGGTACCTCTTTACCATGTTTCGAAAGTACCTCCACAAACGCACTCCTGTCCCACCTTCGCACAATGCATCAGATGTCGAAGCGAACGCAGTTCCCCACCGTAGCCCTCCGGTTCCAGCTCCTGACACTCCTCCTAGTCCGGCTACAGGTTCTATCACAGAACCCAGCATCGGCTTTCACACTATATCAATCCAAAGCCAGGATCTCGCTAACACACGGCGTCTGCCTGATCCACTCAATGGTCTGACCTCTGGCCCACGCCGTCTATTATCAGTGTACCAGAACAAAATTCCTCCCCAGGAAACGCATTGGCCGCTCGGCGAGACGCAACAGTATACGACGTGGACACGTGGAACCGGGTATCGCGAATCTTGAGTAAGTGTGAGGTGGAAGCGATCGTGTCATCTGTCCTGCATCATTCGCTTTTCTATTATCAACTCCATGTACCATAAGACAATCGATATATGTACCTTGGTTTCGAGAGCTCTTGAAATTTTCGGGAATGCAGTGTGAACTATGAAATACAGGCTTGACGTAACGATACATTGATGCGATCACCGCATAGAGCGAGGGTACTGAATGCCTTTTAGTAAGCTTATTCACCACGCTGTAGTCTAGAAAGCGTTCAATGAAAATCTTGGAGGCATTTATCAGTCCTGTGAGTATCTATACTTCGTAATACCAATATGATGTCTCTATAACGCTTTGATGTAGTAGGTATCGACCTATCTCGTACGGATGATTGATATCAAGCAGCTTGAGCGTTGACATGGTTGATGTCGCGACAGGGACTCGTTGATTGCAAGTCGAAGGTCGCTTGTTATTGAAAGTGGTTGTGACACTACCAGATAGCAATAGAAGGATATATGCGCCCAGATAGCAACAGAAGATTATATGCGCGTGTTCGCACAAAGAGCGATTGCTGTACTCTTCCATATCTTGTGCTTACCAGTGTAGGCGAGCCTCAACTATCCTCGGAACATTCAACACATGCCTAGGCAGAAATGCATAGGAACGCGGCTAGGCGGAAAGTGAGCATGCTGATGGAAGCCTAGGTGGAAACTGGGGAAACAACGACCATTCTAGGCGGTAATTAGAACGGAGAATCAGGCGCGAGGCGATTCACAGACTGATGATACGTCTGAGACGCCCTTGCAGTTGTCCAGATCAACCATAAACTCCATTCGGCATCCGTACCCAGGGTATAAACCTCCCACGCCCAATCATCAAACGCCTTTTATGTCCAAATCGCAATATCTCTCAATCTGAGTTGAAGATGACATCCAGATGCCTCCATCGTCCTACAGCCAAGCTATGCGTAATAGCCTCAAAGCTCAGGCTTAGGCTTGTCCTGCTGGATGTCCTCCTGGATGTCCTCTTTCTCCACGACCACGAAGTCATCGTCGATATTGGCAGTCTTCTGCTTCTTCGGGGACGGCTGCTGGGCATCGTCGGCGTCTTTTGGGTCGGCTGTTGGTGCGTCGGGAAGCTGCGATGCGAGTTCAGAGGGTTCGGTAGACTGTTCTTCTTGAGCCTTGGAATCGGAGACGACAGGTGGGAAGAAGTCACTGGGTACAGGTCAGTCTACGGAATGAAGTCGACGGCAGCTGGGACTCACGGGATATTCTTGAAGTAAGCATCCTCGTCCTTCTGGAGGAAGTTGCAGAAGATGACGCGATCGAGCTTATCTGCCTTGCCCTCTTCCTCGAGAAATTTGCGGACTGTCTCGAGCGCGACAATACTAGCTTCACCGCTTGGATAGCCGTATACGCCAGTGCTCAGAGCTGAGAAGGCGATGCTCTTGCAACCATTCGTGACTGCCAACTCCAAGCTGGTGCGGTAGCAGCCTGACAAGAGCTCTGCTGCGCGCTTTGCGCCCTCTTTCCAGTATATCGGACCAACAGCGTGGATGACCTTGTTGCTAGGCAACTCGTAGCCGTCTGTGATCTTGGCGCTGCCCGTCTCGCAGCCGTTCAGCGTTTCGCACTCGTGTAGTAAGTCGGGCCCAGCTGCGCGATGGATCGCGCCGTCAACGCCTCCGCCGCCTAGCAAGGAAGTATTCGCGGCGTTGACGATGGCGTCGATGGCCAGGGTCGTGATGTCTTGCCGTATGACACTGATCTTGTCGTTCAGGGCAGTGGAGGCTTTGTATGGAGACTGGACTGCATCGCCGCTGGCTACAATCTTCTTCAACTTGTAGAGCAATGTGAGGGTCGGGATCTCGTCGAGAGAAAGAGTGTCGGCCATTTTCGGTGAGGGGCTGCGGGATGAAGATGCCAAGGGTCTTGCGAGATAGTATGCGCTCGTCATGGGCGGTCGTAGTGCTCGGGTTGCGGGTCTAAGTAACATCGAGGGAGGGCTATGGATGGGTACCTGGAGAGCAAGAGCGCGTGGGATGGAGCTTGGACCTCGCCCGTTGCCGCCAGTACCCCGCCTACTGTAGCCGTTCCGCTCTAGTGTTACCTTTACTCTGTACATCACTAGTTCACTATAGGAACCAACAACATCGATTCACAGAGTTATCAAGAATGTAGTAGTATCTCATATAAATCGGTAACATATATCACTCCACAAGGTGAATAAAGTCCCGCTAAAAGTGAATAACGCCGTCACAACTCCTTCTACACCAGCGATGCTTGCGTGTTATTGGGTAGGTCGCCCAGTAGAATCCAAGGGTTTGGTTCATCGACCTCGCATATTGTGTTTGGAGGAGGTAAAGTAGCGTTGCGCATATATTGCATCTCGTATCCTGAAACACATGTTACGTTTTGGAAATGCGCGGTATGCTGCGGTATTCTCGTCAGTATTGACTAGTCGCAGTCGTAGGTACAACGGGAAGATGATGTTAAGATGTTATCAAGGAAGGACTCACACCGCTGTTATTAAAGACCAAAAGCCCTGAGCCAGGGAACAACCCACGCATCTTCTTCGCCGACGAAAGAGGGGTGATTGGATCGGCAATAGAGCTTATGAAGAGTATAGGAGAGCTCGTGTTGCGGACCCGAGGGATGCCGTCGAACGTCTGACTAGTAGGTGGACGCACATTCAGCTTGCTGCATATCGGTCCGCTGATGGCGGCCACACTTAAACCACCAGATCGGCTTTCTTTGTACATGTAGTTAACAAATTTCTTGTAGGTCTGAAAGTCCGCAAATCTGCTCGAACGGCCATTGGTATCCACACAGGAGATCAGAGTTCGTGCCATGCGGTCGTCGTATAAGGGTCGGAAGGTACTGAACTGACTTTTCTCCGAGATCACAGAGAGCAACTCCACATCCTGTGTTTGTAGCGCAACGAGGATGAGATCCATGACGTAAACGTGGAGCGGGCTGATCAGGTACGTGGATGCGAACATCTGGCTGATGATATCGGTCCAGATGAGCACGTAAGGCGAAAGTAGTATGCCCTGAGTTTTTGCGAGAATGATCGAAGTGTTCGAAGTTGCGTCGCCGAGACCAACAGGTGAAGCCATGAGGTCAGTCAGGAGGGCCTGATAGCGTTGCTCAAGTTCCTGCCAAGATGTAGCATTCTGGTGGAACATGCATAGCGCTGGGCCGGCTTCAAAGCAGTGCTTGAAGAAGTAGCTTGCCGCTTTATCGCTGTCATCAATGGCAGCCTCCCAGCCACCATCATAGTAATCTTCCATGTCAAGGACGCCATCGATGATCATACGTCCGACTCGGTCAGGATAGAGGGCTGCAAAGGTTGAGCCAAGGATCGACCCGTAGCTGATGCCGTAGTACCGCAATTTCGCTTCCTCCGATGATTCGCCACGATCATGTGCACGAAGTTCAATGTAGTGAAGCATGTCTTGAGCGGTAGCCACCGTATTGGCATAGTTTGCAGTACCATTTACGGAGTACATACCCGTGCACCACTTCCCATACGCTAATGCGGACTGATGCTGTTTCTTCAAACTCGTTTCTGATGTAACATCCGCAAGACCAATTGCATCTGAGAGGAACGCATTGCGTGTTTGAAAAGGGTAACCAACGAAGCAATCGCTTGTTGGCTCGCTGTTGTTGACACCACGAGGATCGATACCAACCAGGGAATATTCAGTGCCGATCTTGGCCTCAATGGCGGCATGATCTGAAAGTACCATAGCGACAGAGGAGCCACCGGGTCCTCCAGGGTTGACGAGGACTTCTTCTGCATCAGGAGTTGGGCCGGGCTTCTTGATGATTGCTATATTTAGGGTGCCAATGGAGGGCTCGGCGTAGTCGAGTGGGACTTGGAGAAGTGCGCAGGTGTTGTAGAGTTTAGCATTTTGCGTTTGGATACCATGTAGAAATTGCTTACAAGTTGTCGTAACACACTGTCCAGGCAAGTTCAGCACTAGCTGTCAACTACGCAAATAGGTCATTACAGATCCTGATCTCCATGTGAGGGTCATACTGACTTCTGAGAAGTTGTAAATCAAGCTCTTATTCTGTGTTGCAGCTATACAGAAACTGCAGATCAGACACAGGACTGTAATTGCTGCTTTGGTTTTATGAGGGGACATCCTTATAGTTCTCTCATGCGTTCTGAGATAACGCCGCGAAACAACTAGATTCTGGGGATACGCTTGGAGAAAGACTGTGGTAAAATACGATGCTGGGAGCGAGCGACTCTTGATCATATATATAAGCACTCCGCACAAACATCTACAATATTAATCTCCTAAAAAGCTGCAACACAAAAGCTTGTCATCACAAACGCGAATCCAATTATGGTGATAAGCTCGCAGACGCCCTAAGTTGTGTCCGCCTTCGATCCAGTCCGGCAGTGGAGTTTCTAGGCAACCAACCTGCACGGAAAAACGAATGGGACGGCTGAGTATCCATCTACTACGCTGCCGCACTTCGACCATGTCGGTTTCGAGGGCATTGCCCAGTGTAACAAGATTTTTACAAGTCTTACTGCGGCTGAGCTGGACGCCTGTAGATTGATTACCACAAGTGGGAAGGAAGGTAGTGTGTCGCGTCTTGGCCGTTGCGTTGGCTAGAAGTGGTTAGATTGCTTCTTTTCGCCTGACCTGGGGGTGAGCGCTAGAACGCTCAACACTTCATGCTGTTCCGCGCGACAGTAATGGCTCGGTATTCTTAGCACGCCAAATAAGATAATTGCATGGCTAATCAGTAGGGCTAGAGGGGCATTGAAGAGCTTTGAGAGTAGCCGTGCAGATGCGCGCTGCTGACGACAATACGCTTCGGTCAAGACTGCCCCGCTTGCACATGGTCGATTCGCCCCCAGGCTGGCTCCCAGCATTTCTCCTCTCTGGACTAGCTGATCACAAACAAAATGCAATTAGAATAGGGATGTTTGCCGCTTCTCCAGTATTATGAAATGTACAACGGTTTGGTGAGTATCGGAGTCGCGCGCAACTGGGTCGAAGACAGGAAAGACGAGCGCGTTTGCCTTGGAGCTACCTCGGTTAACAAACAGTGCGTAATGACGTCGCGCTTGAACACAAATCGTGAACCCCTTGGGTGTACCGATATTATCGTACCATCTCCCCAGCATCATGCTACCTGCAGCTTTCTTGCGATGCGGTCCATCATCATCCATCCAAGTCATCGCCGCCTCATATTGCTTGTCAGTTATGGCTAATAACGTTGCGCCCTGGGTGCGCCACAGTGCGGACAAGCTTCGCAGAATTCATTAGGATGCTACTGCATAACTAAGCCTTGTACAACCAAGCCTTGCACGGCATAAGCTATCGACTCCTTGGACGCGACCATCTGTCGGATCGACGAACCTGCAGGACCAAGCGAAGCCGTTATCAACAATGCAGACCCCTCACACTAAAAACAGCAGGTGTTTGATTGCCAAGAAAGCGGGAAAAGGCCAACCTAGCTGTAATAGGCAGCCGGATATGTAATCTACTTGGGTATCTGTCTTGCCCTACGTAGCCGACATCATGGGTAGGCAATCCATTATTGATGATGCAGTTCCGAGTACTTGATAGCATGCTCTGGATCCCCTCCGCTTCTCGTCTTCGAGCATCCTATTTCCTCATCGCCCAGCTGACTCTACAGGACTTTGCGAGGAACTATGGTAGTTCAAAGCTGTCCTCGGGCCTCGATGGCTGTTGTAGTCGGTATAATGCTTGACTTCGCATCTGCCGCTGTGGTCCCTCGCCAGAGCCAGCCGTTGGACCCCTTCACACCGATTGATCCTCAAAACTGGGTCAACCCTGACAACATGACTTGGAATGGTATGCTGGAGTGGAAGGCGCACAACACCCATGGTATACTAAGTTTTGAGCAGATTACAAGGCACCGCCAACGACGAATTGGGCCGATCCGGCACGCAAAGGCAGAGACCGAAACTTCAATATCGCCATGGTGGCCATAGACTACCCAGACTCTCCCTTTGTCGTCACCCTACCGGCTCAGTCGGATATATTCGGTAACCCGCAGCCTCTTGCTGCTGGCCTAAAACGTGAAGACGTGCCAAAGTTCTACCACGATCTTCTCAACGTACCCAGCGAGCTCAACGAAGGTCACACGCTCCACGAATACTGGATGGGCGACTCTTTCGGAAAATATGGTGTCGATCTGACTGTTTTCGGCCCATACCGCATGCCCGCGAGAAGCTATCAGTATGGAGTTGATGATGAAGAAGGCGGGTTTAACGAAGGTGCCTGTCCAGAAGGACCGCCATGCTCGGTAGATCTCAGAACTGATGCTCTTGGAGCATGGCGTGCGGACGTTGGAAACGAGACAGCAAACGCATACGAGTTGGCCTTCATTCTCTCCGCCGGCCAGGACGAGTCGTCGACATGGCAGGAATTCGGTGAGATGAAATTCCTCTCCAAGGAAGATGTCCCAGAAGAGTTCGGGCCACCAGACAACTCGTCACTACCGAACTGGGCTAGTACGCGCTACGTCGACTGGTCATCATGGGCGGCAGCTTCCACCATCTGGCCAAACGCCGGTGGCGGTTCCTCCACGCAAGGTGAATCGAGTGGGATGGCTACGTTTGCTCACGAGTTGTCGCACTTGCTTGGTATTGGCGACAATTACAACAACCCGTTCAGCAACCCTCCCCGAAGGTCATACACTGGTCCCTGGAGCATGCTCTCTCGAGGCAGTTTTAATGGACCCGGAGGGCCGCATACTCGTTGGCAGATACCACCCGTGCAAGGAGCGTCTATGGGATCGCTACATACTATGCGTGATAAGCATCAGATTGGGCTCATCGACACTACCCCAATCCTGCAAATCTCCAGCTCTGGTCTCGCCACTTCCGGCCCGGTTGTCGCGCAGATAAAGGCTCGCTCTGTTGACCCAGTGAACAGCTTGATGGGGTTCAATATCTCCTTGGGCGCTGCTGGTGATCTCGCGCCGCCATGCAATGCGTCTCTTGACGCTTTGTGTGACGGACGTGGCTACAACAACTACAACTTGGAAGTGGTTCAGCGCCTTGGTGCTGACTCCTTCTGCCCCGACTCCGGCGTCATGATCAGCAAGACGAAGAACAGCGATCGTGTACAACCTTTCCAATGGACGATTGATGCAAACCCACAGGACGCACGTCAGATCGACTTCTATCTCCCGAATGGAACCGCAAGGTACTGGACAATCGGTGATTACAGGCAACTAGTTGATGCGTTGTTCCATGCGGGAACAAATTCCGGCTCAGAGTACGAGTACATTGATGAGGCGAACAACCTGCATCTGTATATTCTTGAAAAGGTCAAAGACAATACTGGAGTATTGCACTACACTGTAGGAGTTGCTTCGACAGCGACAAACCAGACTACATCCGCTCAATATGGTATTGAGCTTGGCTCCGGTAAGGTGACAAGTAACAAAAATTCGGCAAAGCCTGCCGACGGTTCATACTGCACATTCGAGCTAAAGAACACCGGTAAAGCCGCAGTCCTCGCCACAAACCCTCATCCACAAGACTTATCTGAGTATCTTGGGTCCGATATATACCGTTTGAGTGCGACTATTGAGGGTGAAGGTTGGAAGGTCGCTGTGCCCAATGCGCTCGCATACGCAAGTGCTGGCAAGCAAAAGACGGTTAGTCTCGCTGTCGGTTGCGAAAGCGGCTGCTCGAAAGAAGCCACTGTTACTCTTACCGCAACTAGCGAGACTGATAAGACAGTCACTAAATCCAAGGCTTGCAAGGTTCGCTTGTAGATTATATAGTATTATTCTACGGTGCAAAGCTATTAGTTTAAAATGTAAAGTAACGAGCTAAAGCCTAAGTCTCTTAACAAAAAGCGGTGTCACGGTAACCACCGTGGTTCCCTTGACACTGAACGCGCTACAGAATCCGAGTGCTCCGCCAAGCACTAGGATTCTGCTGATTGGCCGGCCGGGCCTAGCGCCATGCGCACGGCCCCCATCGATAACTTCTTACCGCCTGTACATGCTGATTCTGTTTCCTTACGCAACGTCTTGTATTACACTAGATATCGTACGTAGCCACAATTAACGCTTCTAGCAAGCTCTTAAAACACGTGCGCGTAGCATCTCGTAACATTACGTTGCGTTAAACTTACTATAACTACCTCTAAACAATCTGACGCTTTGTAACTAATCCTAAATTAGTTAAACGCAATTTAAGCGGACTCTGCTTTACTAAAAGTAGACTTGGCTGCGTTAAAAGCTAGTAACGAAGCACTGCTCGCTAATCTAGCTAAGTAAGAGAATTAACACGCTTAGCAAATACTAGAGCTCTGTTAAGAGCTAGAGACTATTAAGACTAGGTCTGCTCCCGCTACTACCCTAGCTATTACCTGTACTAACACTAAAGGTGAATAAGTTCGTTTAGAGGAGCTATCTGGAATTGGCTCGAAGCCTGCGACGCCGCCTACCGTGAACTAGAAGGACCTGCCCTAAACTAATCGTCTGCCTAACCCTCCTCTTTTTAATAGTTAACGAAAGGACCTTCCTGCCTTTGTCTGCAAGCTAAGGTATAAGCTTGAGGGCAATGCTGACTAATACCTAAACGAAAGATTCCGCTTGCTATACGCTCACTCTCGACTAGAGAAGGACGTAGTAGCCCTTATCGACCCGCTTATAGACAAGGATATCTATAATGTAGACTAGCTCGATACCTTCCTTAAAGCTACCTACGGAGACCTAAACAAGGAGCTGACAGCTCTTAGCTAACTAAGTAGATTACGTTAAGGGAAGCGTAGCTTTACTTCCTACTTTGCTAAGTTCTAACAACTAGCCGCTAATACTAGATTAAATGAGATTAGTCTTATCGCTTCCCTCTAAAACTCCTTGTCCTATAAACTACAGCGTGCAATAGTTAGAGAGGCCTTGCCTAGCGACCTTAACGACTACGCTAACCTTATATCTACGTACAACAACAACCTCCGCTTCCTACTAGACCGCCTACGCTGTCTCCCTACAGCCTATCCTAATATAATAGATATAGACGTGTTAAACTACGCTCCTGCTAGCTCTGCTAAACGCTAGAAGAGAATTAAGGAAGGCTGCTGCTTTAAATGTAACTAAAAGGGTCATATATCTAGCAACTGCAGCGTCCCTCTGCCTACTTAGCATATCTAATCGCAGAGCGCTAATAACTAGACCTGTACCTGCTCTACAAGATCTAATACTTTAAGATCCTCTTAATCCTTAAGATCTTAAGGACAACGCTCTCGCAACTAGTCCTGAAAGGGAAAAGCCCCGTCCTAAGGATAAGTCGCTCCCTAGGACTGCGCATACACTAAATCTCTGCTAAACTCTAGTCTAAATCTCAAACTAACACCTAGAAACGCTGTATTGTAATACCCTGCATAGTCTAACAAGGTAACACTAGAAGCAACCTTAAGGCCTTAGTTAATACTAGAGCTACTAGTGTTAGATACATTTACAGAGACCTTGCGCGTAACCTAAACCTTCGTTAAAACCTGCTACTTTACGTTATTTACCCTACTAGATTTACTAGAACTGTACTTAACAGTAGAGAAGTATCTTACACTATTACCCTAAAACTGTAATATAATAACTACGTAGAGTCTATACAACTCTACGTTACTAACACTAGCCGCTACGAGATAATACTTAGCTAACTATAGATAAATAAGCCTTAAGTAAACTTAGACTATGCTAATAAGAAGCTGCTTTTTACTGCCTAAAGATGCACTAAACGATGCTTTAGAGTTAGCCGTACCTCTGCTCCTACTCCCTAAGGACAGTAGAGTAATAACAGCTCTAATAGAACTTACTCCTAAACTCTAAAACTTAAACACGTACTACGACAACAACACAATTATTAGCTACTTAAGATAAAGCGCTAATTAAATAAACCTATATACGAACTTACCTATAACTCTAACTCTAACTGCACTCTGTTAACTAACGACTAGGACAACTCGTTAAAGTTACAGCTAAAACTTAATATCTATTGCATAGGCGTAGCCCTATTTATAAGCCTAGCGCGTAGAAGAGGCTACGAAATCTGTGCTATTGGTATTACTAACATTAATAAGGCACTAGCTGTAAAGAAGCACACTAATCTACTTATAAAAGTCCCTCCTAAGTACTACGACCTAATAGACGTCTTCTTGCGAGAGAACTCTAATAAACTGCCTATATAATAACTATACGACTACAAGATTAAACTAATAAAAGGCAAGCAACACGAGTTCGGCCTGTTATACGGCATGTCTTAAGACGAGCTAAAGGTACTGCGTAAGTACCTTAAAGACTACCTGTCGAAGGGGTTTATCTAAGTAAGCTCCTCTCTAGTCGCTTCTCCTGTTATCTTTATTAAGAAACCTAGAGGTAGATTACGCTTCTGCGTTAACTACTGTGCCTTAAACGCAGTTACTGTTAAGAACTGTTACCTAATCCTGCTAATCTAAGAGACCCTAAGCTAACTAAGCAAGGCTAAGTACTACACAAAGCTTAACATTATTGCTACCTTTAACTGACTCTGCATTGCTAAAAGAGACGAATAGCTAATAGCCTTCCGTACCTAATATAGGCTATTTAAATATCTTGTAATGCCCTTTAGACTAGCTAACGCGCTAAGTACGTTCTAGCACTTCGTAAACGACGTGCTACGCCCGTTCTTAGACATATTCTACACTACTTACCTTAACAATATCCTAATCTATAGCGAGACCCTTTATAAATACAAGGAGCACGTTAGATCTGTTCTAAACGCTCTTAAGGAAGCTAGGCTCTAACTAGACGTAGATAAGTGCGAGTTCTACTAAACTAAAGTTACTTACCTTAGCTACGTAGTTAAAGTAAATAGAATACGAATAGACCTAAAGAAGGTTTAAGCTATCGTAGATTAGGAATACCTAAACAACGTTAAGGGCGTTAGAGCCTTTCTAGGATTTGCGAACTTCTATTAACGGTTTATAGATAGCTTCTCCTACCTAGCTGCTCTGCTTATAGCATTAACTAAGAAGGACGCTAAGTTTCTCTTTAACGACGACTGCTAGAAGGCCTTTAATACCTTAAAACGCGCCTTTACTACTGCACTAATACTATAACACTTTGATCCTAACCTCCTAATTATCGTAGAAGCAGACGCTTCTAACTACGTTACGGCAGGCGTCCTCTCCTAGACAGAACCTAATAGTACGCTTTGCCCTATAGCCTACTACTTAAAGAGGATAAACCCTATAGAAAATAACTACAAAATCTATAATAAGGAACTACTTGCTATTGTCTGTTGCTTTAAACAGTAGAGACCTAAGCTAGAGGGCGCGTCCTTCTTAATAGCTGTACTTAGTAATTATAAGAACCTATAGTACTTTGTAACTACGAAGCAACTAAGCTACTGTTAGGCTCGATAGTCTAAATACCTCTCCTAATTCTAGTTTACAATTACGTACTAACTAGGCAAGCATAGCGAGAAGCCTAATGCCTTAACCTAATATTTATAAGACTAGCTTACACAAGAGGAAGCCTAAGAAGCTTGCAAGCAAACGTTGCTGCGCCTAGAACTCTTTTAGAATCCTCCTATAATTAGGTTAGTAGAGACTAATAGATCTATCTAACAAATTATTAAAGAAGGATACTAGTTAGCACCTAACGGTTACCCTAAGGACCTGTTTATACAAGAAACTCTGTAACTACTACACGACAGTAGACGACAGTTAAAGACCGTCACCCTAAGCGACTGTAAGAACCGCGACGGCCGTCTATACTACTAGAACAAGCTTGTTATTCCTAACGACAACGAACTAAAAATCAAGATCCTCCGTGCAGTCTATAATGCTCCCTCTAGCAGCTACCTAGGCTAAGGAAAGACACTCAAACTTATCTAACGGGAATACTACTAGCCTTAGCTATTTAAGACTGTCTAACAATACGTATCCTGCTGCTACACCTGCCGCTGCTCTAAAGCGTTGCAAGAGAAGTACTACGGGTTATTAAAGCTATTGCCCGTTCCTGAACGACGTTAGGGAGATATCTCCGTCGACTTCGTGGTCGACCTACCTAAGTCAGAAGGATACAAGAACGTGATAGTGGTAGTGGACCGTTTGTCCAAATACTGCTACCTAATACCATGTAGCAAGATAGAAGCACCTAACGTAGCGCGTATATTTCTTCGCCACGTCTAGTGCAACTACGGCCTTCCTAACACAATTGTCTCTAATAGAGGCAGACAGTTTGTCTCTGCCTTCTATAACAAACTATATAGCTAGCTAAAGATTAACCTACGCTTTTTAACTAGCTATTATCCTAAAACTAACAGGTAAACTAAGAACGCTAACGCTGCGATAGAACAAGTCCTACGCGCGTACACGAACTACTAGCAAGACGACTAGGTCTAGTAGCTCCCTATCGCTTAATTCAAAGCTAACAATACTGTTTTAGAATCTACAAGAGTATCTCTAATAATAGCCTGCTACGGCCAGAACCCCCAAATAGGTTTTAAACCGCCTACGAACAAGACACGTCCCGCCTACTAGGCCCTACAAGCCTAGGATGTAAATGTAATAATTAATAAGATGCGTAATATTACTAAGTTTATCCGCGAAGAAATGACATAGGCGCAAGCCCTGCAGCAAGAATACGCGAACCGCAAACGCCTACCTACACTAGCTTACGAAGCTAGCGACGAGGTATAGCTAGATACGCGTAACATCTAAACATAACAACTATTAAAGAAGCTCGACTAGAAGAACCTAGGACCCTACCGAATAACTAAGAAG